CCTTTCCAACGAGAAGCTCGCGGAGAAATTCACGGGATTGGAAGGCGTAAGGCTGCAGAAACGAAAGACATCAGTAAGGATTGTATTGCAAGATATATAACAGTGATATGAGCTTGAAAGGCAAAGATGCCGGAGAAAACGAAAGAAAGGAAAGAAAAAAAGGCCGAAAACATAAACGTTATGTTATTGCCAACGGCCAGGTATCCTTTCAATGGCTGCTTCAAACGCTGGGATAAATCTGGGCTCACCTCATCTCCCTCTCTCCGCAGTCTCGGTGCTGAGACGTACGCGAGACTCAGAACACGCTCTTGTCCAGGGTTGGTGACATGCGACAAAACAACTGTGTCACCAGACAGAACTGACTTCACGCGAGCTTCAAGAGGCATGATTGGAAAGAGAGCGACAGCAATTGGCTAAGGAAGGACTTTTGGGAGAGAACTCAGAGAAGAACAGAGAATTAAACAAGAGGAAAAATGGGGTTGACGGGAGAGGGACAAAGAGAAATTATTTGGTAGAGGTGTGAGTTGATGTTGGGATGGGGAGCACAACCGGAAACGTGGTTCTAACATTGCCGGAGCTGTGGCGGACTTGGGTCCTGACTTTGTGGGGAGAAGCCTGGCCAGAACAACCACCACCACCTATAAATTAATCTCAGGGGTCAAAGCTATTTAAAATAGTTCATGCTACAGTTTTCACTATTGCAACCCGTGCATAATTACGATCGAGGCCAGAATGGAGATAATCATGACACTATCATTCAATTTGAATGTGGTTAAACTCGCAGCACCTTGCAGTTTTCAACTAACATAACTGAATTAACATTTGCAGAGCAGTTTTGGGCCACCAAGCTTTCATCCTCCACATTATCGTCGAGATTCATCATATCATCATTCTTTAGTGGTGCATTTACGCAGAAATGCCGATGACACCTATCAACAACAATTAGCATCTCCTCTTGAATTTCCCTCCTTGGGTGTGAATACTCACCGCAAGCGGGGCGAGCACCAGCGTTGCCGGTCTTCTTGGACTCCTCGTTGCCGCCACGGCCGAGGTCGTCAGTACCGGCGTGAACAACAAGGGTACGCTATCTCTTGTTAGCACATCATAAATTGCCACTGGGGGACTGGAATCACGTACGCCCAGGATGCTCTCGGCACCGATCAGCTTGACGAGCTTGTCCTGCTTAGAGCCAACGGCGTTGCCCTCGGCATCGGTCTTGAAGTTACCAAGGTCACCGACGTGACGAACCTCATCCTCGGGGGCACCGTGTGTCTTGCCGAAGGGGTTGAAGTGGGGGCCAGCAGAGGTGCAGCCGTTGGTGTTGTCACCGAACTGGTGGATGTGGAAGCCACGCTCAGCGTTGGCATCGTGGCCGGAGACGTTCCATGAGACAGTGGTGGGGGTGCTCTCATTGGCCTGTTCGAAGGTAACAGTGCCAGTGACCTTGGAGTCACCACGGAGGACAGCAACTGAGATCAATAGTGTCAGCCACGTTGTTAAACTTTCAAAGACCCGAGAAACAATGACAAGCAGGATCGCCACCCAGGGATCTGGCAACGATCTGGGGTCGAGATGAGGAGGACCCGTCACCCGATGATGTTCCTGGGCTTAGATCCAGCGACCGGCATGCGACAGCACAAAGAGCAGGGAGCTAGCTGGAGCTTTTCATCATCCTCGAGCTTATAATAACGCCTCGCAGGGGAGCAAGAGACGGTGATAGGCTGTCGGTTCAGGGCAAAGCTCAGAAGGTGCTCAAATCTGCTCACACAAGGTCCTCCGGCCACGGTCGATCGTGGGCCCAACCAGAATAAAGGCCAATAACAATGCAATATAGAAACAGAAGTATGTGACTTACCAGCCTTGACCATTTTGACGGATTTGTGAAGATAGATATTAAACTTGGAAAGGTATGTGAAAGATGAGTTCAAATGAAGAAAGATGTGGAAGTGGGAAGGAAACGGGGGGAAGCGAAGTGATGAGAGACGAGGGGTAACCTTAAGACGCTTGACTGGATAGCCCGAGGGCTGGGGGATGCGAATTATTCGACGGGCTTCGATTCTGCCCACAGGCTCGCGGGTTTGTCGATGACAATTCCTACCAGTCACCTCACAGCTCTTTCCCCCTCTTGGTGGTTTTCGTGAACCACCCCACCTGGCGGCCGTGCCGGAATGACGTTTTCGGTGCCGCTGAGGGGAAGCTCTCGGGAGATTCCTAAGCAGTGCAATCCAGACTCACTCAATTACTGGGCGACACCTGACTCTGAGTAAATTTGCTATCATCATGAGGACAATTTGAACTATATCATGATTGAACGGTAGGAAAATAGTAATAACAACAACCATAAAATGGCCAGCCTGGAGTCGACTCCATCAGCTCAAATTGGAGGTCTCGGACAAGCCCCCACCATAGCACTCCATCAGAACCAGCTGGCAACATTGTGCTGTGTAACAATCCTCAACATAGCAGCCTTGCATCAATGAACTCCCAACCGGTTTAATATGTTGTAGACCTAAGAGACTACCACCATTTTTGGTTAACTGAGTTGAACAGGTGATTCAAAATAATGGCACTCCTATGGCTTTGGAACGGCTACTGGGGAGCTCAGGATACCCAAGGCTCCCGAACCCACTTCCGTCTCGCACGCAATTCCCGTCCTCAATCTCCGATTACTTCCACAACTACGTTGCTTCTATTTTACGAACTCATCGTTAACTTCAAGACTCGGCGGTAAAAGGTATAAAACATGGTATTCCGTAAATTCATATCTTCTAAGCAAATTTTTGCAATCGCCAATTTTTACACAAACGAAAGAATCTCAGCGCGGGGCATCCGGTGCCATTCTCTACGCCTGAACCTTCTGCTTCAGGATATCCTTTAGGGTCACGGCATCGGCCGCGAACTTCGAGATACCCTCACGGAGCTTCTCGACGGCCATGGCCTCCTCGTTGAAATCGAAGCGGAACAGAGCCTCATCCTTGAGGTAGCTGCGCTTGGAGATGTCGAGGCTGGTGGCGGAAGAGGAGTCAAGCTTCTTGGGGACGGCGTCCTTCGAGTTGTACAGATCCTCGAGCAGACCGGGCTAAAATGCATGTTAGTACTGGGCACCCAAGAAGAATAGGAGGAATTGTTATCACGTACGGAGATGGTCAGATAGTCACAGCCAGCGAGCTCAGTGATTTCACCGACGTTACGGAAGGAGGCACCCATGACAATGGTCTTGTAGCCAAACTTCTTGTAGTAGTTGAAGATGCTCTGGACAGACTTGACACCGGGGTCCTCCTCCTTGGTGTAGTCGCGCTTGTGAGCGGCCTTGTACCAGTCAAGGATACGGCCGACGAAGGGAGAGATGAGGAAGGCACCAGCCTCAGCAGCGGCAATGGCCTGGACAAGGGAGAACATGAGAGTCAGGTTGCAGTTGATGCCGTGCTGGGACTGCAGGATGTAAGCGGCCTGGATACCCTCCCAGGTGGAGGCGATCTTGATGAGGATGCGGTCCTTCGAGATGCCGGCCTCTTCGTAGAGCTGTTTGAAGTTAGCAATGAACTGAAAGGATCAGAAATGGATCGCCCCCGTACCTTGATGATGTGAAGAGCCTTGTCGACGGAAGCCTTGGTGTCGAATGAGAAGCGGGCATCGACCTCAGTAGAGACCTTGCCGGGGATGATCTCGAGGATCTTCTTGCCGAACTCAACGAGGAGGTTGTCAAGGGTGGCGTCAACCTGCTCATCGACGGTCTTGCCTTGGGTCTTACCCTTCGCAACGGCAGCATCGATCAGGCTGGCATACTCGGGCTTCTTGGAAGCAGCAAGGATGAGAGAGGGGTTGGTGGTGGCATCCTGAGGCTTGTACTTGTCAATGGTGGCGAAGTCACCGGAGTCGCAAACGACAACCTAATTGCATAGCATTACTTGGTTAGCCACCTCTTCAGAAGAAATGAGAGTCAAAGCTTCAGGTGATAGGTAGCTTACGGTGCCAGTAGACTTGAGCTGTTCAAGAGAAGACATTGTGAATGTAGGATAGAAGAGTTGATGAAAGAAAGAAATCGGTTGAACAGATAGTTGGAGAAAGGTTGAAGAAGGAGAACAGAGATGGCGAGGGGATTCTTAAATGAACTTAAATTAGGAAGACGTGGCGATCTCTGGCATTGATGTTTTCGTGGTTCACCTTGAGGTCACCTTGAAGAGGGTTGGACATGGTGGGGCTCTGGCTGGGCATATGACGCTATTAGAACGTTCCGGAGGGGTAACCCATGACTAAGACGCCAGTATTGATGACTGACAGGGCATAACAATCATAATAAAACAGAATGGTTTGTATAAAAGCTTCTTTTGATAGTTGATATTCATTCCTCATCCGAGCTTCACTCACCGGATGGCGCTCATTAATTGCTATGTTCGTCTATTGTCCGTCAATACTATGCCAAAATATCAGACATCTCCCCGGAGATGCCCCTCTGTTTTTCCTCTCTTACTCGGTCCAGTGTGCTCCGGCAACGCATGGCCGATCCACTCCACTCCGTTTCCCACTCCCACACATGCAGCGATCCAAAGCCTTTTCTTTCACCGGAATCAGGTGTCCGCGAGAGTGTGACAGGTTACCGATATGCAACCTGTGGTTAGCCTCATCTCCACTTCCCCCCATCATCGCCAGCAAGGCCGAGTGCCCCAGAGTTCCGTGAGGTTCTGATATTCTATAGGAGCGATGTGCTCCGTACTACATAGTATACCCGTAGTAGCAACTTTTGCAAGATTACCTTTGCAAGATTACCTTTTTAGGGAGAAGTAGCCGCCCATATCTATTCAATCGGGGACGGATTATCGGTAATTGGAAACGCTCAGACCCAAAGAACAAAAGCAGGGGGTCGTAACTTTCGGGAAAACAGGAAAAACATCAAGCACAACTGCCCCGCGGTTGAATATGGAGTTTTATCAGACACCGCGCCTTTGGACATGTGCTACCTTCGAGTCACCGGTAACCAGCTCAACAAAATCTATCGGGGACTATCGGCGTTGGACACAACTCCATTCGTACTAGAAAGCATCAGCAAGGGTATACAAGGCTTTGGGCCCCAGATACTCTATCGCCACTTACCACTCTTCCCATCTCATCCCCAGTGTACACAACGTGGGGGAGTGCTAGGATACAGCTGATACCTGCAGAGATATTTGCCCCATTATCACGGTTATTGTCGACGTGATGGAGCTGGCGAATCAACTCCAGCTCAAAGCGGCCGTTTCGGATCATTTTGCTCCAAACCTGCAATATCTCAGTACCATGCTTGTCAACCAGACTGTGTCTCGCCGCTACTTACGTTGACGACTCCTCGTTTATGGCCGGTAAAGAGCAACTCGCGCTCTTGCCACTCGTCTCCAACCCCCTCGTAGAAGACGCATGACAGTGTCTTATCATCGGCTGAGTCGCAGACAGCCTGTTCGAGCAATGCCGCTCCGTTCAGAGTATAGAGGCTGACGTGGTTTCCTCGACAAACTGCGATTTCACCGGTCACGTCGTTGATTCGAGCACACTGGGTTCAAATTAGCTGACTCGTCATTGTAAGTACGGAAAGGGTAAAACTTACATCGACGGTTCCGCTGTTTGGAAGGTCACGGACAAAGCACTGGCGGTTCAGATCCCAGAGCATGAGCTGGCCGTCAACTGACGCAGATAATAGAGTACTAAATGACCGCGACACCGCGAGCACGGTTACTGGCGTATGATGCCCGAATAAGGACCCAGCAGGTTGTAGATCTACGGATTTTGCTGTTGCCGTGAACGTCCATATTGAGATGGTGCAGTCAGTGCCTGCAGTAACCAATGTTCGGGAATCGGCGAAAACTACAGCAGCCAGCTGACCCACGTGGAGGTGCTCGAAGTGACCGAGTAGCTGTTCGTTAATTAGCAGTCTTATTAAAACACACGATATATCTGTTCCCACCTTTCGATTATCTGCAGAGTAGAATCTAACGCTGCCGTCGAAGAAACCCCATTCCAAATACTTATCGTAAGTTGGTGGTATATTCAGCCGTAAGGCAGCGGTACATAATAGCCGGTCATGCTTCATGCATAGAGATGAAACTCGCTCTCCAGTTTCTAGAAAAGTTTAATGTTAAACAGACCAACCAGCGGCGGCACTATTTGTAGGGGATCTTACCAAGAAGTGAAAGGGGCTGCTGGGTAAGTGACTCAGCAAGAGAATCTAATCGCGGGATCTTGTATCTATGTGTTTCGCTCTGAGGATGAGGGCGATTGAAGATCTGGTGTGGCGTCTGTCCAAAGTTGTGTATAATCCCTATCGTGGCGAGTCGTTCTACGGGATCATTGATGGTGTCGACATCCTTAGCACCTTGGTAGGAAAGATGGTGGAAGACATTTACTGCCTCAACGGCAGCCTCGCCTTTCTGCTTGCATCCAAAAACCAAGTCAATCCAGTGATGTAGATTCCGCGTCACGTAAGGGCTTTCCAGTGCTTCTCGGTTCTTGGCGATGAATACCTTGGGGTCCCCCTTTGCCCACGGCGGTAATTCCACCGAGTCAATCGCGGTCGTCATGTTTTGCGGAACCCCAAAATCGTACTTGTTGGAATTGACCAGGAACTCAGGGAGGTAGAAGAATTCGGGAATCAATTCCCTCACATCTGACATATTTCCTCGCGAGGAAGACTCCCAAGCCTTCCTGACAGAGTAAAAAAGACGGTCAGCATGGTCGAAAGTTCCTCCCTGCAACAAGAGATATGATTTCACGAAGGGCTGTAGTCGAATAAGATATGAGCTCACGATCATCGCCGAGGAGTAGTGAGTACCGAAATGGAACGGTGGGGCATCACCGTCACCCATTTCTGCAAAGGCTTGGTACCGTTCCCTAAACTCGGCCTCACGTTCTGGTGTCTGACACCCCATAGGCTTGGACAGGTCACGGAAACTCTTCGGACTGGTCAGATCCAGTTCCTGACTTGTATAGTCGGCAATTACCCAGGGGAAAACAGGGTATTGTGTCAGGTCGTTGAATGTCCTCCCAGCAAGGGTGTTTATTAACATCAGGTAATGGAAGTTGGAAATCTCCCCCTTTACCCATTTACGAGTCGCTGGGTATACTGGTGAATGACCGAAGACACTAGCGAATTTTGAGCCGAGTGACTGCGGCGCATCGTCAGAGCTTCGAAGTGTCTCGAATCTCCAAACATCCTCCGGCCGCGAGTGTCCAACACTTCCTGTCACCTGAGGAGCCTTGTTCGCAAGTTGGTTGCATAGAAGGTCTCGAGCCTTGGATGAAATAAGCGTCAACAAATAGCTGTTTCCATCGGTGAAGAATATCTCGAGTGACACATCACGGAACAGGAATCGTCTTTTAGACACGCTGACCAGGTCCGTCCATTTCCAACTCCTCGTTTCGTACTGCTGTGGTTTGCGTTCGCTCGCTTCTCTGCCAGCGATCATTCGAACATATGGATCGCGCTCGTCACTGGGAGCCTGTGAAACATTGACAATTTCACCATCGCATCGTTGGAAGAAATTATCAAGAATGTAGATGTGATCTTTACCCTGGATCAACAGTCCTTCAAAGGCTTCAAGACCAACAATCCGAGACACGTTACAAAGATTTTCGACCTGGTCACCACGGTGTAGACTTCTCATGACTTTGCGGTTCTTGTCCTCATAATCTTCGAGGTCTGCTTTCGGGTCGTCGATCATCTCGAAACTTTCCTCCATGACACTACCATTCTCCGGGCCAATGCCATGAGAATGATCATCCGATCGTTCATCATCAAGGGGTCCAGGATGTAAAGCAAGAGTATCTGCCTCGGAAGAGGGCCCTGCTGCATCTATTTTCATTGCGGGGGGCTCTGACGCTTTACGTTTCGGTTGATAATCCTGCCTCTCTCCCGATTCGTCGGGGACTATACGAAGTCGCATACGGCTTCTGCCTTCAGTTTGGTCAAGTCGCCATTTCCTCTCCGCCTCTTCCGCTAGGAGACCCCCATGTCGCCGCAACTCCAAGGTCAGCCGAGAAAATGAGTTCAACATGAACACATGGCTATCCTGTTGGTCTTGCAAAGCTCTCTGATACCTCAACAATTCGGAAGCGGTAATATTCGAGATCCAATGAGGAAACGTAACTTCGTGTCTGCGCATTACTTCATCCCTGGCCTTCTCAAGCTGGCTCAGCTGCTTCAACTTTTCGTGGCGTTTTGACATTCGGTTACGTGAGGAGTTTTCCACAGCTGTGTTTTGTTCTTGAATGAACTCCTCCCAGTATCTTGAAATATTTCCCAAAAACAAAGAATTGAGATCCTCTGACTGGTCGTCTATCCATTGCAAAAAGGCAGTGTCGTCCATGCCGACAAGAGCTTCGAACCCTCCCGAAAGACGTTCCTGAAGGGGGGCCGCTGCATGATTCAATATCATAAACAGTTCGGCTGGCTTCTGAACCATGATAACTCTGAAAAGACCCGCAGCAGCCACGCGCACATCGTGGTCTTTGTCAATCAGTTTAGTGTAAAGTAGGTAGCATAGCAACTGTAAGTAGTCCGACTGAGACTCTCCTGCCTGCAAAAGCACAACTTGCCAATAGGATAGGCGTTTGAAAAAGGCCAGCGCATCTGCCCCCTTAGTTTCGGTAAGTTGAATTAGGATAACACGGAATACGTTCGAGTGAATTGTCGCAATTATCTGGCTACACAGCCTTATGCTCTTCAAACTCGAGACGTCAGGACGTTGGAGGTATTCCAGTATTGTTCCCGCGAATTCAAGAGTCGCGCCTGTACCGTCCACAAACCATCCCTCGAGTGTTGCTTCTGTTAAATGAGTTGTGAAACGTCCTAGGTTCGTGATAATCCGTGGTTCCGCCAGCAATTCGGTTTTGGAGAAAACCACGTTTTGCAACGTTTGAAGGAGTTTTCTTAGCACCCACGAGTTGAAATATGCTTGGTGTTCAAGGAAGCCGGGTGGCGTCTTTGAGAAAAGTCCCAGTCCGGAGAAATCCTTCCGCTCAAGGAGCTGTTCTGAAAGTATAGACAATATTAGGCATAAAATCCGTTGGATGAACGGATGTTCAGTCGTTCCCTCAATGTTGACGCTTCCGGGGACAAAGGCATGTTTTATCCGTAAAGGCGCGCCGGGATATTTTCCGCGGTCTGATGACACAAGGATGAAGGACGATGGACGCGGCAAAGACCCACTAGCTCCGTCGCGAGTCACCGGATTTTCAACAGTTGTTGTGTGCAGCTCGCTCGCCCCGCTGGATGTAGGAGGGCTAATGGGGTTCCTATCATCAAGACCAAGGCCACTGATGCGGTAGGACAATTCAATGTCTGCGCTCACGGAATCTGAACCAACGACAACCGGAAACAGGGCCGAAAGCAGATGTGGGATGTACTCGGACTGCGCCATATATTCACGGAATCCCTCGGAATTTAGATGTAAGCCAGCGAGAAATTCAATGATTGTAGCCAGGAGTGAAGCTTCCTGATCGCTAGTGTCGACCGGCATGGAGTAGGCCATGAGAGGCTTAACAGTGTGATCTATGTCGAGTCCATGCGCATCCCCGTGAGCCACGACAGACTTCCTTAGTGCACTCTGTATCATTTCTGTAATAACAGGAAACATCTCAGGGAAGAAGACCTCTGTTTCGTTCCCCATCAATACTTCGAAAAGTGAAGCACAATCAAAGGACTTTTCAGCCATCGCTGTGCCAAGATCGAGTCCAAAGAAAATAGAAAAGCAAAGAGGCCACAAGGCAGGTATATTCCACCATCGTTTCATGCAGCCTCGCATGATAACATACCCACCGTTCTTCTCGTGAAACCTCTTATTATACGTGTTGCCGCTGGTCACAATAACCCGGGCTAGTATCCTAGTCGCCAGAACGACAATTTCTGGCTCGTCCTCACACATGAGATACAGGAGCCACTATGATAGAGTTAGATATGGTACGCCTAGCTCCCACATGCACGTACCTTGTTTGTAACCGTTTTGGCGAATTTTTTTATTGGTCCGAGATCGTGGGTGTCGCAAAGCAGAGAACAAAACATGCGGAGCATCTCAATAGCAACCTTGATGGTTGGCATGCTTTTCCCATCGTCAGTTGAAGGGGGCCGTGCGCCTGAATTAGCCCTGAACCGAATGCTTTTCTTTTTCTGTAGCCCGCTAGGTTCTTTAGGCTTGTGCAGAGAGTACGTGATAAAAAGCGCCAGAGAACGAAGCAAATCCGCTGATAAAGTGTTTTCCATCAGTGAGCTAAAGGCGGAAGTGAAGGGCCGCAGTATTTCTGGCGTAAAGCTTCCGCCTTTTAGGGCCTCGAGCAACTTCTTGTTAACGCCTAGTACTTGTGAGCTAGATATTTCAAACTGCAATCACTTGAAACTTACGCATCCTTGCGAGCCGCTTCGAGTTAAACCGACGGAACTGGCTCTCGCTAGCAAAAACGCAAAACTGTGAGTAGTACAACTCTACTACAGGGAGTTCGCCATGCCTCCAAATTTCCAAATCCACGAGCAATACCCTATAGGCAAGCGGGTTTGTTATGATGGAGCGGTTTAGCTGGTCAAAATTGTACCCAACAAATCTCAAGGTCAAGCGAAGAAGTTCAAGAGACAGGGTAGATCGTTGCTCATTGTTAGAGCAAACAGCGATCGTCCTGGTTGAAGTAGTGAAACCTCCCCAGCCCCAACCAAGTTTTTCCCGTAAAAGGGTTGAAAGAATTGCATACCCATTCTCTTTCTCCATCGCTTCACTGTTTCGCCAATTGTCTTGGACCGCCTCATATAATGCTTCTACCGCAAGAAGAGTGGACTCGACGGAGGTTGCCGCATGGATCAGACTTAAATGTACTGCGGTGCAACCGCCAACCTGCCAACTCATATCATCGAGGGAGCGTGGTGAGGTTATTACCGGGTCACCTGTCAGAACCCCAATGCCATTGGCCTGAGTAAGAGCGTCATTGATGGCAGGGCTTGCTCCATTGACAGCGATTGCGTTGCCACCGGCTTTGGTTAGTTGGTTTAGGTTTTTCGTAGCTTGTTTTGAAAGGGACTTGATAAGCTGGGATTCGTCTGTAGTATTATTGTCATTGTCGTCAAGTATGGACCACGGCGAGACGTTAATGAAGATAACACCCTCGCGAACAAGGGTGCTTGCTTTTCGTCGAATGGCAGTGACAATATCTGATTGTTCTTCTTTACCAGGATGCAGGTGTTCATTACGGAGATTTAATGTTGCCGATGCTCTGTAAGTTTGGAAAGACCCGAGACAATCTTGAAAATTGCCATAATATCGAGGGCCTAGGTTATAGAAGACTGCAATCATATCGTCACTATAGGCCTCACCAAAGAGAAGAGCATTAGCCAGTGACCACCGACTAGACGATACTCCTTTGCCAATTCTCATAGCAAGATCCCGCGGGGTTCCAAGAAAAGCTTGAACTCGAGGCGAGCGGTTCATCGCAGTGGCCAGTGGCGCACATGGGTACTCAATCCTTAACTGCTCGACAAATTCCCCATTTATAAACAAAGACGCGCGCGAATGGGATGATGGCGGTCTGGGCTTCTTGTGGACAACGCAGATATGGTACCACCTATTAGGCTCAAACGCCATAGACTTAAAGCGCACACTTGGGCGTGAGCCCTTGATAGAAGTTTGCAAAATGAAGTTCCTGGTGTCTTTCTCCAGGTACGCTAGGAGAAAACATGTCTGGCTCGAGTCGAATGCGCCGAAAATGGTGGTATGCGTACTGGGATCAAATTGGTCAAAACGTGCCCAGACCGCGAAAGTGTATCCAGCAGATGTAACAGGAGGAAATGAACGACCCAGAGTCGAGAATTCCAAGGAACAAAACCCGTGCAATGAGAGATCAAACTGAATGAATGGAGGCTCTTTGGAGCGTTTGAGTGCATCGACAAGAAACCGCAGTGTCCTCTGGCATTTATGGGCATTTTTGTAAAGATATACGGCATCATCCACATTTCTTGTCCCTTGGGTGCACAATTCTCGGGCAAGATCCTGGTAAAGTAACTTCTCCGCTTCGGGAATAACTTCACTGAACAAAATTGGGAGAATAAGGCTTAATACTCCGGTATCATGCAAGGTCATGACATTTCGTTGAGACATGGAGGCAACCTGGTAGAGGCAAGCTGGTATAGCCAACCTCTGGAGCGTCTGCTCAGGTTTGAATGGAGAAGATTCTTCCAACCATACTCGGAGGAACGGCCCCAGAAGTTCTGACGCTTCAATCGTCTCCGAGTCTCCTATGAGGCGTTCGACTTCCTTCTTAACAGCCCCATAAGACACTTCTGGTCCGTCTGCGCTCTGAAACTTGGTCGTTAGTGCCGTGAAAACATCTACGACAGTTTCTTGACACAAGGCTGCTGCGAGGATACTGCCACAGAGATATTCAACGTCACCTTGGGCAGCATCCAACTTTAGGATTAAGACAGTAAAGGCCTCTTCTAAAGCTGTTTGACCCCCACCGGGAATCCGAGTCGCAAAATGCCTTTTATTCCCCAAGTGGCCCTTCAAACACTCAGCGAGAACGGTCAGGCAATCCTTGTACACCGCCAGCAGACATTTTCTATCTTCCTTCGTTTGTGTATCTGAGTTATAGAGATCGGAAAGCTTCCTGATCAGGCTTAGAAGCGTTTGAAAACCGTTCAGTTGCCGGAATGATTCCTTCGCTTCCTCGGGGTGTGGGTTATCTATCAGTGTGTGGCGGAGTCGGAGCAGACACTCGGTAGCTGCAGCGGTCAGGTTGAAATCGGCAGCATGGTCATCGCAGATAGTATTTAGCTCGTCGACAACTGGTGCTAACTCTGCAGATGAGCGTTGGGTAGGCGAAAAGTGCGGCGACAGGTTCGAAAGGGCCCGGTTCATTGCGCCGCGAAATCTCCCCTGCTACCTATCTGACAGCCAGCGACCATCAGACACAAACCTTCACTTTGACAAAGGTCGGAACAATCCTCATTTGTAGGTCTGGGTAAGCTGTTGGAGGGAATGCGGCGTCGGCGGCGGCGAAGGGCAAAGGTGGAAGGAAAGGCGGGACGGAAAGCCTGTTTTGCCGGAATATCAGCAATTGCACTGAGCCAGGACAACAACAATGGAATACCTGTAGTTTGTGGGTTCTGTTGCTTTCGTCAATCGACAGCAAATCTCCAAATACCGTCGGTCGCCGACAAACGGGGCAGTGTCGTTTGGCGAGAGGCTGAAGCAACGATCGCTCCAGATTACTCAGGTGACAAGCGGGATCCCAGTGTCCCACTAATTCTGGCCAGACTGCCACTGGCGGGCCGCTGGTATCGATAAGGCCTGGCGGCTTATCGCAGCTCCCCAGCTATAAACAAGCTGCTCAGCTCCGAACGGCCATACAAAATAGCAAAAAGGTGTCTTTAATAGACTATGAAGACTGCTTCTCAGGGCTATCTCGTAGTTGCAATATAGCGAGTGGCGGTGGTTAGCACAGTGAAGAGCAACAATAACAACGCAAGTATCTACACCGTACATATATAAATAAAATGCAAGTTTCGGTCGCTTCAGTGCGTCACATAGTACAACCCGACTCCAAGTTGGGTGTAGTTAAATCGATATTAGTGTCATATCAGAGATATTTTTGTTTCTTGTCAGGTGTGCCCCGAGCTCGATTGTGCTTATAAAAGGTGGTTTCGAGCCCCGCACCAAAGGCTGGTGATATCTTCTTGGGACCATCTTTAAGGCAGGTCCCGGGTTTCTATATAATGCTTAATCACCTAAGTGGTTGCAAGCCACTGCATCAAGAAAAATTGACTTTTCTTTTTGGATCACACCTGTATCTTAAATCACTCTAAACTTAGACAAAGAGAATCACATTTCGTGCTGACAAGAATATACTCCACCAATTACTCCGCATTTCCTTCAGGAGGGAGGAGCTCTCCCTCGGCTGACAGTTCAACCAACGAGTCAACAAAATGACTAAATTAGCCTCAGAAGGTGGTAGTCCCGGCACGAAACGAACGATGCCAGAAAATTAGAAGCTCAGCGAGCACAAGACAGTCTGAAGCCAGCTCGCAAGCCCCGAATGCCATCATCGATCATCGGATGGGAGAATGAGGCGAGATCAGCAATCAGCAGCGAAGTCGCAGGCTTGGCTTGGTTGAATGGGAAGTTGGCCGAGTGACCAGTTTTGCCTTGTAACACGCTAAACTATTCTGGTGGTAGGGAACTCCTCCCCAAGTTCCTCACGCCTCCGGAGCTTGCCCTCCTGGTGCCTGGAGCTTGGGGTCTGATGAGTCACCCACATGACGAGAGCGCCTGTGAATGCCGCGCGGCATATTGATTATAGGTTTGCCTCTTTTGGCTCGATTATGAGTTACGGAGCAGAGCTATCCCAAGGACCTACATCGCACATATAGCTGCGCTTGGGGATGCTGCTTGTTGTTCCCCGACTGGCGGTTGCTGCTCAGGTCAGCTTATCAGGCGTGACCGGGACACGTATTGCCGCCATACCTGTAATTGATAGGCATGGGCGGTATGTATTGTACCCCGGGCGCCCCACCTCGCATATCGCGGCGGATCGACAGCCAGTCAAGACCCGATCCGCAAAGTCACCTGTCCCGTAAATTACCGTAATCCGGTTGCATCATCATTCAAGGGTGCAGCTGATAAGTAGCTCGGGCGTCTCCTCCCCATCTTCCTCCATCCAACCTCCCCATCTCCCTCTATCCATCCTCATCTCTCCATCATCTTATTTAGATCGCCGTATCTCTGTTCCAGTCTTTAATCACCGCGGTTTTTTTGTTTTGTCGAGTTTCCCACATTTTTACCGCCCACCATGAAAGGCATCTTCGGCCTTTCGCTCCTCCCGCTGCTCGCTGCAGCATCGCCCGTTGTTGTCGACTCCATCCACAACGGAGCTGCTCCTGTCCTTTCCTCCACAAATGCGAAAGAAATCCCAGACTCTTACATTGTCGTCTTTAAGAAGCATGTAGGTTCCGATGCGGCCTCTGCTCACCACAGCTGGGTGCAGGACATCCATGGGCAGCAGCTTGGACGGTCGGACCTAAAGAAGCGATTCCTCGGCTTGGAATTCGGATTTGGCGAAGAGATCTTTGATGGCCTAAAAGATACTTTCAACATTGCAGGATCCCTGATGGGTTACAGTGGACACTTCCATGAGGATACCATCGAAGAGATCCGCAACCACCCCGATGTAAGTGAACTTCCTGAGCTTATCTGAGCCATGGTTTCTGACGCTGCAGCTATATAGGTTGAATATATTGAGCGAAACGCAGAGGTTCATACTATGGAAGATTCGTCCGTCGAAAAGAACGCCCCTTGGGGTTTGGCCCGTATTTCCCACCGGGACAGACTCAGTTTCGGTACATTCAACAAGTACCTCTACGCTTCCGAAGGAGGCGAGGGCGTTGATGTCTACACGATTGATACCGGTATCAACGTTGATCACGCAGACTTTGGAGGCCGTGCTCACTGGGGCAAGACTATCCCCACCAATGATGAGGATATTGATGGCAACGGGCACGGAACCCACTGCTCAGGTACTATTGCCGGAGAGAAGTACGGTGTCTCTAAGAAGGCAAACATCTATGCCGTCAAGGTTTTGAGATCGAGCGGTTCTGGTACCATGGCCGACGTCGTTCAGGGTGTTGAGTGGGCTGTTGAAGCTCATCTCAAGAAGGCCAAGAAGGGCGGCAAGGGCTTCAAGGGTAGCGTTGCCAATATGAGTCTTGGCGGCGGTAAGTCGAAGACCCTCGAGGATGCTGTCAATGCTGGTGTTGAGGCTGGTCTCCACTTTGCTGTTGCGGCTGGTAATGACAACGCCGATGCTTGTGGCTACTCTCCCGCCGCCGCTGAGAAAGCCGTTACTGTTGGAGCCTCAACTCTCGCTGATGAGCGCGCTTACTTCTCCAACTACGGCAAGTGCACGGATATCTTCGCTCCTGGTCTCAACATCCTCTCTACCTGGATTGGTAGCAAGCATGCCGTCAACACCATCTCTGGAACTTCCATGGCCTCTCCTCACATTGCTGGTCTCCTGGCCTACTTTGTTTCCCTCCAGCCATCAAAGGACTCTGCTTTCGCTGTTGACTTCACCCCCGAGAAGCTCAAGAAGGACATTATCTCTATTGCCACCGAAAACGTCCTGACTGATATTCCTTCTGATACACCCAACGTAAGTTGCTCTTGATCAATACTTATGGAATCCACACTAACCCAACTTACTAGCTCCTCGCCTGGAACGGTGGTGGCTCCACTAACTACAGTGAGATCGTCGCCGAGGGTGGTTACAAGAGCGGCTCTGTGGCTGCTGGCTCCACCACATTCAAAGCCGGTGGTATCCTTGCCCAGGCCATGTAAATCTTCTTGGAGTGAATTTGCATCCAGAATTGGTTGATGTTTTCGCGTGTCACCTGGCTTAAATCTTTTCCGTTGTTTGTGTAACCGTCACTCAGGTAGTGAGTGTTATCTTTGGTCACTTGATACTACATCGCACAGCTCTCATAGTTTGATTTAAACAAATGAAACTGGATGAAACCTCATCTAAATAGTGCTGTCATCGCAAGCCTAATGTAGTCCCGAGATAGCAGGAAACCCCCGGAAGTCCCGGGATCCAGTGAGTATAAGGTCACGTGATGTACTCTCGTAGATCCAGATAGGGCCTAGTGTGGGCCGCATCTATGGTTGTGTTCTCCGGTCGATCCGGAGGTAATCTGCCTTGGATGTCAATGACGGGACCAGGTGAAGATTGCGCATCCAAAACCTTGATCTAGATCCACCGAACGTGCTATGTTTTCCATCGGAAGGGGAAATAAGGGCCCGTTGTCCCGGATTGTGGCATGAGTCGGCAGTCCGCGTCCGCTTCATCCCATCCATGACTGCCGGGAGACCCCATGTCATGATATCACGGTGGCCATTTCTGCAAGTCTTGACCCATCCACTCAGTACATACTGCCATATCACAGCAGTGGATGAGAAATCCGCATCCAAGGGTGGGCATGTTGGGAGGTCCTCCCTGCCTATGAGAGGCGCAGTTAGTCCCAACTTGAGCACGTCGTGATGCAAGAACCGCGTGGAACATCTGCGCCTCCTGGAGTAGATGGCCTTGATTTCCCTCAAGTATAGCTTTTCTGATTGCATCATACAGTTGCATTCCATGCCGTCTTGACGGCGAAGAATTTTCGACAGCCCTAGTGGGCCCCATGTGCCATACAGTTTCTGCTTATATAGGCTTTCAATTCCGCCGTCGATCTGCTGATCTATTTCTCTCCCATCTCACATTCGCTATATTCTTCCTACCCAGATCTACTTACGACCGCTACCCAAGTCATAATGCGCTTCTTCTCTGTCTTGAGCGGTCTCCTGCTTGCAGGGTCTGCGGTTGCTCAGAGCTCTGGCAGCTGCTCCCCTCAGTCGTCAGACGCCGAAGTTGTTGAATACGCTTGGGCAATCCAGAGTTTGCTCTCGGGATTCTATAGCAGTCAGCCACTCAACGAGACCTTCTTTTCAGGTGCTACCAACAGCTCGAGGGCGGAGTATGCCCAGAACCTCAGAGGCATCCAGAGACAGAACCGCTTGGGCGTTCGTGCTATCCAGCAGGTCGCCACTAAGGTTCCTGGCTTCTCGAGCCCATCCTGCAGCTTCTCATTCCCGAGCTCTTCCAGTGGTGAGGAGTACGTGAAGAACGCCCTTCGTCTTGAGGCCGATGCCTCCAGTGCCCTCCTCGGTGCTACCGGCTACACCCAGTCTCCGGAAGTCTCGTTTATTCTTGCTAGGCTGGCCGCGCAACACACTGCGCACGCTACTTGGCTCAAGACCCAGCAGTCAGGTGTTGTTTTCCCGTCAAACAGCTCCTCTCTTTTGCCCGCCTACAACCCCCAGTTTGTTCTCGGCACCGGCGATCAATCTGGACGACTTGGCCAGTTCCTTGGCGACTGCGTGACGGCGCCTTCGAGTCCTTGCGGCCAGCCCTTCTTCATTGGACCTCTCGTCGGCAGCGTTGGAAACCAAAGCTCCGCAGCCCTTGGTCCTGGCCCTGCGCCTTCCGGATCCGCCTCTCTTTCGGCCTCGCCCTCTGCGTCTCTCACTCCTACCTCAGCCGCTGTCTCTCCCACTGCGGCAGCGAAGAGGCGCTTCAGCAGCTAAATACGTTGAAGGAAAAATTTGGACATTGACCACGGTCATATTTGTTGCTGTTACCGATTGGTCTATGTATTTTGTGCATTAATTTGAAGGAGTGATTGAAGCAAAGTGTACAATGCGGACTTTGTACCCTAATATCGTAGATTCTTACTAGGACCTCCCTAGATTAATGTTTATTGTCGAATGGTTTAATGATTGAAAGATGCTCCATAATTGTCCACTTAAGTGCTCGTAGTACTATATATTAGATATAGTTACTGCTCAAAAGGCTGCCATATTTTTAATCTACTCGCGGTTCGCTGGTAGCTCCTAGTGTCTATCTAGCATGTCCAATGATTCAAGCTACTTATTTGGATCCCATTGTTAAGCGGATCTTGAGAAAAGGGTGGGTCAGGTTCTAAATAAATTGCCTTAATTAGACCACCGAGCTCATTTTATATTCTCTTTCTGGAGGTGAGTGTGGTAAAGTGGTTTGGTTCTGTATAGCTTCGCGCTCGCTTCAGCAATACCATGTCCCGTAAATCTCCTCTACAATATCACAGAAACTTCAGTTAAACCTCAGATAATGCTTTATTTACCCTCTTTCTAACGTTGCTCCCCCCTCCTAGCGCATCTCATCTTTTCTTCTCCTTTCTATACACTTGAAGACCAAGTATCCTCGATCTAATCCTCACTACGTGAGCTATAAATACTTCTCTCTCCCCAACAACTATATCTACTCTTTTCTCTTCTGCCATCTCCTTCTCGTCTTTACCTTAATCCCCTCTTCTCACCTATCTGCCATCGTCTACCACTTACAACCCTCTTCCGGAACTACATCTTGATCCTCTATAAATACCCATATTCCTTCTTTCTTTTTCTACTTCTACTACTTACGATTCCTTCAATTATTTTGGCTCCTTCCACAGCTTGACCCTCTTCTACTTCCATCACACTCATTCATCACACTCATGATAAAACCGCCATTGCCCTCTGAACATCTTATACTCCCTCTGCTAATTATTCCTCCGCGCTTTCTCACAACCATAATTCCCTGGAGGCGTCCATCCTCAATCTCAAGTACATCGACTCAACTTTCGGCTTCCATTGATCACTATGGCTGAAGTGCAGCGCTCTCAAACGCTTTTGCCAGACCCAGTGATACTGGCTGCCGCAAAAGATCGAAAACTACCTGAGTATGCTAGGCCAGCCTGTGACCGTGCAAGGCAGAGAATACGTCAGGGAACAGGTGAGTGATCAGCCAATCCAAAAGGTCAATTGTTTGCAGTAGGGACGCTGACAATACTCGATAGACTCGAGTTCTGAAGTCCCACTTCCTGGCTCCTTTGCAGGAAATGACAATTTCCTCGCCTTTCCGCCCCTCCCAGAGATGGATTTTAAAGGGCTCTCTGAGATTGAAGATGTCGATATGCTTGATGTCTTGGCCGGTCCCGGCACAAGCCGAGTAACTGTGTCTCCTCAAGAAGACGCTGGTTTGGATCGAGCGGAAATTGAGGAGTGAGTATACTCTTGAATACAATATATAGGCACCGTTACTAATGCTCCTAGATTTGAATCTGTTGAGAGATGGTTTTATTCGATAGCCAATCCCACCTTGGAGCATAGAGTGCTTTACGCAGCTGCCAAGAGGAAACTGGACATCCACAAGAAGACATATGAGAGCCGCAAAGCCTTGCAAAAACAAGAGCAACTTGAGAGAGCTAAACAGAACGAACAGGAAATTGTCCAAAAAGTGGACAATGAGCTTTTTGTTCATAACGCTCCAGTTTATCCAGATCCGGTCTATAAGCTCTTAGAACTGGACCAGCAACCCGTCGAAAACAACATCAAACCCATCATACCGGCCCCAAGCCCACCTAGAATCAAGAGAAAAAAGCCCCGCCCTCGGATCTCTGCGGCAGAGAAGAGGAAGAGCATGGAAGTTGGGTTTGAACCGATCCATGAAAGGCTACAGAGAAAGGATAAGCGCAAAAGAGGTCCCCGAAAACCTCAAAACACCAGCTCAAGCTGGGAAGAAAACCCTGGTATTAAAGACAAAGGGAATAAGAACACAAATGGTAATTCCATGGTGCCACTGAATTTGAGAACGAATGTAATCGAAGAGGCACATGCCAGCTCCGCGCTTCCAGGCCCTGCAGCCTTCAACGCGACTAATAAAAAGGAAGCCCTGGCCCAGCTTATTTCCAGCATTCCTTGCAAAGACAGAGAGGAGGCGATAGATGATAAAACTCGGCTACAGGACGCACTAAAAAGGTTCACGAAGCGCGTCAGACCTGACCCCGAAGGCGGCTGGAGGATGAAAGGTCTCAAAACGAGCTTGTATAATTACCAGGTACAGATTTTTAGTCCCCTATATGGAACAACTGTTACTAACACTCAGGCCAGGTCTTGGGATGCGCTTTTATGGTCCGTGAGTGCCGAATTCTGGGTGAATCAGACTAACATATACAGCGTGAGCGGGAGAATTCGCCCGAGGATCCAAGAGGTGGTATTCTAGCAGATGTCATGGGAATTGGCAAAACCCTCGAAGCACTAGGTATGGCTAAATGTTGTTGTTTTTTCTATCTCTCTTTTTAGAGCCCTAACATCTTAACAGTCAATATCCTGGATGGCCACTCCTCGGATCCAGAGGATCCTACTCAAACAACGTTACTTATCGTGCCGTCACATCTGACAAAACACTGGTATGCATGCTACAGGTTAACTATTACGGATAGACTTAACTCACGGCCTTCTCAGGATGGATCAAATGCGCAAACACTGTGAGAAGGGGTCCATCGGCAGAGTAATTGAGTATCATTCGAGGGCTCGGCTGTCAACGCTCGATGACGTCGCAGACCTGCAGAGCTATTCAATCGTGTAAGTAGCCCTGCTGATGAAAAATTAGAAAGATTTCTAACTCAAGGTTATTAGAGTAACTACATACGAGCAAATCCGAGCATCCTACCCGACATTCAAACCACCTAAGGAGCTGAGTAATGAGGAAACACTAAGAGAGCAATGGGCCCAGATTTACGAGGAAAACCGTGGTCCTCTACATCGGATAAAGTTCCACAGGATAGTCCTTGACGGTGAGAAAATTTACATGCAGCTAGCATTGGCTCGGTATTAACTTGCAAAACAGAAGCACATACAATCAAGAACTGGAAGTCAAGCGTATCCATTGGGGTTCGTGGACTGGTTGGTCAGCACAAATGGCTTTTATCTGGAACTCCAGTAATGAAGTAAGTTTTGAAGGCCTTGAAGATAGTCAGGTTCATCTGAAATCTACAATGCCGGTTAAGCATGGCTGGGCCACACTAACATTCCCACAGCTACAACGAAGAATTCTACCCTCTTCTTTCCTTCCTTGACGTCCCAGGAATAAAGAACCATGCTGAGTTTATATCATACTATCGAGACGACAATCTCGGAAATGAGCGCCTATCGAATTTACTCAGAGCCTACATGTATCGCCGGACACATGCTAGTCGACTCTTTGCATTGCCGATTATCAAACTTCCCGATATCAACGAAATTAAAATCGAAGTTGAATTTTCAGAGGCCGAGTGGGTGATCTATCAGGCCATTGAGCAAAATTTCTTCCAAAATATAAATGGTTGGTGATCCAAACCCGTGACTGGGAAAGTAAGAATTGAGCACGGCCAGTTAGCTAACAAACCATAGATCTGGGAGCTGAGCCAAATTTTAAGGCTGCTCAGTGCAGATGCTGCCTTACTATGATTCTACGATTGCGCATGTTCTGCAGTCATCCGCTTACGGTGCAACACCTTCTCAAACACCTGCTGGGCTCGGATGATTCTCTGATGGGAGAGCTTAACAAGATTTCACAAAATGGGGATACCGGACATACAGACCCATCAAAGCAGATATATTCCTGGCTTGCCGCAGCCAAAAACGACTACAGGACCCTAGTGCAGCAGCGTAGAGAAGAGCAGCTGGATCAGATAAGCAACAACCACATATTTACAAATAATCCGGTTCTCGTCCAGAGATTTCACGAGCTTATGAGAAGGCTTAACCAGGAAAATGAAATTATTGAGAGATATGACAGGACTGTTTGCCCAAATTGCGACCTCTTTTCGGACAAGACGGTGGTTACGTCGTGTCTACATCTATACTGCGAGGAGTGCTTTATTGAGCTCCAAATGGCGGCCGAGAATGCCGGAACAGTCCCAGGAAGCATTGAAAAACCAAAACCGAGATGCCAGAAATGCACAAACCTCATTGAAGAGGCCACTCGTTGTGGTTTACCTGAAGAGGTAGCACTGGAGAAGCCAATAACTCCTGAGGACCGAAGGCAGATGATAGGGGATCTAATTAGCGGGAAAGGCAGGGCCAGGAAAAATGGTATAGCAATTTCCCGGAAATATCTGTTACTCAGAACTGACTGGCCTCTATAGGCAATCCCGAGGCTGATGACGACGATAAGGATTGGATTCGTGCCTGTGGCGCTAGAATGCCTGGGGCAAAGTTGAATGAAATCCGCAAAATCATAAAAGACTGGAAGAGGTCTAACAAAGACACCAAAGTGGTTATATTTAGCCAGTTCACGGATTTCATCCGAATACTGGCCGATATGTGTCAAGAGGAGCGCTGGGGGTTCCGATGTGTAAGTACCTGGATCAAGAACAAGGAAGTCGAGTCTCTTCTAACCAGGGCATTCTTAGTTATCTGGTAAGATGAAGATTGCGGCTCGACACAGCAGTCTTGAAGACTTCGAGAAGAATCCAGATATCACAATCCTAATCGTCAGCCTCCACACTGGAGGTACTGGGTTAGACATGACGGTAGCACATAAATGCATCCTTGTCGATCTTTGGTGGAATGAGGCCATTCAGAACCAGGCATTCTGCCGTTTACTTCGACACGGACAAACGAAGAACGTGGAGTGCATAAAGATGATCGTCAAGGGTTCGATTGATGAGTATATGCTGAATTTACAAACGAAGAAAACAGAAGACATTAAAAGCACAATGGGCGATGACATCTTGAAGAAAAGGGACACCGTGATCACCCTCCTCAAGTTGTTTGCGGACGTAGATGAAGATGGATCGGGTCGACTTTATGTGAGGCCCAAAGCCGGGCGAAATAGGCAGGGCAAGTTGAAGGAGGCCCTGTCGCTGGGTAAAGCTCATAAAACGGCGAAGTAACAAACTTTGAGAGCATTTGGGAATGCAATTGGCTTTGGCTGGAATCAAGGCTTTGTATATGACTTTCCATATCTACACATCATGATAATTTGAGGATAAAGGCCTTTTCTGATATCCATGCTAGCAGCCTACGGAAGGATATATTAGTAAACAAAAACAATGAAAAGGTTGCCTAAGTTTTTTTTTTTTTTTTTTTTTTTTTTTTTTTTTTTAAATGCTGTAGCTAGCGATGTGATATTGGGAGATCTGAACCTTTTGCTTTGATGACAGAGGAGGGATGTATGGAACGGAAGTATTAATTCCTTAGCGCACTCAACCCTTAAAAGATGTAGAAGAAACTGCTTCTGTGAAGACACTATAGCTCGAAGGGTTTCATGTGTAGGGGCTGGATTATGTCATCCAAAGCGAAGTACAGGTGTAGCCTTGTCTTGTAATAGCAGACTTAGCAAATTCGCATAACAACCTGGGAAGGTGGCCGAGTGATTAAGGCGCAACACTCGATTGAATAAATTCCCTCTTACCGTTTCCAATAATTTGAAAGTTGTAGCATTTGCTCGCTGCCATGTTGATATGTGTGGTTCGGGAGACGGACAATCTCTGGACCGATTGTTGCCTAAGGCAGCAACGGGATTACCAAAACAAGAATCTTAGATTTTTGCGCCGCCGATCCCAAAAGATCGGTATCTGGAAGAGTCGATGCCATATCAAACAGTAACTCCCAGACCACAATGTCCCAAAGCGATGATCGATCCCATCTCGCTAAGCGGAGGAAACTCGATACCTCGCAAGAGTCTGAGAGCTCTCCTGTTATAACCTCTCATACGCAGCTCCGCTCGCTCTTAGTGTTCCAACAAAATGTTGTAGAATCAAAGCAAGGTGAACATTACCCCATCAAATCTACAATGATTGCGGAGGAGCTCATTTTCGTGATATAGGCATAAGGAAATTCAAAGAATTTCTTACGTCAATAGGTCAGACTGACAGCGAGGCTGAGAAAGCCAAAAAGTTTCGCATCCTCAAGGCGTACTGCGACTCGCAGATCTCACGCAACACTGAGGAACCAGTCTGCTTTCCTGATCTGATAGAGACGTGGAGCTTTGCAGACAGCAGTAGCAACGAATCTTTGTTGACTGTTGTCCCCTCGGTTTTGGCGATTTTCATCAAAACCGTCTCTAGCCATTTAGACTTTCGCGAGTTTGGTATTGCCTTGTGCAAGCATTTGCTGCAAAAAGACCAGCTGCGATTATTCAACCGTGGCCTCACTGCGAACAAGTCCAAGGAGCATCTGATTTCACCCTGTCTCCGCCTGTTGACTGAAATCGTCGGTTTTGATGGTGGCGCTGTCGCTCGACAACTGTATCTCGCGCGACACATTACTTTCAAGCGCATTGACGTGTTCCTGACGCCAAATAAAGCGCAGCTGGAGGATAAGTCTGATGATCTAAATGCGTCTACCTTGAGAAGGAATGCTCAAAGATATGTTCTTGCAAACCTTAAATTTCAAAATGCTGCCAACAAAGCCGACATCATCGAGCAGCAAAAGGTGATGAGAGCGTTCCTTGAGCATCTCAGGAAGGATACACGGGATATCGTCCTCGATATCATCGGAGCAATTGAAAGAGACATTGTTCAGGATAAATCTCTTTCTCGGAACACCAAAACAAAATTCTTCAGTCGATGGAACCTGGAGAGACTCGTCACACTTTACGGTTATGACCGTGAGAGTGAGCAGGAAAACACTACCAATATCTCTCTTGCCGACGAGACACATAAGCTTTTGATGACAGTCTGTACCAAGACTGAACACGGTGTCTTGCTGCCTGAAACTGGCTGGTATCCGAACGGCAGTGATCCAGAAACACTACCTGTGGACGATGATGCCTCTATCGACCTGGGCCTCGATTCTGCCGCTTATGTGGACAAATATCGGGAAACTGTCCCTGTTCGTAATGGAACTCTGTCGTACCTCATTCAATCACTCCGTCCCGAGACCGATAGTCTCCAGATTGCACTACTATTAGCGATTTTCAAAGCAGCCCCGGAACTAATTGCTGACTACTACACTAAGAAGACTATGTTTGTGGCGGACCCGAAGCCCACACCTTCATGGATGGCAGAGTCCACAGTTCTTTTCTCTACAGTCAGCTTGCCCGTCCCTACCAATTGCGGATGGAAGGATAGATTACCTGCTATGCCTCCGCCAGTCTCTGTGGCCATCGAAAATATTTTGCCCCGGGCTCTTACGCAGAAAGTACTGACCCGCTGTTTCAACATGAACGCCGAAATTGTTACCCTTTTCGCAGTCAGAATCTTGACGATATCTTTCAATAAGCTGCGGGCGGTCCTGAAGACCTTCAACTCCGACCATGGGGTTAGCCAACCCCTATGGGCCCAAGCCACAGATAAGTTGATTGTCGAGTTCTGCAATAGGTGCCCCCAAGTGAAGGATGTCGTGACTTTGTTCCGAAGAACGGCCAAGGATGATTTACAACAGCAGGAGGCAGTTTCAGAACTCCTTGCTTGCTTTTATGAAGTTATTCCAGATGTTGCCTTTGAGGAGGGTTTCGATGTCTCGTTAGTCCTTGTTGATGTTTTGAAACGATTGGATGAGGGAAATCTTGGATCGGAAGACTCTGAGCTCCTGATAAGTCAATTGCAATCCATCCTCAAGATCGCTCAGCAATCAGCATCTCTGCGTTGGTGGCAACAACCTGGTAAGTATTTCCGGGTCACGCTTACATGATTGAGAGCAATATTCTAACACCAAAGTAGGATCTATGCAGTTTTCTGCTTTTACTTCAATCCTGAAAGTTTTACTCAGCGCTCCCTCGAAAGATTCTTTCAGAGAAATCGACAAGCTCCTCAGGAATGTGCTCACAGAACATTCGGTGATCCGCCCTTCGTGCTTTTCAGCGCTTCTGTCTAGCTTTGAATCATCAGACTCCGAAACCCTTCAACACCAGCTGGCATTCTTCGACAATTGTGCGTGTCGCATAGCCAAGAAACCTGTCCATTACTATGATCTACTTGGGTCTTTGGTGGACTCGTCGAAGCTGCTCAGCCCTCTGGTGGCTGCTGTGATTGAACAATGGCCCTTCGTTCTCAAATCTGGAAGTGCAAGCAACCAAAAGCATGTGGGTGAATTTGTCGTCAGCTTGCTTAGGAAACTCCACTCCGCTGGGGAGAACTTATCAGGGCTGAAAGCAGCCCGGGACGAGCTAGTCAACGTTACCGAGGACAAGAAGCTCAAATCACGTTTCAAGAAGTCTATGAAAGGAAGTGAAGAAGCTGAACAAGACGATCAAAAAGAAAATCTTCAGTCATCTACCCAGACGCCATCAAGTTCAAAGAAAGAGTGGCAAGATCTGGATCTGGAAGAAATCTTTGGCTCTCTACCGGCCGAGGGGACTACCCACAATGAACTATACCGATGGGAACAGAAAGAATTGGATGTGTCCTTGGAACAGGGCCGTGTGGCAGAACTCCTGCTTTGCTTGTCTTCTGAGCACGAAGAAGTCAGACGACAGGCGCTTCCGAATATTTCACGATTCATGATGAAGCTGAAGGTAACATAACCAACCCACCCACCTACTTTGAGTCTCAGTCTAGGTACTAAGATGGAGTACAGGAATCCAACTACCCTGAATGGAGGACTGTCTATATTCTTACCGGAGAACTGCTCGAGACGGTGAAACAGATTGGAGTTGACTCACCCGTTCCTTGGATAGTAGGAGAGTGTGCCTCCAGCTGCCTTTCGGTCCTTCTGAACCCAATGCATAAGCTCTACGGAAAGGTCAACAAGTTCATCCAGAAAGCGCCTTCGTGGGGGGTAGAGAAGATCCCGTCCTATTGGATCGACAAGATCTTGCTGCATGAACCGGAGTTGGATGATGGTTATTTTGAGGAGATTACCTGGTTGTTGGATTTGCTCGTCAAGGGCCTGCGGACAGAGAGGGTATGCTCCCCACGAACACTCCTAAATTGACCACAACTAACCGATCATCAAGGACATGGAGATCTATCGCCGCGCCAATGTTTTTGAACGAGTATTGTCATTCTACGAATCTCCGGGTGCTGGCTTCTCCGCGAAGAGAAGAGTTTTGCATCTGCTATATCGCTCGGCTCAGGTCAAGGGTGGCACAACGCTTATTACAAGGGCGGGAGTCGTTAGCTGGATCCAGAGCCAGCTCCCAGCAGTGAGTGGTAGGGATGTATCTACCCTGACAGCTATGGCAGACTCGCTATTCCAATCCTCGGACCATGACCGGGTTGAAAAGTGGAGCGGAGGCACAGTGCTCCGGACTGTTGAGCACATCACTGTTTGAAATTGGACGGTAAAGAATAATCGCTGGAAAATATACCCATATAGCCTACCTAGTACAGCTTATTAGCATAGAGCTATGTTTTGTAATATACATGTTCCATACTGATCTGATGCTGTAGTGCTGTAATCTTGAGTAAATAAACGAAATAAATTTCAAGTATTCATTCCCACAAACAACCCGAACATAATAAATAACATAGTGAATGAGATAGAGGCAGCTTGGTGTGCTGGTGGTCACTACGTGGACCACCCACACTGGAGTGTTGTTCCAGTTGGCCGTTTTCTTTCCTCTTTGGGAGGCGCGAAACTTCAGACTTCGCCAACCTTTTGTTCATCGCCTCACCCCCCTTCCACCACCGCCTATTCCAAGCCAATTCATTCGCCCTGGAGCTCTAAGCCCGTACAGCACATTGTCCTTCTGTTACAAATACCTTGAATCGTCTACCACACCAATTTCCCACTGCCTTTCTCGCCTCTCGCAGGTTCGGCAATCTCCTGCCCCTCCTCATTCTCACCTCAACCTCCAACCTGACCGATACCGAACGACCGACAAATCTAACCTGACCTCCGCGTCCACCACCTGCTCTGCTGTTATCCCCTGCGCTCCATCCTCTGATCCGCGGATACCTCTACGGACCTCCCTACTTTTTCTCCGATCGGGCTCTTTCTCCCTGCCCCGTCGCAAAACAGCACACTGAATAACCGGCGGCAATACTTTTCTTTCTGACTTTTGACCGATCGGAACCAATGAAAACTACGTGAGAGATTGCGAATAATACATCGAGCCTTGCCATCGTCATGGCGCGACGATACGATATCGATGAGCTGCTATGGCTGCGCTCATCACCACTGGTCACGAGGCCAGCTAACCTGCCTCCGGCGGAGGACTGGATGGGGTATGGCTTCTCCTATAGACTTCTTCCCCGTTGACCCCTACATGTGTTATATTTCTTTACTTTGTCGGTGCTGACTCGATTGGTCCTACTTAGACCGCCCCCTGATCGTACAGCGCAACGAAACGCAAACAATAACCACAACGAAACGTCAACTCGGCGGCCAAGCATTTTCGAGACTCGTCACATTTCTCGCAATTCAAATTCAGGTAAGGCGATGTCCCAATTAGCGCTGCCATACGGCTTTGACTGTTGGGGTATGTAAACATTGGATGGGACTAATCTGATACAGAGGATATCGTCCTTGGACCTCCGAAAACCGCCTTCGCTTCCGCATCTCGCATAGCCGGTAAAGGCTCGATAGATGCCACGGAGAGGGGGCCTATCAGACCTGGGGAATCGGATGATCCGAAGAATGACCGTTTCAACTTTCGAGACAAATTTTTCAAAGAACGCGATGCTGGCGACAGAGACTTCGCGGGACGTGAGGGCAAGATGGGAACGTTCAATAACCGTCGAGGAGAGAAGGAGGACTGGAACAACGGCCGCCAGCGCCGCACTCTAGGCCAAGAAGAGCGGGATGGAAAACCGAAGCGCAATGGAGAATTCGATAGGTGGGAGCCTCGTGATCCTCGGGACCCGAATGCTGAGCGCGGTGCAAAGGACAAGGATGGCCGGTTCTTCCCTCGCCGAGAGGTGCCACCGGGCCGTGCTAGACACGAAGCGAGTTGGTTCCGTGAAGATAACGCAGAAGATGCACCTGAAACTCAGGAAGAGAAAGCTTCTGTGCGCAGCCGGGACTGGCGCCGTGACAGACATGGTGCTGACCGGGACTGGGCTCGGGGCGCGAAGCTGGAACAAGAACCTGAGTGGCTGGATGCGAATGACCGGGATGAACCAAGAAGAGTGCACACGCAAGAAGATTTTGAGCGATGGAAAGAGAAAATGAAGGCTGGATCTTCCCAAGCCCAGCCGGAAGAAAGCAAAGAATCCTACATTGGGCAGACATCTGAAACTGCGCAGAGAACAGAGACAAGACCTACTGATGGCGAGATTTTTAGTCCTACTGGTGCAGCACTCCACGACACAACAATGGAGCGATTTTTTGGCTTGTTGGGCGAGACAAAACCTGCCCAAGATATGGGACCGCCCGTACCGGCCGAACCATTGGTGAAAAAGGAACAACCGCATTTGGCGAAACCAGGAAAATCCTCCCGTTTCGCAGGCCTATTCAGTCCTCCGATAGGTAGCCCTGCAAAGGAGCCCGAGTCGCCGATAAGCGCGAAGTCCCCTGCTCCCATGAACCCATCCACTGATGCCGACCAAGAAGGCTTCCAGCGCATCTTGCAGATGCTTGGTGGGGGTAGGTCACATAATGCTACGCCCCATAATGACTCTATGCAAAATCTTGGATCATCTAGCCATGCGTCCTCCCTAGTCCACGCGGAGCACACCCGAAGCCCAATTTCTCCTTCAAGAGAGCAGGGCCAACGGCCAGAGCAAATGCCTATTCAAGATCATTCTGCACGGATCACGGATCCTTCGCTGAAGGAGAATTTCTATAACCAGGAGCCTCAAGGACGAGACAGCCAGCACTTGCTTCGACTAATGCAACAAGTCAGAGTGAGCCCTGGCGCTGGCCCAAATCAGGGTCCCCAGGGCCAACCCCAGAGCGCCGGACCAGCTCCTGGATTGATGAGTATGCCTGATGGCATGCCTCATCCCCCAGGAATTGGACCTGGCATGAAGGGACCGCCAGGTTTCCTGGATGATCCCGCAATTGCGGCGATGCAGAGACCTGACGTAGATCAGCTTCGACGACGACCTACCAACGGGCCACCGATTGGCTTCTTTGACGACGTCCCATTCCCGCAGGGAGCCCAGGTTCCTATTACTCCTGGCGGAACTCGTGCACCTCAAGGCCAAGCACCGCCGATGGGCATTCAACGTCCACCCGGATTTGAGCACATGCCCCCTCCCGGATGGGCTGGACACCACCTGTCTCCACAACAAGCCGGCCCACCTGGACCTTTGGCTCCTCCGCCAGGTATTCCCACGCCGAACAGGGGCGTTAACCCTGGATATATGCCAAATGTGATGCCGCCACTTCCTGGGAATTTGCCAATGAACGAGCGTCAGCCTTTCCCTCGTGGACCTCCTCCACCTGGAATGATGCCGCCTCCTGGTTATATGAACGGTCCTCCTCCCGGCGGCTTTCCCCCGATGCCACACAACGGAGAGAACCTGATGGGACCTTTCGAGGGTAACCCCGGTCTCCAAGGTGCCCCAAGCTCCAGGCACTTGCTTGACATGTTTGGGCAAGCTGGCATTGATACGAGGGGTGGCATGGTTGGACCCAGGCAATTCCGATAAAGTGGATTACGGGAAGCAGGGTTGATTGACTGTCTATTTTGAACTATAGCAGAGTATGTCTTTAAGTCATTAACACTTTGGCTTTCGCCTCGCGGGCCATATCCCAATTCTGCAGATCTTTTATCTCTGTCCTCAATGGAGGATCGGGCTTTTATGTCTATCCAGTCATTACCCTTGACTTTCAGGAGCGAGCCTGTGAGAGTAATAGCGATCGTTGATATCTCAGGCCATGTACACGATATATTGCGATACTCATCTTTATCTAGGCCAGGATAGTCAATCCACTCGTGAGGTCCACATTTTGTCTTTCTCCTTGTAGTGTTAAATTTTCTTTCATGAGACAGTAGCAGATTTCTCATTGCCTTGTGCAGAGTGCAATCATCAAAATCCTGCAACTTACCACCTGCCTCCATTCACTGAATACTTAGCTCCCTACCCATCAATCTTTCATCCAAGCTCACTTCCTGTCCCCGCAATTTTCATCACAAGTCGCGTGTGCGACTTTGCGAGGGGCATAAATAACTATCCCAGGTGGGAGTTCACCACGAACTGTCCGGGGTCAATAAAAAAGATGTATTCTGCCTTCCATTCCCCTTCTCTGCTATCTCTCCCGTCGACAGAAGCACTTGGTCATCATCAGTTGCAAGCTGTGAACTTCATAGCTCACTTATTTCCTTTTCTCACCCCGGCTTTCCCTACGATTTAGCTAGTTAAGCTAACACATGCCCTCGTATAGGCAGCACAGCAGCCGAAATGATGGACGAAATTGAACTCCAACTCTGCCTACACATTGAAGAGCAGATCGTGGGCTGTTCTATGCCTCCTCCACCGTTACCATCGCACTCATCGTCAGACAATGCTTGCAGAACAGGTTATAATGATGGACCGGATCGGGGACACATTTGGCAAGGCCAAGGGACACCACCATTTCCTGGGGTTCGGGGGAAGAAGCGGTCTGCGGGGTATTTAGGGGATGGAATTGATGACAACGATGAATGTTTTGGTGAAGAAGGTAATGATAGGGACGGGCTTGCTTTTCCGAGGAGTGGATCGTTGGGACATGAGGATGGGTATGAACCCGGGAGTTATCTACGACGTCCACCGAGGAAGAGAGTTCGGACTTTGCTTGCTGTTGATGGTAAAGATAGGGCGCGGACTGGTGGTGATGACGCTTCTGCACTTGGTATAGACGGGGTTGTGGCAGATTTTGGGAGAGTGTTATCAACATCGGCACCTCTTCCTGATATTGGAGGGGACCACGATGGCAACACTCAGCATCCGGATCATGCCTATAAAGAGGGTATACGGCCCGTGGACATGGAAGAGGATATGGATACTGATTGTGATGTTCGAACGGATACTATTGAGTCCATTACGTCTCAATCCCCGGCTACACGCAATACCTTCCAGCGCCCCCAACCGCCGTTCATGGAGTTTCTCGAGGGAGCATGTATGCCCGCGTTACTAGATAGCTTATCGTCGCCGCGAGATGAGAAGGATCATAGCTCTCATCAGTTCTTGATCTACGAAGACCCAGGGGACCTGGATATCGACGGCGTGGGCTTTTTCGAAACAGGCTGGTATCTCTCACCGGAAGACGATAAGGAAAATATAGAAGAAAGAGATCAGCAGCAACATCAGCATTCACGCGAGCGCGAGCACGAGCACGAACACGAACAGGCCAACGAACGCAACCAAGATCCCAACTACGACTTCTCATTCGATGACCGAGATTCCTATCACCACGCTCCAACCACTGAACAGCACAGTGATCATAACACCACGACAACCCACAATCAAACCCCGATAGGGCCCACAGGGTACGAAAGACGACATTCCCAGAGAAGCCCCATCACACCCTCAGCCCATCCAAGAGAAGTCGAATTCAGTGACCGCGGCAGCAGAGACGGCGCCCAATACTTCTCATTCCTCCTGAGCGAAACTCCTCAACCTATAACGACTAGAATAGATACCTTGGGACCCGAATATACACTGCCCTCTCCTACTTCACTCAGCGCTACAGAGGTCTCATTGCGTGCTCTTCTTCCCAGTCAGACAGCGGAAGGCGATAGTCCGACACAGCCAGAGAGCAATACGCGGTCTCTCCCTCGCCGTCATCGTAGGGTAAATCGGTTTTGTTGTTAGGCGCATATTGTATGTGTATTTCCTCAGCTAAATGCTAGAAGGACTAGTGATTAAATTCAAAGTTTTGTCGCTTCAATATGGGGCTCGTGGGTAGTTGGGTAGATGGCCTTCCTAACCAAGTCAAGAGGACCAGATCTTGGCGTTGTAATTGATATTTTGACTCAAGTTGGGAAAAGATAATGGTAATTAATTCGGTTATATCCGCTGTCTGGGCGTCATCCGACCTTCACCGTTTAACGTCAAATGCCGATCAAAATCTCCCATCCAAAGTTCTGATCTACCCGCTCGCTAACGGCTGGTTACTACATACGGAGCGAGACTACAGTTTAAACGCAAGGTATAGATAATAACTCGATCAAATGCCATCCACTATATACATCTAAATACATTGAAGATGAAAATTATTCTAACGGAGTAAAGTACCGCTTGAAGCGATCAGTGCCGGTCAACCCGAGCTCCACAATCACCCAATGGCAGCTCATCAGGAGACTCGGGAATCGCACGGTCCAGAAGTTCAGATACCCCTCGGGGAGTCCGCCGATGTGGGCCTTCAGAGGCTCGGGCATATCGTTGTAGTGGTTACGCTTGTTTCGGAGTGCCCGGAGCAGATCTAGCATTTTGGATCCTGTGTACTTGCGCTGCTTGCCGAGGCTGTCTTTGAAGTCTCTAGGGAGCAGTTTCAAGAAATCCATGTCCGGGCCGATGACTTCGGGAGACACTGACTCTAGACACAGGAGAGCATCAGACGGCGGGTCTCTCGGTTCAAACTCGAAATGGTCAGAAACGTCACAGAGAAAGCTGAGGCGGTCTGATGGCTCCCAGAAGAAGGGGTGAGTCAAGACAGCGCGTGCGTCGGGGCTGATGGATATTAGTACGATGTAAGAAGAGAAGAGCTGCAGGAAACATACCGCTGACGAGGATCAAGAGATAACATCGACCGGATTAGATCATCCGCTTCGAACGCATACTCTCCAAGATGCTGGAGTTCATCAAGGTTGGGGTTGCCCTTGATGATGTTCGCCTCGCGCATGAACTTGCCGTTCTTGTCAAAAGGATGGCACCCGCGAGTGAGGACATAGTAGAACACGCATCCCAAGGAGAATATATCAATGGCACGAGTAGCTCGTCGATTTGTCTGAGGATCAACGACCGCCGGCTCGGACGACTCTGTATGCTGAGAATCTGAGCCCTGTATGGCCGAGCTTTTCTCGTCGTCCACCAGCAGTTCAGGTGCTCTCCATCCAGATGTACCAGCAGCATGAGCTGTGGTTGCCCTGAACGAGCTTTGATTGTCCTCGAGTTTCTTGCACAGGCCAAAGTCGGAGATCAGAAGGCGAATGGATCGAGAGCCTGTACGGCCTCGAGGCGCCGCGACCAAGATATTCTGGGGCTTGAGGTCGCGATGCACAATTTTCAAAGAATGGAGGTAACGGACACCGGCGACGATTTGACGCAGGACGTCCGGCATGTCCAGGCCGCCATTGACCAGTTGAGGAAACGCTGTTGGCCGTTCTACCACGTCCTGCAAGGAGGCAGGGCACAGCTCTAGGGCAATGTAGAAGAAACCCGCGGCCTGCTCTCGGCAGTAGTACCGAATAACATTATTGTGATCATCACTCTCTTGAAGCAAGCCGACCTCGTGGGATGCAATGTCGTAGAACTCAACAAGCATGCGTTTGACCGCGACATCTCGGCCATCAAATGACCCTCGGTATACCACTGTACCGTGGCTTCCATGACCGAGTACATCAGTTGTGAAGACCTTGAGCCGGCCAATTTGAATCACGCCGTCCATTTCAATGACCTCATTAGATGCGGTGCGTGTCAATGACAGCCCAGTATCTGGTCGAGGTGGCGGTTGCAGGGTGCCATCAGCATGGTCGGAGTCTTCCTTGGTACCATCGGGCTTCTTCCCTTTCGGTTTGTGATTCTTGCCACCACGACGTCCGCGAGGGCGCTTTTTCTTCGGTTTCTCGGCGTCCTGAAGAGAGAGTTCTTCCACGTCATCGTCACCATTCGGTTGGCGCGATGGTTCGCGGATACGAACCCGCGGGGTGGTATCAGGCGCAATAGAGCTGCGTGATCTTTGCTTTGGTGTCAAGTCGCCGTCATTGCGAGATTCGCCAACCTTAAGATCAGCTGTAACATCGTTGACCGCACGGACAGTACTCGAATCTCGTTTTAAAGAGGATGTGTCAACAAGTGGCGTGGAGGGGGCGGATAGAGGCGGCTGCCCGTAGGCGGAGATGATATTTTTTATGTCAAGCTTTTGCTTGGCCAGTTCTTGAAGGTTGTGAGAGTTGAACCAGATAAAGGTGCCAAAAAAGAGCAGGATGAGGGTGACAACGATATCAAGGGCGTTATCCCAGCCTTTGCGGATGATGGTACTGTGACGGAGAGCTGGTGGTAAAGCTGCATCGGATGGGCTGCGGATAATCTCTCGAGGAGTGTCGTTTGAAAACTCCGACGACGAACCTGAAATGCTGGGAATCTGACGGCGGGGGATCCGCGGGCTATTGAGGGAATGGACACCCGCCAATGCGTCTCGCTGCTGTTTTGGGGACAAGCTCATAAGCGGTTGTCCAAGGCGGAAATAGTCTTTCTCGTAATATTGAGCCATTTTCGCTCGCCCAGTCACAAGTGGGTAGGTATCCTCAGACATGGCATACCAGCCGCCACCTTCGGTGTAATCGATAAATACACGGTCATTACGATCATCAAGTGAGCCGTAATCGGGGTCTGGGGGTTGTGAAGGTTGGGAGAGAAGCACGAGTGGCTGTGAAACATCTGGAATTTCAACGCTAACCGGGCGAGCAACGTCAAAAACCCGCACAACAGGCGAGGAAAACCGCTGGGTATAGCGGGGACGCTCCATCTGAGAATGGTCAAAGCCCAAAACAACCCCGTCATGCATACTGTAGATATGGTTTTGGTCCATTGTCCGAAAGTACTGGCTCTGGAGATCAACGTCACGGTTGTTGGTCGTCCACTCGGAGTATTTCAAGGTGCAAATCGGGTCACCAGTTTCCGTGTTCTGAATAGCCACGGCATATTCAACTCGACCTAGAACTAAAGTCCCCGATGAGGACTCGCAGTCATCGGATTCCGCATCGAGGTCGTCAGCCTTACGGCACTCCGGCCCAGATGGCATCGGGCCCCTAGAGCTAAACACTCGCAAAATCGAACCAGTCCGAGCATCAATAGTATAAAGCGTCGTCTCCTTCCGGGCAGTATAAGTCACGGCCGGTTCGGTTCCAGAATAAGGCGTCTCATCCACGAGCTCCTTCACCGTCAACCCTAGCTGCTGCAGGCCAGCATTGGGATCAGGACTGAAGATATAGAGGCTGCCATCTTGGCTTGGCTCGACAATCCAGATGAAGTCATCTTCTGGTTGAGTACTGTCAAAGCTCGAGCGATTCGCTCGATGGTAAGTGCTCTCGACCGTCGGGCTACTGGGGACCTCGAGGGCCCAGCGGGGAGCACCGGTCTTACGGTCTCGAGCGTGAATACTACCATCGACGGTCGCCAGCAGAACAAAGTCCTCAACCTCCCAATCTTGCAAAGACCGCGCGTTCAGCTGCGGGGCCAGGCCAGCAGAAGCACTGCTGGGCTGGCTGGGAGGGGCTCGAACGGCGCGGCCGGAGCCCGCCAGAGCCAGGGTTGCTAGGGCGCTCGCATCGTTGGATTTCACGTTCAACGCGGAGGGGGGTGAAGAGGGAACGTGACCCGTAGGCCTTATGGGGACGGATACGGTGGAGGGGGCATCGTGATGTTCATGCAGCTGCTGCGGAGCGACAAGAACAGGAAGCAGGAGGAGTGCGACGCTGGCGGGGAGAGTCGACCGGGCACCAGGCAGCCGCCACCGCATGCTGAAGGGCTACAATGCGGACAGGCTTAGGTCAAACGACGGCGTTGCGGGGGAAGGCGTCTCATCGGATGCGAGGGCGAGAAGGGATTTTATTTCGAGCGAGAATCGACGATAGAAGGTGTAAGCGGACGGAGGAGAGAGACAGAGGGAATGTCCACAAAGACGTGAGGAATGTGGTTCTCACAGCCGTGGGCGGAGCAGCGTAGAACCGGTGGAACCGGAGGGCGGTCGTCCAATGGTGGGCCGGTCGAGAACAACGAGTAAACGTAGGCAGTGGAGATATGACCGTATCATGAACAGAGAACGATGGCCTCGATAGAGAAGAGACTCGAGTCGAGACGGAAGAGCACGACAGAGCGAGGGTGAGATGCAAATCAAGAACAAGAGGGAAAGGATTGTGTGCTCCTGGCCAAGGGGCTTTGCTCACAGACTGGCCTGTGAATGGACGGTTCCAGAACTGCGCACATTGACTCAGCCGCTAGCTCCCTTTGGACTAGCCTGCGTCACAGGTCATTCAGGCTGCCAGGCATCGGCATTACTCTTCATTATCGGTTCCATTGATCTATTCACCCGACCTCGCTGACACTGTCCAGAGTACAGTCATCTACTTGAAAAAGCAAAATCTATCAGTTCAACCTATGACAAATACTTCTCAAAGAAATCCGCCAGCTGTCCATATCTGCATTCACCTATTAGCATCCAACCAGTATTCGAGGTTGCACAACTTACCCTCGAGTATATTCCTTCAGACTGGCCTCCTGCTGAAGGTCAGCCCTTGCCCCCATCCACCCATGCCACATATCCCAATAGGTCTCCACAAAACCACCCAGTCCCTTCCTCTTGATAGCTTCATCATACGCCTCAACTTCGTCCGCAGGCTCATCCTTGGATGCAAGAATGGCATGAGGAATCGCCAAAAACTCCGCATCTTCCTTGGCCATTCGTCTATAAAGCACATTAACTCTATCTAAAATAAAACAATACAATGTACACCGGCAAAGAAAGGAAGGAAGGAAGAAACTCACCCAGGATGAACCTGCACCGTCCCACCAAAAGGCGATCCCTCCCCCGAGCTCAAGGCCACCACCTTCCCACCCCAACAAAGCCCATAGGCGCCCCATTTCTCGACAGACGGGAAAGCAGCCCTATACGCATCCACAACGCCATTGATCCCCTTAGCCGCGTCCGCCCACGATGCCTTCTCATTAATAAACGCCATCAGCGCCGCCGTCTTCTCCTCCGTGTCTGGCGGGACCCACTCGTGCTTTGCGCCGTCGCCCTTGAAGAAATCGGGGATTAGGACGAGGGCATTGAGGCGGGCTGCGAGTAGGTCGGCACCTTGGGTGGTTTGTGGGGAGTTGCCGAAGATGTCGTAGATTGTTAGGATGGCGGTTTTGGCGGTCGTAGGGCCGGTTACGTCTATTTTGTTAGTACAGTGGCCTTTTTCAAGAGACTTTGTGAGTAGGCAATACAGGTATCGTAGTCTAGTCCGCCGATGGCAGATGAGGTTCCTTTGGGTGTATAGCCCTCGGAGATAACCGGCGGGATGGTGCGACAAGCTTCGCAAGTCATTTTGCTGCTGATTGGTATAAGCCTATATGAACTGAAATATACAAAAGATCAAGAACGTTAAGGAGAAAGAAACTGAAAGCCATAGGCATCCACAGATCTATATAAAAGTCCTAGCCCCGAGGGTTATCACCGCAGTGGTGCCGTTATCCGGGCGTGATGAACTATTCTGCGCTATGACCGTCATGCAATTCACCAACAGTTTACAGCCCTAAGCACGGCAATGGAATGGATCCCCAAAAAATCTCGCGTTTCGTGCAGGTTTTGCGTCTTTCTGTGGTCACCGGCGGGGTTGGATCTCGGGGTTTACGACTGTTAAGACCGATTCCCCGTCCCTTACAGCTCGAGCCGACTACTCTGGACGTATACGGATATGCACTTTGTTGCGATTTATCTAAATTGGGACCAATTGCGGTCGTTTTAGACATTGTATGTTTACGTTGGTTCGTAAGAAGTGTGGGAAGTTAGGGCTGCCATAATTGTTCTGAACTTATAGAATCATGGATACATGCACATCACAAGTACGTATGACGTTAAACCACAATATAAGGGAATGCTACTAGTCAAGCCAAAGTCGTAATTACACCTTCTCCTCGCGAATCTCAGTCGTTGCCTCTTTTGGCTGCTCCGGCTGCGGCTCGTCGATCTGCTTATGAACAACGGCAGCAACCGCGTTGGCCTTCTCCTGACCCTCGAACACTGCACGCACATGTTAGCATCTGAGCAAGTAGGAAAAGCTAAAAAAGAGCTTGAACTTACTGAAAGACAACTCTTCAAGTGTGCGACCCTGGGTCTCCGGGAAGAAGAAGTAGATGAATACAACCTCGAATCCCAACAAGCAGCAGTAAAAGAGCAACCACCTCCACGATATGTTTTCGAGGCCAATAGGGTTGACATAGGTGGCGAAGAAGGTTGCCCCACGGCCCCAGAACTGGAACCATGAGAGGCCGCGGGACCGGCCTAGATACGGGAATATTTCCACCAGGTATGCTGTGATGCGAGGTTAGCTGAAAGAGAAAAGGCGCCAGGAGGGAAAATAAGGGGCTGATCGTACTGTAGGTTAGAGCATTGTAGCCCAAGTTATATGCCGGAGAGTACAGGAAGATGAACACAATGGTCGCAACGCCAGCCGCGCGGGCTCCTGTTTCAAGGAATCTTGCCATCGAGACGGTCCAGGCGATGTACACGGATAGCATGGAACAGGCAGTGGTGAGGTACATTATTCTACGCTTGAAGCGAGGCGAGGTCAGAGCGAGGGTGGTTCCGGTGATAAACCCCCAGCATTGGATCCCAACGTTGATTTTCGACTTCACAACCGAGTCCTTGATGTCCACAATGTCAAGCAAGTCACTCAGATAGTAGCTGTACTCATTAGCACCCGCTATCCTTTTCTTTCAGTAGACAGGTATACTTACGAGATTAAAGTATTCCCAGACCATTGAGTGAACAAACCGAGAGCGGCAGTAATTAAAAGACGGCGGCGCATACCGGCGGTGCGGAACAAGTCCCCCCAAGTGTTTTTGGCGTCCTCCTGCTCGATCCTGATTGTTTTCTCGATCTGGGCGATTTCAGCCTTCACAATGACAGAATCACGATTGCCTTCGGCATGGTATTTGACGAGGATCTCGTGGGCCTCGTCTGTTCGGTCTTTGCTGATCAGATAACGAGGGCTCTCGGGAAGGAACCTAAGCAGCAGATTGGTTCGTTAGCGGCGATAAAGCTTAGTGAATAACGGTACATACATGACAAAGACTATCTGTACCATGGCCGGTGCTATTTGGAGTAAAGACGGAGTTCTCCAGGCCCAGTCCGTCTTGATATTCACTGTGCCCAAGCCCACCGAAGCGGCGACAATCGAGCCGATAAAGTAGGACGAATTGAAAAGCGAAGTGAGGAAGGGTCGTTCTTTGGGATACCCCAGCTCACCGAGCAACGAGGACCCGGCAACAATGCAGAAGGGGATGCCGAAACCGAGGATAATTCGTGCGATGCAATACATAGCAGCTAATATAGTTTAGCGTTGTTCTCATTGCGATACAGTTAATTCACACCACGTACTTCCGTTGGAGAACCCCTGCAGGAAAGCCCCCAGTAGACTAACTAGGGAGCCGAACATAATGGTCCATCGACGGCCAAACGTCTGGTTAACCCAGGGCACAAAGGGAAGCGAGAGGATAGCGCCGAGGGAATACGCAGATGCAAGGAAGCCTTTGAGTTCACTGGCAATCTTATAATCCGGTAGACCATCCTCCGTTAAATCGCCAGTGTCTTTGCCAAAAACTGCCAGAGGTTAGCCAAGCGAAAAGAAATTAACAAGTGCAAGGGGCTCGGCGAACATTTGTTCCAAGTATACACGATCTGGACAACGTTGATGATCTGAGAATCGAAGCCGGATGTGATTTCAATGCCCATGCAAGCCGGGAAGAGAATCAAATAGAGACTCCTCAGGTTAGGCTTCTTGTACCATGGCGTGCGGTCTTCCTTGATCAACTTCTCCAAGACGGGCTCCGCGACATCCTCCTCGCGTTGCTTGCCCACGACGACCATGGCGAGTTAAACAAGGGTACCTGGGTCTTGAAACGAATATTCAGATGTTGAATAAAAACCAACGTGTTTTCCGAAAGGAAAAAAAGGGCTTGCATGCTGGGTGGTCCACTGAATTATATACCCGAGGGAGCTATACCGAACTGCCGTTCCAGCTACAAAATAGCAATTTGAAAGAATGTGCATTGGTGCAACAATGTTTAGCCATGGTCGAATGAGAGCCCTTGACGGGTAAAATCCCCGTCCAAAACATGGAACGTTCGACAGGACGCGAGACAGCCGGCTCCTCTCCTTGATGGATCCGGCAGCGTTGAAGCTTCCCCATGGGGTCGTCCACTGGGTGCGAGCCAACCATTTCAAGCGAGCCAGCGCCAGAATTTGGGCCAAGTCAGGGTCCGAGACCGTAGGGCCGCCACGAGCGGAACAAGCGACGCCGTTTGGGTTTAGATGCCCAGCTTTGTCGCACGCGCGGAGCTGGCTAAAGCTGGAGTTTAGCCTAGGTCGGGGAGACACCCCGAGAGCCTGTGCTTCATTGCAGAGTTCGCATGGAAATCTGTTGCATCAACACCACAACGAAAACCAAGCGATGGAATCCTTTGAGTTTGGATGAGTCTTGAAGGAGGCCCGAGGGGAGTCCACAGTGTTGACCAGAGAGAAGTTGTGGTGGCCGAGCGGACGGCGGACGTTCGCCGGAACGAGCAGCTGTCAAGTGTCAGTCAAGCGGGGCGGCGCTCTCTTAACCCCTCACTGCAGCTGCATCGCACCACACCACCTCGTCCTTATCATCGCTATTAAGAACCCCCAGCTGAGAACCATGTCGCACTCGCACTCGCACTCCCACGACAATATCGCCGACCATGGCCACTCGCACGAGATCCTCGACGGCCCGGGCTCCTACATCAACCGCGAACAGCCGCTGTACGAGGGCCGTGACTGGAGCGACCGGGCCTTCACAATTGGGATCGGAGGGTATGTCGTAAAGATATCACTGAAGCTGAAGTCGAAGCTAACTGGAACAGCCCCGTCGGGTCAGGAAAGACAGCTCTCATGCTAGCACTCTGCCGCGCCCTTCGCGAGGAATACAACATTGCGGCCGTCACCAACGACATCTTCACCCGGTGCGTCCAGTCTTTACTAACCCTGCTCTTCTAATGACTCAATTTCTGATATCAAACAGCGAAGACGCCGAGTTCCTCACGCGCAATAAAGCTCTCTCGCCCGAGCGCATCCGCGCCATCGAAACAGGCGGGTGCCCGCACGCCGCCGTCCGCGAAGATATCAGCGCCAACCTCCTCGCCCTGCAGAACCTCCACCGCCAATTCCAAACCGACCTCCTCCTCATCGAGTCCGGCGGCGACAACCTCGCCGCAAACTACTCGCGCGAACTCGCCGACTTCATCATCTACGTCATCGATGTTGCTGGTGGTGACAAGGTACCCCGCAAAGGCGGGCCCGGCATTACAGGCTCCGACCTGCTGGTCGTGAACAAGATTGATCTTGCAGAGGCTGTGGGCGCGGATATCTCGGTGATGGAGCGGGATGCGGCGAAGATGCGAGAGGGCGGGCCGACGGTCTTTGCGGTTGTGAAGAGGGATGAGGGCGTTGATCATATTGCCAACCTTATTCTCAGTGCGTGGAAGGCTAGTGGTGCATATGAGCTTAGTCTGCAGCGGTGGAAGAATGGGGGGCAACGGGGATCTGGAGCTGTTGATGCTTAGGTGGGAACCCTTGCCTATATGTTGGTTAAGCATAGTATCATGAATATAAAACGAGGGCCTTTTCACTTCTATTGCGAAGCACTGCGGCATAATTCCCCACTGTCTTCAGATGTACAACGTTTTACAGATATGATTGGTAGTCACTAAAACAAGAGAATTGCTCATAACGAAATAGTCGATCCCATTCCTTCCAAAAATTGAACGAGTGTTAATACATTCCACAATCTTTGATATTCGAAAGAAAGAGCCTTGTATTGAACAATACCAAAAATCCCAGTATCATCAATTTCTGTTTTTTATAACCACAACAAAAGAAAATAAATATATAACATAGTCCTCCTAAGCTGATAGACCCGTGTATAAATGTCCCGCCATACTTATGCAATGAATTGTCCTAGTTCAACAATTAGTTATATTACAACAAGTCAAGATAGCCCGCAGCCACGTACTCATTCACCCTTACTTAGTCCAACATTCATAAGAAGCAATCGCGTTCCAGCCCGAGGCATCGCACTCTCCGTCTGAAACCTTGCATGTGTACTCGTCGCCAGGAAACGGATTGTAGCAAGCAGTGGAGTAAAACTTGCAGTAGTCCGTTCCTGGTGCGGGTATGACCACCTTGCATAGGTTGTCGCTCAGGAAGCCGCCGACGTTGGTGCAGCCGCCTTCGCCGTCTGAAATGGTTTGCTGGTATTGGTTTGGGGCGCATCCGAACCATCTCACGATCGTGCTGGCGCTGGCGGCGGAGATGAGGGCCATGCCGGTGACTGCGGTGCTGAAGGCCTTCATTTTGTTTGGTGGAGATAGGATTGGTTTTGTTCGAGGTGTGTGGTTCTGAGGAAGTGGATGAGGTCAAGTTGAGATGTCTGGTGAGTGCAAGACCTCATATTTATAATATTCCACGCTCGTGTTTACTTTGTTGATCGTCTCTGGAGACGTTGCAATTTTAGAAACGACGTATACTTCCGACAGTGCTTGCTCGTATACATCTTGTTGATCCTGTCTTGGCGAGGTCGCAGTGTATGGGGTATATCTTTGAGAGTCGGCTATGCTCGTATTCAAGATCTACAGATGCACTCGTATTCAAGCTGAAGATCCCCTCTTGGCAGGGTAGCAGCCTCACAGTGTACGTACCTGATAGAAGCCTTCACTCGTGTTCAGCCTGTTGATCTTCTCTCGGCGAGGAAACAATCTTTGGATCTTTAATTGGAACAGTCCTCAATACTCGTGTTTGACTTGTTGATCTCAGCTTGGCGATGTAACATGAAGAGTCATTCAATAGAAACAAAGGCTTTAACATGCAATTTTGTGAAGTCTCAATGTTGAAGTCATCTATGGATCTTCCACTCCATCAACACCCATCGCCACAAAATGGTCTTGGCAAAGATTCATACACAGAGTAGTATTACTATAAGGTCGTATAGAAGTCTCATTGCCTAACCAATCCCCGTTGAATTCCCACAGGGAGAGAAAGGATTTCGGACTTCATTCCTGGAAAGGCAGTTTCTCGGCAACTGCCATGAACGTACCATATGCCGCGAGAAGACCCAGCAGAAGGGGCTGTGATTGAAGGAGAGAGCCGGGGTTGCAGCGTTCATGACTCGATAGGCCCTGCCAGACACTCAATTGAACGTTGTCTGAGATTGTTGTCTCAGCCATATGGAGTACATACGACAACATGTGGAACATAGGGCTTTCGTCCGCGCAGCCCTGATCAAAGCGGGATTATCAACGCGGGTCAAATGTAACATGCTCGAGTCATACAGCACAGTACATGAGATGGCAAGGCAGCGGTAGCAATGCTCAGTATCATGGGTGGAAGTGCAGGTCGCAGGCGTTTTCGCGCCAATTTTACAGATCCTAGAATCAGGTTATATAGTGATACCCGATTGTAGAGGTTTGCAAGTAGGGCTTTACCTGTACCATCCATCCCCGAAGACAGAAGTAAAGGAGTAAGATGAGTAGAACAGTAAGATATATATTAAGTTCCAGCTCTAGTAGCTATAATTCAGTTAGTATATAAATATATTACTGTCAGGGTATTAAAACATACAGAGGGGTGCTATTATAACAGAATAAATTGACCGAGAATCGAAAGCAACAAGACTGCAGTAGCGAACTGCTGATAAATGAAATGCTGAATGACCTACAAATATGAGATACAATGCATGAGGGGTCGGCGTAAATATATAGCCCTAACAACTCAACATCGAGTACTTTTACCATACCTCGGTTCTATTATAAGACAGCAACCTACGGAGCAGAATCTCTTCGAACACACCCTAATTAGCGTGTGTTATTGGAAATCGTCAGATCGTATGTATACTGGCCACTAGGAATATAACTCTGAGTGTTCCTGAGTCGCCAAGAGGAATTAAAGTCCGATGAACCAGGGCCAAATATACCATAATCAGATGAGCTTGACCAGTTTTTGGCTTAGTGATCAACAGTAATAGAAGCTCACATTTACACAGTTCCGTGCAGCCAGCTTCTCTACCCAGAACAGCAACCAGTATATCTCCACCTGGTGTATTCATCCCGAGCAGTCTTCATCCAGTGACAAACGATTCTCGCATTATGGTTCTCGTCACTATTCCGGCAAAACTGCCATTAAAACAGATGCAGTTCATCTTTAGTAAGAACAGAGGTTGAAATATATATCACCTCGAACAATCAAAATCCATCACGTCTATATTCAAAGCCTGTTCTACAATTTCTAATAAACAACACCCAACAGTTACAGCGACAGCAGCAGCGGCAGTGAAAAGCGATAACATGCCAATAAAGGCTGGCAGGGCGACAGGAGCATCCGATGAATAAGATACAACCCTCCCCTCCATCTCTCACCACAACTCAAACCAAGTATACTGTATGCAGTTTAGAACAAATCCGGTTCCTCGCAGATGACGCTCCCAACGTGAACGGGCTCCTTCTTGCTCGTGTGCGTGCCTGGCTCGAGGACGACAGTTATCCCTGTGCACATTTGGCCTCTGCGTGATTGATATGTTTATTAGCATTATTTTCTTCCCTTTCGCATCTTGCAATATTCCGGGGGCAGGTAGGTAGGTAGGTAGGCAATAGGCAGGCAGGCAGACTCACGTGAAAACGCGACACTTCTTCGTAATATGCAATGTGTGGACTTCCCTGTTGTAGAAGATCTTGTTAGCTATTACTTGACCTGACCTTGACTTTACTCAAGTGATGGTCCATGATCCAGATAGAAGAGAAACGGTATAGGTAGAGAGACGCACTCCTTGCCGATATCGTGGCAGTCATCCAGCGGGACGACAACCGCGTGGCTCTCCTCTCCTGTTTCCAGACCGACCTATACAGGGACGTTAGTCTCGTTTGATTTTCGATTAATTCGATTGCGACCGGATGATGAATTTCAATCAGATGTCAAGAGACTCACCGTTGTCATTTTAGCCGCTGTGGAGGAAACCAGGGCGAAGAGAGCGAGGAGGGAGACATTTGCTGTGACGCGCATTGTGGATTTTTAGTAGTAATTCGTATGTTGGTGGACTGAGGATGAATCGTGTACTGTCCTACTGGGCCTGAATCGACATTTATCTCAGTGGGAAGGGGGTGAAGAAGTCGAAGCAGGTGAGAGACGAAGGAAAGGCTTGCAGCTTGGACAGGTCGAATGATTGGCATCCCTTGCGTCGACGCATTCCGTTCCTGAGAAAAAAATTCGTTGGTCCAGGAGCATTGAGTGCAGGATTTAATATCTGTAAAATATCTCTTTTATTTTTGTTTGGAGAGTGTATGTTCATGAAGCGTTGATAATATGTTCTGTATTCTTAGATGTGGTAGCCGTATAGGGCTCAACTTGGATAGCCTCATCCCAGCCCAAGCCAAGAAAAAAAAGAAACAAGAACCATGTACCATGCTCATCACCACAAGCAACTATCAACCCCGTAATATCGGAATGAAAATATACTGTAGATGGGTACTACCCAAATTAACGAGGGTGAGCAGCCGCACCGTCCATATACTGCCTGCCAGCCTCGCCAACCAGGCCGTTGAAACAACGTTCTCACCTCAAAGCCAAGCCAGCTAGACAGTCGGTAGTTATGTAGAGACCTCACTTACCGACACAGTACCTTGCCCAGCCCATGCATTGCCGACGGTATACACATGCATACAAATGCCTCGAGCCGAGTCCAATCAATCAGTAATCAATCAATACTAATCAACCAAGCCAAGCCGCTCGACTCGCCCATCCCGGCCAACAGACCATAGACGGATGTCCGGAGTCAGGCCACACCTAATGCACCATCTCATCATATCCCATCCCCCCGCGGGCTCCGTCTATATGAAACATGCAGGTACCGGTACAAACTAGAGGCGCAACTAGACAGGGCACTAGAGGCGCCGGTCCGGACACGCGGGTGGTGCCAGAGTCCATCAGATGCCGGTGGCATCCCAGACGTCGGATGGTGACTTCATCCCGGGACGGGGGGGAGCGAGATGCATGTTAAGTGCGAGCGTTGCTGCGGCGGCGCTCGAATGGGAGTTGTCCCGGGGTTGTGGATGGGCCGTTATTTGCTCGGTTGCTGGGTTGGTTGGTGGGTGTGCCGTGCGTGCGTATGCAGACTGCACTGCGGCCGTTGTCTAGTCTGCTCTGCTTGCAGGGATGAGGGGTGGGTTTGGAAGACAGCGTTGTTTGGATGGTTCCCCTGCATTATTTAGTGTATTATGGCCTGGGTGTTGTTGAGGACAGGATAGAATGAGGAGTTAGTATAAAGCGATAAACAGAATGAGCATAAAAACAACGAGTAAAATGAATAAATGATAATTCATAAAAATAATTCATAAAATAACAATGCGGGGGGGAGTATCTGAATTCTAAAGAGAAAGTCAAAGCCGAACAGCGCTGGCAAAAACAGAAACAGAAAAACAAGTTTTGGCCAAAACTCAATTCGAGACCCAAGTCCGACACCAACCGAGACAATTCTAACAAAAATATACGAAATTGGAGTCAGCAATAATCGTGGCAGATCCCGCTGCGGACGGACTCGTCCATGCGGCACTTGCAGCGCTGCAGCAGCGACTTCTCCGGTCGCAAACAGGCGGTATTTGCGTCGCTTGGAGACCGAGCGTCATACGACCAGTCGTCGAGCCCCGCCCAGTGCGTCGAGTACCACATCTGCAGCGAGCTCCAGGGGTAGATGAACCAGTTGCGGCCTGTCTTGGTGTCGTTGAAGTACTGAAACAAAAGGAAGTCAGTTGGAGTGGAGATAGCACCGGAGATACCAGGGGAAAGACGTACTGTGCTACACGAGTCAGTAAAGACGGTCTTGTCGATGGCAGCGTGCAGCTGCTCGTTGTAGCGGCGCTCGCTGTCGTGCTTCGGTTCCACGGCGGAGGCGCGGCCTTCGAGGATGGGCCGGATGACCCGAAGGATCAGATGTGTATAGCTAGTCCAGTCAGTACTATTACCGTGCGGTGTGGCGGATATGAATTGAGAGAGAGACCTTTCAATGGCAAACAGCGTGGAGGTGTGCGCGCGGCCGCAGTTCGGCCCCAGGATATAGAAAAAGTTGGGGAACTCATTCATGGCAACGCTGTGGAAGGCCTCGATGTAGCCAAAGTCGTCCCAGTGCTGGGCCCTGCTGCGGCCAGCTCGCCCGCGCACGTCGACGTCCCAGTGGGTCAGCGAGAAACCCGTTGCCAACACCTGCAGGAGGTCAGTCTGGGTAACCACTAACCAACCGCCATGGCAACCAAGTGGGGAAAGGGTGAAGAACGAACAATGGCATCGGCCGGATAGCTTCGCCCAGAGCGAGTCAGGACGCTGGACTCGCCAATGCGAACGATCGGGTCGGCCGTGAGCTGCAGCTTGTCGTTCTGGAGACACGGGATGTATTTGGCCTTGTCGAATACCCTGCGCTTGCAGCCAATTTCGTACTGGGGCAGAAGGAGCGGCCAGTACTTTTCTGTTATTCAATCGGTACCGGGTTAGTCGGTGGGTCTGGACCTTCAAGAGCGAGGCCAAAGCAGCAACTAACCTGGTGCCGATCCTGTCATGTATTCCTTGCTCTTGGTGGCTGCCACCAGCCGGCTGCGCGACCCCTGCTCGCCGCGCCCAATCATGACCAGGGCCGTTTCCAGGTAGACGAAGAGCAGGAAGCGGAACAGCAGCAGGCAGCCTGGCAGCCAGCGGAAGACGGCCCTCCAGAAGGCGCTGATGTCGAAGTTGTCGTTGGGGACGTAGTACTGTGGGGTCTGGACCAGTTAGGGCTTGCATTTGGTGGGCAGTAATTGGTGACAATGGCCTTGTCCCTCGTTCCAGTTTCCGCTAACTGGAACAGTGGAGAAATCCCGACTGTCGGAAGTGTCAAGAGTCAAGACTTACTCGGATGAACTGGGTGATCGTCTTGGTTTCGTGGATGACAGCGGGGATCACCTGGGCCGCGGAAGCTGCATCAATCAGAATAAATCATAAATAAAATAAGAAGAAAAAGGAAATAAGAAAAGAAAAGAAAAGAAAAGAAAGAAATACCTCCGTTCCCGACAACTACGACATCCTTCCCCCGGAGCGAAAGATCGTCTCGCCAACGGGCTGTGTGGACGATCTCGCCACGGAACGAATCCACACCAGGCAGATCAAAGGAGTTGGGATTGACCAGCGCTCCCACGGCCGAGATCAGGATCTTGCACTCGTGCTGGAACACCGTGCCATTGACCAAATCCCGCATCCGCACTCTCCACGTCTGCCTGTCTTCCTGCCATTGCGCCCCTTCCCACTCCGTCTGGCACGCGACGTGCTGCAGGACCCGATACCGGTGAGCGACCTCATGGAAGTAGTCGAGCACCTCCGCCTGGCTGGGACACAGCTTGGAGAAGCCCGGATGGGGCGCGAACGAGAGACTGTACAGCGCTGCCGGGATGTCGACGGCGCAGCCGGGGTCTGCTTGTTCCTTAGTCTCAATGCGGCTGCCACGGAAAGAAAATGGGCAATGGTACATTTGTTTGCTGACCAGGTCCCTCCAACCTCCTTCGACCGCTCGTAGATTGTATAGTCGAACTCGCCGAATTTGTCCTGCAGCTGGCAGGCCATGGCCAGGCCGGAGAAGCCAGCGCCAATGATGACCACCTTGCTGTACTTTGTTTTGGACATGCCAATTAAGTTGGCAAACAGAAACAGAACAGAAAAAGTAAAAACGTAACACGTCAAACGTAAAAAAAGTAAAAAGTAAAAGAGAGACGGCGGGTCGGTTTATGTACCGAGTACGAAGGTTATAGACATTATCTAATGGGCTAGTCGGTTGTGTTATAGCGACAATAAAGTTACAGTAGTGGTCAGGGCGCCGGCAGGATTTGCACTGAATCAGTGAAACGCGAGCTGTGGATCAGGCAACTTCATAATCAACTGTCAAGCAACATCGATGATATTAGAATTGAAAGAGGTCTGATAAGGCATCCAGAGATTCTTCATCCAGAGATTCTTCAACCCTTGACGAGTCTCATCTTATGAGGATACAGTCGTTGGCTCCCTGTCAGGATAATTCACGAGCAGTATCCGGGACTGAAATTACGAATGGCGATGGATCGACTCAGACCCGAAAACTCTTCCGGTGTCACTTCACTGACTTCCTCTTCCTTCCATCTTCCAAGAATCAACTGCCCCGCCCCGTTGGCAGGCCCACTACCGGCTCACCTTGAACCGTTACCGAGTACTTATATCTCTCCAGCTGCCCATCGGTCAGTCAACTACTAGATGCAGTAACACAGTATGGACGCGGTTTTCGCCCTCGGCTGTGCTCAGACGGCCATCCGGCTCGGCCTCTCGTCTCTGACCCTGGCAGCGCTTCTCGCGCTTGCTCTGCCCGCCTGGCTGCTGCTCATCTGTTGCTCGCGCTCGCTGCACACCCCCCACAAACAATCCAACTCAAGGCAGATCTTCCTCGGCCGGCCTCGCCTGCTACCCACTCAGGTCTCCCATACCCGCCTCGGGACCGGCCGCTACAACTACACGGTCCCTCACTTCCTGGTGGGCACGCCCGTTGGGCTGCAGGGCCATGTCGGCAGGGTTCTCTCTGTGGACGAGCCCGGGTCCCGAACCCAGACTGCCGGGCTCATGCAATATCTGTCGCCAAACCTGGCGTCGTGGTTCACCGTGCATGCCCACCACCACCTGGACAAGGGCAATGACGCACGCGGGCTCCAGGGAAAGCTGCACGATTTCCTTGTGTCACAGGTCAGTCCTTAACCCAGTTCCAGTTCTGTCCAGTTCCTGCTCCACCGCTCCACTTCACTCCTGCAGCTGCCCCAATCCAGACTCTTGCCTTGGGTCTAGCCTTAGTGGTTTAGTTGACAGCGGGTTCGCGCTGACTTTCCCTAGGGCCTCTCTCCCAGCGAATGGCCCTACGCTTATTTGATCACCATGCCCCAGTTCCTCGGGTACCAGAGGAACCTTGTCTGCATCTGGTATCTCTACTCGGCCTCCCGCGAGCTGTCCGCGATGATCATGGAGGTCAACAACTACTGGGGCCAGAGGAAGATCGCCTTTAGCCGTTTGACCGGCGAGACCGCTCTGTCTGCGCCTGCACCGTCTGCACCGTCTACACTATCCTCTGCAGAAACCCACCCCTTCTACCACTCCAACCCCCGCCATGCCTCCTACCGCGGCACCTGGGACAAGGACATGTTCATTTCCCCCTTTGAGAAAGTCGAAGGAACCATCGCTCTCCGGTTCTCGGACCCCCTCGCGCCCAATACGCCTCTCCACATCACAATCACCCTGCTTTCGCCGTCCGGGAAGCCCCGTTTGATTGGCCGTGTCTTCTGCCCGGATGACGGTGACCACGACCCGATCGACCCACTGGCTGCTTCGTACTGGAGCATCCTCCGCTTCCTCCCATACTGGACGGGAGTGTTGGTCGTCACTGAATTGCTTATCATTTATGCGGCGCTGCGGATCCGCGCAAAGGGTGCGCCTATGTTGTCCATGCCTGAAGTGCGGCCGAACAACCACCCGCGCGATGAAACTGATATCGAGCGGTTAGTCTATATCCACATAAGAAGGAACAAACCTAACATAAGCAGGAACCTCGAACCTGCCTTTAGGGCATATCTCAAGCACCTCGTCGAGTCATCTCAGTCACCGTTAACACTACACTACATCCCTTCTAAATCTCATGTTCTCGAACCAGAAACATTCACCTCAAGCCCAAAGGATACCAATGATATAGCCCTAACAATCCAAGTCCTAACACCCAGCTTCTACACTTCTTTCCCTCTTTACACAGACCCTTTGGTAGCATTCGCAACTGAATCCAAGCCATCTCCCGTCCCCTCTGATCCCTCTTCCCGCCGTCTATACATGTCACATCCTGAGCTCTTCTTTAATCTCCTTTCACTCAACACTACTTACCACAAATCTCCCGCGAAACAAACAGGCACGCAGTCATTCAACCTCAAAACAAAACTATGCCACTCCCTAATTCCCCGTCTCCGTGAAAACCTCAACCTCAACCCACCCAATTCAACGGAAGAGAATAAAGAAAGTGAAGAAGAAGAAGAAGGGAAGGGATACTTCCTCGACACATTCATCCTCGCCCCACCCAACACCACCACCATCACCACCAAGTCCCTCCAGGAATCCTACATCACAGCACTCTGCGCCCACCTGCTCGCCACGAAATTCGCCTTCGGACTGCACCAGCTCTGGACCTTTTACGGGGCCGTGGGCTGGTTTGTTGTGTTCCAGCTTGGACTGTCGGTGTTTTTCTTTCGGGTGTTGCAGGGGTGCTCGGGGGTTGGTGTTGTTGGGGATGCGGTGCTTGCTATGGCGTGTCATTGGATGGGGTTAAGGCTTGGAGGGGGGCTTGGGGGTAGTTTAGTTACCTGGGCTGGGGTTTGTATATACATATATAAGATGACAACTTGATGGATATAATTTATAATGGACATAATGATATGACGAGATAGTGATATGATTGACTGATTTATGAATTGACGAGTGTGTTTTAGTATCTATATTATATTGTACATAGTCATCCACCCACCATACCTTACCTATCTCACTTCATTCTCCATCAATGCACACCGAGAAAAAAAACCCAGACGGAGATTAATCCTCCAAAGGCCTCACCCCCTCCTCAACCATCTCCGCCGCAACATCCTCAACCCCACGCATAACCCGGAGGACATTCCCCCCGATAACACCAGCAACATCCTCCACACCCACACCCCGCCGCAACAACTCCCGAATCAAATCAGGGTACTTGCTTACATCCTCCAGCCCACGCACGGCCTCTCCCATCCCGTCAAAGTCCGACCCGAGTCCGACGTGCTTATACCCGATCATATCACCCACGTACTGGATATGGTCAGCGACGTCTGAGAGCGTTGCGGGTTCCGGATCATCGCGTTCGCTGCCGCCCTCGCTGCTGCTGCAGCGCGTATACTCCGGGAAAAACGTAACCATAACGACGCCGCCATTCTCAGCAAGACGGTGCAGGATATCGTCAGGGACATTGCGCGGGTGGTTACACAGGGCATAGGCAGAGGAATGGGAGAAGAGGACCGGTGCCTTGCTCGTATCTAGGGCATCGTGCATAGTCTTAGCGCTGACGTGCGCAAGATCAACAGCCATGCCGAGGCGGTTCATTTCGAGGACCATGTGGCGGCCTGCAGAGGAGAGGCCGTGGTGGAGGGGCTGGGCTGGGGATGCGCTGTCTGCGTATTCATTGTGGCAGAAGTGCGTGAGGGTTGCGTAGCGTACGCCCAGGGAGTGGTAGAGGCGGAGTGTGGATGCGGAAGAGCCGATTTGGTGGAGGCCCTCGATGCCGAGGAAGGAGGCGATGCGGGTGGTGGAGGTTTTGAATATGTCCAGGAAGGCGGTGGTGTTGGGGACGAGGGTGAGATGGTCGGGGTAGAGGGTTGCGAGGCGGTGGATGAGGTCGATCTGCTGCAAGGTGTCGTGGATGTATTCGTAATTGGGGGATGGGGAGCTTTCATTGCTGGGGGAGTTGCGGTTAGTTCCTGTTGATATACATGCGGTGAGTAGACGTACCATGCGACATAGACGCTCCAGAATTGGCCCCGGACGCGGCCTTTCTCTAGACGGGGAAAGTCGACCTGGCCGGGCAGTTCGATCTTGTCGGAGAAATTGCTCTGGTAGATGTGGTTGTTGTAGTAGCTGCGGATGAATTCCGCAAAGTCATTGTGGCCGTCTGGATGTCGGTTAGTGTCAATCAAGTACGGTGTTACTCCGGTGTACGGTGAACTTACCAGTCAACGGCTGCAGCTGCAGGACCTGCTCGACGGGATCGACTTTGGTGTGACACGGCGAAAGATGGGCGATGCCATAGCAGGCGACCAGTCCAACGGCAACCAGGCCAAGCGCGCGCCGTTTCCAGGCGGACGGCTCAACGGGCTCAACGGCCGGTGGGGAGGACTGGTGCGGGTGCAGATCTGCAGCTTCTTTCGTCGGCAGTAATGGCTGCATCGTGGCGGCGACAGTCGACTACCAGACGGGAAAATTGGCGGTGATGCTGTATTGTACAATGATGCATTGATAGGCCGTTGATGTCAGCTGTCAGCGGGCCCGCACATGATCGTGCGGAGTTGACAGTGACACAACCGTCAGACTCCAAGCCAAGACGCTGGTGCACGAACGACTTCCGACCTGCTTATCTACATGAAATCCCGCCACCAGTTGGCATTCCTTCATTGGTCAATCGATATTACCATGTGGAGAGAACCTTGGTGTGAGGCAGTCTGCGAGCCAATCGCCCTCGTACTTTGTTGCTCGCGCTCTTCGTTGGCTCTGAGTCTTGCGGCACTCGGACTCTCCTGTTTCGGTCGAAGCTCGGGGCCCTTCATTAATCACCACTCAGCTGTCAATACTTGGCCATCGATTGCACGGACTCCTCTGGAGCTTTGACAATCTGCAAAACCAAGGTAATTCAGAACTTGAAATTGAGCCTTCACAACTACGGAGTACAGAACGTAAGGGTTTCTACGATCGGACCTCTGTAATCTGCGTGTCAGGGATGAACCAACAAGGGATACTCGACCAAGTAGGTGGGAGGAAGGGATACCCCCGAAATCCCCCAGCTCGCGCATTCCTCACTCCGATGGGCAGCAATGCATCTGAAAATATTTCCGGGGGCATTCATGATGCAATCATACAACAGTCGGAAAGTTGAAGACCCCAATTCCAGGAAACCCAATGCCTGAGAGTGGAGAAGCGGAGGGCTGACGCCACACCTTTACGCCACAGTGGCGGTACAGTGTGGATAGTGGACAGTGAGCACTGAACAGTGGAACTGGACCGACCGTGGCAGTGGCTGGAAGAGGCGTGCAAGAGGAAATCTCAGCCGAGCTAGCGCAGCTGCAGAAGCCCGAATGAGACTCGTGTCCGAGCAGTAACCTTGGTTCTGGGAGATGAGAATTGGAAGGGTGGTGTTCGACTCCACGATCCAAAGTTAAGGATTTTCAAAGTGCGAACATGCCAGGTAATCCCGTGGTTCATGGTCGGCCAAAAAAAAAAAAAAAAACCTTACCGGAATCGCCGAGGTTCGTGCTCTCCCGTGTTGACTGTTGACTGTTGAGCAATTCGCAACGCGGCTCAGATAATGGAGATCAACACGAGAAAGGGCGGGTTGAGTGCAGCCTGGGATTTCAGCTTCAACCATTGAACTCAGCGATGGCTTTATGAAAGCCAATCTGGAGAGCTCGCGCAGGAGCCTGCCTGACAGAGGTCAATCCTTTAGCTCATCGTCCAAAATAGATAAGGCAAACGTCGATCATCCAGCATTTCGCAGGGCTTTCTGATTCCAGGGAATAATCCCTGGCCGATCGGATTTCTCTATCTGGCACGCCGGAATGAGCTGTCATGTGATTGCGTGTTGGCAGACGTCACCTTGAGCAGGGAAGATACAACATGAATGGTGCAACACTGGCTGCTGTGTTGACGCGAACAGTGGCAGATGATATCAGGACCAAGAAGAGGTGGACAGACGACGGTGTCCTCTGGCACTCTGGAAGCTGTATCCAGAGAGAAAGCAATTCGCCACATGGAGAGAGAGACGGCGCTCGAGTCGCACTAAGGGCGCGCTAGGGGACGATCTATTGGAACTTTGATTTGGATCTCACTTGAAAGATCTTTCCGCTGAGAACGTGTTCGCAATATCCTCAGTCAGTCAGTAAGGCTTCAGGAACAGCCATCGCTCTGTTATGTTGCTGTTGTTGTCTGTGCCTGTTCCTGTGCCTGTCCTGATCCTCTGGGCACCGTAGTAACTTGTTGTAGCGTGCAGAGGAGTCTCGGTAGGCTGGCAGTATCGACGATCGCACGGCTGGATCGAGCCAGACTTCAATTTCAACCTTGCAGCCGCCGTCGAGTCAAGTCGTCATCACCCTCTTTTGTTTCATCCACACATCCCTGCGACCTGACTGGCCCAGAGCTGCATTCCACTCTTTTCGCTCTCAAGGGCTTGCTTTTTCTCTCTGCGTTTGTTTTTCCTGCGTGGCCCTCTTCCAGTCCAGTCCTGGGTTTGCCCCTCTTCGCTCATTTTTCCGACCGTGCTTCCATTCTTTTGGCTTTCCTATTTTATTTATTAAATTCCCTTCCATTCTTTTCTCGCATTCTATTTCAGCTCTGTCGTCCCTTTTGGTGGTCTTCATCGATCGGTCGACTTCCTGTGCTGCGGCTTGCCCCCCTGAGCTCGCTATCAATCGCCCTCCGATCAAGCTATCCCTGAGTTGAAACACCGTCGCTGGCGGTCAACAAACTTCATCATGGCTGTAAGTATTGCCAGTTCGCTGAGCTCGGTCGCGTTCCCAGCATGTCTGACCCTGGTAGGACAATGAGGACCCCCAAGCTGCCTCCAACTCGGCCTCCAGTCTCGTCACGGTCCTCGTGCCCGCCCTGGTTGTCGCGGCCGTGATGGTCATCCTCTTCGTGATCTTGAGACGCAGCGAGCGCCGCATGTATATGCCCCGTACCTACCTTGGATCTCTGCGACCGTCGGAACGTACCCCTCCGTCGTCGACTGGGCTCCTGGGTTGGATTAAAGATATGTACAAACTGCCCGACGAATATGTTTTGCAACACCACTCTATGGATGCCTACCTTCTTCTGCGCTTCCTCAAACTCATGACCGCCATCTGCTTCGTCGGCTGCTGTATCACCTTCCCGATCCTGTTCCCGGTCAATGCCACCGGCGGTGGTGGGAACGTACAATTAGACCTTTTAAGTTTCTCCAATGTCAGCGAGACGAGATATGCGCGTCTTTTCGCCCATGCCCTCGTTGCCTGGGTCTTCGTTGGATTCGTTTTCTTCACTATCACCCGTGAGAGCATCTTCTACATCAACCTGCGCCAGGCGTACTCGCTTTCTCGCTCCTACGCAACCCGCCTCTCCTCTCGTACCGTCCTTTTCACTACCGTTCCCCAAGACTACTTGAGTACCGACAAGATTCGCGAGATGTTTGGCGTGAACAAGGTCAAGAATGTCTGGCTCACTACTGACACGAAGGAGCTGGCTAAAAAGGTCGACGAGCGCGAAGCTGCCGGTATCAAGCTCGAAGCTGCTGAAACTAAACTGATCCGATTGGCCAACGGCGCCCGCCTGAAGGCCCTGAAGAAGGGAGGAAACGCCGAGGAAGAGCCAACTATCGCTGCAACAGCTGAAGATGATGGCGAGTCTGGTTCCGTTGCCGCGCGTTGGGTCCAGCCCAAGAACCGCCCTACGCACCGCCTCAAGCCAATCATCGGAAAGAAAGTCGATACTATCAACTGGGCCCGGTCCGAAATTGAACGCCTCACCCCAGAAATTGAGGAACTCCAGGCGAAGCACCGAGCTGGCGAGGCCAAGCTGGTTTCGTCCGTTTTTGTCGAATTCCACACCCAGGCAGATGCGCAATTGGCCTACCAGTCTGTGGCTCACAACCTTCCTCTGCACATGGCACCGCGCTATATCGGTTTGGATCCAACCCAAGTCATCTGGTCTAACTTGCGCATCAAGTGGTGGGAGCGCATAATCCGTTATGCTGCCTCTTGCGCATTCGTCGGCGCGCTAGTCATCTTCTGGGCTATCCCCACGGCCTTCGTTGGTGCCCTTTCGAACATCAACAACTTGACTGACATGGTTCCTTTCCTCAAATTCATTACTCATGTTCCCGGGTGGATCTTGGGTGCCATCACTGGTCTCCTTCCTACCATTTTGATGGCCGTTCTCATGGCGCTGCTCCCCATCATTCTCCGATGTAAGTTTACTACCCGGGTCGTTGACTAGACTTTGAGCTGACAGACGTTTTCTTTAGTGATGGCAAAGATTGGTGGTGCTCCTAGCTTGGCACAAGTCGAATTGACCACCCAGAACTTTTACTTCTTCTTCCAGGTGGTCCAGGTGTTCCTAGTTGTTACGCTTGCTTCGTCCGCCACTAGTGTCGCTACGAAAATCATTGACGACCCTACCTCTGCTGCCTCTTTGCTCGCCAAGAAGCTTCCCACAGCCTCGAACTTCTACATCTCTTATATCGTTCTGCAGGGGTTGTCGTTCAGCTCTGGTGCCCTCTTGCAGATTGGTGGTGTGATTATTGGAAAGATTCTCGGCAAATTCTTGGATAACACTCCTCGCAAGATGTACACCCGCTGGTCGAACCTTGCAGGTCTGGGTTGGGGAACGGTGTACCCTGTTTTCACCCTCTTGGCTGTTATTGGTGCGTATTGCATATTTATCCCATCAGTGTCAACGTGACTTTATCTGACCGCTATCTAGCAATTACGTATTCTTGCATTGCACCCCTGGTTCTGGGTTTCGCAACCATTGGTCTTTACCTCTTCTACTTTGCTTACCGCTACAACTTGCTGTATGTCTCCAACGCAGACATTGACGTTCAGGGCAAGTGCTTTACCCGCGGATTGCAGCAAATCACCGTTGGGTGCTATCTGCTTGTGGTTTGCCTGATCGGTCTTTTTGCCATCGCGACTGGCGCCCAGAGAATCGCTCTTGGACCCTTGATCCTCACGATCATCCTCCTCATTACCATGATCATCTACCACGTCTCTCTCAACGCCGCCCTTGAGCCTCTCATCAACTACCTCCCCAAGAACCTCGAGGCCGAAGAGGAATCCCTCCTCCGCCGCGAGGGCATTCCCTACAACGACGCCAAGGTCGAAGACCACGGCATCACCGCTGGCGCCCCAGCCAACGGTGCCTCAAACGGCCACGAGAACGGCGCAGACGTCGACGATGCCGAGAAGGGGATCACCCACGCTACCCCCGTGCAGCCCCAGGCCAACTTCTTGGTTAAGTACCTCCGTCCCGACAAGTACGCTGGATACCACCAGCTGCGCGAGTGGATTCCCAACGGCGCGGATGCAGCCACCTATTCCCCCGAGGTCGAGTCGCACGCTTACTTCCACCCGGCAATTAGCGCCCAGGCTCCTCTTCTCTGGATCCCCCGTGACGAGATGGGTATCAGTGCCCAGGAGATCCAACACACCGGCCGTGTCATCCCCATTACCGATGCGGATGCCTGGTTGGACGAGAAGAACAAGATCCACTGGGACGTCGATGGCGGCCACCCTCCAATCTACGAGGAGAAGATCTACTACTAAGCTGTTAACAATTATAAACTATTTACTCTGGAGCTCGGCAAGGGCAAACGTTATAATGTCGATGACTCCGCTGTTTCTTTTATCTATGTCTTTTCCCCGATCTTTGATATATTTGATACCCAGGTGTCATGATGGTTGATGAACACATGCACGACCATCTAGGGTGGGATTTTTTTTGGGGATATATTACGTTTTCTTGTGTTAGAAGATGAAGTAATAATAAATAATACACGTTTCGAAGATTTATTTCCACTGCAGTAGCTAAGCCGAATAGTAATATTAAGGCAATGGAGAGCTATGCTGAAGAATATGATTGATTGATTTTCATGAGTAAACCAAGAACCCATGCACCTAGTCCCATACATAACATAACTAACGATCTATGACATGTCATGAAAAATTACTGTACTTGGATATGATATAACAAATAAAAGAGTATCAGAGCATCGTCACTCATAACCAGAACACACTCCACCGACTCCATGCACATATTCATCATAATATGCTCCACTAGACAAACAGTGTTTACTCCTCATCAATCGCGCAGTTCGGATGAAGCACGTAAATCGTCTTGTCGGCCTGCGCCTCCGAAGCCTCATTAACATCAACGAGCCCCTCCCCGCGAATCGGCATCAGAATGTTATCCTTAACCATGCGCTTGAGGACCTTGGACGCGAGGCTACGCTCCCTCTGCAGATCCTCTTCGCTGTTCAGCTCTGATTCGATCTGCTCGAGGTACCACACGAGGAGGTCTTCCTGCTCGACACCCTCCCCTGCAGCCGCCTCGTCTTCGCGGATCCGTCGCACCACCAGGTTCAGGATCTTCATGTACTTGTCGTATGTGATCTTTGTCTTGGCGGCGCGCGGCTGGGCAGCTTGCTCGGTGGTGGCGCCGGCGTCCTCGCGCATCGGACTGTCGCCATCGCGATCTCGGTCGAGCATCTCATCATCGTTTTCGGCATCTGCGACTGCAGCAGCGGCTGCAGCAGCGTCTTCATCGTCGTCGACTTCGACATCGTCTTTCTCCACCGTGACGATACTCTGTCGGAGAAGATCGTAGGCTTCGCGGACGAATTTGGGTACCACCTCCTCAACGCAGTTGACCTTGGCAATGGCTTCGGACAATCGAATCAGCGATTCAAGCTGACGCACTGTGATACGGTACGAGGAGCGGCCCATGCCGCCTTGTGCGTCGTTTGCGCGGAGCTCCTTGTACTTCTCGACGAGGAGGGTCTTGGCCTCGTCGCGGAAAACAGGGCGGAAGGTGCGCGCGAACCGGATGTAGCGCTGGAGTTGTTCGGTGCTGAACTCGGGCTCGACGGCCTCGTCGCGGTTCATGTGGACGTTGACGATGTGGTCAGCGAGGTTGCGGTCGACTTCGGCGTTGGGTTCATCGCGGATGACGAAGAACAGATCGAAACGGGACATGATCGGAGCGGAGAAGTTGAGGTTGCCCCGGAGGGTAGTTTTGGGGTCGTAGCGGCCACCGATGGGGTTTGCGGCCGCGAGGATTGAGGCGCGTGCGTTGAGGGTCGTGTGGATGCCGGCTTTGGCGATGGAGATGGTTTGTTGTTCCATTGCTTCGTGGATTGCGACTTGGTCGGCAATGTCCATTTTGTCGAATTCGTCGATCGCGCAGATACCGCCGCCGTTCTGGCTGGGTTAGTTTCCATTTCATTAAATAAGGTATTGGGGGTGACATACAGCCAACATGAGAGCACCGGCTTCGATGGTGAATTCTCCAGTTTCGGCATCCTTCACGACCGATGCGGTTAAACCAGCGGCAGATGAAGCTTTACCACTGGTGTAGACGGCGCGGGGATGCAGCGAGCAGATATACCTAATTTTGGTTAGTAGGAGAACAGCATATTTGGTCGTTGTTGAGCACTTACTTCAAGAATTGACTTTTACTTGTTGACGGGTCACCCACAACACAGATGTTGATATCACCACGAAGTTGCAAGCTTTCTTGCGCAGTGGTTTTGGCCACACCTCCTACAAGCTGTAGAAGCAGACCCTTCTTAATCTGACGATGACCGTAGATCATAGGCGCCATGGAGTCTACCAAGCGGGAGTAGATGTACTCGGAATGAACCATGCTTTTCAGATCCTGGACCTCTGACGGACTCAGACTCTGAAGGAACGCCTCCTGTGCCTTATCATCATCAGGGTCTGGGTCGGGGTTCTGGTTAAGCGAGCCGAGAATCCTATTAGACTGGCCGCTCAGTTGCTGGTTCGTTTGTTGACCAGGCGTTGTCGTATCAGGGGTAACCATGCATGATAAGAAAGCTAACCGATAGGTCAAATCTCTTACACCAAGCGCCTTCAGCCCGCTAACTCCAGAGCCCCCAGCATCGTTGCCGCGGAAGGAAGTGTTGTCGCGCACTGCCTCGGGTCGAACACCTGGTAGACCCAGCTGGCTGACATCGGGGATAACAATGAGTGTACCAGTAAAGATAGAGCGTTCACCGGCCTTGACGCGATCGACCATTTCACCACGTAGGATGATATCCATGGTCCGCGGCATACTACCGGTTGGGATTTCGTGAGACGACTCTTGTAGCTTCACCTTCTGCCAGTCAACGAATGTGCTCTTTCCGATATCCAGGCGCCATCCAAGAGTGTTTCCGCAGGTACTGTTCGGGCACCGCGTGGGTTGTGTGTAGCGGAACGTCTGCTCGACGTTGGAGACAACTGTTCTGCAGCCTTCACAGATGAAGGTTCCGAGGGATAATTCTGGTCGGATTTCAGATGTGCGCGTGACAGTACCGGAAACGGAGAGCAGCTTTCCGATTTGCGATGTTCGAAGCTGTCGCAGTCTGGAAACTAGAGGGAGGTTGTAGAATGCTAGAGAGAATAGCTTATCAGTCTGCTGGTGCCGAGTCTTTTCGCGAATTGTTCGCGCCAATTTGGGGTCGTCGGATACGCTAGAGTTGCCAGCCATCATGGAGGTGCCAGCCTGGGACGAGACGCTGCTGGTGGCTTGACGGTGAGACATGAAGTATTCAGGCTCGTATTTGGCGATCAAGTTGTGGAGAGCCTTGACGAGGAACGGCTGGAATCGATAGTATTGGTTTGCAATCGCATCCGCCAGAATTGGGTTATCGAGTGAGGTGAGATGTGTAAAGTCGACATAGAGCGTAGACAATTCCCATTTCGCCATTCCATGGATCTGGGAAACGTAGTATTCTTTGGACATGGCAGCTGAAGATGGCGGAGGGTTTGGTGTCGGTGCAGCTTCTTCCTTGTAGTTTTCCAGCAGCTCTTCAAAGGCCTGCTGTACCTTTTCACCAGCCAAATCAACCACAGGGGGCGGGCCAGGGACATATGGATTTCGCAGCCGGGTGGTCGTCGACCCGTTTGTTTCTGCGACCTGATCATCAGGGAAGGCATTTGCATCGCTCATGGGAGCATTGCTCTCGGAGAGCGGTTGTGGGCGTGAGCTGGGGAAGCCGTCTGATTGAGGCCCTCGGTCGTCTCGAGAGCCGGCGGTTGAGCCCAGCTCGGACTGGAGGACGGCGTCGAAAAGCGAGGACATGGTGGTGAAGAGCCCAAGCGAGGCCGGAGGGAATGAGGCTGTATCGGGGCCGCAATGGGTGTTTGAGGGGTATCTTTGATTCTTTCCCAGGGTTGAGGCTGTTGATCGTTGATTTCTGCGGGACGCGTGCGACACACGAAACGCGTCGGGCGGAAATATGATGCGCCGACGCGTTAAGTGGTTTCTGCTGACATAACATATTGCGGGTCACGCTCACGGACCCCCGGCGCGAAGCCGCTAGACTTCATCGGGCGGGGCCGACAAGGTCTGAGCGGACGAGCGTGAGGAAAATGGGGAAAAGCGTCAGGACGGTGGCAGTGACGGCAGCTCGTCGTCCAATAATCCGGGCAGGAAATGTTTGCGATCCGGAGGTCTCTGAGCTGTCGATTTGTTCCCACCCCTCCCCACTCGTCCGGCTTGCGCTACTGCTGCTGCTGTCGTACTCGTCCCTGGAGCGAAGGGTGCCCTGCTGGAATGCAGCAGACACAGATAAGCGAAGCGCCTGCGTCCCTCTGGGGAACCACCCCCGTCAATGATCTTTCTCCTTCTTGAGCGATCCCCAAATATGAAGCCGTGACGGCCCTCCCTCCCCGATCCGCCCTTCAATTGCCCCTCCGCAGCTATGGCCACCGACAGGTGCCTCTCGGCCGATCCCATTCAAGCTGAGACCCTATCTGCACCACGTGCCGGCTTTTCTGAGTCTCATCTACGGCGTTGGTCACCGAGCACTCTACTGCTCTTGTTTTCAGTGTCAATTCATGAGTCCCTAACATGTTGTTTCGTCAGGGAGCGCTAGCGAAGACCTCCAGAACCTCCGGCTAAAACGGCATAGGCGGAACGACGGGACATCCAAAAGCCAGACCTTTTACTTTGTCGACTCGAATTCGTCGTCCCGTGAGAAGCGAGCCCATGTGATGCGACACCATGTCCAAGAGAAGCGAAAACAGCAGCGGCATTCGCACTCCCGGCAGAGCAGCGACCGGAAGGTGAACGGGCTGTTTCCATATCTTCCCTGGGAGCAGAGGCAGGCAGAACTGCCAGAGACGGCAGATGGCCAACCCCTCGATCTTGTACCTTCTCGCCGTCGAATTTCCTCGCCCATCTTGAGCTCAGTAGGTCAAAGCATCTTCAACTTGCCCTCTCGCGCGTTTGCGCTAACAGCTGCCGCTCAATTGTAGCCCGATGCCAAAATCACAGCAAGCCCCGCAAGGTCGAAGTCCGACGCATCTGATAGCGCTTACGTGCCATCACCGGTGACCGTACTGGACGCCTCGAGAAAAGACCCATTCGACAGCCTTCCTATAACCTCACCCGCTGATATGGAGCTTGCAGACTACTGGACGAATAAACTGACATACTGGTCGGGCCAGAATAAATACCTGAAAGAGTGCGCCTTCAAAACAGCAATGAACCATCCTTTATCATTCCAAGCGGTCATTCTATCATATTGCGCTCGGTGGAAGGCCCAATTATACAATCATAGTAACACCCGAGAGATCGAATATCATTTATCCAACGTCACGAAAGGCGTCGAGGACGCTGTGAACGGCCGCATCAAAATCGACGGCGACAGTCTAGCAATGGCACTCGCTGGCCAAGCCCTCCACGAGGACAGGTTTGGAACTAAAGAGAAAGCTAGGGGCTACAGAGAGCATGCGATACAGATTCTGCGCACACGCCCTCGCACTAGCGGGCTTGCCGAAGTCTTTCTCCACTACACCAGATATGTCATGATGCCTTCATCTCCAGCCCGCTGGGGAGAAGACGGCCAAGAATGGCTCGTAACATTCCTCCGCGCAGCAGAAGGTTTGATGCAGTCGCATAATGATGAAAAATACCTCGCCTCCGTTCCACAACGCCGCACAGCCTTCCAAATGGATAGTCCTCTCTTCTCTCTACTCTCCAGCGGGCCCCGTCCCTCCCGCGTCCCCGAAGATTCCCGCATGTACGTTGTTCGCAACGTGCCAACACAAGAAATCACCCGCACCGCCGCTCTAATATACATCACCGCCGCGCTTTGGGATTACCAAGACTCTCCCAGTAAGACCGCGCGCTTTCTCGTTTACCTGAATAATCTCGTCAGGAAGCACGAGCTGGACCGGTATCCGGCCTGCGAGAGCTTTATATGGCACCTCCTGGAAGAAAACTGCGACATAGATCTGAAAGACCCAGAGCGCGGGTGGTCAACGGGTGAGCTACTGAAGATCCATAAAGGGCTACGGCCGGATCTGCGGTTCCAGTACAATGAGACGCTATTCAGTTTTCTGATGCTGGCCGAGCCGCTTCGTGGTGTTGACTCCTTCGAAGCCGAGTTATTTTCAACTCCCCGGGCGACGGAGATTGACGTTTGATACAGTCTAGGATTATTGTAATTGTTACGATTTTAGCAGTGGATTGATACCCCGGCCACGGCCGATTACCAGGACATACTATGATGTGCATACTATATAGTGTCTAGATCAAGTACATATCCGCTTATATATCTAGTTATCTGCAGCCCACTTGTACTGGGACCCCGGATGATCAGCTCTCAGTCGAGGCCCTAAGCCATCATTGAAGAAATTCTCCCTCGTAGTAGACGCAGCATAGTCATCCCAGAACACGCCCCTCCTGCGCAACTCTGGCAGCAGATACTTGACGATATCCTCAAAGTCTGCAGGCGCAACCGCATACGAGAGATTAAACCCGTCAATCCCACTCTCTTCAATCCACTGCTCCAAAACATCCGCCACAGTGGCCGGCGACCCAATAGCCCGTGCATGCGGACCCCCCAGCGCAATTTCCTGCGCAACTCGAGTCTTCGTCCACTTCAGACCCGCCGTCCCAGGCACCGTCGCCGTCCAACTATTCACAAGACTCTGGATCGCACCAGGTCCCGTGAATCTAAAGTCCTCATCCTCGCTAAACGTCGACAGGTCCGTCCCCGTCCAGCCCCCGAACAGGGTCGCCGCGCCCTCGAGATCAACATAACTGAGGTACTCCTCATACTTGGCGCGTGCCTTTTCGTCAGTCTCGTCGACGACCACGAAGATCCCTGTGATCGTCTTGATGCTGTTCGGGTCTCGGCCATGCTCGACTGCGCGGGCCCGGATGTCGTCCACAGACTTGCGGATTCCCTGCGGATCCATTCCGGCCAGAAACATGCATTCGGCGTGCTTGGTTGCGAAATTCTTGCCTGCTGTGCTGGTGCCCGCTTGGAAGATGAAGGGCGTGCGTTGGATGGAGGGCTCGGTGGTTAGTGGGCCTGCTGAGCGGAAGTATTCCCTGAAGCTTGTCAGCTCGAATATTTAGGGCTACACAGCACTACTGTGACAGTAGTGTCATGGACGCAAGGTATGAAGTGAAGCTCTCACCCCCTATGGTCAATCTTCCTCACCCTCCCAGGAAGAGCATAAACACCGCCCTCCTCATCCCTAACCACAGCATCATCCCTCCACGACCCCTCCCAAAGCTTATACGTAAGCGTCAAATACTCATCCGCCATTTTATACCGCTCATCGTGCGCAATCTGCGTCTCCAGACCCACATTCCTCGCCGCAGACTCCAGATGACTCGTGACAGCATTCCACGCAACCCTCCCCTTCGTCAGATGATCGAGCGTCGCGAACCGCCGCGCAAGCAGGAACGGGTTCTCGTACGTCGTGGACGCCGTGATCCCGAAGGAGAGGTGCTTGGTTACGGCGGCCATCGCGGCTATGGGGAGAAAGGGGTCTGAGATGGGGATTTGGGCGACGCCGGGGAGGCCCGGGTTGAAGTTTGCGGGGCCCTTGTAGACGTCGTAGGCGCCTAGGACGTCGGCGATGAACAGGGAGTGGATTTTGCCGGACTCGAGGACTTTGGCGATCGAGGTCCAGTATTCGATGTCAGTGTATTGGGTGCTGCGGTTGCGCGGGTGGCGCCAGAGACCTGTTTGAATATTGGTTAGTAGGACTGCCTTAACTCATCCTTGAGACAGTGCATACCTGGTGCTAGATGGCCGGGTGTGCTCATGCTGAAGCCGTTTAGAATCCATTGTTTCTTTGGAGTTTCGCCCATTGTGAATGGATTGTCTTGTTCTATGTTAATGGAGTATCTGGACGAGAAACCAGGGCAATGGACTAGTTATATGATGAGAAAAAATAATATATACTCCAGCACGAAATTGCAGCACAACCATTTACGAGCTCTAGATGGAAGCCCATCCTCTCTTGGAGTAGGCTGGATGTTTGATAGGGCTGCAAGCACCTCAGCTTCCACACGGATCGCACCATACTATCAATCTCCCCCAACACTCCTTCGGCACCACAAAGCAGGAGAATGATTCGTGCTCTTCTATCAGATAATCCACTAACGAGTCGTGCAGTTTTGCTTCTCCAACTGGCCATGCCAGATTGACCCGGTATAGCCTTTTAACAACCGTAGTCAGGAACAGCGCTCACTGCCCAGCTGAGCCGGTTGGAGTCGATTGGATTGCATCATTTGCGCGCCTGAAAACACAATGTGCAGTCTCTGTTGGAGGAAGCGATGAGTCTGGGGCGCATAAAGAAAGCCTTCCGTGATGGAGATGGAGGTTCAGCTTTTGCCTTCATATTGTTCAAACCCATAAACAAGAACAATACTGAACGCCATGTCAGGCCAAGTACCTCCTCCTCTGCCTCAAGGTGCAGGATATGGCGTCGTTGTCGGCCTTGGAGTGGCCTTTGCCCTCGGTAAGCTTTACTAGTTTTAATATCTGGTCGAGACGCATAGCTGATTCTATAGGCATGGTTTGGGTCACCAAGATGCTGAAAAAGACGTTCAATGAGGACGCCAGCAGCACTGAGACGTTCATGGTTGCCAATCGGACCATTGGTACGGGCCTTACGTCTTGCGCAGTGATATCGTCCTGGCTGTACAGTTCAGCCTTACTGGGCGCGACGCTCTTGACGTACAACTACGGCCTCGCCCTCGGTGTCTGGTGGGGAGCATCGGCCAGTACGATGATAACGCTGATGGCCTATCTTGCAATCCAAGCGAAGCGACGTGCTCCTAATGCCCATACGCTGCTGGAGATCATCAAGGTGCGGTACGGCAAGTCCGCGCACCAGCTCTGGATCTTTCTCTGCCTGTTGAACAACACGTTTGTGTTCACGAGTATGGTCGTCGGATCGAGTACAAGTGTCAGTGCATTGACGGGCATGGACGTTGTTGCGTCTTCCTACTTGCTTCCTCTCGGCGTGGCTGTATACACCTACTTTGGAGGGCTGAAGGCGACGTTTCTGACGGACTACGTGCACACGTTCATCATCATGATCATCCTCTGCTGGTTCACCATCAAGGTCATCGCCGTGAACGAGATCGGATCCATCGGGGCCTTATTCGACGCCGTCGTCACAGCCGATAAAGAGAAGCCCGTCGCCGGCAACTACCAGGGCTCCCATCTCACCATGCGCAGCGAGCAATGCTTATACTTCGGTCTCCTGCATATCACCGGCAACATCGGCGGCGTCCTCATGGACACAGGGTTCTGGCAGAAGGGATTCTCCGCGGACTTCGAGGCCGCAGTCCCAGGATACGTCCTCGGCGGCGTCGCTTCATTCTCAGTGCCCTGGACATTCGGCACCATCGTCGGCCTCGCAGCCCTAGCTCTCGAAAAGACCTCTGCATGGCCAACCTTCCCCAACCCAATGACCTCCAGCGAAGTCAGCGCAGGCCTCGTCCTCCCTTACGTCGCGCAAGCAGTCGCAGGCAAGGCCGGCGCAGGCGCTATCCTAGTCACAATCTTCATGTCCACGACCTCCATCGCCTCCGCGCAGATGATCGCCACCAGCTCCATCATTTCCTTCGATATCTACGGGACATATGTCAACAAGACACCCACAAACTCGCAGCTGCTGCGGTGGTCGCATATCGGCGTCGTCGCTACATCGCTGTTCATCTCCACCCTCGCAACAGCCTTCCACAAGGGCGGCGTCGACATGTCCTGGCTCCTCTACATGATCGGCCTCTTCACCTGCCCCGGCGTGTTTCCGACGTGCTTCGCCCTGCTTTGGAAGCGCCAGACAAAACAAGCCGCTATCATCTCCCCGATTGTGGGTATGGTTTGTGGACTGGCTGTCTGGTTCGGCTCTGCTTATGCCTACTACGGCGAGATCACTATCGCCGCGACGGGGGGGACTCTGCCTTGCCTCTTTGGTACCATCACCTCGTTCTTCGTCCCGCTTCCGACGACGGTGATTATCTCGCTGCTGCAGAAACATGAATTCGACTGGGCTGTTCTTGGGCGTATTGAGCAGGTCACCACGGATGAGGGCGAGAACAAAGCCCATAGCACTGACCAGAGCAGAGCAGAAATTGAAATACAAATAGAGCAACCACTCTTCACGCCCGAAAAAGCCAAGTATCTCAAACGCATGAGCCGCTGGGCTGCATTCTGGGCGGTTTTTACAGTCACAGGCCATGCCCTGCTCTGGCCGCTGCCGATGTTTGGGGCGAGAATGGTCTTCTCGAAAAGCGTGCGTCTTCTTCCTCCTAGTATCTACGTCCCGATATAGTTTGGTTTATTTCTAACACTATTCAGTTCTTCATCGCTTGGGTTGTCATCTCGCTGATCTGGCTGTGGTTTACGCTTGTTGTGGCGATCTTCTATCCGCTTGTTGATGGCGGGGTGAAGCAGATGTGGGCTGTTCTTGTTGTTGCAAGGAAGAAACTATTGCGTAAGGATAGCTCAGGCAGTGGTTCGGCGACTGGATCTGAGGGAATTGCTGGGCTGGATTCCTCTGCTGAGCAGGTTGGTGTTTTGGCGAAGGTATAACTATGGTCTACTGGTAACTGGGTTAGGGCTGGGCTGGGTAAGTACTTGTGTTATATTGTTACATGATAGAGTATTATCATAAATAGACATTAATTTGCATTTGGTCTTCTAGACTAGAATACGGAGTTACTACAGGTCTGTGCTCTCTATTGAATTGAAGATGCCATTCTACTATTCATCACGCAATTAGGTAGGTTGGAGTGTTGAATCCTGAACTGTCACGAATGTTTAGCGTAGATGGTGAGATTATATATTTGCCTTGTCGGCTCTAACCGCCGTACAATAAACGGACTCAGTTATGCAGAGGCTGCCAAGGTTATCACGCGATCATTTAATGGGAAGTTGGGTTTATCCCGACTCTACTGGGTTAATTCTTGGTATAGCTACGACTGAAAGTGAATATAAAGGAGAAATTCTGATTTATCAACGCAATCCTCCTAACGCGAATGCTGGATATCATAATATAAACCGTAAAAAACATGCCGGAATGCGCCTCGCTATGCCACTGCCGAATTGTATTGAGAAGAGAACCCCCCCCCCCCCCCCGTCCGGCCCATTCTTGAAAGATGAACCCGTCACCCGAGAAATCAAAACAGGCTAGGCACACCACTGACTGCTCGCCCACTCACTCATCATCACTCGCCGACTCATCGCCCTGCTCAAACGCATCAGAGTCAATCTCCTCCTGATCGCTCCCACTCCCATTAAACATATCATCGTCCGCATCGCTCTCCGCCCAAAAGTCCGAGTCGTCGTGCAGAACCGCCTTGTTTGGCGCGCCCTTGGTCGTGCTCTCGTGCGTCGGCATCTCAAACCCCTCGGGGATATCGGCCTTGGAGTCCTCGACGCATTTGCGCACTTTCTCTTTATACTGCTCGGGTTCCTTGCGGAGGAGAACGCCCGCGTCGACGTTTGCGGGGGACGAGACCTCGGCGTCGTCGAGGAGGGAGAGGATTGAGATGAGGACGGATTCGACGCGCTGCGCGGGGGACCAGCGCTCCGATGCGAGTTCGCCGGACATTTCGTCGTCGCCGGGCGAGTGTAGGATTGAGATGCAGAGTTTGCCGTCGGTGTAGATGTTTGGGTGGTAGAGGGGGCGGAGGAAGCGGAATTCTGGGGTTGTGTTAGTGGCTGCCTAGAGGGGCGAGGGAGTATAGGCAAGGAAGGGTACCTGGCGGCGAGTATGGGTAATTTGAAGGGAACTTCATGGCGGCTTTGAAATAGCCGCCGTAGAATAAGGAGTCTGGGTTCAGCACGATGAGGCCGATGGTCCAGTTGAAGATGTCGTCGTTCTTCAGCTCGAGGTTCACCCACGGCTCCTGCGAGAGAGCCTTGAACTCGTTCATCAGAATACGCTCAGCCATGGTGACGGTGGCAATGAGGAGAGCAGGATGGGGCCGGTCGCTGCAGGCAGAGGGCGGCGGTTAAGTAGAGTGAAGGAGTGTTGAGGAGTTGAGGATGAGAAAGAGGAACAAAGGGGGAGAGAAAAAGCAAAGAAAGCGAGGTGGCTAAGAGGCAGATCCGAGATCAGTCATGTCATGCCGTTCATCCATTCTCGACAAGCCTGAGGCGATCGTGGCGAGCACCCGATAACGGAACGTTCCGGAGTGGCGCTGCAAAGGCTCGGCCTTTCCGGGTCTGCCCTCTAAAAATCTGACTGCTGTCGGAAAGCGGGGGAACGGTGGTTAAGTGGGGATTCATGCAGCAGTTGTTTTCTATCCCTAATGTATATCATATTCTAGCATCTATCCGTAGCTCTCCACGGTGTCCTCTGTCCAAAGGTCCAACGGTGGCCGTGTCTGTGCGCTCGTGAGGACCCCATCGTATACCCAATAACCGGTGTAGACGGCAGGCGAGTGTGTCACGAGCAGGATGCAGGATGCACGCACTAGCTGGGTTGATGTTGCAGCCTTTGCTCCAATTTGCCAATCTGCTGCATCCTTGACCGAGTGACCGACGCTCCGGTCTTATCAATCTAGCCGGGTTGCGGTCGCCTGGAATGCGGAACGGCAAACGGCGAGGCAGCACCGCTGGGGACCTCGAGGCTCAGGCAGCGGTGGAATGAGAATCAGGAGGTTCCAGCCTCATGTTCAGGTTCGCAAGTGGAGTGTCTGGGTTTGAGCTTGGGGACCATCGCTTCCCAAACCGGCGGCCAATTCAGACCAGCTTAGCTTGAGCCATCACCACGCATGGCGTCGCACAACGTGGCGGCGAAGACGATTGACTCATCGCCAGGCCAGGCAGTTCCTTGCGCAAGAACTCCGCAGATAGACGCAAGTTAATGATACGGGCACTCGATTTGGTTAGAAAGAGAGCAGCGTCTGATGGGCGGTGACGGCCCACTTGGTCTGTGATGTCCCGCTCTTACTAACTGCTGGAGTCGCCGTCCCATCCTTCCTGGCCATCGCTTCTGCCTCTCGACCTCACGTCTTTGTCGATTGTCGGCCGCTATTCCTCGACTTTCTTTGTTGTAACAATCCGCCAGGGCTGGAGAGTCAATCGTATTCGCTATTCTTTATTGTATAATCCGCTGCTTGGCCATGTTTGCCTCGCCGCTCGTTCTAAGCTTGGCTACGATCTAGAACCGCGACCAGCTTCCCGGAAAAGTCTGTCCTCGCCTCACTCTGGCCGCCCTGACTGCGCGCGCCATCAGGCCTTGAAAAAGAGGTGGGGTTTTACCCAGGGAGTTCGTCTTTGCGATTTTTGTCGTGCTTTGCGTCCGACATGATCCCGCAATGCCACGGGCCCGTATGGGCGATCGATGATCTTTCTCGTTGTTTTCAACGCAGGTAGGCTCTTTAAATGAATGAACTTGGGTAGATGAATTTCTCTAATGATTTATTTCTTCTTTTTCTGATTATAGATATTTGCAAGAAATCTTGCCGCTTTCCGCCTGCGCCGTTTCGCTTCTACTGATTGTGACCCGCGTTGCCTATCATTATACCTTCTCTCGAAAGAGCTTCTCGTATACACTTCTCCCAAGCGATGATGTTGGAAATACACAAGATTCAAGGGAAGCCGAGGACCTGGCGGAGGAGTCGGACCCAATGCTCTCCAAAGCCGCCCGACTTGAACAGCCGCATTTCGAGCTCGACCGCCCCCGCGGCGAGATCGCCTTCGTTTCTTTGGAAGTTGCAGCCTTGATTGGAGAGGTCGTCGTGTGTGTCCTGGTTCTGTCTTCAGATGCCTGGGGCCACGATGGCCGTGTTTCGGCTGTGGCTCGGTTGACTTCCTGGAGCTATCTGCTGTTCCTGGTTCTGGTGCGATTGCTCCTCTCCGTCCGCCAGCTGCATTCGTCGGCTAGACTTTGGAATCATACGGCTACGCTCTATGGACTGCAATGGCTATTCACTGTATTCGTGTTCCGGTCGTCCGTCATTTACCCGATCTCGAAGCGCGGCATGACTCTCTCCGCGATCGAATTCTCGCTGTCCAGCTTCCTTTTGCTGCTCGCTGTAACTACGCGGAGAGGAAATAAACCCGTTCTTGTTCCTCATGAAGAAGGATTGGAGCCCGCCAGGCATCCACTTGCCAGCTTGCTCTCCTTGGCGACGTTCTCTTGGTTGGACCCGCTTATTCTCAAGGGCTATCGACAAGCGCTAGAGCTGGAAGACGTCTGGAATCTTACCGCATCGCAAAAGGCTTCTACGGTTTTGGAGGATTTCCGTCGCAGACAGTACAAGGGTCCTTTGGTAGTCAAGCTGCTGCGCTACTTTTCTGGTACTATTTTGATACAAGGTGCATGGACTGTATTCTCCAACCTATTCACGTACTTGCCTACTCTTCTTCTTAAGGCGATTCTGGAGTATGTCGAGGATCCGAGGTCAACTACGCGAAATGCCGCCTGGCTGTACGCCGTCCTTTTGTTTGTCTCAGCAGCTACGCAGGGTGTTGCCGACGGACAGTCTCTTTGGATTGGTCGCAGAATGGGCGTGAAGCTTCGCGCCATTATAATCGGCGAGATTTATGCCAAGGCGCTGAGACGAAAGGCCGGACCCTCGATCGATGCAGCTGCGAGTACAAGCGACGAAAAAGCTCCCGACAAAAAGAAGCGAAAGTTGCTCTCCTTTGGGCGTAAAAAGAAGAAGGCTGCCACTGACCCGGAGAACGATACCTCAAATAAGAAAGAGCCTGTGGAAGAAGCTGATGCATCTGCTAATATCGGCACTATCATCAACCTTATGGCCATCGATTCTTTCAAGGTCAGCGAAGTGGGTGCCTATCTACACTTTCTCTGGGCCAGTGTGCCCACACAGATCGTCATTGCGGTTACTCTTCTATATAGATTGCTGGGTTTCAGTTCTTTCGCTGGTATAATCATGATGGTTTTGATGCTTCCCATTAACCTGATTATCGCCAAGAAATTTTCGAAGCTGCAGAACCAAATCCTGAAAGGAACCGATGCGCGCATTCACTCGACGAACGAGATCCTTCAGAACATTCGCATAATCAAGTACTTTGCTTGGGAGGAACGATTCCAGGACATTGTGAACGAAAAGCGCCGAGCCGAGCTTCGAGCTTTGAAGTACCGCTATGTTCTCTGGTCTACTGCAGCTACCATTTGGTATGGGACACCGATTATGATCACTCTCGCCTCGTTCTTCCTCTACACCGTGGTTGAAGGCAAGAAATTGACCCCCTCTATTGCGTTCCCGGCCCTCTCCATGTTCTCTCTGCTCCGTATCCCTCTGGACCAGCTCGCCGACATGGTGGCGCACGTGCAGGAGTCGAAGGTTTCCCTGGATCGTGTTGATAAATACCTCAACGAAGATGAGACCGATAAGTACAAGCAGCTAGCGGACGAGGACGCCTCGGAGCCTAGGATTGCCTTGGAAAACGCTACCCTGACCTGGGGAACCGGCAAGAAGAATCAAAATGGCGAACAGGATGAGACCTTCCGTTTAATCGACGTCGACGTGGAGTTTTCAATCGGAAAGCTGAACATCATTGCTGGTCAGACTGGTTCAGGGAAGACATCTTTGTTGATGGCTTTACTGGGAGAAATGAAGCTTTTGGAAGGAAGAGTTTATCTGCCTGGGGGCACTGCTAACCGAGCCGAGCTGCCCGTTGATCCTCGTACGGGTCTTATTGAGAGCGTGGCTTATTGTGCGCAGGAAGCATGGCTCGTCAATGACACCATCAAGGAAAATATCACTTTCGCCTCTCCGTTTGACGAGCGCCGTTATAACGCCGTGATCAAGGCATGCGCGCTGGAGCGTGATCTCCAAATTTTGGACTCGGGTGATGAAACTCTTGTTGGCGAGAAGGGTATTGGTCTATCCGGTGGACAGAAGCAGAGAATTTCCCTTGCCCGTGCCGTCTACAGCAAAGCCCGTCACATTCTTCTGGATGACTGCCTCAGCGCCGTTGACTCGCACACTGCCAAACACATCTTCCAAGAGGCCCTGAGTGGTCCTCTGATGATGAACCGGACTTGTATTCTTGTGACGCACAATGTTGCCCTCACTGCTCCTTATGCCGACTTCATCGTTGCTGTTGATAACGGTAAGATCAGCTTCAAGGGCCGACCGGACGAACCGGGGGCTTCCAAGGCTCTTGGTGAGGAACTCATCAAGTCACGCCCCGGCTCTCGGGCTAGTTCTACTCCCGCTCGATCTCGCAGACCCTCCGACTCCGACATTCGCGAACCTCACGCTGCCAATGGTACAACTAACGGAACTCCCGGCAAAACGGTCCAAAAATCAGCCACAGCCAAGTCTAGGCTGGCAGAGGCGAAGTCTGTTGGCAGCATCAAATGGCCGATCATCAAGATGTATCTTCTCTCCATGGGGCCCTGGTATTACTGGGTGGTTGCGGCCGCTGTCTTTACTCTGCAGCAACTCGGCTCTGTCTCGACCAACATCTGGATTCGACAGTGGGCAAACTCGTATGGGACCGACAAAGTCGACGTTGATAACGAGGGTACATATGCTGCTATGTCTCATTTCAAGCTCCCGTCGTTCAACGTTGTTAGTGTCCCGCGTACTTTTGGCCTAGCACCTCAGCTTGGTACGCAGGCGACGGACTCTGGTAACGATGTGAATGTCGCGTTCTACCTTGGTATTTATGCTCTGTTAGGTGTCTTCTACATCGCCATCTCGGCAACCAGAGAAGGTGTACTCTTCTGGGGCTCCTTGCATGCGTCTCGCAGCATCCACAAGCGTCTTCTCAAGACAGTCATGCACGCCAAGTTCAAGTTCTTTGATTCGACACCCCTCGGTCAGCTCATGAACCGGTTCTCCAAGGACGTTGAAGCCATTGACCAAGAGGTTGCGCCTGTCGCGATTGGCGCGCTCCACAGTTTGGCATCCGTCATTATGATTGTGATTTTGATCTCGATCATCACCCCTGGATTCTTGGTCGCCGCTGTTTTCATCACAATGGTCTACTTTGCCTTGGGAGCCGTTTATCTGAACGCGTCTCGCGATATGAAACGTCTAGAGTCTGTTCAGCGGAGCCCGTTATATCAACAATTCGGTGAGACACTTAACGGCATCGTGACTATCCGCGCTTACGGCGATGGCCCGAGATTCCTTGTGGACAACCACCAGCGTATTAACTCCTACAATCGGCCTCACATCTATCTCTGGGCCGCGAATAGATGGCTTGCATTCCGTGTTGATATCACCGGAGCCCTGGTGTCCTTTGTGACGGCGTCGTTTATCCTATTGAACATTGGAAGAATTGATGCAGGTGCCGCCGGTCTTTCCCTGACATACGCGGTGACCTTCACGGAGAACGTCTTGTGGTTGGTTCGTCTCTACTCTGAGGTTCAACAAAGCATGAACTCTGTCGAGCGAGTTAAGGAGTATTTAGAGGTGGAACAGGAAGCACCTCCAGTCATCGAAGAGGCACGACCGCCTGCCAACTGGCCTACTCACGGCGCTGTCCAGTTTGCCAGTTATACCACTCGGTACCGCGCCGACCTTGATCCAGTGCTGCGCGAAGTCTCGTTTACTGTGCAGTCAGGAGAAAAGGTTGGAATCGTTGGTCGTACCGGTGCTGGAAAGAGTTCTCTCGCCCTCGCTCTTTTCCGCGGCCTGGAGGCTGAGAATGGACAAATCAACATCGATGGCGTGGACATTGGAAGCATTGGACTAAAGGACCTGCGAGAAGCCATCACTATCGTTCCTCAAGACCCGACACTCTTTACTGGAACGATCAGAAGCAACCTGGATCCGTTTGGGCACTTTACCGATGAGCAGATGCTCACTGCTATTCGCCGTGTGCATCTAATCGGCTCTGGGACGTCTGGCACAGCGACGCCGGTGACATCCAGCACTTTGACTCTCGGCTCGACCGCGGCGTCCGAAGCCAATATGGCTTCTGGCCCTATCCTGGACAATAAGAACATCTTCCACAACCTCGAGAGCCCGGTCTCGGAGTCTGGTTCCAACCTGTCACAAGGCCAACGACAACTATTGTGCCTTGCCCGAGCCCTCCTCAAGAACCCCAAGGTTCTGATGATGGACGAAGCCACCGCCTCTATTGACTATACCACAGACGCCAAGATCCAAGAGACCCTCCGCGAGCTCCGCAACAACACAATCATCACAATTGCACACCGCCTGCAAACAATCATTGACTACGACAAGGTCCTAGTCCTCGACCACGGCCAGGTCGTCGAATTCGACCACCCCTGGACTCTTGTCAACAACGAAGACGGCCTCTTCCGCAGCATGTGCGAGAACAGCGGAAACTTGGATACACTGCTGGACCTGGCGAAGAAGGCGTGGGACCAGAAGCGCCTCGTCTTCGATGACCATGCTTAGACTTGAACTTCTTTCAGTCGTCCCGACTTATACATACATCCATACATACGTGTTTCTACTATACTAGTACTCTGATACTGCGGTCGGCATAATATCGTTATTCATTGCTTCCCTCCCTCGCTGCCTTAATTGTACCTACATCGTTTTGTTTTGTCTTTCAAAAGTTTGGTACATACATTTTGGGGATACACTTTGGCGTTTGGTCTGTACTTACCTTGGCTTGAACATAGTCAATCGATTCATTAGACTTTGATTAGTAAAGTAAAGTAATAAGTAACTACGTAGTAAAGTAGTTATAGTTCACATCCGACAAGGTTTCCCCTGCATTCTCTGTTCTCTTCAGTATCCGTGTCATCACTGTATAAGAAGACCATTAATGACTCAAGCCACCCATCCTCCAAGGGTCTGTGCTTATTTCTTTTATTTTACTTTACCTACACCTCCCCAACAGTGTCACACGAAGGCGTCTTCCACAAGGAAAGAAAAAAAAAAGCGTTGTCGTGTCGCCCACGCCGTTATCTTATTATCTCGTGATACAATAGACTAGACCCGGCGTTTCTGTTCTCTTCCCTATCTAAACAGTCGATTTAATATCAAACTTGTGTCACTTGACGGCACGCTAGCTGAGGATCTCCGATGATCCGCAGTTCCAGGTCGCGTGTAATAGAGCTGACAGTCTCTCCATCTATGCGAAGTTGCATGAAGCCAGCACCACACGGCTTTCTGCCCTAAAGAGTGCTAGTACTATTTTTGAACCAACCCCCACGCCTGACAAATTTCGAGAGGTTGACGACCTCAACCCCTTCATTGCTTAATTGCCATAGGTTTTGGGCCTTTAATCTGGAGAGATGTTAGGGTGGTAGACAACCATTCAAGTGGAGATGGACACGGCGAATCTCTGCCGTTTCCCAACTACATCAGACAGAACCGTGGCTTTGCAAGATGCGTTGGCGATACATGTGATGTTGGCAAGTATAGAGCCTACTAATTTTATAAAGGGCTACTAGTAGATTAGTAGGTTACCCACCCGATCGTGTATATATATTAAGGAGGCAGTCTGAGCCAAAAGGAAGTAAGTTCCTGCGCTGGTATAGATAACAGCAAAACCTGATTTACCAGATATCCAAAGCTCTGTCAGAGAACACGGATGTTGTCAGCCAATGGATCTACTACGCCGCAGCCAGCGCTATGACAACAGCAGAGAAACCTTACACCATATTACCAGGGCAGCCGGCTTGTTTCCGACAGACTTTCTCGAATCCTGTCTGTGGAGGAGAAGCTGCTGTTGCACGAGATTGTCGGGCATGTGAATATGAAAAGGAATACTATAGCGAATTGAATATGATATATAGTATACTATTACTTCTTCCCTTCCTGATCAGTATGCCATCACGTGAGCTGGCGAACCCTGGTCGGTGTCTCTGATTGGATTATACAAAAGGTACACAGTTCAGTTCGACGGCACTGGGCTGGGGGTTATCTATATTAGATAAATGGCTCAATTGAGACGATCCGTTAGAATGCCGATTCTGGCAGCAGCATCCCATAGACTCTGGTCAGAAGCACGGCCCGTACCCAGATACAGTGTTTGTGAGTACACATGAGCAGCAGTGCCGCCTACAGTGAAGCATATCTCAGTGGTCTGCAGACCAGACGCTCAGATAACGACGATAGATCTTCCACTGCATGAAGAAAGCGGGGTGGGAGAGGGAATGGAACTGTTGCCGTTGTTGCTGCCAATGGTTACTTATCGGACGCGCTTTGACGTTCGCAATGGATATCTCCATCTCCGCCCAAGACCTCACTGGCTCGGTGTTTAAGGCTTGATTGTGGCCTACTAGATAAAGACGCTTTATGGATGGCGGACGTTGGCCGACTCTGCTCGATGCCCAGACAGAGAGACAGACCCGTTCCGTTTCCCCTGCTGCTCACATAGTTTAATGATCCTGGCTGGTTCTCGACGCTTCGATTCAACAGCTTGAAGGAAATAAGAGACGGTGATATTGTGATCTGGGAATCTGTCACACGTGTGATGTGCCAGGGCTAGTTGCTTCACGCCAGCTAGCCAGCCATCTCAACTAGCCAAATTCCCATCGAGAATACGGTCCTCCCTTGAGAAAGAAGGATGAGGTGTAAATGATGCCCAATGGATCTCACCGGTAAAGACCGATTTGGTTCGCCATCAATAATTCCTGCAGCTGGGTGCAAAGGACGGGCGAGTCCTCAACTGGGCTACAGTAGTGACAATGTATGCGGATGTATGTTCCAGAATTGGGCTACCTGAGTCTTCAGAACATAAATAACAGCTTTCGACAGAACCAATGCCAAACCTGGAATATTTATCGTCTCTGTTTTAAACTGCAGGCCTTCATTATCCAGACCTCAACACTCTTCACTTAAACTCCAAGCCAAACAACCCAACACCTGCCCAGATGGTCAAGTAAGAGGCCATACTGGGCCAGTCTCAGCTATGCACCAGGTGTTATTCCTGTCTGAAAGTTGCACAGGAGGGGCATTGCCACTGCTCAGGCAAAAGTCCCATGCTCTCCACTCCTTAATCCCAAATCCAGAACAATCCCAAGCCCCAGTCAGAGCACCCCCCGGGCATTACCGGATGGACCTCTGCCCGTGATCACGGCTTTGGCTTCCAGCCCCGGGGACATCGTCTCCTGGGTTGCACGGCAGACAGAGGACGCGATATGGAATCAAGGAAGGTTTAGGCTAGAAGGATGTCTGTGCGTGCGTGTGCACATCCATCAGTTTCAGCGAAAGGGATACCAATAGTTGTGAGCATGGCCTATCAGATCTCCATCTGCCTTCATTTCCATGGTGAGGGGAATCCCTCTGCGAGGGAATTGTGGGCCATGTTTGAAATCAGTCTTCTGGTAGGACGATTCGCTCTCTATCGCCTTCGGATATGGTGCGCTATTTGTCGATGGGGAGCTGAGTGGCTTGCGGTGGGTAGTCTCGATGTCCTATCGTTGGTATTCTAATGCGAGTGCCTGCTAAGACGAGTATCATGATTCTGATGTATTCTGATCAAGTTGAAGGCCGTATTTCAATATTCAGCTGGTCCTGTACAGATGCCCATATCGATTCCCTAATCATGGCGAGCAGGATAACAACCAACACGAAGGAAGGACCCTCGCTGCTCCCTTGGAATGCTAGTGACTGCCAGTGCACGGACTCTGTCTTCGATCAGTAAAGTGTAAGACAAGATTACGATGAGGATCCTACAGCGGCGATCGAGAGGACCGCAAGATGGCGTCGCAGCAGAACCAGTCCATCCAACCACCCACTCCACCTGCAAGTCGAGGGTCCAGTTGCTGCACAAGAAGAGGGCTCAGACTGGCGCAGTCCTTTTCGGAATGTGTCTGGCTAATCCTAACCCCGGTAGAGGTGGGCGTGTGCGTCAACGACTGATGGCTTCTGTGCTGACAGAATATACCTGGCTCATTGTATGTAGAATGCAGCGCAGCCTTCACTTGCCTCCAATCTATGCATGAGGCAGATGTAAGCCTATTCCTATATGCGTGGACGAGTGATGCCTCGATGCCTCTAATATTGAGCGACCTTTGCTTCCCCACGACATACCGTCTAACTCAACGACGCCATGGACCCAGCCTCGTAGGTACCATTCCCCCTTTTATAGCAGTAAACTGAGAACCAGAAGACATACGAACTCAAAAAGACCGCCTAAACTGAGATCGGCCTGCAATGAATGCCACGCGGCCAAGGTATGTTCCCACCACGTCTATCCTACCGGTGTATCTGATATAGTGCCAGGTTCGCTGCTCTGGCGAGAAGACAGGCTGTCAGCGCTGCTCAAACCTCCGACTTAAATGTGCCTTTTCCATCTCGCGAATCGGTAAAGTCCCCGGAAAACGGAGCAAAGCAAACCGCGTTACTGCTACGTCTGCGCCCATCTCAAGCTCGTCCTCCTCGATGACGACCCCGATGATGTCCCCTACGCTTCTCACGACAACTCGGGTGTATGAGAGTGCTGGGACTTACGGACGACATAATATACCCGTCTCTGCGACTTGTTATCCGTTTCCACAGGAGTATTCGACCGGTCTTCCGCTCGCGACTGAAGCGACCTACCATTCACCACCCGGCTATCCTGCACCCCCAAGCCAAGAAGACCAACCCAACCTAAACGGTCTATGCTGGACAGCAGAACTCGACCAGCTGGGCGATCCAGGCCTGCTGAGTCCTGACTGGGAGATCAACGCGCACGACGAACCCATACCTCCCTCCGCCACCATATCTACATCTCTACCAGAGGAAAAGAGTAACATCACAAAGGCATACCCATCCCCAATAAACACAATACCTCCCTCCGCACATTACACTGTCTATCTCAGCCTCCTGCACAGCATCGATCACACCATCCAGTTCTCGCAGTGCAAGTCCCCCAGCGCGATGTCGGAAACCGTATCCATGTCCATGTCCATGTCAATGCCCATGTCTATATCCACAACACCAACGCTGGATTCCATCCTCGTCGCCAGCCAGAGATACCTCTCGACTCTTCTCCAGATTGCTGATAGCCCTGGCTTCACGCATACCTACAACGAGGAACACCTGCTCTTCTCGGTGGCGCTGGATAAGATTATACTCCTGTTTGGGCTTGGGTATGCGGACTTTAGACATAGGATGGAGATATACGATACCATGGGCATGGGGATGGGCTGGTCCCGGTATGGCGCGTTTGAGATGGATGCCGTGGAGCAGATGGCGCTGTGCCGGAGGGTTTTCGTCGAAGAGGTTAAGCGGGCGAGAATCTGCCTGGGGAGGTTGGTGGAGGCGATGGGGTATATTTCAATTCCGGGATCTGGATCTGGATCTGTGTCTGTGTCTTCGTCGCCTGGAAGACATGAGGGACTGTGTGAGGAGATGAGGAGGAGACTTGAGGGTTTGCTGGACGATCTTGAACGAGATCGAAGTATTCAGGGCATGCATTTGGTGGGATAGTGAGCTTTCCCTTTTCGATCAGATTGTTATACAATATGTTTAATAACAAGTCGTATTCGCAGTTTAATATGAACATTTATTTGATGTATTTGTCTACACATTACTCATTTCCTATCTTATTGCCCGGTATTGGGCTTGTTACGGTCTACCAGGTAGGCGACTCGAAAAATGAAAAAGATTATGATGACGAACAAACAAACGCCACATCGGTCTAGACCGAATCGAACGTTCTTATCACAGATGGCCTGTTGAGAGGTGAGGTTGTATCGAACTGACACCAACGTGGCATCGACTTCCGCAACCGGACGTGGCCATAGCCCTAACCAACCAACCACCCCTGACCCAACAATTCCTGACAGCCGCCACGCTCTCTTTAATTCTTGATTCTATTCATCTCTAAATCACCGTGTAATGTATACCTAGAATCGATACTCGCGAGCAGGAGCCGTGAGCCGTGACGCAGCACACCATGATCGCACACACCCACTCTCGCTCCAAACGCCTCATCCTCGCCCTCCTCGCCTTCTCAGCCCTCCTCAGCCTCATCTGGCTAAACACCCCATCCAAAGACGAGAATGAATCCTGGCGCGAGACACTCCGCAGCCTGACCGTCCCCGCGAGCAACACCCGACGGATAACCAAAGTGTCCATGCTATACGGGAACCGGAATACCCTCTACGAACGGGCGCTGCAGAGCCATCGCCGCCATGCAGAGCGCTGGGGGTATGGCATGGACGTTCTCCAGAATGATATCGCGGTCGGGTACTGGAATAAACCCAGTTATTTGCTTTCGTTGGTGATTGAGGAGTTGGCGAAGCCTGTGGCGGAACGGGTGGAGTGGTTTATGTATGCTCCCTTTCTCCTTTACTGTTAGCTGATATGCGTTGGGGGGAAGGATGCTAATTTCTTAGGTGGGTTGACGCCGACACAGTTGTTATAAACCCAGCGATACCGCTGGAGATCTTCCTGCCGCCATTCGAGGTCGAGGATATCCACATCATCGCGACAAAAGACCACAAAGGATTAAACACAGGGATATTCTTCCTGAGAGTGCACCAGAAGACAGTGGACATTCTGATAAAAACACTTGGCTACCCGGTCTACAATCCCAAAGTCGCGCTCGGTGTGCAGGTCGACCAGACAGCCATGGAGAAGGTCGTGGCGCAGCCCGCGCTCAAGAATAGCGTGCTGTATCTACCGAGGACGTGGATAAACACGTACGAATGGGCACATGCCTATGAAGGGGATAGGGGGAATTTACTGGTCCATTTCCCGGGACTTGGGGACCAGCGGTGGGCGCATATGGCGAAATGGTTGGATATTGTCGAGCAGACGCCCGAGGCGTGGGAGGTCCCCGTGAACGAGACGTGGTATTTGGAACAGAGTAGTGCCTTTTGGGACAGGGTGCTCACTGCGAAGAAGATTATCTGGGAGCACGAGAAAGCGCTTGCTGCTGTAAAGGGGCCTGTTCCGATGTCGTCTCGAAACAAGCAGATGGAGCGCGCGGTGGAGGAGCTCCAGAAGGTATTGTCCGAGGAACCGTACTCGGACAAGCTAATGGACCTGCGGATCAAAGACTGTCATGTAGCAGTGGAGAGGAATTAGACTTAGATTAGACTCAGGTTAGGTTGCAATGTTACCTCGAGGGTTGTTAGAGGACTTCCCGATGCGGACATCTTTGACATCACAACTCGCGGTCGTACAGACTCCGGCGAGTTTCGCGATTTATTAAAAAGCCACTGTAGACCCGCTAGACGTTAGACCCACCGTTCTATTCCAAGTGCATCGCCAAGCGCATCGCAATATGCAGTTCAGCTTCATTGTGGGCAATTTGCCCTCCTTCCTGCTCGTCCTGGGGGGTGTATACTTCCTCACGGTACGCCTGCAATTAGTATCTTGATATAAATAGAAACTGACAGATCCAGCTCGCCCACCGCGTCAGCAAGAACCCTCTCTCCTCCGTCCCTGGTCCCCAAATCACAAAATGGACCGACCTGGTTCTCAAATACTACACTGTTATCGGCCAGCGCCCCCGCTACGTGCACGCCCTGCACCAGAAATACGGTACCGAAAGCCAAATCCAGAGATGGATTATCTACTAACTAACTATCAGGTCATATCGTCCGCATCGCCCCAGACGTGGTGGATATATCCTCCATCCCCGCCGCGCGCGAAATCCACCGCATCGCAAGCCCCTTTCTCAAATCCCCGTGGTACCGCCTCCTCACCCGCAAAGATGGCGAGAGTATCTTCTCCACCACGGACCCGGAGTACCACCGACGGCATAGACGTCTTCTCTCCTCGCCTCTTTCAGAAGCAAACCTGCGCACCGTCGAGCCGCTCGTGAAAAGCCGGGTCCAGCTCGCCATGTCGCGGATCCGCGAGGAGGCCCTCTCCCCGCGCGGGGTGGCGGACATCTACAAGTGGATCTTCTTCATGGCGACGGACATCATCGGCGAGTTGAGTTTTGGGGATTCGTTCCGGATGCTGGAGGTTGGGAAGAAGAACCAGTATATAGCGGATTTGGAGACGGTGGCGAAGATTGGCGGGATTAGGGCTACGTTTCCGGTTACGATGAAGGTTGCTACTTTTCTTCCCCTGTCGATCTTTAAGGAGGTTGTGGTGAGTACGGACCGTATTTTGGATTATGCGATGCAGTCTATCGATCGGTACAAGTCGCATCTGGCGATGAATCCGGATCAGCCGAAGCCGACGCTTTTTACGAAGCTGTATGCGGCGAGTAAGGTCAAGGAAGGCGAGGGGGAGTGCTTCAGTGATCGGGAGATTAGGAATGATGCGCAGTCGTTTATTGTTGCGGGGAGTGACACGACTGCGAATACGCTGGTGTATCTCATCTGGTCTGTTTTGAAGAATAGCGAGATCCAGGAGAGACTAGTCACAGAGCTGGATGCCTTGGTGAAAACGCTTGAGATTGAAGAGGGGATCAAGGATGGCCTTTCCGATGAGCATCTACGAGATCTGCCTTATATGAACCAGGTCATCAACGAAGCCCTGCGTCTATACCCTGTCGTCCCATCTGGACTGCCTCGAGTTGTGCCAGAGAAAGGCAGCACTTTGGCTGGACACTGGCTCCCGGGTGGTGCAACGGTGACTACACAGCTGTACTCGCTGCAGAGAGACTCGGAGGTATTCGAACATCCAGAAAGGTAAGATCTCCTATAAAACTACTGTAACAAAGCTGAGAAATCACAGTTTCGACCCATCCCGGTGGGAGTCCCCAACCAAGGCAATGAAAGACGCTTTTATGCCATTCGGAGCTGGATCACGCAGTAAGTCCTGACCCTTCTTTTGCTGTGCTGTTGCTAACGAACAGACTGCGTTGGATTGCACCTCGCCCGGATGGAATTGCGCCTTGCAACAGCGTTCTTCTTCCGCTCTTTTCCGACGGCGAGAATGTCTCTGCGTGAGGGCATGTGTGATGGAGATATGGATATGATGTTGCATTTCCTCCTGTCGCCCAAGGCGAAGCGCTGCTTGGTGGAGGTATAGTTTCTCAAGTGTCCATGGCCGGATCATGAAGTATTTGGATCTTGGTCATGGTTAGGTAAATGAGATGCCGTAACAATCCTTTACTCCATCATCCAGGATATTCTCAAAAAGCGTGACGACATCTTCTGTGTAGTTTATATAAACTCTCCAGCTTTGGGTTGCTGCATTCCAAAAGAGCCTCTTGTACCCTTCACGCGACTCTTCGGGCTGTGTAACAAGTGCAGCTTCCGGGTCTTTGCCCTGCCCAAACGGGTAGAACCAAAACCGTGAGGTTTCTTTATTATAGAGAGTAGACAGCTATTATTGTTAGCAAGGAACACTTTGATAAAGTAGATGGGTCTGTATCTTGGATGCGGAATCGATTTTGAAGAAATCAAAGAATTCGGTATCTGTGTGAAGCCTGTAGACGACGCAGTTGCTCTCGCCGCGTTTCTTGCGTTGCTGACGGACGATGGCTGTGTTATACATCAGAGTCAGAGTAAGAGTCAGATTAGACATATATAGATGCATATAACTCACCCATATACGCTCAGAGTGTCTCCCCTTTGAGCCACCGGGGAGTGTTGTCGACCATGATGACCAAGTACTCGCGTATATTCCCACCGCTATACAAAGCCAAGCGTGTGAGTAGTATCGGCAATCAAATACCGCTCTCTATTCTTACAGCACCATTGATCCCTTGGCTCTGAGATGATACAAGGTAGAGAACGAATTCCGCGACACTTTCAGCATGAATGGACAACCCCCTTTCCCTGTCCGCTAGATGTACCTGGTGGATAGGACCCATTACCTCGGTTGCTGCTGTATCAAGAGCGGTGGGATCTCTTGAATTGTGAATGTCGGTGTCGAGAACATGTTTCCCTTTACTCGACTAACAAGTGGGAAAGGAGATGCGCAAGGTCGTGAAGCTGCAGGATTCAACCCCTCACCTGATACTATCGAGCAGAGTGACATGTAAGGGGAGATAACCCCCCTTTCGTAAGTCATGACTAGGTGACGCAGGTAATCATTTCGGTAATGTGTCACCGATATCAAATTCCCAACACTGGTTACAATAAATCATGGGCATGTATCAATCTTAAACCAGCTGTATTAGGTACAGAGGTAGCTGCTCTTAATACACCACGTTTGTACATATGCGGATCCAGCCGGTTGTTCCAAGCTGCCCTTTCATGAGATGCATAATTGGGAGGGTGACGCATTCAGTTTCAGCGATGCTTTTCCAGACAAGGCTGGACTCTTTGACAAACATATGCAATTCCGTGGGGATAACATGACCAACTGGGCTAATCTTTTTGCCAACAGATCCAATATCTTTACTTTCTCCTTGATTTGTCAAGGTGGAAGGACAGAAGTATCTCAACGCTGGCCGCGAAAATGGTCTCCCTGCGTAGCAAATGTGGGGTAAGGCATACGCAAGGGCCTACCGTGTGGCTGCCATCTGCCAGGATACACGGCCTAAAGAGGAAGAGATGGTGCAGTGGGCAACAATGTGAGGGGGTTGCATTCCACCCCGCCCATGATGAATATCAAGTTGGACAAGTCTAACCGCATGTATCATCCAGGTCAGTCCACCACCAAAGGCGCACATTTGAGGGGAGGTTAACTGAGCTATATAAGCGCCCAGTGAATTCAGATTCCAGCAACAATGGCCATATCTTCAACAATATGCCCCCACGACAATGCAACGACAAACTTGCCTTGCAAGGATTGTATCCCGGAGGCTTCGATCGACATCGAGAAAAAGTATGACTCGGAGCGTGAGATTCAGCTCAGGTCACGAGATGTGATGGGAAATGTTGAAATCGATATCAATGAAGGGTTTGAGACTTTTGCACAAGACCCTTGGATCCGTTCAGTGGCACCGCCCACGGCCTCAGCAGCGAGACTGATCAAGGATGCCCACCACAAGGTGCTCATAATCGGCGCCGGACATGCTGGCCTTCTCTTTGCCGTGCGCCTCATTGAAACAGGAGCTGTTGGCGCAACTGATATAGTCCTCGTTGATAAAGCCGCTGGGTTCGGAGGGACCTGGTACTGGAACCGGTATCCAGGCATTATGTGCGATACTGAAAGTTACATCTACATGCCACTTCTCGAAGAAACCGGTTATATGCCTCGCGATAAATACGCATCGGGGGATGAGATCAGAAGTCATACTGAGCGCATAGCTGGTAAATGGGGCCTTGCTGAGAGAGCTTTGTTCAGGACAACCGTGCAAGAGCTGTTATGGGACGAGGGCAACCGACTTTGGAGGGTGTCTGCAACGACTGTAAGAGGGGGGTCAGAGAACGATCAAACAAACGTCCGCCTCACTGCCGACTTTGCTATAATCGCCCAGGGGGTGTTTGCGAGCCCCAAAATACCCGCATTCCCAGGTATATCCGAATATAGTGGCAAGCTTTTTCATACTGCTCGGTGGGATTATGATTTCACAGGCGGGACACCACAGAACCCGGAATTGGCCAGACTACGGGATAAAAAGGTTGCAATTATTGGCACTGGAGCTAGTGCGGTGCAAATAGTTCCTCATCTCGCAAAGTATTGTAAGGAACTTCATGTGTTCCAGCGCACGCCCTCGTCTATTGATAAACGCGGAAATGGCCGTACAGACCCGCTATGGTGGAAAGACAAAATCCAGTCCGAGCCCCAGGGGTGGCAGAGAAGAAGGATGGAGAACTTCAATGCTTTCACCTGCAATGAACAACCACCTCCACCAGTCGACATGGTAGCTGACGGGTGGACAAAGATGCCTTCTTTCAGTCTCGTTATAGGATCACAGCAGAGCCTCAACCCCGACTATGTTGAACAGATGCAGGGGGTGGACCAAGTACGGCAGCAAGAGATACGAGCCCGCGTCAATGATACCGTTAAGGACTCAACATCTGCCGGCCTTCTGGCTCCTTGGTATCCCGGATGGTGTAAGCGGCCATGTTTCCATGACGACTACCTATCCTCATTCAACCAGATGAACGTTAAGCTGGTTGACATCCGCGGTAAAGGAATAAGTCGCTTTACACCGAGTGGGATTGTAGCAAATAACACCCACTATGAATACGACGCTGTCATTTTCAGCACCGGCTTCTCTGTCATTACCACCCGAGCCAGTCCCGGATCACGCGCTAATATATCTGTCATCGGCCGGCACGGCCAAACAATGGATGACAAATGGGCAAATGGTCTGGCAACGTTGCATGGAGTGATGACTCGGGATTTGCCTAACCTCTTCTTTCCCGGAATGTCCCAGGCTGGGACATGCGCTAACCAGACATATAGCTTGGATCAGAGTGCCATTCATGTTGCCTATATTCTCGCCAAGGCCATAGAGGGCGTAGAGGGCGCAAAGGCTAAGGTGGTTATAGAACCAACAGGAAAGGCTGAGGAGGACTGGGCCATGCAGGTTGTCTCGCGAGCGGCGGCTCTCCGAGGACTAGCTGGCTGTACGCCAGGTTATTTTAACGGGGATGGGATGCTTGCTCAACCAAAGAGCGTGGAAGCATTAAAGAAAGCAGCTCGGATGGCAATGTGGGGAGAGGGTATCGCGAGCTACGTAAGGCAAATTGAAACATGGAGGGCAGAGGGGGGCCTCAAGGGGCTCGATCTGACATAGCTAGAATAAAATGTGCTATGGGCCACATGAAACAGATAGAGCAATTCAGCCCATACTGTTCAAATCCTGAACAAAATACGGCCAAGTGAAAGGTGGCTGACAAGCGACTATCAACATGGACAGACCTATCGCGCATTCTTCGCTGCTCATAATGAGGAACCAGCAGACCATATAGCCCCATATCCTTGATGGCAATGTATCAGCCTGTGCCAACACCTTCACCTCCTGCTCTCGCCAACGGGCAACGTCTTTAGTGTCAATTGTCCAGATAGGCACCCCATCAACCTTGGGCGATGCCCAACCAATCATTCTCCGAGCGAGCGGTGTCATAGTCTCGACAATATCAGCGGATACCCCCAGGGAGGATTCAAAGGGGGTCAAGTAGGACCTCTGCACTGGGCTGGTGCGGGGACAAGCTTGTCTAGACTTGGATATGATCGAGTTCAGTCAAATTTATAGTTATAAATAATTAAATTAACTAATGAGAATCTGCCATACGTCACCTTGCTACAAGGGTCGTAATTCATCAATATCGTACCTTACATACATCGTGCTATAAAATCGAAAGACGCCATGCAACCAGAACCAACCAACGCCATCTATGCAAGAAAACATATAAGGAATGACAAGGAAAATAGAATGTGACTATCGGAAATCCTCAAGGCTGACTCAACGCCTTCAGAAATGCTTCAGCCCCTTACAGCAGTCAGCACCATCAGCTAAAGTCCTTAAGATAGATAGAAATACATACCTCGAGTAGTCTCAAAGCAGAACTCCACCCACTTCTCCTTCTTCCACGGCGTATCAGACACCGAGCCCGTCGAGCCACGAGACGTGCGAGACTCCTGCGACAGAGTCGTCACCGAGCTTTCCACCGAGTTTCGACGCAGGATGCCGAACCCGTCTTTCTGAGCGCGCTGGAGAGGGAGTTTGATATGGGGTTTACCGGCTTTGGGGGGGAGTGAGAAATCGGTTACTGGATTTTGGGTCAGATAGAGGGCAGTGTGGAACAGAGGGACACTGACCTGGTAAATCGAGAAAGCCCTTGAGAGTACTCTGCCCTCGATTGGATGCAAAGTACAGGATGGATATTGAGCTAGTTATGGGGTCACGTAGGACGCGGACTGTTTCCTGCGAACAGTGTTCGATCATACTACTCGTCTGGATAGAGGTCACGTCGCCGCAGAATAGGACGCTGCGGCGTAGAAGGGTACTCTGGAACATATCGAAGTCTTGTTCATTTAGTTACTGCAGTCAACTTTGACAGAGTGTAGATACCTTGCTTATCATGGCAGATATAGACAGGCGAGATGTGCCATCGGTGGACCTTGCTCTCCTGCTCGAGCTTCAGCCGGTGCGAGCCCATGAATGTAATACTGAGCGGGGACGAGTACCGGCTGTGTCGGATGTATGGGGTCATGGACGTCTCGGTGTTTCTGGACGAGCGTTCTCGTTTGAGAGAGTGTGTGAGTTTGATTCCAGTCTCCGGGTCTGTGCCTTCGATCAAGTCTGGCTCGTTGGTTCGGGGGTGAAAGTAGACAGATAGCTGGCATGTAACTGGGCAATGGAGGGAGCTCCTGGGATTTTGGCTGTCTGGGAATAGTCTGCTTTTGTAAGCTAGTTATATAGTTACAAGTGCTGATACGTACACTTTGACAGGATGGTGAGTGAGTTGCACAGACTGTAAGCTGGATCTTCGGTCCCAGGAGGATGAAACATCAGATGATGGGGACTGGGGAGAGCTTAGGTCTATTGACGGTGGACGGGACAAGGTTGTTAGATGGTCCTGGGGTATCCATCGTGGTGACGGCGTCAAATATGAACTTGCAGGAGGCGACGAGCCGTACGGAGGTGTCTTTGGAGGCGGATGCAGCTCAGGAGATGCAGGATGCAGGTCCAGGCGTTCCGAGGGCATTTCCAAAGAATGAACGAGCTGGAACTGCAGCCAGTCCTTGAACTGGTCCCAGTCATCCACTGCGTTGTTTAACGCCTTTGCTGACTTTCCACTGTGATGGAGTCCAGGCTGTTGCTGGCCCGGGATGACGACGTGCTCATACCCAACCTTGTCAAGAGCCTCTCGCACCTCATCGCCAATCTGGTTCAGCAAGTCGACAACAGGGGCGACGATAGTCGTGTCGCTACCTATACTGTCACTGGTGTTGGTACGTTTTATAGACTGCATGCGCTCTGGAGACGGCGTCATCTGTCTGCCGATGGTATCTAACCGCAACGCCAAGTGCCCGAGTCTGTCTGTTATATCCTGAATCCTTTGCAATGCGGCCTGGCTATCGGACTGTGAGAGGACGTCGTCTTCCGGGATGGCGTTGAGGCCTGGTAGGGGGTCGAGTAGCGACGACAGATGGCGGCGCTGTAGTCTGGCGAGATATTTCGCATCGGGGGTTGGGTCATTGGGAGCACCGTCAGGAAGACATCGTTTAAGGATCGAGGAGACTTGGACGCTCATAGTTCTGCAAAAGATCAGTATCAGTAGCTGTGTCTAGCCGAAGACTTACTTTACTGCCTTGAGTATCTCCAGATGGTCGACCCTGGCCTGCTCTGAATCCCTCGCCAGCTGCTTCGTCACGTCTCTTGTATTGGAAGTAACCTTGAGGATGGCAATCTGGACATATCGATCCAGGCTTACTCGCAGCTTCTCGGCCTCTTCACGCTCCATCGGCCAGGAGACCTTGTCCCATACACTGACCATCCTCTCCCCGAAACTAGGGCGTCTCTTAGTCTCTTCGCCGGAAGGTATCTTGGCCTCTTGACTCAGTAACTCATGCTTCTTGATAAAGTCAGCACACCGTGAGAGTGTCTGATCATATCCCTTCCCCAGGTCGAGATCCTCCCCGGGACAGGTTTTGGCGACCTCTCCAAGCCTTTCTAGGGCGCACTTGATAAGATTGAATTCGACTCGGAATGCGGCGAATTCACTCTTCGCCGATCTCATCCCCACCCCGACGGCTTCGTAGATGCCCCATGCCAGCCGGATACCTTGTATGATATCCCCGACGCTCCAGCCGCCGTAACTCATGTTGGTGAGAGCTTGTTCTCAGATCGAAATATGGAAGGTTGTAGTCGTAAGTGATATAATAAGCAGTCAAGTGGAGACACGAGGGTAGATATAACAATGGAGATTGATAGTCAGCGTCGGAAGAAACGCCCAATAGGTAGCAGCAAAAGCAGAAAAAGCAGCCAAAGTGGCAGTCAAAGAAGCAAAGCAGCAGTAGCACTGCTACTGGTCTCGCCAGATAAAGAGCTTACTGCAATAGCTCAGAACGGAAGCTTTGATATGGAATGAGGCTGCAAGCCAGGTGGCAGCGATGGGTCGAGGCACGACGGCTCGGAGAATAGATCGACCCTGGTCTGACTGTCAATCGTTGCCAGGGCACGTTCTCAAATCAATAGTAGCAACCTTGGGCTCATGCAGCTCGTGGAATGTAGAGATGACCCCCCTGGCCTGCGCACAGCCCGCAGTGGCGTTTCCTAGTGCGAACTGCTCCCCAATAAGACCACCCAGGAACGCAACGTGGGTAAAAGAGACGCTGAGGTTATTCTATACAATATCCAGCCCCTCTGTTCCTGCTCGGTTCTTTTCAACGCTTTTAGAATCACCGATCGGTCCTGTCCTCCATCCCAACTGAGCCGCACAGATCTTGTACTGTGGATACTGGAGAACGAGAAGACTTGACTGTTCTAGGCAAGGCTTCTATAATTTCTGTATTGTCTCGGTTAGATTATTTTATAGCCCGGGCAACTGCAAGCAGGCTGTCAGGGGGCATCCACTGGAAAACATACGAGGCGCACTCAGCCTCCCGGGCAAACGTCGCCGGGCGAAGGATGTCTTTATGACTGCCATGTCTCGCACCGACGTAACCGCAGTAAAAATGACTCTCAACAAATATTGCTGCATGAGTTGATACAATGTCGCTGCTGCCATCTGTTCGGTTGCACCTCAACCCCTGGAGGAACTATGAGAACTTCCAGCACCACACGGTGAGACTAAGCGCCAGTTTCGTCAAGACAGGCTAACGCCATACAGCTGGCCCAGCGCCATGAGTACATGATCGGCCGGCTGGAGAATGCCAAACGGCGAGAATGGATGTGGGTTGTGATTGTAGCAGGCATTGGGTTCTTCACAGATGCCTACGCAGTATGCTCTTCTTCCTAATCTGTCGAAGGCTCTCTAACAAGCCAGATCTTCTCAGTCAACATGGTCAACCCCATGATTGGGATTGTCTATTATAATGACCGGAATAACTTGCCGAAAAGCTACGGGGTGGCCATGAGTATTGCCACTCTTGGCGGTGCTCTGGTCGGCCAGGTTGTCTTTGGCATTGCCGCTGATATCTGGGGTCGACGCAAGATGTACGGGCTGGAATTGGTTGTCCTGATCTTTACAACTCTGGGCGTGGCATTTGCGTCTCAAGGCGCCGAAAAGTCCATGAATATTATGGGCTTGCTGATCTTCTGGCGCTTCTTCATGGGCTTTGGGCTTGGTGGTGACTACCCATTGTCGGCGGTTATCTGCGCCGAGTAAGTTTCCCAGTACGTCCCGTTTTAGATGATTTAATTAAGGATCAGGTTTGCTCCCACTCGTATTCGAGGCCGGATGCTCGCAGCTGTCTTCTTCTGCCAGTCTCTCGGCCAGCTGGCAGCCAACCTTGTCGCGCTGATTGCCGTCGCCGGCTTCCATCACCGGCTCAAAGCTGATGCCAGCAATAATCACCTCTGCGACCTGGGAGACCCGCTCAAGGATTCCGACTGTATTCGAGGCATTGACTCCATGTGGCGCCTCATTATTGGCCTTGGTGCTGTCCCGGCATTTATCGCCCTGTGGTTCCGACTCACAATCATCGAGTCCCCGCGATACACGGCAGAGGTCACCCAGAACAGTTTGCAGGCTGCAGCAGATGTGTCATACTTCTTTAAATCCGACGAGGCTCTGCCTGTGCCTCAGATGCGACAAGTTCGCGAGCCTGTCGATACCGACCTGTCCCCGGCCACCTCAAGGCCAGACTCATTCCAAACCAGTGTCAACACGAGCCACTCTTCTGCCCCAGAAGTTGAGATCGCAGGTCCGGTCAATTTAGGCACGTTCTGGCGAGCCTTCAAACTGTTCGCCTCCAAGCCCAAGCCCTTCCGGATCCTCTTCGCAACCTGCTTCTGCTGGTTCTGTCTGGACCTCCCATTCTACGGGCTCGGGCTGATCAGTCCCAAAGTCATCAACAAGATCTGGGATGGTAGATCAGATACCGAGCCGCCAGGTGTTGCGGACTTTCTCTTCCAAAATTCGTACAAGAGCATGGTTGTCGTTTCCATCGGCGCTGTGGTGGGCAACCTCCTGGCCATTTTCACGATTGACCGTCTAGGACGCCGCAACATCCAGCTGAATGGCTTCTTTTGGCTTTTTATCCTGAATATCGTTATCGGTGCTACTTTTCGCCCGCTTGCGCTAACGGATCATCCGAATGCTTTGATTGTGCTGTATATCCTGTCCCAGATCTTCTTCAACTTCGGTGGGTGGCCTGTTTCTTCAGTTAGGGCTAGCTAACGTGACTACAGGCCCGAACACAACAACATACATCGTACGTCACTTATCTTTTTTAAGAAACTACGCACTGACAAGTTGTATTAGATGCCAGCTGAGCTCTTTCCCACTCGCTTCCGGTGCACCTGTCACGGTCTCGCCGCCGCCTCAGGCAAACTCGGCTCGGTCATAGCTCAGTGCTTCATCAGCTTCGTCGACTTCGGGAAAGGCTCAAGTGACAAGAGCGCTGAGCCAGAGAACTGGCTTGGATATGCACTTCTGTGGTAAGTCAAATCATTTACCTTCCCTTCTGTCTTCTAGGGCCGCAAGGTTAACGAAACGATGTCAGCCTCTCCGCATTCATGCTCCTCGGTCTCCTTATCACGTACTTCTTTATTCCAGATGTCAAGGATGAGAACCGTAAGATTAAATCTTTGGAGCGACTGGCGGAGGATTTGTTGTCGGATACGCCTGAGGTTGGGGATGCTGACGGGAGGGTGTTCGCTAATGGGAATGCGTGACGAGCTTCTATATTTAATGATAATAGTATATTTAATCTATTTCAGTAACTGTCCCCGATTTGCCCATTAAGCTTAGTTTTATTAACCAAACCCTTATACATCACATTATCGAGAAATACTCCCGGACCGCTGCCTCACAGCACCTTGCTGATGCGAATGTCTCCGCTGAACAGCATCATTCCCTCCCCTTTCACCTGCAAACGAGGGCATCCCACCCAAACTCCCCAGCACAGCACTATTACTGGCCGTCAAGTCATCCAGAACACCAAGTTCCTCATCACTAAACCACCTCGGCAGTGCCCAAACCCTAAATGGGATCATGGCGATGATCAAGACAGGGAACCCTACCCAGTTAGTCCAACAACATTAATCAAAAGATAGCGCAACATACATACCGACAGCAGCAATCGTCTGCGATATAGCCACACAGGCCGCAACAGGAACAACCTCGCAGGCCAAATAAAGCCCAATTTTCCTCTTTTTTATAGTCAGAAGCGGCTCGTCCCGCGAGACAAACCTCTTCTCGCGGAGGAGGAAAATCATCTTCTTCAAAATCCCATTCGACTCAATGGATCCCCATCCAACGATAAAGAAGACGCCCGCGAAGACCGCGGCGGGGATAGTATGCAGCACTATAAGCAGTGGGCCCGTCATTGTCCCGATTATGGCGAGCCCCATGAGGAAATGCGAGATGCGTTGCTCGACTACGGCGGTTGCTTTTATTACGGGGCGGCGGATTTCGGTTTCTTCGCTTGGGTCGCAGGTTGTGTTGATTATGTGCAGGTCTGTTTCGTAGATTGTTAGGGAGTCGGTATGCACGGGGGCCTGTTTACTTAGTATGCCACAGTATATAAAATAAGTGAGATGAGGTTACCTGCGGAACGAGTCCATTTGGCATCGGTATACCGGTTATACCAGCAAGGAAAGTAGTGTATCCAAGCAGGAAAAAGTCCCAGTGGAAGCCGGCGGGTTTCTTCAGTGGGAATTGGCGCGCTTGTGCCGTGAGGCTGCTGACGTTCTGATACTGTCAGCTTTATTGTCCTCTGGATGCCTGCTGGTGACATACATGATCATAATAAAACAACAACATGAGCAAAAATCCAAACGGCAGAGCTGCAAAGACCCATTTCACCTCCAGCTCCCAGAAGTGGATTAACCAGCCCCGAGACTGCGTAGGGAAGAATGCCTTCGTTATGGGGACGAACGAGATACCGCCGGATTTGAGGGTTCCTGGGAAATGGGAGAAGCCGGTCCAGAAAATTGTTCCAATCTGTTTATAGTTAAATATGAACAGATGTAAAAGGGGAGCACATACCACATAAGCGTAATCCGCCAACAATCCTCTGAACCAGGCCCGGCAGATTGTGCTCGATCCTAGCCACTCCAGGCCGTATATAGTCAGGAAGTAAAGAATTGCAATCAGACAGCTCAGAAACCCAGCTGTTGATCCGTAAACAGTAAACTCGTTGACTAGCTCTTCTACTCCTTTTACTAGTCCAGTTAATAAAAGACACGTCAAGGGTGGAGTGAACGTACTGCAATAAATAATCCCAACATACGCCCCGAATGATTCCGACGAGAAATCAGTCACATAGCGCATATAGTCGCAGAAATTACACACAGCAACAATCCAGTGGAATATCGCACCCCAGATCGCAACCCAGCACATGAAGTTTGGATAGATGGCCGGCTCATATATAACCACAATGTCGTAGATGGTGTAGTTGAAGAGCGATATCAAGCCGGTGATCCCGACGATAGTCAGCGGTTGTGCACCGAGGATACTGAAGATCATCGCCGCCAGTGCAGAAGAGAAAAGAGACTCGTTGACGCCGTAGAACTCGCCTGTGCGTCGGTACATGTCGAGAGTGTAGGCGATGGCAGGGAGTACGCTGTGTTGTTAGATATGTCCAAGAGCTGCTGTCTATAGACTTACTTGACAAAGTACATTCGGATTGTACTTGCAATTGTTCGATATGTCAGGGCGTCTGTAATATCACTCCAGTAGTAGGGCAGTCGTCGGCGGACATCGTGGTACATGCCCTTGCCTGGGTTCAATGCGCGGAAGCGCTTCCATCCATGGCCGGTGTAAGTATACGCAGAGTTTTCCGTTTTTGATTTTGGCATTGCCATGTTTGACATTTTGATGGATGTTGACAGGGTATGCATGAGAACGTTGGTGGGAATGACCCTTATATAGCCATGGCTGGTGTATAGTTAGTATGAGTGGCAGAGTGGGTCAGGTCTGCTCACCCATCCAGTTTGAAGTATATGGTCGTAGCTCTTCTAGAATGATGAGCTGCTCCAGACTAGATAACTATTTATTTATCCAGTAATAGCCTTCTGCTCGTTCTAGTATGCTATCTATTAGACTATTCTGTGATGTAGACATACTGTAATGCTGAGTCAGCAAACCAGCCCGGGCAGATTTTCGTCTTGGCTGGAGTGTTCTTGTTCTTATATTCATCTCGCTGGTTCGATATCAATATAGATCGATAAATGACGTATGCATCATGGATTCCACGTCTGCATCGCCGCTGGTGCTGCAGTTGTGCGACCTGCTTAACAACTCGGTCTTCCCAGCACAACTCGCCTCCGCCATCAAGGCCAACCCACGCGAGTCTCTGTTTCTAAAAATCGATGCATCGCTCATCACTGGTGCCCAGTTGGAATCTGACAAGTGCTCATTACATCTTGTATGGCCCTTTACACTGGTTCCTTCTTGATCTGACGTTCTAGGGCTGCATCGACCTCTCTAGTGGGACGGCTGTGCCGTTACCTCCGCCCACGCCGGCGTCTACTCCTAGTCCAAGGGTGCGGACACATTCCATATTATTAGATTTGGCTGACAGTTTCAGGGTAACGGAGATAGTCTAACTCCTACTTCAGATACCTCTAATTGTCAATCCTCGAAGCGACGCAAGACAGTGAGCGGGCTCCGACTTGCGCCTGCGCCAGCAACCAAACAAATACAGCCAACTACTGCAGATAATAACACGATAGAAAGCACAGATGAGACTCCAAAGTCAGTGCGCCAATTTCACAGTGACACTCGCTTTCCGCAGCGCTCCAAACCCGGACAGGGCATTTCACCACCGGTTCTCGAGCCGTCGTCCACGGATAAACTAATCGCTGGGATATGGCGACAGGTATATTCGTCTGTCCAGCTCAGCTGTGATTTCTCTGTATGATCTAAGCACTCGATTATATGAGTTACACTGATAGAAGCAGAATATAAAGCCCACTATTAATATCCGCTCCGGGGCAAGTCTAGAGGTAAGCACCACCACATCAATTTTACATCTACTAACAAGAAAGGTCTTCAAATCCGTCAACGACCTATGTTTAAAATACTACAATAGAAGCCAGTCCTCGCGCGCACTGGAAATGATCGTCCAGGCATTCTGGGTCGAATGCTTCGAAGCCCGCACCGCCGTTCTCCGCTACGAGAAACCCATCCTATCCAGGGCGGAGGCGCGCATGATCGCCATCCGAGAGGCCTGCGTTATATTAAACTGGAAGGAGAAGGATCTGCGGAATCGGATGTATGTCTACCACTAAATTCTTGTATATATAGCTGATAAACAGGGCCATCTGGCGCGGGTACAAAGAAATAAAAGACCACGGCGGCTGGGCAAGTCTCATCTTCGCCAGCGCCGGCGTGTACAGATTCTGCAAGTACCGCGCAGAGTTCGGAGAGCTTTTATTCTCCCGGCTGGACCATATCAGAACCAGTCTTGAAGTTGCTGCCGATACCCTGCACCCGGAGTGGAGGGATCTTTTGCAGGTTATACAACAGGACACCCCGCGCGTCTACCACGGCCATCCACATGAATGGGTTACTACTACAAGTACAGACGGCAGAGCATTTCCACTAGACTCTACATACGAGCATCTCCAATCCCAGCTCCCGAATGGATTCCAATACCGGTTTATCGACGAATGCGTGCTCGACTCAAGTATATACGGGACGAGGGATCCGCGTCGGATTCCTGGGCTAGACAATCCGGATATTTGCGCCTTATGCAACGAGAGACAGTCTGATGAAGTCCAGAAGAACCAATGTATGTGTTTCCCCGCTCTATTTGGGGGCGTTCGGGGCCCTATACCGGTTCAAATCTTCCGCACGAACGGGAAGAATAATGGTGTTGTTGCGCGTTGTGTATGTCACCCTAGTAATCCACCAAGCCACCATCTAATAATAGAATTGAATAGCCCTTCGATCGCGGTACCGCAATAGCCGAATTCACCGGCCTCATCACGTCCGGCATCGAAGGCGTGGATGTAATGATCGGTGGCTCAGACGGACGAACATTCCAAATCTTCCAGGGTGAAATGGGCAACTTCACGCGCTTCATCAACCACTCGTGTCGACCGAATAGCCAGTTCCAGCGGTTCTACTGGCGCGGTGTAGAGCGGATTATTGTTGTTTCGAGGGGTGTGAGTGCGGGCAGTGAGATTACGGTGGATTATTCAGATCGATATTGGAGGGAGTTGCGGAAGAGGTGTTTGTGTGGGGAGGCGTGTTGTCGGTTTGGTCCTGGGGGTAAGAATTCGGGTTGATCTTTTTTCTGCATGCTGGGAGTATTCTTGTATATAGTAATGAGATATAGTTCTATAACAAACAGCGTTACGCAACTACCTCCTTAACCCTAACGGTTGCCTGGGCTTGTGTCGACGAACAGCCCGTCTGATTATTGCTACGAGCACAATAGAAATATTCTGTGGTTCTAATAGATATCTTTTATAGGTATATAGTGATAGAATGCAGGAAAATGTATGTTTACTATTGTTATACTTGTATACTTCTGGGGCGTGCCCTAGATCAGCTGACAGCATCACGTGGAGTTGCGGTGACATAAGCACACACGAAGGGACACCGGTGTAGACTGATTGATTGTTTTGAGATTCATATCTGCACTTCACTCTGTCAAACCTGTCCTGAGTGCTCAATTATCAGAAGTTCTTCCAAAATGGTCTACACCATCGTCGTCCGTGCGTCGCCACCCCTCCTATCCCATCTCCATCTCCAACTGCAACTGCATCTCCAACTCAATCCTTCACCCCACCAACCCCGCATATGCTAAGTTGCTTGCTAACCACCTCCAGACATGAGGGCCAAGCCCGACCAGGAGAGCATCTCCAAGCTGTCCGCCAAGCTGCAGGAAGCGTCGGCCGTGTACTCCAAGGACAAGGAGACGCTCTCCTGGCACGTCATGCAGTCCGTCCACGACCCGCAGGACTTTTGCATTGTCGAGCGCTACCTCAACGAGGGCTCGCAGACTTACCACCTGAACAACCCTTACTGGAAGACGTTCGACCCTTATGTTATTCCGCTGTTGGAGAAGGAGATGGATCTGAGGCGGTTTGAGGAGCTTGAGCCGAAGGCTGAATAAGTGTATTTAGTACTGCTTCCAGTCTATCAATGCAAATAATGGATTGTTTATATGTAACCGACTATACAAGAATGCAACTGCAGCATACTCTCCAGGATTACTTCACTCAGACCAAGATACCGGACTATGGAGATCATGCCAAACGAGACACATGGTACCCTGGACCAACAGCAGAGAACGAGTGGATTGCATTGCGTGGGCGAGGGGTGTATGGATCATCCCCATAGATCTCGTCGTCATCGTAGTCCCTCCTACGGCGCGGGCGATAGGTGTATGAATCGTCATCGTCGTCTCTCCTACGGCGGCTGTACCCCCCGTACGGTCTCTCTATACGCACACGCCCATAGTTCCTCCCAGATGCGCCTCTCTCTACCCTGGGTTCTGAGATGGAATCATCCCAGGATGTGCGTTCTATGATCCGACGAGTGCGTCTCGGGCTTTCATCGAGTTCCAATAACTTCCCCTGCAGGGCCCTGAAGTCGCTGAACCTGGAGTCGTCGAGGATATCCGTCCACTCTTGGAAGTGGTTCACTTTACTGCCAGCCTCCATTATCAACCCTCGCTTTTCATGCCCTCGCATGGCTTGGCTGAACATGTCCTGCAGTCTTTTCGCTTCCTCGACGACTGCTGCTGCGCGGTCTGCGACATCGAGGACTTGCTTGAGGCGGGATTCTTGCTCGTATGCGGCAATGACACTCAGCTTGGGCACTGTATACGACAGGCCAGCTGGCGCTTTCAGCGTGCGAGGGATGCCGAATGTCAGGAAATGGCAGGCTGTGACGGAGAGGCCGAGCTGGAGGTTAAAGTCTGCACTGCAATGCACAAGTAAGAGCAGTCGAACGATCTCGGGCAGTCCGCTTTTACTCCCTGGCTCTTCGTACAATCGCCAGGAAGCGTGAGTCTTGTCTTGGATGGCGCCGTGGATAATCCGCACTCCTTTAAACGTTGATGTCTTGTTCTTGGAGCCCTCCAGGCTGATATTGAGATTCGATGGGCCGCCACCCCCGGCAGCACCGACAGTGAACTTTTGCCCTGACGACACTTCCTGCTCAGATACTTCCACCCGGTCTGCCTGGGGCATGATGCCGCGGATATTGGGGGCTCCTGAGCCGGCACTGAGCATCGCGTCGACTTTTGCATAGCGAATACGGTGGTCCATCGAGTAGGGCCGCATGAAGTTGAGCTTGATCTGGACCTCGTGCATATCCTTGCCCTCGTGGACGCAGGGGGAGATGGACTCGAGTTTCGCAGCAAAGCTGATGTCGTGTTTGTTGTAGCTGGCCAGCAGGAAGCCGTCTCCGTCTTCACGGGTCACGCCGGCCCAGATATTGCCTTGATCTTTTATCCCAGTATCTGGGACTGGCTCTTCGTGTTGACTCGTAGTCGGTCGTACACGATCGTATGATGCTGACTTTCCTATCCGATCCTCAAGCAGCTCCACGATATCATCGGCCCCCCGGTCCCTGGCTAGTTGCATCCCCGTCAACCCATCCTCGTCTTCCAGAGAGATATCAGGCCCATGGCACAACAACGCCTCAACTCCCTCCTTCCAACCACGCCCACAAGCTTCATGCAGCGCCGTCCGTCCCCATCGATCCCTCCTGTCAATAACCGCTCCATGCCGAAGAAGACCATGCACCATTTCCACACTCCCAGCAGCAACACACAAATGCAACGCCCGCCGCCCTGACAAGTCCGCAATATCAACATCCGCATTTTCCGTAAGATACCCCCCTATCTTCGCATTCCTCGCCGTTACCGCCCTATGCAGCGCCGTCCAGCCCATGCTATCCTGCCTGCCCGTATCCGCACCATGCAGCAACAACTCCGTCGCAGCCATAACCCCATCCTCCTCCCCTTCCTCCCCACCCTCCATCTCAACCCAATCCCTCCCCGCAACAAGATGCAGCGGCGTCTCCCCATGGGAATCCTCCATATTCACAACAACCTCGCTGCCCCGCCCCCGCAAGGCCAGAAACCGAATCATACCCACCGTCCCAGCAGCGCAGGCTTTATGCAGCGGCGTGCGGCGTGCATCGTTGTTATCCCTGCAGTCGAGATTTGCGCCCTCTCCTAGAAGTCTCTCTGCGACGTCGACGTCGCCGTGCTTTGCGCCGGCTTCGTGTAGGAGAAGCTCGTTCTTGCTGCGGAGCTGGGTTTCCAGGTTCTGCAGTTTCTGCAGTTTCTCCCATGTATTCGCCGTCTCATCTTCATGTTCATGTTCATGTTCATTATCTCGGCTTCCACTAGCATCCTCGTCCAGATTTGACCCAGGACGAGGATCTGGCGGTGACTGTCTTCTGGCTTTATCTTGTTCGACCAGCATGACTGACTATGACTATGACTGGCATCTAATGCAGCCAGAATTAAGAATTAAATTGCAATTGCAATCGCAATCGCAATCGGAGTGAAAGCGAGATCAGATCAGATCAGATCTTGCGTCGTGGAATTGAGGAGGCTGGGCCAGCTACATCTTCAGGGTGCGGCTGAGAGGCGGCTGAGATTGGCATTGCTAATTAATTATACCTAGGGCCCCAAGCTGAGTCTGTCGGGGAACTTCATGGGGAGATATATGACAGTAGAGGCATATGCCCGATGCTATATACATCTATACGGAGTACCTTGCCAATTCAGTTCAATGACGAAGGGACTCTTACTTTATGAACAGTCAGCGAGTCTTACCATCCTTAACCTTAACTCCTTCAGTAAAGGGGCGGGGTCCAGAATGAAATGCCCGGTAACAAATACCAATACGAATACGTCGAATACCGCGGCGCAGCGGGAGTCGGGACGCTTCCCCCGCCCACTCGGCCCCACGCACACGGGAGGGGCGCTAGGTCTAGCCAATGGGTGTATTTTCTGGTGCTGGAGTGGGTTCGTCCTTGGATTTTACGACTGACGACAGACGAGGTTCACGTGGGTGTTTCTGTTGGCAATCTTTGTTGATCCTGGCAGTTAGCATGCCTGGAAGGAATGGAGCTAGACGAAGGTGTTTTTATTCTGCGAGTTGTGGGGGTAGATAGTCCATGTGCTTTGCTGGCTGAAGACGCTGCTGTGCTAGGTACTGGAGGCCTGCCAGAACTTTCGTGCTTGCGTTGATACAGAATTGTCGAGGTTCGGGAATATACTCTGCATCAGTGGCGATAATTGAGAATAAATCTCGCGATGGCTATGGCGTGCATAATGCTAACGCAGAGAAGGTGGCTGTTGTTTCGAACCTGTCACATCGATCGGTGACACAACCCAAGGGGGCTCGTATCGAAGCGTACAGGCTCTTTATCCTTGAGGGAAGTCATATCAATAAGGCAACTGCCTGAATATATTTGCAAGTGTATCTGGATATGTAGCTGTCGATATGGATGTTGATATGTTGATGTGATATCAATGCAGAGTAAATTAGAACAAACACGCTCACCCAACGCCACGCTCAATCAAGACAAGGACACGCTCAAGGAAATGAATGAATGGAGATCCCGCTGATGACCGATAAACGATAAATCAGACCCAAAGAAACGACAGTATGTATAGCAGCAGTGCTGCAGAATTCTGGTGCTGTACTTAGACAATTTGTAGTGTTACCGCCGAGTGCGACCGACCCGGAAGGTCGTCAAGTCGATTGATTCCACCGACCCTTGTTCGTCGTCGACCTCGATCGCGCCCTCGCTTGAGGCCGGTCGCTTCAGCGACATTAATGGTTCTGTAGCATTCGTTTTAGCCGGGCTTTCAGCTTCAGCTCCAGCTTCAGTTTCAACAGCAGCCTCCTCCTCTTCCTTCTTCTGCTCCTTCAGCAACTCAACCTCCTCTGCAACCATCTTCAACAAAGCAGTGAACCGTTCCTTCACGCTATCCAATTCTGACGCACACGCACCCGCCCGCAGGAACTGGTACGCAGCCGTTTCGCAGAAACTATGCGCAAGCTCAAGATTCTTATCCGCCGCATCGAACGGTGACTTCCTCGTCGGTTGCTGGGCTTGAGGCTGAGGCTGGGGCGGGCCTCGGGCGCGCGAAGACCGAATACTAGCCAACAAATCTTCAGGCTCTTCCAGCGTCGAGAGCATAGCACGGGCGGCACTCCTAGGCGGGGGCGGACGAGCACCAGGACCACCAGGCATCGGCAACTGAGCCATTTTACCCCGTCGTAGGTTATTCCTCGCCGTCCCGATATTGCGGACCATTTCCTCAAGCGTCTTTTGTGTGTAGCCGTCGTAGTGGATTATAAGGCTATGCCGCGTGCTGATGACAGCGGGTGTATCCGAGTTGGAGTCGGGGGACGAGGCAGAGGCGTCGTCGTCGTCGTCGTGTGTTCTTTTCCGGCGGATGGAGTTTGTTTGGATTGAGCAGACGGAGCTGTTCTTGCGGCGGCGCGGCCTCACAGGCCCGGTGGAGTGTTTCTTGAAGGCGTCGGCGAATTCAGCGTGCTTTGCGGATGTATGGGCCGTCAGCTCGGACAGTTGGGAGATCCAGGTGGGGAGGTTGTCGGAGAGATAGGAGAAGGCGCCCAGGGCGTCCATTTGGGCAGGCGGCATTCTCAGTCGACAAGTGTATTTAGGATATAAGATTCGAACGAAGGCTGTTGAAGGTTAATTCGTTTCGTCGTGGTATCATCAGCCCCGATACGAAGATGGGGTTCTGGCTGTGGAGGTGAGGCCGGGCGGCTCTCAGGCCAGTTCCATGGGTCAGCAGCGGGACGGCGACCAGGAGATGTCGACAGCGAGGACACGAGGTGGCCTCTCGATGAATTGTTGAAGATGTGAAGAGAGGAGCTGCAAGCCGGGGGATGGGTGGGAGAAAAGGGCGAGAAGAGGGAGAAAGATCGGACGACTGCGAAACCGTCGACTCAACGGGGACCTCACGATGGACTGACTGGGGGAAAGGCGTGTAAAGGACGGTGGGCCCGGTCGGGGGTGACCTGCAGCCGTACGGTCACTTACACGGGACTCACGGCTGTCAGTGCGTGCTGGCTGCTCCGGTTGGACGGGAGGGTCCGGCTGCGGCAGCTAGCGGTACCGGGATGTTTTGTGACGCCCGTATTAGCCGTATTGGCGGTGTTATGGTCCCCGTTCGGGGTCCTCCGAATTCCTGAAACCTCAGGCAGCCATCTGCAACACGACTCAAGAGTGAACACAACGAACACGACTGGACTGGGATTGAGTCTGTACGACGAGACTGAATGGCTACAAACCGAACAATGGCATTCTCACGGTGGCCCTCCATGTCAGCGTCATCAAACAGCGGTGAGCCGGCTGCATGCATGAATCCTCGGCCGTGTCAGTGCAATTGAAGCCTCCAGGATGCAAGGCCAATCCAGGCTCGACTCAATGACACGGCCAGAGCACGAGGTGAGGGTGATCATCGGTGTTCTACTAGAACGCCGTCCAACAATGAACAACCGTTGCAATCTCCAGACTTCGAGGAGAGCACTTCTCGAATAAATGATTCAATTCCAGATTATCCACTCTCAGACAGACAGCAGACAGACAGCAGACGGAGACACAGGCCAGTTCTCGCCTCGAGCCCAGACGCCATTCCCAAACAGGATCTGACACGTAACGGTCGACCAGCATGCGAATCCGCCGCCCGTCATTTGCGTCCTGGCTGGCTCGTTGGCTTGGGGAGGCACCGCAGCTGGATTGTTATTGATGGCTTCGCTTGCATGCTCGTGCCGTTCCCGTTCCACTGGCAGACTGACTGGCAGATCATTGTTAGCTGTTGACAACTCAGCAGTCACAAGCTGGTCTCCAACTTGGCAAGTTGACTCCAGTCTGAGGCTCGCTCGCTATATATACCTAAATAGTATACACTGCCGTATCTGACAGGATAGAGGCTAATATCCATTTCTAGCATTACAGAGTACAATGTATAATTAAATATAAAAGTAAAATTAAAGTGCAATAATTAACTCACTGATCCATTTATAATGAACACGAGCACAAATCCCACATCCATGCTATATTGGGGCTCATATCACTTTACAGCAGGGATGTTGTTAAATACACTACTGCATCAACTAGCCTTGCGAGCAACACTAACTCGGTGATTATTCCTGGATGCAGTAATCCCATGCTTTGCAACTGCATGCCACCGGTTCCTTAGCCTGTCTCTCCTCGGATCCGAGTCGGTTACATCGCTATCCAAACAAGATAATGTAACTTTTGTCATATATACACCCCTCATCATACTCTAACTCAGCTCTCAATTCAAACAACTAAACAGATTAAATCTGCACCTCCATAACAGGCCCATCATAGACCTTCCTCGCCCTCAGTACATAATAAAGCAGCGCAAGAATAATCGTCCCCACCGTGCCCACAACACTAAAATTCATCGTCGTCTTATCAACCTCCATCTGCGACGGCCAGAAGCTAAAAAACACCACTACCACCATATAAACCACAGCATAGGTGTTGATCATGTCGCCCCAGATCCCGGGCACATGGAAAGGCCCCCAGACGAGCCTTGCGCCGGGGACGTTGACGACCCCCGTTTCTGCACCAGCTTCGCTCTTTTGGTATGCGCTGATTGCGCCCGTGTAGCGTCTGTAGAGCAGGAGACTGCCGACGGTTAGGTAGGAGAGGTAGAGTCCTGAGACGGCCATGGAGACGACGGCGTTGAGGGCTACGCTGGAGCCGATGTTGATGAGACCTAGGAGGCAGCAGACGGTCATGGTGAGGAGGATGGAGTAGGTAGGGAGGCAGTTGTATGGAGACACCTAACATAGCCTGTTAGATATATTTCTTTTCACGTATTATGGTTAAATACCTTGCTCCAGACACGCCAACCAGGAACAGCGCGGTCGCGCGCAAAAGACCAGAACTGGCGAGACGTCGCAGCGAGCATTCCGATGACAGAGCAGATGGCGATGATCAGCAGGATCGAGGACATGCCGAGAGCGCCAGAGACGGAGTCGGTGGCCTGGTAGAAGATCTCCATGAAGGGGTATCCGGTTGGGGAGTTCAATGCTGCGTCGACGTCTTCCAGGCAGAACAGCACTGCAATCAGCATGCTGAAGCCGAGAGTCCCATTAATCAGGACGGAGAGCATGATTGCGCGGGGAATTGCCACGGAGGCATCCTTGACCTCCTCAGCCATCTGTTTAGTTAGTACCTCTCCAGTTCAGACAATAGGGCAGGAAAATAGAGACATACATGAACAGCAGCATCCCCCCCAGCAAATGCAAAAACACACCCCGTCATGCCCACAAACCAGGACAGACCCTGCGATGGAAACCCGCCATTGACGAAATTCAGAAACACGTCGTGTGTGCTATTATGCTCTGCCATATACGTGATCGGGATCAGAATGCCAAAAAAGCCAACCAGATGCACAACCAGCACCGCCGTCTCGAACCGCGGCAGCAGCTTTCCGCCGGCGATATTGATCCCCAATGCGAATAGCACCGCCGCCCACATAATGAGCGTTCCCTGCCATGGCTGCGCCGAGTAGCTTGCGTGTCCGAGAGTGACGGCGCCTTGGATCTCGGTGCCTGCGAGGAAGGCGGACGAGGCGAATGCGGCCTGCCAGCCGATGACAGTGACCCAGCCTGTATCAGTAGGTCAGCAATGAGATCGTAACAATTGGTGGTTCACGCACCAGTCAGGTAACTGAGGATCTTCATGTACTTCGGCGGCGCTAGCATTGCGCACCAGTGGTATTGTCCCCCAGAGGTCGGTGCCATGGAGGCCAGCTCGGATATGACCACGAAGCTGCATGCAGTTCCTGTCCAGGCGAAGATAAACGAGTAGACTGCTCCTCCGGGCCCTCCACTGTATACCGTTAGTTCAATTCGACCGCAAACAGAGCTTTGTACTGACTTTTGTAGAGGTAGGAGGAAGGTACTATAAAGGTATAAACAGTTAGTGGTGAAAACACAGACAGATGGGCGAACATACTCAAATAAACCTTCCCAGGTCGCAAGGATAGTACAGCTGAAGCCGAGTGTAGAGAGAATGCCAAACGTTCGCTACGAGATCAGCCATTGCTCATAGAAATAATCCTCTTTACGTACCTTTAAAACAGACTTCTTTCCCACTCGCGCCAGATCGCTCGTGTCGCGATCATGCCCCCCCGTGCCAACCTCGGCGTTCGCAGAAACAGCGCGGTGCTTGAGCTCGTGCGACTCCATGATCGTTGCAGTGTCAAACTCAACGGATACGAAACTGGGAGTGCTTCATTTTAAGAGCAAGGGGAGGGGAGAAAGTGGGTTGTCTAGGCTTGCAAGGGAGCAGGGTGGCCACCGTCGAAGCAATGGAACCTTCCGTTCATGTCTTAGTACTAATGCTAATCGCAGACGCCGGAGGCAGAGACCGTCTGGCGTCTCTAATTTAGATCCCTGTCGAGCCTCCGAGCGAGACTGGCCTGCGATCAAGGACCCCTTGGACGCGAGGGACAGCCAGACCTCCTCAAAGTCAGCACCCACTCAGGCTCAGCAGTAGCGGTAGAGAAATAGAGTGCACGTTCAAGTACGTATCAGTTCACCGATCCTCAAGCTTAGCATGTGCTTCTGATCTCGATTCTCTTCCAGTCCCACAGCCGGGGCTACCAGCCCAGCCAAGCCGCCACGGTGCCACCAGGGCGCGATTCGAGATTGCATCGCAAATGATAAATTGACCCCCGGGCAATTAAGCTAATGGCGAAACTAGGCTTTTCTTGGGCATCTGGAACCGTCGATCAGCCGGCTGGGCTTGTTTCATTACGTGTTGGCCCTTGGCGCGGTCTTTTAATGTAACCTGTAGCCCTAACTGCCCCGCTCGTACCCAGTTATACCTTACGATCAAGCCACCAGGTTCAACTCAACTGTCTTCATGGGCTTGTGGATTGTTCATGATGATATGTACATTGATATGTACATTGATATGTACATGGATATGTACATGGATATGTAATCTATACTCATGTAAAGACCCGCGATTGAGATGGAAATACCACCGGGTCATGGCGTGATAATGCGAGAAAAAGAAATATGGCCGAAGGACCAGGATGAGATCCCTGTCCCCGACATCAAGCGCTCGTGCTCGGAAGATTATTATTAGTTCGATTCTCGAGGCCTTCGATCAGAAAAGTGGACCTCTCGACCCTGCGTTCGAAATCATATCAAATCACCAACTCTTTTTTATCTCTCACCAGGCTCTTTATCCTGCCGCGTTACATTGTATTTCCCCGATGTCAACACCATCCCGCCCTGCAGGCCACAAAGTGCCAGTCCGCTTATATTGAGCCGCTGCCCTGGCCCTGGCCCTGCCCTGTCCGGCTCCGTTCCGGCATGACTGGCAGCAGCCATGGGGCGATTTGCCAATGTTGACACCTGGGACCCGGCTGTCAATGTCACAAACTGGCTTCTCGTTGTCGTGGCCGGTCTGAGTGTCCTCATCCGGCTGGGAACGAAGCTGTGGATCTTCCACAGACTTACCAGCGATGACTATCTCATCATTGCAGCGTTGGTCTTCTGCATTGGGCAGTCTGCGTCCATCTCTATAGCAATTGAGCACGGATATGGCTATCATTTCACCACAGTCTCGAGCCATAACTTCAACCAGGTCATGAAAGTATACAAATCCTATATTTAACCTTGATCAATTCCAGCTAAAAAGTTCAGGCCCAGTACTCCGCATACATCCTCTACATCGCAAGCCTGTGCTTCTCCAAGCTCTCCCTCTGCACATTCATCCGCAACTTAACCCCAGTGCACAAAGACCACTTCCAAGCCGCCATCCTGCAGATCGCCATCGCTGTCCTGGGAATAACCGGTGTTTTGGGTACGGCCTTTGAATGCCACCTGCCCCGGACATGGGACTATATGCACGGGGAATGCATCAACTTGGTATACCACCCATCTCTGGATATTCAAGGCGCTTGGCCCACTTTGCTAACTATATCAGCGCGCCTGGAACTACTTCATATCCGTCGCGAATATCGTCACAGACGCCATGATTGTCTCGCAAGCACTGGTCCTCATCTTCGGTATCCAGGCTACATGGAAGAAGAAGCTCATGTTCGCTAGTATCTTTCTCTCAAGAATCATGTCCGTTCCCTTTATTCCACCTTTATTTCTTAACCCTCCTTCCATATCTAGCTAGCTAGCTAACAATTCTCCTTGTGTCAGTGTAATCCTAGCAACCATCGCCGAAATGGTCCTCCTCCGGCACAAGCACGGTTCCGATTCCGCAGATCCAACATACGACTACTGCGCGTCCACAATCGCAATGCAAGTCGTGCAGTGCGCCAGTATCGTCACCGCGTGCTGGGGCCAGCTTAAGCCGTTCTTGAACCAGCTCAAGTCGAATGGGTTGCAGATTCGCGGGGTGGAGTATCAGTCTTCGACGTGGCTGAGGGGCAAGAGTCATTCGTCCAAGTCGAGGTCTTATGGGCTTTCTGGGAGGCATGGCAATAGTAGTCGTGGAAGGGAGCAGGGGGAGCAGCATGAGCTTGTTCCTGTTGCTGCTGCGGGGAGGAATTTGACGACGGTCGAGGCTGAGGCGTCCAGGGGGTGGGATGCTGATAGTCAGTCGAGTCAGGTTGGGATTATTCGTGAGACGAGGACTTGGGTTGTCAGTGGCCATGATGGGCGTGTCCATAGCCATCAGTCGTAGACTATACTAAAACACATCAAGCAACTGATTCATACTTTATTACTACGTTATCTATATCTAGCAAGTGCTAAACCATCCTCGTAAGATCTGCCTTAGTCCCAGTCATACCATGCTTCCGCCCCACTAGCTGATGGGCTTCGTCTTTCTCTGTCCTCCTTATTCTCCGTATTTGGCTTTCCTGATGCTGCCTTCTTCTTCTTTGCCCCTTGATGGCTCGAGTCTGAGCCGTCCACCTGTTTTTGCTTGCCCTTGCTGGTTTTCGACCTTGCTAGGGACCCTCCTTGTCCTGTAGATGGGCCTTCTCCAGGCCCCTCGCTGTATTTGGTGGCATCTTCACTGTCTTCCGACTCTAGCTTCCTTTTTTTCTTGTTTTCAGAACCAGGCTGTGAGGCTTCTACACTCGGGAACGAACTCGGCGACGTGTGACTTTCACTCTTGAGAGGCGCTTTCTCTAGATGCGATGTTAGACCTGTGCCAGTTAGATCTGATCATTCCAGTATTCAGGTGGGTGCTGCTGTGAATATCACACCTGGTGTCTCCGATATTGGAAGTCGTCAAGAGAGAGTGTAGATGTGGCACTGCAAGTCCACCAGGAAATGTATCATCCTACCTTGAGCTGGCCCTTGCGAACTGTGGCTGGTCTTCGAATCCTCATCGGGCAGCAGGCTTTCTGAACTCGCGTCGTAACTCACATCTGCATCGCTGGGGCTCTCATCGCGTAGGTCCTTGGGATCAGGCAGCTTGATCATAATATGTCGAACTGTAAAGGTATTGTTTCGTGACGATATAAAGAGTGTCAATAGAGTAATGGATTATGGATACGATAGTCAGTAGTAACGAGAATTCAGAGTATCTCGAGTGGTAATAAATATGTCCGTCGTCGATTTTATGTACACAGGAAGGCACGACCGACATCCAACTTGCAGCCAGTCATCACTTGTTGAATATAGAATTACGGCCACAACTCCGTCTCCTTCCATTCTCCATCGTCCCCAGAAAGCGTCCATCGGGTTCGCCGCACATCGTCAGGATCTGAAAAGTCCAACACCTCCATTTCCTGCGGGAGAATAAGCAAAACCCGGAAGTTGGCCCTCGCGATCGGATCCTTGAGGTCTTCAATCTTCTGGCCTAGTTTGAGCTGAGGGTCAGAGGGCACTTCACTGCGCGGCCGACCAGGAGGCGGATTCTTAAAGCTCCCTAGCAGAAAATTAGTTTAGCCTGACCAGAAAAGGGCCTATTGATACTCACCTCTCATAACAGGGCTGTGGTTCGCGAAATAAGTAGCCACCTGTCTCTCCCAATTCCAGTCTCCGACACTCCCTCCCCCATCACCCTTCTTCTCCCTCATCCTTTTATTAACCATCTCCCTAACCTTTCTCTCCTCCTCATCCTCCTCCGAAGCACCAACAGTAACCGCCCTCCCCCTCACCCTCCACTGCGCCGAAACCTCCTCAAACCAAAACACGCCCTCCACAACATCATCCGAATCCGCCAACTGCCCTACCTTTCCCATCCTAGCATCCGTCGTGACAGATAGCAAATCACTCTCGTAGACATCCGGGTTCAGCCCAATCCTCTGCGTGTTGAGCGCCTCGATCCCGGCCTTGTGCAGCGTCGATGCGGACTTCGGCCAGAAGCCGCGGAATTCGACGGTGCGCGAGCGCGGAACGGGTCTGTTGGATGGGGCATGTGCGATTGTTGTTAGATTGAATGTCGAGACGCGGCTCTTTTCGAAGCTGGCGAGGAATAGCCCGCGCCAGGGGGCGGCGGAGGGGGTCATTGCAATTTTTATTCTCGATGGACTGACTGGTTGCGGTGCGGGGAGACTGAGATTCGATGGTGTTGGTGCTAGTTCGTAGTGTAAATCACGCGTCTCTAGAAGATATAAATAGTGTCTGTAAAATATAAGAGCTTCTAGGTCGCTCTATCTTGTTGGACTTGGAATTGGCCGCTTGAAGAAGCAGAAGTGGTGCTCGTGTGGGAGTCATGAAATGGAGATGACGTTTTCTCCGCTTATCTTATCTGATCGTTTTTGGCAGGAGATTCCGCCATAACTCGTTTAATGGAATGTCCAGATAATGTTGATTAGGTTGTTGTATCTCTATTAAATGGCTAGATTGAAAATATTTGGATAGACTCTGACGTTGGTTAGGTGAGTAGTCGGTGCCGCCATTAATATATATATACTTAAACCCGAAGAATTTGAACCTCAATTACAATACAGCAGTCCATAATAGATCAAGCACGAGAACAATTGCGTTCTACCCGATTAATATGCTAGATTCACATACAACGCCATAGCGGAAGCAACATAGAAAACACTCGAATCCCAAGACCATACCATGCCTCATACCGACACCCAGCAGAACCAGAACAAGGTATCAATCATAATATCCACCACTCACATCTGCATGCGATCCTCATCCCCGTCCTCCGCCCCATCAAGCGCACCCCCCGGTATCCTCCCTTCGTTGAGCTCGCGCTCCAACCGCGTAATCTCCTGCAGACTCTTCGCCTCCCGAATCATCTTCTCGATCCTCTTCCGCTCCGCATCTGTAAGCTTCACCCGGATGCCCTTTTCTGCTGGGGCGCGGTCCGCCCCGCCGGTGGGGACGTCAAAGGTGCGTGACTTCACGCCGAGGATCTTCGATGCAAGCGCGGAGGGCTCCTTGGCTGTGCCGAAGAGTTCTGTGGCTTTTGCGCGCTCGGCGTCTTTTACTTTTTGGTAGTCGAGGAAGCGCACGCTTGGGAAGCGCCAGATTATCCACAGGCGGTAGTTCTAGCACGGCGCTTATTAGCCTTACCCTACCTACAGAACAAAAATCACATAGCGGGGGAAGGTTATGCGCACCTCCTTCCTCGTAACCGGATTCTCCAACAACACCAGATGCGTCAGTTTCGTGAGGCCCCGCAGGGGATCTAAATCCGCCAACTCGGCAACATTATTCGCAGTCAAGACGAGCGTCGAGAGACTAGGGATCGAGGTCGAAATGTTCGACTGGATCTGACGGACTCGGTTCCTCGCGAGGAGAATCGTGTGCAGCCGTGGGAAAAACGGGAAGTTGCCCAGCGAGGAAATGTCGTTATCGGTGAAGTCGATTGCATCTTGGTCCTGTCCGCGCACGACCATCAGCACTCATCTCGAAACTACAAGATGAAAAGAAGGGCGTACCTTTGCAATACCCAAGTTCTCAATTGCGGGGATCTTGTGCCCTAAACGACTCCAACGACAAAGGTCGATATCAATCCAGCTCATGTAAAAGTGTAGTATCTGTCCTTTTCAGACACTGTGTGTGGAACGCACCTCGAAGATCTAGCTCGCGATCCTTTAGCGGATTGATGTACGACAGGGAATTTTGGATCAGCTCGACTGTGAGGCGCATGGTGGCGGTCTTCTATCGGTATTTCATAAACGGGTGGAAAGAGGGTGGACCAGCCGATAAAGAAAGAAAGAAAGCTGTATTTGGTAAATATGAAGTGCAATCGTGGTCTTGTAATATGGGGACGGACTTGCGATGATTTCTGGAGCTGCAAGAAGATTCTGCCGGGCGGTGGGCGCAAAGTCATTTATGCACGTGACTCAATGCCCTAATGAGTGTAAGTACTCATTGATGATTCAGATATTTAGTATTATTCATCTGGTTTGTTTTACATTGTTTGTACAGATATGTATACCAGTGTTGAGTCCGTTACTCGGAGCGCAAAGTCTGATAAAATGTGGAACTACTGGCCTTCTAGTCAGCCTGTCCAACGGGCTGAAAGTAGGACTGTAGGAGAATGAACAAGTAAAGCAATGGACTACATATTTAAGAAAAGAAAACTGGCTAAAATAATTTATATTTAAGTATAGATAGCCAAGGCAAGTAGGTAACTATGTAGTAGTATGTACTCCTGAGCACATTAACAAAGTGATTTAAACGCCAGCCGCGGAATAATTCAGCGCGGCTTTAAATGTTCAGCATTGCCCAGGTACGCCATCGTATGCATGCAAGAAGACTGCTCTCAATATCAAACATTAACATTAATCGTGTAGAGGTGTCGTATTGGGTGAGTTGTGGAAGTTTGGCCGTGACGGACTGGGTGCTCGAGACCGGCGTCCGTTCGTCGTTGGGCCCAATGCGATTGGTGCCAGGTGGTCCCTGCCTTCTGTCCTTACGACCAGGCCACTGCGATCGATGGTGGAGAACCCAGGCGCGGCACTAATACCGAGCCCGATCGTACCAGCAGAAGAGTTGTCGTGGTTGAACTGAAGACGTGCAGGACTATTCTGACCCCAGCTAGAGGTCCGCGGGGGTGGTAAGAAAGCTGCAGATTCAGCGTCCGATTCGTGTGACGAGCGGCTAGATTCTGAACCTCCGAGCTCGATGTCTTGGGCACCTTCCTCGAGGATGCGCTCATATGAAGGGGTGCTCTGCCCAAAGAATGATGGCTTCACTGCACCGGACGCCTTGCGCTTCCGTTGGTGAATCAAGCGCGTGCCGCGACCACAACTAAACAAGTTGTTGATTGTGTGGTAGACCTTCAGCCGACGAGTGCGACCACAGAGGAAGAACAGAGCCAGGATAATAATAAGCACGAAGAGGATAATTCCTGGGACCCTGCGCGAGGAACCGCCTTCGAAAAGCGCCTCCTGCCAGGACTCCTCGTGGAGATTCTCTGGAGCTGGAAGCAACTCGGCGCTGGGGTATTGGAAGTCGCCGGGAACACCAGCAACATTGCTACCAAAGCCAACGGGGAGAGATTCTTGGGTCTCCACCGGAACTTGCGACGCAGCATAGAGAACCATTTTACCAAGTGTCCAACTAACTTCGGTAGAGTCGATCTTGTTCACGGCTTGAAATGCATCAAGGTAGCCTTTGCTTTGGCCGTGCTCGAGAACTTCCTTCGTACCGTTGTGGCCGGAGCTCGCCATCGGCTCCAGGCCGACCCGTGGCACACCGATGCCATCATGCAGGACGTTGATGATCCAAGAAGCCTTGAAACATACATCGCTCGCCTTTTCAAGGTCTACTTTTTTGCCCCATTTGTGTTCCGAAATTCCTTCCTCAATCGAATCCCAGTCCTGAGAGCAAAACTGCTCTACGCGATGTTGGTAGGTATGGAAGTCGTATGCTTTATCTGTGTGGCCCATCTCGAAGACTTCATGCGTCGTATGCCAGTATTCGCTAATACCCACAAAGTGGTTGACGTCGAAGTCGATTGATGGGACGTGTATTCCATGAAGAAGACATGGTTGGTCAAGGCAGGGTGCATCCTTGTCTAGTAACGGATAGGTTCCTCGGAGGCACTCATCAAACTTTCCAGTGCCGAGAAGATGTTGCTCCGTATCCGCAGCCCCTTCTAGAGGCTTCCCACCCAGTGTGGTTCGCAGTCCGGCCGGCAGGCACGGGTCAGGAAACTCCTGTACTCCTTCGCCATGCGCATTGTGCAATGACTCTAGATACCGCCTCCGAGCTTCCCGCACACCAAATTCCAACCAAGAGGTTACAAACACGCGATGTTCCTGAGTGCTTCCGTCGATGTTGCGTAGCCGGAGTAGAGTTAGATCGTTCGCATGCTTTTCGGTTTCAGTGGCATTCGGTGCGAACGCGATTTGAGCGGAAGCCCCACCCATGTCGAGAAAGCCGTAGGTGTGGTGGCCTTTCCCATGGTCGTGGTGACCGGGCGAGTCGAAGCTTCCGAGCAGATAGTTCGTTGCAACCCATCCATACAGTCCTTCGGTATCACCGGGGATGACTTGTATATGCACGTCGCAATCGGGTAGCGCGAAGTCGTAGTTCTCACGAGCGTAAGAACAAACATGGTCCAGCAGCAATTTTTGTTTTACGTCGTCGACCAGTCGCATCCCAGCAGTGGCGAGGAGGAAAACCGGAGTCTCTTTGATAGCATCGGCGGGGACGATTTCGCGCGCAAAATCGAGAAGTTCGGCAAGATGTTCGGGGCCAATTTCCTCCGGACGATCAGCAAATGTCGAAACCCCTATTGTAATATTGTTAGAATTTATCGCATTTAGGATGCAGATAGAACATTCTGAAACATACCAGGATGTATCTTTTTCACCCAGCTTGATTTCGTCTTGATCTCCGGCAGCGACTTGAGGTCATCTTTGTCGGATTCTTTGCGCGCAGCTGCGTTATCCAACCAACGATAGACATGAACTCGGGTCCCCTTTGCTATGTTAGACGTTGAAGATGAAAGATCCGAATGGTAAACTCACAGATGATCCCGCATCTAGGACAATACCGTAGTGCCCTGGCAAGAATCTTCGTCAGTGGCGACTCTGAAAAAAAAAAAAAAAAATAATAAATACGAGGGGAATACACACATTTACCCATTGGGGCGAAAACCTGCAGTACAGTTGAAAAAGTTTTAAACTATTAACATGACACTGGGGCCGAGATTTGTGCAGCGAAGAAGTCCGTGGAAGAGTAGTATCGAGAGGAGGGGTCTTGAATCCGGGGACTCTGATAACGATAGAATACCCGTGTTCGGAAAAGTCGATATAGCTCGAGTCGAGAAGAGGACGGTGGTGAAGAAACGAATGGCTTCGCGAACGAAGAGGGTGGGATGAAGAGGGCGAGCTGAAACGACAGGAAGGGGGGTGCGAAGGAGGGGAGGGAGAGAACGCGAGAGGCAGGGGAGAGCTGGGGGAGTGAGGCCGGAAAATGGCAGTGGAACGTTTCGATAACGGGAGCGGATGGCGACACTGCGACTGTTGCAGCAGAGGACGCGACAGCCCGCAGATCCCAACCTGCGCTAGTCCGCTTACGGCGGCCTTCCCTCAGCGCACGTTCGCTGCTCAGTGCCACAACAACGGCGATTGTGCAATAGGAGGAGGGCACAGATGCAGGTGAAGACTCTAATCGATACTGTCAGGGTGCAAACTGGGCCCAATGCCATCATCTTGCCGTCAAGCAGGCGTGTTGCCCACGACAGAGGCTTTATATTAATAGTGTGGATGACGCAAGCTTCCTTGGCTGGCGTGCTCGGCTGCGGCCTCCGATTGGTGGACAGTCCGTTGCCGGGCCCGTCTCTGCGAAAGCTCAAACGATAAGAAAACAATTTGCTGAGACGGTCCAGACTCCAGATTCCGGCTGATATGCATGCGCCCAGGGGATCTTCAGGGCTCTGAGATGAGAGATGCGAGGGATGCCTTGTGCAGGAAACTATTTATCTTATACGTATATAATTGCATTAATAAATACCGAATTAACCAGCTTACTCGGCCATCCGGAGACCTCCGCAGTCTACGCTTTCTTGGTCTCTGTCACTGCCTGTTGCACCTCGCTCGAGGGTGTTTTTGACACTCCCATCAACGGCGAGGCGCTGATCCCGTCTAGCATAGAGTGGTCCCCGATCTGCTCATCCACAAAGAATGAGCGGTCCAGCCCGACCATCTCCGCCTCCTCACTAACCCGCAGCCCCAGGAATGGAATGTACTTCATGATCATAAGCAAGACGTAGCTCACGCCGAACGAGTAGGCACACACGGCGCAGATCTCCGCAAGCTGCTTGCCAACCTGAACACCTTCACCGTTGACGGCCCCAGGAATGAGAGAGCTGCCGTCCAAGGCCGAAATGTACTGGTCGGCGAAGATACCGGTCAGAAATGAGCCGACTATCCCACCGACCCCGTGTAGTTTGAAGACATCCATTCCTTCGTCTATGCGAATCCACTCGTTCAGATTCTTGCACGATGAGCATACAATACCGGTAAGGAAACCAATCAGGGCACCAAGCCACACCGTCACACACCCGGCAGCAGGGGTGATACCGACGAGGCCAGCAATGGCACCTTCGCAGGCCCCCACCATAGAGAACCTGCCCTTGTGTCTAATCATATCGACCAGCACCCAGCCTAGCACACCAGTCGAAGCCGCGACGTTGGTGTTCATGATCGCCAGATAGCTGCGGACACTGGCATTGAGAGTCGAGCCGCCCTGTTCGCTGGTTAGATCAGATGCCCCAGAGAAATAGTGGCAAGAGGCATACATTAAATCCGAGCCAACCAGTCCAGATGAATACGGTTCCCAGAAAGACAAGAGTAGTATTGTGGGGCCGCTTCATTGAAGCATCTTGGTATCCCTTGCGCTTTCCGAGTGCAACGGCGTACGCTAGGGCGGCGCAACCTGAAGCAATATGGACTGGACCACCTCCGGCATAGTCAATAGACGGAAGATTATACAGCCAGCCCTGGCTACTCCACGTCCATCGTGCTAGAGGGCAGTAGACAATAGTCTCCCAGCAAAAACCAAATATGAGGGTTGCGAGAATACCACCGCGTTCAAAGGCTCCACCGACAACAATCATTACCTGTAGTCATAAGTACAGGGTAAACTTAATCTGGGGTTGGACGCTGTTCACCGTGCAGGCGCCAAAAAGAAGCTGAAACATGCAGAACAGGATTTCAGGAAGCACATCCGAGCCCGGAGAGGGGGCCGCCATAACCCCCATGAGCCCAAAGTTTTTCAGAGTCCCAATGTAGGGCCCCCCGTTTCGTGAGTAGGTGAGTGAATATCCCCAGAATATCCACTGGAATGAGGTCCTACTTCGAGTTAGCCTCATGTCTTCCAGCTATTTCGGGATTCGAGGGATAGCTTACACCGCGAGTACCAAGAAAGCCTGGAACAAGAATGTCATTGCAGACTTTCTCCGCGTCAAGCCACTGTATAGAAGCCCGATACCCGGGAGAATAAAATACACAATGAAAGTGCAAGCAACGATGTAAATTGAGTGGAATTCGAACCCGGAAAACGGCGCATTCACATCTATTTGCGTTGCATCTCCGCCATCGGGCATGGAGGGTTCATATTCGGGCTGTATCTCCGGTGTTAGCTACGTGGATAGAGAATAAGGGATGGCATACAGTGGACATAGCTAGAACGCTTGTTCGCCCAGTTGGGAAGAGTTGTGATCAATAACTGGTAGGTGAGTATTCTGCGTAGACGAGACCTGCGAAAGAGGTCTTCATCCCCATTTATCCTTCGAGAACCCCATCACCGTCTGGCGACTGAGTCCGAGCCAAGAGGGGAGAAACTGTTATCTTTAAGGCCAAGCATCAATAAGTGCGCATTCCACTCCATCTTTGTGGATCATGAACGGGTCATCAATAACAACACCATCGATGATCAACCAAGGAGTTATCGATAGGCATTGATATCGAAGTGCCAAGGTACGGAATCGAAGGGTCTGGCGGTTCTGATAAGATAAAGCTGGACAATTCTCCAATGACAACGTCGTGTTTGTCTCTGCTGTGTATCCCCGGAAAGCACAACCATCTGGGGTTTAGTGCGAGATTGTAAGGCTGGTCTGTGCCTTGCTGATATCAACCTCGATAAGTCGAGATCTTCGATGCAGCTCGTAATTGGCGGGAGATAGCGGTAAGGTTCGATGTTCGCAATAGAATCATCTTCGCAAGTTCGATCCAGTTAGCTTGATCTCAGGGATACCCTCCACAACTGGGGGATTACCTGCAGGGCTGCACATGTAGGCTGAAGCTGAAATAGAATGACACAGTTCAAGGTATTAATGAGGGCGAGAGTAGTGCCGAAGCTCGTTTTCTGCGAGCGCCTTCAATTAAATGGACGACACCGTAGCTTGGAAAATCGATGGTGTTTCTTCGGTTGCGGGTCAGGTGGTCTTTACTGTTGGCATCCCAACTTGGGCCCTCCATCAACTGTGAATTCTCGCCGACATTTTGTTATCAGTGCGTGTTAATAATATCTTCTTCCAAGGGCTGTATAACCACGACACTTATCAACTTGTTGCTCTCCATGGCTTTGCATCTGATTTCGTAATCATGGCTAGTAAGCCGGGGTTAGGCTGGATCTCATCGGAGGGAATGCTGACAAGCTGTTCACCAAGTTTGCGGCCAGATAAATTCCCCCAATTTGTCCATACCAAATGCATGCAGCTGCAAGGGATAAGAAATATATTACCAAGTTCATGATGGCTTCACTTCCTAGAACCGGTGAGTGAACTGAGACAACCCCACAGTCCGGGGACCCCGCTCATCTACTGAGATACAGCTGTGCAAAATGCACTATCATAGCATATCCTTGATTATACACGCAAATGCCAAAATACTTGTGATTCTACAGTTGAAGCCCTGTTCGTCAATATAAAAGACTTTCAAGAAAGTCCATGCTGTCATCTGTGATATTCAGTATAACAAAGACTGGTGGATTGGATGTATAAAAGAACTAAAACTAGGCAGTGCTCTGTCTCTGGTAAAAATGTTACTGTTACTAACTTCCCGGGCTTTCTTCAACCCGTTACCTTTGTAACACTATCAACTATCAAGACCAATTATATCTGAGCCAACCCCTATTCTCATCTGTCAAAGACTGGAATTGATATCAATTTGTTGAAGCACTTACCTATCAGCACGCAACTACAAGGTTTTAGCTTGTCTTGATAAGAATAATGGCGGGTGACGCGTCTGAGCCCAAGGCCGGGCGTGACAATGTTCACCAGGAGAACAATATAACCAACGAACTCAGTGAGGCTGAGAAGCAAATTGAAAAGAGGCTTGTTCGCAAACTTGACCTCTTGATCCTCCCCTTGATTGTGCTCTCGTTTTTCCTTAACTGCATATACCGGTACTGACTCGCTCTCGTGTACTAGTACTTAGACTGACCTGTATAGGGCTAACTATGGCGCCGCTCGACTTCAGCATCTAGAGTCGGACCTCCACATGTCCGATTCGCAATTTCAGACCGGATTGAGCGTTTTCTACGCCGGATACCTTCTATTCCAAGTTCCCTCGAACATGCTGCTCAACTATCTTGGCCGGCCGTCATGGCATATGGGGATCTCGATTCTCGCTTGGGGCTTGGTCACTAGCTGCACAGCTGCAGTCAACACCTACGGCGGACTTGTAGCCTGCAGAATGCTTTTAGGCTGTGTTGGTTAGTTTTATAGCCTCTACACTATCTGGTTAGAGTCTAACGGCTGCAGAGGCACCGCTATACCCCGGAATAATGTTCTATCTCTCGGTACGTAGTCCCTGATGGTGGCGCAGACCGATTCTAATATCTTGAAGAAATGGTATAAAAAGACAGAGCTTACTCTCCGCATCAGCATATGCTTTGCCGCTGGACTCACTGCCACTGCGACTGGCTCTCTGATAGCTGCGGGCATTTCGAGCGGTTTAGACGGTGCTCATGGACTTTCTGCGTGGCGGTGGGTGTTCTTGATTGAAGGCATAGGTTGGTCTTTTAGTATCAAGAAAAGATATCGGACTTATATTATTTCGTTAGTTTCCATCTGCGGAGGATTCCTCTTCATCGCTATCCTGCCTGATTTTCCACATACCTGGACTGCGTTATCGCCTGAAGCGACAGAAGTCGGTATGTTACCCAGTATGAAAGCGAGGACTCTTCTAACTAGACTTGCCACAGCAATCCGACGGTTGACCCTGGAAGCCTCACAAAGCGACATCGACGACGACAGCATGTCCCTAATTGATGGACTTAAGCTAGCACTGCTGGACAAGAAGCTGTACATCATGACAGCCATCAGTACGTGCATTATCGGGGCCATTGGCTGTCAGGGCTTCTTTCCCACAATGACAGCAACGCTAGGTTATAACCCTATAATCTCCCTCCTCCTCGTCGCCCCTCCATACTTCTTCACAGCCATCTACAGCTGCATCCACAGCTACCTCAGTGACCGTTCAGAAAACCGTTTCTGGTACATGATATATCCTGCCCCTATCACCATCGCCGGATTCGTCATCTTCATGTCGCCAACCACCAGTATCGGACCGCGGTACTTTGCTATGTTCCTCATGCTATTTATATACAGCATAAATAGCACGGCTGCTGCCTGGATCGCGACGTCGATTTCCAGACCCCCTGTAAAGCGCGCCGCCGCTTATGGAGTGGTTAGTATGGTATCTAATACGTCTGCGCTATGGACACCGTACACCTACCGCGCACGCGACTCGCCTCACTTTCGGTTGGCGTTAGGGCTTGTTACGGGGATGGTGGTTACAGCTGTGGCGTTGAGTTTCTTGCTTCGGGTGATACTGCTTCGCGAGAATAGGCATCTTGACGAGGTGGATCGCCAGAGGGCAGTCACTGGAGGGACGGAATATGAGAAACCGAAACAGGGGACATTCAGATATACGGTCTGAGCTGGGCGTTTTATACTTGTGCTCAATAACCCTGGGCCATTATACAGCTGGGTCTTGAATTAGCTCAGTATTCTCAGTTATCAGCTGCAGTGCGGCATGGATAACTATTATGAAGTGACTAAATCAGCTATCTTGCAGGTTAAGTAGTTAAGCAATGATATTGCCTTCAATATTATTGTATTCACGTCGCACGCACTTTAACACACGATTCCCCAAGCAGGCTAACATGTAAACATTCTTCCAGTATTCCCTCTCTTCCTTTTTCTCTCACTCTTTAATCCTATCTCTTCTGACTCTCCTCCCTCCTCTGTTCCTATCAACACATCTTCCTCTCTCCATCTGCTCTCTCTCTCTCTACAGAAACAGCTACATCAAAAACCAATACATACCTACCACATTCCCTCACCTTATTCTATTCCAGAACCAATCTTGTCACGATCAAAATGCCTATGATCTGGAATGCCGACGCAGACGCCAAGGTAGATACACACACCCACATCTATCCCACCAACCCCAACCCGTTAACATAAGTCCAGCTCTTCCTCGGCGTCCTCAACCAAGTAAAAGACGCAAACGTGAAGCTCGACTGTAAAAAGCTCGCCGACTTCATGGGCCCTGGTTCGTATTGCCCCTTCTATCCTAGCTCGTTACCGCGGGATACAGTGCTAACCAAGTCCCATCACAGAATGTATTGCTGGCGCTGTGCAGAACCGCCTAGTTAGACTTAGGAAGAAGGTCGAGGCTGATATGGGTGGTGCTGTCTCTGTTTCCCCTGTGGCTGATGGGGTTCAGACTGCTGGGGCTACAAGCGAGATCTCTACAGGATCGCCGAAGAAGCGTAAGGCAGCTCCTCGTAAGAAGGGAGACGAGTCTCCTAAGAAGGTGAAGCCTGAGCCTAAGATCAAGGATGAAGATGAGGATATGGTTTAACTTCCGGATGGCATGGATGCGACTCAGCTTGAAGATCTAGTGGGGGAAGGCAAGACAGAGGTTTAAGATCTAGGCTTTTTGAAGCTTAGTTGGCTGCATAGTTGAGAGGTTTCAGTCAAATCTTGTTGGGGAGGACATAGCTGCAGTTTCATATTTCCAGGTGCTTCACATAGTCAATGAATTGGTCTTGATTAATGGGGTCTTGTATTCAATCGCTTTATCTCGCTATATCTTCATCTGGCTACCCATATCGACCCCGAATAAGCCTGAATAAAGGCATAAGCAACCCCCAATTGTCCGAAACGCCAGCTATAAACGCAGTAGATAATCCCCAAGTAGCATCGCAACTAGAAAAAATCCTCATCTCCAAACTCCTTCTTATTCCTCTTCGGGGTAGGCACCTTCACATCATCACTCTCATCACTCTCATCACCATCAGCCTCATCCGCAGTAGTAGGCTCAATCTCTTCTTTCTTCACATCAAGAAGGTCGGAATCCTTCTCCAATGACTGTCCCTGCTTAGACGCGCCCCTCTTTTTGGGAGTCGCAGGTGCACTATCAGCACCTTTCTTAGCCGGTCCTTTCTTGCGAGGAGTTCCGGTGGGTGTGCCAGTGGAATTCAGGGCGGTCATCCCGAATGTGATGCGGCTATCGCCGCCGAGATTCTTGCGGTACTTGGTTAGGTGTTCTTTGAGTGCTTTGGGGGTAGGTTTATCGTCGCCGGCTGGATAGTTGGGTTAGTATATATGCTGATATGTTTGGAGAGATGAGTATGTGGGAGACGTACGCCATTCACTAGCGATCTTGGTGAGGTCCATGTGGAAGGAGTGGGTTCTGAAGACGGTTTGCCAGAGCTAATAAAGGTTGTTAGTCGGGTTCTCATAGCCTGGGGCGGCTAGGGAGTGCAAGTAGGGTATTAGGCATACAATTTCTTCGTTTTCTTTGGTCCAGCGCATTTTGTATAGTTATTCAGGTATTTGGTGGAGACGATGTTATGATTTGCTTGGTTCAAGGTTAAGAGTCTGGGTTGATTGAAATCGAGAGATGTTGGGAGGAAAGCAGAAGACAGGAAGATGGAGGAGTGAAGTTAGAAAAGAAGCTCAGGCTGGGGTCGCAGTGTTGAGGAGGATTGAGTGAGAACTCTGGAAGAGAGTCCAGAGAGTCCAGTGTTATGGGATAGCCGGGTGTTGTATAGGCAGTGAATGCACTGGTGCTATTCCACGTGCTGCGGGCAAAGGTGAGACTGTCTTGTCTACCTTACTTCGACCTCCTTGCAGAGAGGATTCTCAGCTCACTTCCAATTGACTTCTTCATTTCCCAGTTATGAAGCTGCTATGCTCTTGATCTCTTGTGCTGGCTCCTGGTGCCGATCAGTGTTCGCTGGTGGAGCTGAAGATCAACATCAAAATGCAGATCGATCTCATATAAATACCGACGTCACTCCCCTGTCTCCAATTATTGTTTTTTCCCTCTCAATTCATCGACCTTCTCCGGCCATGAAGCTCTCTGCGCTTGTCGCCCTCCTCCCGGCGACCATCCACGCTGCCACATCCTCAACGCCGGCCGCACCTTGGCCAACCCATTCATTCCACACCACCCCGAAAACCGCACCATTGCTGAATGTCACAAAAGTCGGCCAGACGGAACCAGGCTTCCTCTTCATTTCGCCGTCTACCCAAAACCTGGGCTCCCCTACCATCTACTCCGACAATGGAGACCTCGTCTGGCTCGGCCCAGAGGGCGGCAAAACATTCGCATACCAGCCGCAATATCTCCACGGCGAGCCCGTCCTCACCTTCTGGCAGGGCAATACTGGGAAAGGCTTCGGATACGGACACGTTAGTGTCCTGAATGCTTCATATGACGAGATCCATCGGGTCACGCTGCCCAGTACCCCGTCCAACAAATTCGTTATGCCCACTAACGAGTCTTACCCTTCAAATGTCGACATCCACGAGAGTACTATCACGGAAAATGGGACGATTCTCGTCATGGCCGTCAATATTACCCAGACTGATCTGTCGCCTGTCGGTGGGCCCAAGAATGGTTGGGCGCAGGACGGCATCATCTACGAGATCGATATCGAGACAAACGAGATCCTCTTCCGCTGGAGTGCCGTCGAGCATAAGAAGCAACTGCCCCTCGACCTTGTCGAATACCCCATCGAGGACACTGGGACGAGTCGCTCCAATGCGTACGAATATCCTCACTTGAACTCAATTGCAAAGTACGGCGATAACTACCTCGTTTCGTCGCGATACATGTGCAGCGTCTTCCTCCTCGACAAGGACGGCAACGTCATCTGGTTGTTCCACGTATGTTATTCTCCATTCTTTATAGTACTAAACAGAAACTAACGTCCCCCAAGGGCCAAAAAGGCGGCACCTTCAACGCCCCCACCAACCCCGACGCCAAATTCTGTTACCAGCACGACGCCCGAATCCACAGCCACCTAAACGCAGGCCAGAAGAACGAATCCCTCCTCCTATCCCTCCACAACAACGCGAACGTCGAAACCACCGTCCACAAGAAAACAACAACAGACCTCCGCTTCATGCTCTACCCAGGCAACAACACCGCAAGGCTAGTCTCACGCACCTTCGACAGGGAGCAACCCATCTCCGCCGTCTCGCAGGGCAATTACCAGTCCCTGGCGCGCAACGGGAGCGGGCATTATCTCGCGGGACACGGGTCCGTGGCGAAATTCGAGGAGTATGATGCTTCTGGGAAGCTGGTGATGCGCGGGTGGTTTAGTAATTTGAATGCCACGACGGGCAAGTACGCGCAGACTTCGTACCGGGCGTACCGCGCGCAATGGACGGGTAAGCCCAGGTCGGTTCCTGATGTTGTTGCTTGTAAGCCAGCCCGTAGTGAGGGGGGCAAGGTGCAGGTTTATGTGAGCTGGAATGGCGCGACGGATGTGGCTCAGTGGAAGATTTTGGGTGGCTCGAAGGGGGAGAAGGTTCTTGATCTGGTTGAGAAGAAGGGATTTGAGACTGGTGTTGTTGTTGATGTTGGTTTTGAGGAGGTGGGTGCTATTGTGGTGGAAGCTCTCGGGGGTGTTGGAGATGGTGTCCGCAGTAAGCCTGCGCGTGTTAGATCTTGCTCCTCTATCTAGGAGTATTGAGCAAGTGTTATATGAGATTGTAGTATATGTATATAAGTGCACCTAGACAAAGACTCGTCGAGGATAGAGATACTTTATTGAGGTATATAATACATCGAGTGAAGAACAACGAGGGGTATAGACAATGCAGCACAAAAGATATATACGTATGAAGGACTTGATATTAGTCTTATAACTTGGCCGTAGGGGTAATCGCCTTTCTGCGCGGTGCCTTTGTCGATACATCAACATCGCTGACTGGACCTTCAGCGGCTGCGAACAATGTTCGGCCAGCGTTGTCGGACATGGCCAGAACGCGAGACGAAACGGTTGCTCCGTCACGGCGGTTTTTCCTGGAATTAGTTAGATTTATATTCGGTAAGCATATTGATAGAAACGCACCCTTCACGCCTGGATTGCGCGATCGAATCCATAAAGTCCCAGAGGCGGCCCTGGGGCAGCAGTTTGCCCGTTTCTGGATCCCGCTCTGGTGTCCATTCCGGGGCGAGCCTCATCTTCGCCGGTGCCCGAGCTTCTTTGCTCTTTGCGACGAGGATGATGCCTTCTTCGGCGAATCGGTCATAGGAGTTCTTCAGTGCCTCTTTGTTGACGGCTTCGAAATATGAAAGGTCGCCCTGGTGGTAGAGTGTTTTCCCGAGCTGCATGGCGTTAGAAGTGCTATGTACTGTACTGGGTGGAACGTACCAATTGTGCATTGTTCTGTGCCTTGCTCAATTCGATCCACGCGTCCTTTGGCCCGTCAAGAGGTGGAGTAAGACCTAGGAGGGAGACCGTGCCTAGCCATGACGCTTCGATGAACGGCCAAATGAGGAAGCAGTAGAAATCAAAGTTCTCACGTCCGCAATGGCGTTCGTGTCCCGAGAGCTCGATGTACAGTGGTAGGTTGGAGGAGTCTCGGGTAACGGTGATAACCTGGTCTTTCTCGAGCAACCTCAAAGTATTTTCCAAGTTCGTAGTCAAACCCTCCGGAGGGAAGATAAATTCGCCACGGAAAAGCTGTTCCGTCAGCATCGGTATTAGATTTGGGAGAACTAGCACAACGTACCTGAGAGAGGAAGGTGACATGATGCAGAAGATCACCATAAGAGATCCGTTGGTGTGAGGGTCCACCGCCTTGCTTCACCCTTGTATACATCGCTGCCGACACGAGTGCCTCCGTGATAAACAGATGGATAGTCATGTTCCGGTAGAAGGAAAGCTGGAAGCGGTCTACGGCAAAGTACGTCGGCTCAACCAAGCCACTCACCTCGCCCACGATCTTCGGTCCTAGAACATCAAGTGCGCGATCAACAACCACCTCTGTCGGATACCGGTAAAAGTGCGCGACTCGTCCGCCCTTGTTTCGTACGCGATCACAAAGCCATTCTACCCTCCGAACAAGTTCGCCTTTACCCACTCCGCGTCCACGGAGAGTGAGGAGAACGGTTCCAACCAAGGCCGTGGGCATCATTACCGAAATGTCATTAATATCGGACAGTACTCTGTATCCCAATGATCTCAAAATACGCCCCCGGTCAGAATGGCTGAGCTTCAGGCCCCTATCCAGCTGCAACTGGTCAGGTAATCTGGATAACTGCTGAGTGATAAACTCCCTCAAACTCCACGGTTTATGAAATCGAACGTCTACGCGTCCGAGCTTTAGAGACAGGACCGAAGAAGAAGAGAGGAAATCGGTAAGGTTCTCCTTGCGCTTAGGCTGGCCAAGAAGTTCGCTGATGTAAGACCTATATTATGTGGTTAGCTATATCCAACATGGAGGGCTTGTCGACGTACTCGGTTTCGATCACCTTGTCGTACTGTGTGCTGACAGGGCATATTATAGTATCCTCAACACGGCCTGATAGCAAACTATCCACGATGAAGCTCAGAATTCCGAATTTAGGCGACAGGAGCTTCCCAGTTCGCGACCGTCCACCTTCAATAAAGCACTCGAAGTTGTAGCCTTGTTGTAGGATCGTGTCAATATACGCTTGAACGACGGTAATGTACAGGGGATCATTTCCAAAACTTCGGCGAATCCACATTGCACCTGCATGTTGCAGGAATGCACCAACTAGGGGGATATTCAAGTTGTCTCCTGCCACAACCACAGGCAATGCAATTCCTAGACGATAACAGATAACCTGGAGAGAAACGTAGTCGACGTGAGACTTGTGGCACGGAAGGAAAACGATCGACTGCTTCTTCTTTGCTGCCTCCTCAGCAACACCTCGTAATCTTAGAACTTCCTCGCTAGATACATGAATACCTACAGAATATTAGCGTGATAACACTCAAAAAAAACCAATAAAGCCTTACCTTGGTGATAGGCGCGGGTAATAAGTTGAGTCGCAAGGTAGTATGCGCCACGGATAAACCTTTTGCTCTCCATCTTACAGATCATATTATCCAGCATGGTATCCACCACCTCATTAAGGCTATTCTCCAGCTCATTCCTCCGCTGTGTCCGTGTTCGCGCAAAGGCCCCAGTCTTGATCTGCAGGAGACCCTCTTTGTCCTCCACAGCTAGTCGTGCCTCCGCAAGCTCTTTGACCTTGGCCTGCAGCATTGGGCTCGCCAAAATACGCGATTTGATTTGCTCCGAAAATCCCGTATAGTATATAGGCTGGCCAATGATGTCGTCGTAGGCGCGCCATCCAGTCCCCGTCATGTACGAGCTCACTTCGCGCAGGAAATCGAACGGGCTCTCGCGAAACCGCGCCATGTTATTTATGAGGTTCCGTTCCGTGATTCCTCCATCTTGTGGCTCTGGACCACCAGTGTAGCCGCTGGGATGTATGGTAACCTGGTCACCTACGATTTCGAGGTCCGGGGCAGACTCGCCCACGGGTGACTTCCCCGACGGCATCGTTTCGTAGAGGTGGGTTGACGGTTGATGCGGGCGAGGGACGCAGTGGTAGCTCAGGAAAGGGGAAATCTGGGAGACTTGGAGGTTAAGGCATCGGAGGAGAAAGAGCGCATGACATAATTTTGAAGAGCAGCCTCCTCTCCGCAACAGCTAGCTAAAATCCCAACAAAACGCTTGATCGTCCGGCTCCGCTGGTTGCCCCAGATTCGGCTGCCGAGGATGTAAGTCACGTGTAAGAGCTCTACCGCGGGCCAAATTTGGTTAGGTAAGCAATTCTCCGCATATAACCGTGCAGATGGAATACAGAGCCATTGCACAGTAGCATGGTCGACTTACACTATTCGTTAGGCATCTACAGTTGTAGTTCTTTCCTCCTCCGTCTAGTACGAACATTTTCCAAGTACTATTAAAGCTCTTTGCCATTCCGTGGTTTGCTTCCAGGGCGATCTTGTCACGTGGTTCTGGCGCGATTTCTGCCTGATATATACGGCATAATTGAGGCATCTACGTGCTGGCCGAGGATGCTTTCAACGCCGCAATCGTGGGCACGCGATTGAAGCCCTCTGCCTCTCCTTTCAAGTCGCAATCAATAAAATATAAATCTCCCATTTTTCAATTCCATGACTCAGTAACCTCATCCCTGCCGTGGAACAACCTCTGCTCATCCGCTCGGGATATCACACCGACCTCTGGTTCCTCCGCGGGGAGCCAAGTTCAACATCACCATGTTTCGACAAGCAAAGCCATTGTCCAGTATGACCCACTATTATTTGCCTGTCGCATCATCTAACCTATCTGTATACAGCTGCCGCCTCTCTTCTTAAATCTCAAACATCCCTCCCCGCCACCCGCCACTATTCCTTCCAAGTCTTCCGCGATGTCCCTCCGCTCCGAACGCTCCGCCGCGAGCTCCTCCTCTCACAGCGCACCGTAGGCCTCGTACCTACAATGGGTGCCCTACACGAAGGCCACCTCTCGCTAATCCGCCAAGCAGCCTCCGAAAACACCGACGTCGTCGTAAGCATTTTTGTCAACCCCACACAATTTGGAGTGAACGAGGATCTCTCAAGCTACCCCCGCACATGGGACTCCGACGTCATGAAACTAGAGCAATTAAACACCGAGCTTTCGTCGGGGACTGGGGATGGAAATAGTAAAGGGCGGATCACGGCTATCCTTGCGCCAACGGCGAAGACAATGTACCCTACTCTCCCGCCTTCCTCGGAGGTCGACGGCGACGGCTCGTTCGTGACGATCACGCCGCTGTCTAAGAAGCTGGAGGGTGCGTCACGCCCTGTCTTCTTTAGGGGGGTTGCGACGGTATGCATGAAGCTTTTCAACATTGTTGGTGCCGATCGGGTTTACTTCGGGCAGAAGGACGTCCAGCAGACGGTTGTTATTAAGCGCATGGTCAAGGATTTCCACCTCGATACCGATGTTCGAATCGGGCCTACTATGCGGGAGGACGATGGATTGGCCTTGAGCTCGCGGAATGTATATCTGGGAGACCGGAGACGCGCTGTAGGACTCGCTCTCTACACGGCTTTGAGAGCAGCTGAGGGCGCATATCAGTCTGGAAAGCTCAACCGGGCTGACATTCTAGATGCTGCGAACAGTATCACGGAAGGGGTGCTATCGAAGCAAAAGAATCTGTCTGAGTCGGAGCGTGCCCTGTTTGAGGTTGATTATATATCTCTGGCTGATCCGGAATCACTTGATGAGGTTGACGCCGTTGACCCTGCAAAGGGCGCCATTCTCAGCGGTGCGATTAAAATGGCTCCCCTTGAAAAGACAAACTCTGGAGAGGACTGCGGTCTTGGAGATGGCAAGGTTCCAGTCCGGTTAATTGACAACCTGATATTGAAACCTGTGAATTGATAAAGAAATTTATTCGTTTAGCTAGAATTGTATATATTTTCCATATCTTGGAATGATCGAGGGGTTGTACAACATATATCACATATACTATTAAATAACATTGATTATCGGGTGTAATATTCCTCAATACATTTTTCTTCCTAGTAATTAGTATTTGAAATATTCAGGCTTCAAAACAGCTGAAGAACTCGAGAAGTCCTGGTATAAACTCCCTTCCCGAAATAGAAATAGGGCAGATAACGAGGGCTCGGCAGAATGTCGGCCCGAGAAAATTTCCCTCCCCCATCTCCGCTCCTCCCAATCCAGCAACAAACCAGCAGCACATAGCTAGCCGTCAATAGTCGCCATCGGCACGGATTATCGCTGTCTTACCTTCAAAATGGCAGACGATGGCATGCTCCTCAACTTCTCGCTCCCAAGCGAGGTCATAAAACCCGAAACGAAAATCAAAGGTGGAACATGGCGCGATCGACTCAGCGTCAAGAAAATCGCCGCGCACCGGCAGTTGAATCCGAAGCGCGCCAATACTGGGGAGGCTGGCAAGGAAGGCCCTGGACCCAGGAACCCAAACCAGATACAGGTTTCTGGACCCAGACCTGCGAAGAGACAGAGGGTCGATGGGGATGGAGGGTTTCAAGGCCGGGATGGGGCAGAAGGGAAAAGACAAGGACAAGGAAATGCGCCGAAGAAGGGACAAGGAGGGTCAATTGTGGCGTCTCTTTTCTCGAAGAATCCGCGGCCGCAGAATGCTGTTGAGAAGAATAAAGATGAGGAACCAGTTGAGGATGCGAAGCCGACCAATGCGCCGCTGATTGATGGGTTGGATACATTCACGAACTTGGGACTGTCGCCGACGCTAGCAGCGCATTTGCTTACGAAGCTGGAACTCAAGGCTCCGACGGCAATTCAGAAGGCGTCCATGTCGCTGCTTCTGAAGGAGGAGACAGATGCGTTTATCCAGGCGGAGACTGGTTCGGGAAAGACGCTCGCCTATCTGCTGCCGCTTGTTCAGAGGATCATGGATCTGTCGCGTGCAAAAAACGAAGGCGATGCGAGGGGTGACCTGAGTGTTCATCGGGATAGTGGACTGTTTGCGATTATCCTCGCCCCGACTAGAGAACTATGCAAGCAGATTTCGGTTGTGCTAGAGGGGCTGTTACGCTGCGCGCACTGGATTGTTGCGGGGACTGTCATTGGTGGCGAAAAGAAAAAGTCGGAGAAAGCAAGGTTGAGGAAGGGGCTGAATATTCTGGTTGCCACACCCGGTCGACTGGCAGACCATCTAGAGAATACGCAAGTTCTGGATGTGAGTAATGTGAGGTGGTTGGTGTTAGATGAGGGAGATCGATTGATGGAGTTGGGATTCGAGAAGGAGCTTCAGGGCATTATCAGCAAGCTGGATGCGCGGCAACGACCGAGCCGGATCCCAGGGATCCCTGCGAAGAGAGCTACTATTCTCTGTTCGGCTACGCTGAAGATGAACGTGCAGAAGCTTGGAGAAATCAGCTTAAAGGATGCAGTCCACATCAAGGCCGACCCTGCCGATGAAGATGGCGAAGCCACCGAGTCCAAGGACGAAGACGCCGCGTTTAGAGTCCCTGCTCAACTCAAGCAGTCTTACGCCATCGTCGCATCGAAGCTACGACTAGTCACGCTTACAGCACTTATGAAACGAACGTTTATGCGGAAAGGATCAGTGATGAAAGCCATCATCTTCGTCTCATGCGCCGATTCAGTCAACTTCCATTTCGAGGTATTTACGCGGAAACTCCAAGAGCAAGAGGAGAAGCAAGACAAGTCTAGCGACAGCGAAGACGAAAAAGAGAAAGAGAAGCCTACACCGGCCTCTGTCCATGGAACAATTGCACCGGCAACCGCGTTCTCAAACCCCTCAAACGCCGTGACAATGTACAAACTCCACGGTTCCCTCCCCCAACACGTCCGCACATCCACGCTATCCTCCTTCGCCAAAAACAAAGAGCCTTCCGTTCTCATCTGTACCGATGTCGCATCTCGAGGTCTCGATCTTCCCAACGTCGACTTCGTCGTCGAATACGACCCCGCCTTCAGCGCCGACGAACATCTTCACCGAATCGGGCGTACCGCACGTGTCGGTCGTGACGGCCGCGCACTTATCTTCCTCCTCCCAGGCTGCGAAGAGAACTACGTCGACATCCTGAAAAAGGGCTACCGCGACGGCGGAAAGGCACTAGCCAGGTCTACAACAGACGAGGTCCTCAAGCGTGGGTTCGGTGGCAACGTCGAGTCCCAGAGTAGAGACTGGGATGAGAAAGCGACGGAGTTCCAGCTGGAGCTTGAGCGCTGGGCGCTAGAGAACCCCGAGTATCTGGAGATGGCGCGGCGCGCGTACCAATCCCATATCCGGGCTTATGCGACTCACATTGCGAATGAGCGGCATATTTTCAACATCAAGGAGCTGCACTTGGGACATCTGGCAAAAAGTTTCGCGCTGCGTGACCGACCGGGTAAGATCAATGTTCCCGGTCTTCGACCAGGTCAGAACGAAACGAAGAAAGACTTCAAGGCTGAGCGGAAGTCGGCTGGTGGGAAGAAGAGGAAGGCCGCTGGTTATGGTGGCAAGGATGATGATGATGACGACGGCCCGACTTCAACGACCGACACGACCCTTGCTGCCCAGAAGATGAGAGCGAAGATGAAGGAGCAGATGGCCGGGGCGAGCGAGTTCAATCTTGCATAGACTGACTGCCCGATACTTAAAATATTTCTTCTTTTTTTCCCATGCCTGTAAATAGCATAGCGCTTCATGACTCAATAGATATCCCACAATGAGATCTTCCCGTCTTTCGAGCCGGCGACTATCCAGTGCGTGTTCTGGACCTTCAGGCTGCGCTGGCGCTGGACTTGAGCAAGCGAATATTCCTTCTCCCCACGCTGTATAAGTCCCTTCTCGGATTCACCGTCGTCAATTTTCTCTCCCTCCTCCGGCTCTTTCGTGCCGGTGTTTGAGGTCTCCGCATCCAAGGCGGTCGTAGAAGGGACATCTGCAAATGCAACAGCATAGCATCCCTCTTTATGCCATTTCAACACCGCAAGCTCCTTCATCGTCTTACACGAATAAACCCTGACTCGCGAGTCCCAACCCGCCGTCGCGAAAATCTTTCCATCTGACCGGACGCGTAGTCCCTGCTGCCCCGAATGCTTCGTATTGACACTCTTCGACGGCGTGTCGCGCATACTTGACACTCCAATCTGAGGAATAGGATGCTTCGCCAATACCGCGTCGGCCGACGAGGAGAAAAAATATTCCCTCGAGGGGCTGAGGTCTATGGAAAGAACAGGCTGTGAGTGAGGTATCGATATGTAGAGTCTTTCCCATTTCCAGCTTCTGCTGGTGTCGACTAAGGGTTTACTATTGTTGAATACTCCACGGCAGCCAAAGACCATTACATGACCGTCTTCGAATGCGGCGGCGACATGGAGGTCCTTGGATCCATTGGTGCGAGATAACTGTGCAGCCATAACCATCCCAGTCTGCACGGCTGGATCAGTTGGGATGGTGCAGATTCTTCGCTCAGACGGGAGATGGAACAGATCGACTGCGCCTGAATCGAGCGCGTTTGGGACAGCGAACAGGACAGACGACGGGGGAATGTCGCTTTCAATACTTCTCTCCTCGCTTTGTTGTGTTTTCTCATCTGGCGCGAGAAAAATTAGTGAGAAAGCGCAAAAGTTCAATGCATTCACCGGGAGGGAATGGACCAGCCAGGGTTGAATTTGAGTCTGGCTCTGAGCTGAGGCTGTTGGCTGGTCACTTCCATCCACAGGGAGGGTCTTCTGGAGAATATCCTCATCCTGGACCCGGAATCTCCATACGCGGAGTTTATGGTCTCTCCCGTGTCTATCATAGAATTAGTGGAACTGGTTTTCACCACTGGAAGGATCTGGGCCATTACGTATAAATCTCACTCAAGCGTCCACCTCCAAGCACGAATCCCTTCACCTCAAGAACGGCGCCCTCATGTGCCTTCCAGACCGCCACCGGTCGTTTGAAGATGAGATCCCAGACGACTATCCAGCCATCGGCATCACCGGAGACGAGACGGAGATTTTGGTTGAATATTTGCAGTGCGTGGATGGCGGCAGCATGGCCCCGAAGAATGTAAATGGGGGTTGGGGGGTTGGATTGGGTAGAGCTCATTTGAATGGTTGGGTTTATACTGTGCTGTTAAATTATTTGGTTAATTTAAATGAAAGGGATTCCGCTGATTGTTGGTGAAGTACATGTGTAAGTAGGAAGAAGGTGAAGACAAAGACAGAAATGCTTGAGTGGAGCTTCAGCTCAGTCTTGGCGCCTGTTGGCTAAGTATATCCAAACAAGACTGTCCTTCGGCACTGTATACTTCTGTTCGACCGTCAAACGCCTATTTCCAAAGACCTAAGTCTTTACTAAATATTCATTGAGAACTAGGTAGGCTTCATCCGTCGGTGCGTTCCTTCCTAAAAGGGCCTATTGCCTTGTTCTCAGTGTCGATAAATATTTGTCTACCATAGCCATTTCCATCATTTAGAACGATCTTAATCGGCCTCGTCTTACTATTTCATCCTTAAGCTATATACTATATTTATCAAATTCGATCCAATATCAATTGCGGGCCTTTGCGGCCGGAGTATAATCATGTCCAACTCTAGTTCACCCTTGGCGTCTTCTAGCAATAACGACGACGGAGCTCCCGCTGTCAGCGACGACACCAGCCTATCGCGTACAAGCGACAATTGCAACGAGCCCAGAAACGACGTTTCTGCAAACGCTTATTTTTTCTCCTCCCCATCTGACAATTCGTGAGTGAAATACTGCCGGTTGAGTTGTTAGGGGGTGGACTCTCGTCGCATTATACTCCATACACTAACTTGGCACTCCGCTGCCCCATAGTTCCTCAGATGCCGACCTCTGCACATCCTATCTATCCATGCGTCGCAAAAACAGAAGAATCGGCAAAAAGCGCCCATACCGTCATAACCCTTCCGAAAGAGGCCTGGGGGCGAGACGTTGCCTTCGGTGTTGCGGTTTGGGCACGATTTCAAGCTATTGTAGGGTCTGCGAGGGGAAAGGGGAGGTTTATGTGCCAAAATTCAAGGGGCTGCAACATTGTGAGCCGTGTTATGGAACGGGAACAGTGTGCGACGAGAAAGCTTGCAAGCGCTGCACTGGCGACGGAGCGTTCTTCTTCTACCCTTAAGGTCGGACTTTCTAGAACCCCACCGATTGGTCAGGGATAGACAATTAATACAGAAGGATAGATAGTAGTGATCATAGAGTATTATTTCATGTACTGAGGTCGTGAGTGCAAATGAACGGTCATCATGATTGGTCGTAAGTAAGATGGTGATCCAAGAATGGGTGGGTGTCGGTTAAGGTGTGGGAAAAGGGGTCCGCGATACCGATGTGGGAATAATCGTGATGTGGCTCATGTGTGGGAAACTCAAAAGGGATGGTGGTAGCATCAAGAGTACTGAGTAGTGGTTCCCCGTTATGTGAATGCCAGTCCCAAGTCTCCTCAAGTTTGTGCTTCAGATGATCAGTGTTCAGCCCGGTAGTGCGCCGCATCTCATCGAGAATTGCGAAAACTTCTGCCTGCGCCTTTCTATCGACCAAGTAACCAGCGGCGATTGCGAGAATTTGGGCAGAGAAGATTGGCATCCCGTAGTTTTCATCATTAGACGCAATGCCGCATACGTTGTACGCATGATGTTGTTGCTCTTGCTGCTGTTCAGTAAGACGATCCTCCCGGAGAGGATCTGTTTCCGCAAGCAGGATCCTGGTGACATGATAGAGCATCTGAGCTACAATCGCAGGACGTTCAACAAGCCACACTTGGGGGAAAACCGACTGTGGATTTCTCTGCCAGGGTTGCACTTGACCGAGAGGCAGCATTGATCGCGGGATTGAAGTAAGCCATTTATCACACCACCCACTGTAGAGATTCCACTGTTGGAGCCGTTGAGCCTCGGCGTTGCGTGTGGATTTACCGAGCCCTTGCGTGAGAAGTGAAGAGCGCAAATCCGAGACTTTGGCGCAGATGTAGATTATACGCTGCGTCCATAGTTCCTCGTTGCCGGTGATGGATGGCTGAACGGTAAAGTTCATGTCGATGCCCCAGGTATCGGGGTCCCAAACTATCGTGTGCCGGAAACTTATGCAATCGAGCAGCTCCATGACAATACTGAGCCAGGAACACGCCCCACCAAGGCCCGGCGTTTGAGTATTCCATCCGCACTCCGTGATTAAAGATCGGGATGTATTTCCCACGCGAATACGCATTCCGCTTTCAATTGGCCCTAAAACCAGCATTTCAGCCACCTCGATGATAAGGGCCGCTGTTGCACACAACGATGCATCGCGATGAATGGTTGTTAAAGCATCCGGGAGCATCTGAGCTGCTGCGTTGTAGTAATTCAGCCTCTCATTCGCCTCGTTATGAAGGTGCAGAGATACGAAACACCCCGCACAAGCCGCAAGCGCAGCGCGTAGCAGAGGCTCTTCAAGGGCATAAAATGACAGAACTCGGGCAAACTTTGCACTTTCGTTAGATCAAAGAGCAGTTAATTATGTCAGCAATTACTTACATGTTTCATTTCATCCACAACATCCATCCAAGGGCCAATCTGGTTGACAAACGCCTGCATGAGAGACATCTCCTTTGGATCCTGGAACGAGAAATGCCGATCGAGTAGATATTTGGTGCGTTTGAAAAACGGGCTTTGCACAGAGGATTGTACTGGAGTGGAGGATTGAACGACATCTTCCAAGGGAGGATCCTGGCCGGGCGGCGGGTACCTTTCGAAGCCACCGACATACTCTGAAGCGATGGTCCTCGAGTTATCCTGAAAGGTTACACTGCTACCCGTAGGTGGCTGAAGATAGGTCGGAGGCGCGACCACCTGGGTATCAACGAAATTAAGCCGAACACCTCGTCGGCATAGCCGGCCTGACTTGCGGCAGTTCTGGCACTGGCCCTGAGCTTCGTCGCATTTAAGATGACGATCCCGACATGTAAAACAGCCGGTGCGAACTCGCTTCCGTTTCTTGATCGAAACGTCACTTTCGCGATCAACATCGCTTGGGGAAAGCTGGGTCACCGCCCGAGGCGTGATGTTGAGAGTTGCTTCGTCAAGGTCCGACGCAAAAGCGTGGCTGCCAGGAGTAGGGTCCATATCGAGCGTTCAACTTCTTAGATATGGGATGCACGCACTGATCCCGCCATAATAGCACAGCGCAAGAACGGGCGTATGGATCCGTCATGGAATAATTAAATACAGCCGATGGTTGTTTGGGGAGTGAACGGTGATTGTGAACGCCGACATTGAGCCAGTCCTTTGTATTCTGGGACAATGGCAATTTTCCATCTAAAGTCGCACGAGTTCGGGGCACTGTGTATCGCATCAACGCGTCGAATCGATGCGAGCCAGCCCTGCTAACGATTCCCTGTGGCCACGAGGTTCAATGAAAATCGCGAGCTGCAGAAACTCCGCCGAGTCACCGACACCGAGGCTGGTTGGCGCTAAACCCAAGGCGGAAAGGTGCTGGGATGCCGAGATCGGCCCCGTAGTACTCGCAGCACAGGCCACATTGGAAGCTTGTCCCTCGATGAAAGCATAGCATGCGTTGGATTCTGAAAATCTGCTAAGGCACGGATCTGTATTTGCGGTAGCTCGACTGTCATTATCTGGGGTGTGTCGGCCCGGAGACAGGTTGGGGCCGTTGCCGACTTTTCATTATGTGCATTAGCGCAGTCGGCAGCTCTGTCGCCATACTCTTAGTGAGAAATTTCTCTCGCATTTCAAGCGAGCAACTCCAAACTTAGCAGATGACAGACAGTTCTTATCAGCTGCTTCCCCCACCTCCTTCCTGCCGTCTGCATCTCTCCCTTTTATTTTCCCTTCTCCCTCGCCCCGAGATCAGTCTCTAGCCAGGCACCAAGATGACTGTATCTCCAGGTGGAGAACCACCCCGCGACAAGGCTACCGAGTCCACACCTTTGCTGAAAGATGAATCATCTCGTGGCCTCCAGTACTCGGGTAAATCTGGTGACTTGACAGAAGCTGTTGAAGCCTCGAGTTCGTCATCAACAGCACAGATCTCGGACGAAGAAGATGCTGCCCTTCTTGGCTTGTCGAGGGTCAGCTCGATCCCCCACGCACCGGAGGTAGAAACGGGGTTGGAAAGGGTTCTCTCCTCCACGACAACAAACAAGGACTTGGAAGATTCAGAAGCTGGGGGCTCACAAAACGAAGCCACTGGCTATGCCGCCCGCTTTATCAATGTCTCGCCCACGAGGTTCTGGCTGATTTTCGGTGGTGTGCAACTCGGATACGTGATCGGGTTCTTTGACGCGACCTTGATGGCGTCGAGTCATCCCGTCATCACCTCGTACTTCCATGCCTCCAACTCTGCCTCATGGCTTTCAACCGCCTTTTTATTGACCTCAACAGCGTTTCTCCCGCTCTTTGGTCGCGTCTCTGACACCTTTGGCCGGAAGCCTGTGTATCTCTTCTCGATTACCGTGTTTTTCCTCACCACATTGTGGTGTGCCGAAGCCCAAAGCATAGGAAGTTTTATTGCTGCCCGTGCTGTCTGTGGGCTTGGTGCCGGGGGTGTCTTTTCTATGGGCATGATTTTATCCAGTGATCTAGTTCGCATCGAGTATCGCGGCATCTACCAATCCTACATCAATCTCTGCCTGGGACTAGGTGGTTGCCTCGGTCTTGCATTTGGCGGATATCTATGTGATCAGGTGGGCTGGAGAGGTGCGTTCCTCGTGCAGCTGCCATTCATCTTCGTTTACTTTTTAGTCGCTGTCTGGACAACACCAGCCGACCTTGGCTTGAAGAACCGGGCATCGGAGAGGATGACTTTTTCGCAGCTTCTCCTGAGTATCGATCTTGTAGGCTCCGCATTGTTGGTTCTCGTTGTGACCGCATTGATCATGGGTCTCAACCTCGGCGGTAACGTCTATAGCTGGACTCACCCTCTCGTTATTTCCTCACTAGTTCTATCTGCCATTTTGGCAGCGATCTTTGTTCCGTACGAAAGACGAGTAGAACGGCCTGTCATGCCTATTTCATTCCTAACGAAGAACCCCCGCGCTGTTCTCGTCTTTGGAAACTTCTTCGGATCCATCGCAGTCAACACTATGATCTTCAACGCGCCGCTCTATTTCCAGGCCGTCAAACTTGCTTCCCCCACCGACTCTGGCCTTAGACTTCTTGCATCTACATTGGCTGTAACTAGTTCTAGCGTTGCCACTGGCTTCATTATTACCTGGTCGAAGCGGCTGAAGCCTACTGTTATAATTGGCGACGTATTTCTGCTCCTCGGAGGTTTGGCGGCGACGACAATGGGAGCCAACACCCCCGACGCGATTGCCATGGTTTGCGTTTCACTCGCAACTCTGGGCCAAGGTTTTGCCTTCCCTTCCCTGATGGTGTCTGTGCTTGCGACTAGTGAAACAGATGAGCAGGCTGTGGCCACGACAACGCTGGGGCTCTTCAGAAATCTGGGGTCCGTGATGGGAGTCGCAACCAGTAGCTGGATTTTCCAGAATACCCTCGTCTATCAACTGGACGCAAAAGTCACAGAGCCCAATAGGGAAACCGTTATTCAGCTTGTTAGAAAGTCCGTCAATGCCATCGCGAAACTGGATCCTCTCCATCAAAGCCAAGGTATGAAACGTCTATCCAGCCACTGTTGGTTCAGAGACTAAGCATTTGTACAGTTATTGAATCATATGCGGCAGCTCTCCGCTTGACCTTTTCATCGGCAGCTGTATTTGCGGCCCTTATGCTCATGATGCATGTTGGGGTTCGACTTCCTCGCCTTGGGCGCAAGGCTTGATCCTTGTGGTCTAGTAAGTCCCCCACCTATTTTGTGGTTCGCCCACGGTATATCAAATTGTACATTTATAGTATAAGCCTAAAAATTGTTTGTGTATATACTTGTCTGCCATTAGAGAAGGAGATAAGATACTTCAACTTATACTACTTGTTTGTTTTTAGTCGATTGAATCCTGCGTCTCGGCGTTACATAGCTCTTTTCGAGACGGATTTCTACATTTCTAGGCCCCTGGTTTTAATGAAAGCAGCAGCGATAAACTAAGTCGGGGTGCTTCAAAGAATATGTCGAGGTTGAAGGCTTATAAGAACAGTTTTGCCACTCTTTTAAAGGGTCAATCCTTAGTAAGGGATATACCCGTGTTGTCAGTTTATAAAGCCGGGACGATCTCCGAACGCCAACCCCCGCCATCGACGGTGCGCAATGCCCATTTGCTTTGACTCATCTTCAACCACTCGTTCCTAAGCCCCTACCACTACTTTACAAATTCCATAATCTCACGTGTGCAATCTCTCACCGTCGCAATAGTGTCACTTCTCACCTTCCACCGAATCTCCCCAACAAACCATCACAATGCCCCGCCTCCCTCTCCGCATCGCCGTCCTGTTATGCGACACGCCACCCGAACCCATCAATACCAGATACGACGGTCTCGGAGGCCTGTTCACAAGACTCTTCAACCTAAGCGCGCAAGAGCTCCACAAACCACAAACCGTCGACCCGGCCTCCATCGTTTCGATCTCGCGCTTCGACGTCGTCACAGCGCAAGAATACCCAGACCTCGACAACTTCGACGCCCTGCTATTAACGGGTTCCAAACATGACTCCTTCGCAGACCACCCCTGGATTCTGAAACTGGTGGAATTCACAAAGAAGGCGCTTGCGCATCCGAGTGTGAAGCTGTTAGGGGTTTGCTTTGGACATCAGATTATTGCGCGTGCGATGGGGTATGAGGTTGGACGGAATAGCGCTGGTTGGGAGATTTCTGTTTGTGGGGTGGATTTGACGGAGAAGGGGAGGGAATTGTTTGGCGTTGAGACTTTGGTAGGTTTCTTTCTCTTTCGACCCCAGGTGGTGTTGAGATGTGCTGACGAGGATTAGAAAATCCAACAAATGCACCGCGATATAGTCTATACTTGCCCCGATGGCGTGGTGCCGCTGGGGAGGACGCCGACGTGTGAAGTGCAGGGGATGTATAAGGCTGGAAAGTTCATTACAGTGCAAGGCCATCCGGAGTACAAGGATGATATCATGTCCGAGGTAGTGACTTTGCGGGCTGCGGCGGGTATATTTGATAAGGAGCAGGCTGAAGATGCGTTGAACAGAGCGGGAAACCCACATGACGGTGTCGCGATTGCTACGGCATTCCTGAAGTTCCTCCTAGAGTAGATGGGTGGTCAAATGTCTTTGAGCGTTTTTGATAGAGCAGTAGACTGTCGTTCAAAATTAGAATCCCGCATTGGGAATTATAGACGACGGCGTCACCTCCCACTTAAAGGAAATATGGTATCTAAATACATTATGGAAAAACAGCACAAGCCACTGGAAAAAAACGTCGTATAATCGTGAACATATAGCATTCTCCGAAGCTTATTCCAGGGCCGAGATCAACCGCTCGCACCGGGATCTTCCCTCTCCAAAAACGTCGGATCGACACTAATCCTCCTCTCAAACTTGGTCCACCAGTCTTGAAACGCCTTCATCGGGACAAGCTCCTGCCCGCGCCCCGAGGAATCCGACGCCGCAAAGCTCGCCAGGAAATTGAACGCATTCCCGATAATCCGCTGCGCTAGCACCTTCGTCGTAATCCCCTTTTGCTGCGGCGTTTGCCGTACGAGATCTGTTGATGTGCCATTGTTTCCTCCCTTTTCCTGCTCCAGCGTCGCAAGTTGCGGCGCAACAACCTGAACAGGTTCGATTGATATCCCCAGCGTCACGGCGGCGCTGTTATTCGCCGCATTCCCAGAGTTTCCTTCGTCCAGCATCTGGTCTTCATCCTGGCCCTCTGTTCGCCGTGGTGGGTGCGCTTTGATAACTGAAGAGGGCTTCTCGTTTGCGAGAGCTCCGATGAACCGGAATTCCGAGCCGGGGTACTGAATATAAATCGCGGCAGCGGTATCCTGTGGTAAAACCGTGCCGGGGAGGCAGAAAACGACAATTTCGGAGAATGAAGGCGCAAGAGGGAAATTAAAAGCGAATTTTGTCGCTTGCCCGCCTGGTTGCGCATCGACGGCGACGATGTCTGTGAGGCAGGGTCTGCCCGGAATTATGACGGAGAACATGGTGGGGTATGTATAAGGTTTGAAAGTAGGAGATAGGTAGGCAGGAATTGAGCAGATATGAATAGAAAAAAACAGTATATAAGTGTGTTTATGCGCAGAAAGGACGTTTCGTTAGCATTTTCAAGCGCAGAGCTACTGGAGTGAGCTGCTTGGCTTCGTGGAGGTTCCGGACAGCTTGATGGAAGCTTGGAGAAGAATCCTTGGGTCAGTGACGAAATCATGCATTACCCTTATCGATAAGGGCTGTGGCTAAGGCGGTCTGTCCTGGCAGTATCACGTCGCAGTCCGCTCCTTCCCTTTTAGGCGCCTTCCTCTTGGTGTCAACAATGGGCCATCAGGCTCCAGATTCTCTGTTTTTGGAAGCTGCAACCCAGAACTACAGTATCATCAGATGGCTACCTCGAAATTTCAGACTACTGACTTTGTCTCGGGCCAATTTGTATAAATTGTGGCGAACATCAACGTGAAGCGGCTCGAAGGAAGTTCAAGAAACTGGCTATAAATGCCATATTCACCCTGTCTTAAGGATGGCCCGGGGTCCAACGGCCAGCTGATGCAGAACTGGCGCCGGACAAACCCCATATTTCCTCGGATATTGACGAGCACTTCATGCTCAGTTAACTAGTTAGTCTAAAACTCTTCGCGAAGAAGAGAATCTCGTAGTCTCCAGTGTGAACCTATAATTTCTATACTTTTTCGGGGTATTAGGCTTTGTAAACCTGTTTATTACTCTAATTGAGCCATTATCACCTTTCACATCTATTTTAAATAAATAATAAGGCCAAGGACCTTTATAAGTACCTACAGGTGTGTATTAAGATAATCTGTTTAAAGAATAGTATTTGCCATTTTAGCTACCTTAAAGTATCTGGGGTAATCCTACCCGTATTTCTAGATACGATCTAGTTTACTAAAGCCTCCCCCTGAAGTTCAGATTGTCTGTTGCTATCAGCATGTAGGTTAACGCGAGATTATTAACCATTGATGTGGTTATGGAGTGTAAATTCCAGTAGATTATAAATCTCTGCTACGTGACAAATACCTTGACTTGTATTATTTTCTAAAGTGGATATACAAGTTTAATTCTACCCTCACGTTCCATGAATTTTTGCGACGAATAGCTTCGTTCTGGTGGTTCGGTGGTTGTTTGAAGTAGGTAGCGACAGGCCGCTGGGTGCGTGGACATTGGTTGGGGTGAATTACGTTTATCAATTTCATAAGATTTAGTAATTCTAAATCTACAGTCACTTCTTCAATCAGAGTCATACTGAATGGGTTATGGTGGGTTAAAGATCCTCCCGTCGCCACGTAGAGAACCCTCATGCAGATGACCCGCGGCATGAAGCGGCCATGGAGTATCCATCCGTATGTCGATGGCGAATTGTCGGTCAAAACAAGAAAAACTCGGGCGCCAGCTGATCAGCGACGGGTAATCGTCACTCCGTAGGACTCCACTGATGTGTGCCACCCAATCGGCCGCGGGATAATACGTACTATACATTTCGTGGCCAGGGGAGCGTCCATGCCACTATTTGTATTTCTGGCAGGTATTATATTTCCTGAATTCAATATTGACTTGGGCTGACCACGACAAGAGGAAACTTTGAAGCAACGGAGCACAACTTTCGTCAGGTCCACAGCATTAGCAATATAATGTGTTGGAGCCTTGGAGGAAATTCCAAGAGAAGAGATCGAGGTGTGACCACTCAGGCTCCATAATCATTATTGCCTTGGCAATTTCTTATCTCGAACCCACTTTGTGACTGGCTGCGGCTGAAATTGTGTAACTTTGCAAAGTGCAAACCCCTCTCTCTGCGAACTATTGGGCCGTGCAGCCCTCTGGTTGAACAAACCCAAGCGATCCATCGCCCAAAACTGCGCACAATCCATCCACCATGTTCCTCCCCGAATCATGAAATGAACGGAACCCGCATGATCGATCTACCACTCATGATCATTGGTTCTAATCCAACCTATGGCGGACCCTACTTGGATGCCTCGCTCTGCAGGTCTTGGTCTCACCACATAGAAGCCTGCATGATCATGCATTTTACCAAGCGGTCAGGGCTGAGTAAGGGCTCAGGACTTGGATCAAGGGATATTAATACAGGAAACCCTCTGGCCGCAGGTTTGCGCAATTGGGCAGGAAAGAAATACGACTGCCAAATAATTCAAATATGGCGCTACCTCCATCTCCATCGTCATCATCTCTTTTCACGATAACGGAACATGTTCTTGAATGTCAGCATGTCCGGGAATACCCTAATGCCACCAAAACTGGCACCGATTCACCAAAGCTTGTGGTTAAAAGGTATACGCCGAGATTGAATTTGAACACGAAGCCAGGAGACTTGACGATAATCGGTGCTCATGGGTCTGGGTTTCCCAAGGTATGTGCTAGCCATGACCTCCCATTGCTGCATGCCCTGCTGGTCAGGATGGTTAGTCAACACGTAACGAGCCGACTCTGTGATTGTCATAGGAGGTCTACGAGCCGCTCTGGGAAGATATGTATTTGAAACTAGTCAACCAGGGTATTCGAGTTAATTCGATTTGGATCGCCGATGTCGCGAATCAAGGAGCAAGCGGTGTTATAAATGAGGATATTCTAGGAAATGATCGTAAGCATTCACGAGGGCCCCTTCGTTTCCTTATTCCAGTTATTTTACAGAAGCTGATAATTGGCACGGTGTGGTTATTATATAGCCTCCTGGTTCGACCACGCGCGAGATTTACTATTCATGGTCAATCAGTTCAAAGCCGACATGCCTAGCCCGATTGTTGGGATAGGGCATAGTCTCGGATCTGTACAGTTGTAGGTTAACTGTACCATGCTGCGGTATAGGCACAGAGCTAAATTTCAAAAAAAAAAAAAATAATAGAGCCTTGTTGTCACTGCTACATCCGCGGCTCCTCACATCTCTCGTTATGATCGAACCTGTTCTAGAAAAGAACCCTCGCGCCGCCCATGCCCTGCGTTTTGTGAAAGTTTCTTTGTCGAGAACGACCGCCTGGACCTCGCGCGATGAGGCAGAAAAATACTTCAAGAAAGTCCATAAAAAATGGGATCCCCGAGCGCATGATCTGTGGATGAAATACGGGCTTCGTGACATACGCCCGGGAGAACGTACATCAGAGGCACCTCAGGGGTATTCGTCCGTCGCATTAAAACCACAGGTTACCTTAACAACATCGCTTGAGCAGGATGTGATGTTTTACCTACGACCTAACTTCGACGGACAGAAACCGGCATCCGGCGATGTATTGCACCCGGACATCATTGGGCCGCCGGACGCAATTTCTCCATTCTATCGGTCTGAGCCGATTCTGGCATGGCACCTAATGAAAAACATTCGTCCACCAGTGTTGTACCTATTTGGCGATAAGAGCCCCTTCTCCGGTCCTCAGAGTCGAGAAGAGAAACTGAAGCGGACAGGGAGGGGGGTTGGCGGGAGTGGAGGGCATGAAAGGGGGAAGGTGAAGGCGGTTACGGTTCCTGGTTGCGGGCATCATTTGCCGTTCGAGAATACACCTAGGGTCTCTGATGAGATTGTTTGGTGGCTGGAAATTGAGGTGGAGAGGTGGAAAGTGGAAGAGAGGGCAGTTTATAGTGGACATTCGGGTGGTGAGATGACGTCCGGATTGGAAAACTGGGGCCCACATTTGGATGAGGCTTTGCGTAAAGCTAAGGCTAGAAGGAGATCAAATTTGTAGCTTATATAGTTTGGAATAGATTGTAGAGGATTGCGGACCATTTTTGTAACAGTTCGAACAACATTGGCTAAGCGTATACGGAAGGCCCCTATATTCTTGATGGCCTGTTTGACAAATACACAAGCACCCGCCCTCCAATGCTAATGAGACCCGACCTGTCTAGGAAGGAGTCATGAACATGCCATCTACGGTGCCTTCCTTCATGAACAACTATACATCTGAAACCAAGGAAGGTGCGACCAAAGTCTTGGTAAAATGCAGAAAGGAGCGGGTGGCACCGGGCCTGGTGTGCTTGCCTCGAGAGCTTGAGACGTGTATTCATATACACTCATATCGTCAGAGAAATCTTGACAAGTGCAATAGCTCCCATCAAAGTAGCCATAAAGGGAGTGGATTCACTGAACAATCTCAGTTTCTTATGCATCGAGCTATGGATCGTGAGTGAAGAACATACAAGACAAATTGAATTATGGAAACTTCTATGCACTAATCAGTGTAATAAATCATACCCGGGAAGAAAATATGAAGAGTACCGGATGATGAGAACTCATCTTCTTCTTATTTACCTCTAACAGCTTCAACCTAATCTACCACCAAGACCTAACCTGCGAAATTTACTTCAGAAGTAAATGTGTTTGTCAACAGTGAATACTGTACCCATCACCAATCTTTCGCTCAGAATCCTCCGCTACTTGTGTTCCCGGCGAGTCTTAAATAACAACAGAAGACCTTCTTTTCCATTACTATCCACCCATTCCCTATCCGGCCTTCGTCCTGCTCTACCTCCTGGAGGCCAAAACAGCCATGACCGAAACCTCACTGTTTGAAAAATGTCCCAGCACTTTGGAAGAGTGGACTGAGGCTGCCGTAAAGGGTGGTTTTCTCGCAGTCTCTCCTAAAGACTACACAGACCACAAACACGGCTCAGAAATCAACCAGCCGCAGTTCATCATCCTACGAACTCTCGTGCAATGTTCCGGGCCTGACGCCTTCGATCCAGCTCTCTTCGACCTCGAAAACGATATCGAAAAAGCTCGGCGCCTCCTGCAAGACTGGGACATGTTTAAGCACTATATTGACGCCATCAAAGCCAATTCTCGTAAGGCAGATGGTGACTTCTCTGCGGCTCGTTACAACCAGGTTCAAGTTCTGGAGGCTCATAAGGGACTAGTGCAACCTCGTGATGAGGAACTTGAAAAGCCACCCGTCAGATACTCCGCTATTATTCTCCTCATATGTATATGCGGTATTTCTCCAAACGAGGACAGCAGTCGATGGTGTACTCCTAGTCGGATCGATCTCGTGGCCAAGTTTGGAAGCGGCAAGGGTAGCGGGTTTATCGCAGGTACTGATGGCCAGATGCAAGACAAGTCTCATTCATTATGGATAAAGGCCCCGATAAAGAGCACCAGCAATGAACGCCATGTTTATGGACCCGCTATTTATATGCAAGAGGCGGCCCTACTTATCGCTTGGATGAAGGAATACCCCGGATATCCCGATCCGAAGCGGTACGTGGTTTTGTTTTGCCTTATCATGCCGCAGGGTAGGGTGGGATCAAAATGCTAACAATGACAGACGCATTCTTATCTCCCAAAATGGAATCGAATTCTATCTGACTTTTGCTTTGTGCGGCGACGACTGGATGACATCGTATGTGGAGGAGGGTAACACGGAGGTCACTGACAGCAGTTTCATGACCATGCATACCTATGGTCCTTGGTTGATTAACAATGCTGAACATATGGAGGAATTTGCGGCGATCATACTGGCTATTAGCTTCTGAGCTTCCTTGCTGTCTTGTCCTCTTCTTTTCCTTTTCTTATGTTATCTATGCCATAGCCGAGGCCTTTTAACTTCAAATGTGTTGAGTTTCAATGAGCCCTCCCCGCTATTGGAAGATAAGCGTACTGACGAAATGCAACTCAGTGTCCCGGTGGCTAATAAATCAAATTAAGATCAAGTCCGTCAAACTTCATCCAAGCTTATTTTGATACATTGCGCACTAGTCCCGATGTAGATGTATAGGGCCGTCTTAATTAGGTATAGTACATTCTTACCTAATTTCTTCACGCCCAACACCATACGAGACAGACGTAGATACTTTCAAAGTGTTGATATTATATATTGTTCTGTATTTTTGAAATACTCTACAAAATGGCTCAGAATAAACCAACACCCCTCCCAGCAGATATAATGGAGTCCCAGCTCTCCACAATAGACCTCCTAACAGCCATGTTCCCGTCCGAAGGAGAACTCGAAATTGATCCATCCACGACAGAATGCATTGAAAAACTGCGAAGCTGGTGCGAAGATCCCTCCACAGATCTGCCTTCTGGGACTCCTTCAAATATATTACTCGCCGTTCATGCCCAAATTTCTGGCGGCGAGAAGACAATCCAAGTCAATGTCTCCATCCCATTACAATGGAACGAACCAGAGGCAGAGGCAGATACAGACCAACCACCTCCATTAAAATACTCCCTACGCCAGCCGGACTGGCTTTCCAAGGCTGAGATTGCACAATTATCGTCTTCAATGCCAGACGACGATATATTATCCGCTTTAGAGTACATCCAAGAAGAAGGTGCTCGCTTATACGAAACGCAAAAGAATTCAATATCCACGACATCTGCATCAAACCAACCTTCCACTGGGAATAATAACTCATCTTCAGATCCCATTGTACGGGTATGGTTCTATTTCCCGTCTCTATCAACACGCGCCAAACGAGACGACATGGTCAACTATGGCCCCGACTACTCTCTCACCGGCTTTGTCCTGGCCGGGAAACCTGGGGTTCTATGTCTCGAAGGTGCATCCAAAGATATAGATGCTTATATGAGTTTTATCAAGACGCATTCGTGGGGCGATATCCCACGACATCAGAAGAAGGTCAGCGAGCGGTATCGGGAGACGGAAGGGGTCGAGAGGGTGTTTGCGGGCATGGAAGAGATTACAGACTCCCTTGGGGAACGCGGTGGGCAGAGAGCAAATCGTGGTGATATGCAGGCACTGGAGGGGTGGTTGGCGGCGAGAGGGCTACATGGGGCTTTTGAGAACGTGATCTTTTGATGGAGCAATGATCGTTTTGGATGATACCACTATAGGAGAGGCAGGAGCTACCCAATATTATTTAAACCAGTTTTAGAAGGCACGGTTGGGCGAGCTTGAGTCCAGTCGGGGTATATTATTCTTTGATGAGGAAACAATGGACACAGCAGGAGCAACTTGTATATAATTTCAAACGGCTACAATACCACCCTTCGCTTTCTTTCTTCCACGTCTTTCTCATCGTCTATATCAATATTTCCAGTGCGGTCTTTATCTCTTACTATACAACATGGTCTTAGACTATATCCTTGATCCTCAAGGCGAGGTTTTTATTGTCATCCGCAACCCAAATGCTCCGTTCGCAGTTTGGCCATCAACGACCGATGAAGATGGAAACCCCCCGACGCCATCCAAAGAAGGGGATGTGAATGAATTACTGATTGAAAGTGACGCAGAAAGTGACGGTGGCACTGTCCTCGAAACCACACCAGGCGCATTCGACCACAATCTCGGAGAGCCGGAAAGGGACGTTCGAATCCAGGCTTCTGCCAGACACCTCATGCTCGGTTCTCCAGTCTTCAACAGGATGCTGAACGGGGGCTGGTCAGAAGCCAGGCAGCTTAAGGAGAAGGGCTCAGCTGAGCTTGTTGTTGACGGCTGGGATGTCGAGGCGCTAGTTGTAGTCCTCAATATTATCCACTCTCACCTCCTAAAGGTACCCCGGAAGGTAACCGTGGAGCAGCTTGCTAAGATCGCAGTCATAGCAGATTACTACGATTGTAAAAGTGTCCAATTCTTCGGTGAGTTATGGATTCGCGCGATCTCTAAGGAGCCACCGTCAGATTATTCTCGATACATGGTCCTATGCCTCTGGGCCTCATACTTTTTCAACTACAGAACGTTGTTTACCACCTATTCATCGGCCGCCATGGAGAAAGCTACCTGTCATATCTCTTCCCTTAGGCTTCCAATACCCGGAAATATTATTCGTGAGCTCTTTTCTGACACTTCAATCTGATTAGAAGTTAATTAGTGTCTTATAGATGACATGAATGCGAAGAGAATATCTTCGATCTATGAGATTATCAGCAGAGTCTACACACTACGCGATGCAATTCTTAACTGCAGTTCAATGGATTCATCATTCTGTTCTTCGGAGTGCACCTCAATGTCGCTTGGTTCTTTGTTAAGGTATATGCGCCCACTGGGGATGGGGCTATTACAACCAACAAAACCATACCTTGGCTTCAGATTTGGTGATGTTGTTAATATCGCCAATTTTGAGCTCACTGCCTGTCTATTAAATCCATGGGTTTCCGAAGTTACGCATGAACGTATGAGACAACAATTCATAGATATGTCCCTGGGGATTCCAAAATCCATCGAAGGCTTAGATTTGGCCGAATACACCAAGGGCTGGCAAGTGAATACCTTACAACAGTATGGCCATGAATGTGCATAGGAAATCATGTATTATCTATTCGGAGTCTCTAGCCTGTCTATAAATACAAGCTCCCTCGGCGTTCTTTCCATTACAGCGACAACTTCCCCCTTAGCCCCTTCACAAGCTCCGGTACCGTCAGTGCCTCAACAGGAACAGTCGCCAACCGCTCCCTCACAACCTGCAGCAAACTCGGCAAAACAGTCTGGGTCTGAGGGAAAGCTCTCGTAAACAAGAAATAAATCCCCGTACTAAGCCCACCAGCTGTCGCGAATGCAGATAGAAGTCCTAGGTACGAGAGGATCTCCACGCCGGGCTTCTTGAAGAAATACTTCTTGCGGTCTCCGAGTCTCGTCTTCCCCTTCAGCGACGGGATGTATTTGAAGTCAAAGACTGTTTCCTTCCCGAGCCCTTCTTTCTCGTCCATGAGGTGTTTCCAGAACATCTTCTTGCGGTTCTAGAGTTGTATTAGTGCCAGGGATGCTATTGTTAAACATTGGTTGGAACGCACCTGAATGATATATCTATCAACCGCAGGAATAAGCGGAAGCGTCTTCGCCTGGACCTGCACCCAGAAACAGTACCCCCACATAAGCACCTTATAATACAAGCCCATCTGAGGGATATGTAATTCATCCGAGAGTTGATCACCATTGAGCAATCTTGTCAATGCATCCATATATTCTAATGATGCATATATCGGCGCCGTATTCTCAAGTCCAATGGCGATGTTCCGAGCGAGAATCCTTCCTGTGTCTGTGGGTTCGAATTCATTGACGAGCAGAGACTCGGAGGTAATCTTGGCCTTTGCCGCGCTCTCGAATGGTTCTGTTGGTGCGCCCATGTACCAGGCTACTAGTCGCCAGAGCGCGATGTAATCTTCCTCTTCCTGGGGAGTCAAAACAATACCCTGTCGCGGCATTCCAAGCCAGATGACCGTGCTGCTGAACGTGTTGATGGTAGCAAATGAGTCGAGGTCGTTAATAGGGAGTCCATAACGTTCAGAGTCATAATAGTTGGGATCTTGTTCCACGAGACCCATGATCTTGCGGCGGACGGCGGAATGTAGAAGACGGACTCGGACAGAGGCCAGGTGACCCTCGCCGCCGGGCTTCATGGCCTCTGGGGAGTTATTGACCTGTATTGTATGCTGGACTGTTTCAAGGAGACGGTGGCGCACGACTTTTGCGCCGAACCCCCCGGTTCTAGAGAGGATTTCGCCGACGCGGATAGCACCCCTGGTGGTTCTTGGGTTAGGGCTTGGAGTTGGAAAGTTGGGCTGGTCATACTTACATTCCACCGAGTAAACTTACGAACGTTAGCTGTTGGCGGAAGATGTCAGGTTAGCTATCCAGTCTTGAGCAGGGAGACTTGTAGGAGCATACAGCATTTGTCACGGGGATCAGATATCGCCAAAAGAGGTCCTGGGCTCGCGCGATTTGCTCCCAGTCCACCCATTCCGGTACAGTGTTGATCTCTGTCCAGAGCAGCTCAAGCTTCGGATTGCTCGAATAGTTGTCCCGTAGCAGTGCATAACGGTCTCGCTTTGTGGGGTCATTAGCAGGTGCTGGCAGCGCATCTAGGATCTCGTTGGCTTCATCGGCGAGCGTATCGCAGGTCCGGGTCCAGGGCTCAAGTTCGCTCCCAGGGATATGTTTATCGGTCCATTCGAAGCTGTAGTCCCAATAGTGGTACTCGACTCGATTACCCTTTTTATTCGTCGTTACCGACATGGTTGCTGGTCAGGTATATTGCGGAAGTGTACGACTTTGACTAGTATTCATAATGGTGGGCTTGGGTGGTATAAATGAGGCAGGCCTTTGTGTTCTTGCTTAGGAGTGAACACATACCCGCGGGCCGGGGTCCGGGCACGTAGAGCACCAGGCCATCATTGTTGGATGAGAGGGCGATTATTTGCAATCGTTGGAGCATATCTAGGTGGCTGATCCACCCCGATCGGGAATCGCATGTGAATCGGGGTCATACCAACTGAGTCAGTCAGGTCAAGTGCCCATGAGCTTGATCCCTCACCCACCTTCACCCTTTGTGTCATCAACCTCAATCTGTAGGCTATTATTGGCCTCGGAGGCTGAATTATTTCACATGTGTTTCTTCGATGGTGGTGGTTACCACTGCCCAGCATGTATCGCGGTTATCGGCAAAGCTACTAGTCGAAGATCATACTAGCCTCTCAAATCACCTACAACCTATTAGTATGGGGACCTTCACTCGTCCTATCATGCCCGAATGCATTCCCTGTCAAAATTGACATTGAGTGAAGGTGAGAGGGCGTAGTCAACATTGACTTCACGGACTCGCTTCACCTCCGTTTCATTCTGGTTTTATATTGCCAAGCCAATGATGTTATCGCCATCATAGTTCCAAATGCCAGGAGTAACAAAGTATCCATAGCCTCGGTCAGGTGAAGATGGTATTCACTGCACCGGTACCTGTTGGTATAGATGTATGCTGGGAAGCTATCGGAGGTTTCTTCCCTGTCGTATGGACTGAGACGCTTTACGGTTGATTGACTTGGATTAACAAGCAGGGCGAAAGAGAAGCACACCTTCTCAGCATAAACAGAATTGGCTATTTGGAAAGCACCACCCCAAATCAGCAATGGGGGAACTTACAATAAAGCCCCAGGGAGATCATACATCAGAGTTCTCATCAAGACCACTGAAGTACTCTAGACTCAGCTGATTTATGCGGGTGCTGGAGGCAATCGCAAACTCTGTAATAGTCACATATTCCAGCTGCAGTATTGGTTCGAGTACACCGCCATGTCGATGCAGAGCACAACAAGGGGTCTGTAGTTCTGGAAAAGAATTCGCCTAATCGGGAATAGGCGCACTGCCCCGCCTCCTGGGCCAGCGAGATATTATCCGCAGCGATATCGCACTAGTACCAGATCCAACGCCGTGAACACACTTGGACTAGGTCGAGCAGCTTCCTGCCCTGGTCTCCGCCACAATGGTTAAATCTAATCTAGAATTAGTTGATGAATGCGATAGGTTTGATCCCTTTCCTCTTCCGTTACCTCCCAGCCCGTTCCCTAACAAGGATATAGTTTCCCGTATCATCAAGATGACCCCGCAGCCTACGCGACCCATATGAAGAAATACCACTCCTTCAAGGTCAAAGGCTACGATGCTGTCCTAGGGCATATCTTAAACGAGGTGGTAGATCGATTCGATTGGCCCCCAGAGTCTTGGGCCATCGATCCCACCGAGCGAACAGTGACTCTGATCGCCGGTTCAACACCAGAAGAGCGAAACAAAGTGCTAGACCAAACCCTTGAGTTGGCAGTCAAGCAAGACCGCTTTGAGGTTCTGCGAGGATGGCGCAACGAAAAGTATCCAATCTACGGACCCAATGGGGAATATCTGCTTGAGTTGGAGCGGTCTGCCACTCCGCTTTTTGGGATCGTCTCGTATGGCATCCATTCCACCGCTTATGTTGAGGATGACGAGGGTCTGAAGATCTGGGTACCGAGGCGGTCGAAGACGAAGCAGACGTATCCAGGAATGCTGGATAATACTGTTGCGGGTGGGATGACTACCGGAGAAAGGCCATTTGAGTGTTTAGTTCGCGAGGCCATGGAAGAGGCGTCTCTTCCTGAGGATGTGGTCAGGGCCAATGCTTCCGCTGCGGGTTGCGTTTCATACGCATATTTGCGGGATAGCCGCGCCGGTGGTGAAACGGATCTAGTGCAGGCCGAGGTTGAATATGTCTTTGATATCAAGCTGCCTGCGGATGTTGTTCCGAAACCTAACGACACCGAGGTGGAGGAATTCTGCCTGCTTACAGTTGAAGATACGAAGAAGGCATTGGCCAACAGGGAGTTCAAGCCCAACTGTGCCATTGTCCTGATTGATTTTTTCGTCCGACATGGAATCTTGACGGCCGATAACGAGAAGGATTTCCTGCAGATCATAACAAGGATTCATCGCCGGTTGGAATACCCGACTGCGTCGCATGTTGCGAAATAGACAAAGCCAGTTTCCGGTAATTGTTTTCCAGGTATACTTTTATATTCTATTTAATAGACCCAAATTCCAAATAACGCCGACGCTGCAACCAAAGCACTCCAACGAGTAAACGCGACATTTCCTGGCCGTTCAAGCTTGAACAATGCCAAAGAAGACCGCAAGACCCGATATTTCCCCAGAGAAGAGATTCTTTCTTTATTTCTTGAGAAGCAGGTACACGTAATCTATGCGCAGAGGTGCGAGCTTCTTGTAAGGGCCTTCGAGGTAGAGCAGCAGACCGCCGAAGGAAACGAAAACCGCCCTATACCGTCATACATTAGCACATCCTATCCGTGCGCACTGCACCATGAAGCAAGCTTACATGTTCCCAGAAGTAGATCCCTCCTCGAACCGGTAGACCTTGCCGTGGCAGACATAATCGTAATCGTTTGCGAGTGTCTGCTCGCCCATACCGACTTCTCTCCAGCCGGTCTTTGCGCCGCTGTCTTCCTTGCCGTCTAGCGAGAGAGTCGAGGCGAGTGCCATAGAGAGCGACTCCCCAACGGTACAAGGGTAGAGCTCGGAGTTGACATCGAGTGTGAAAGTGGTGAGGGAATCTGAGGAGGTGGAGGTCAAACGGGAGACTCGGTCGTACTTCTGGTTGTTGATCCCGGTGATCGTGAAAGTATCTTCAAAGAGTAATGGGTCGGACATTGTGGCAGTATTGTATAGCCCGGTTCAAATGGTGGCGCAAGCAGGTGTGAATTGGTGGATGCTCAAAGGTCGAGGTGAGGTATGCAACAAAGGATAAGTCGTGAGGCGGTCTTGACCGACGGAGGAGAGAGCTTTTTTCTGCTTGGGATTTTAGCGTACCGCCGCCGCTTTTTATTGCCGGCAGCTGCCCCGCCGCAAATCTTCAAAAAGTATTCTGTGCTTGACAACAGCTCCAAGATTCTTTAATTACAGGCAAAATGTCTTTTCGCAAGAGAAACATAGGCTTGTCAACCGGGCCTGACCGTACACCGGCCTCTAATGCACCTGCGCAACCACACCGAGCCGTCCAGCCACCGCCGCCTTCGACACCCGGCGTGCGTCCCTCCCCCGACGACGGACGGCCGACCACTTCAACCGGTTCCCCGTCGCTTGACAACCTCTTAGCTGGGCACGGCGGGCTTGCTATAGGGAAGACACTTCTAGTGGAGGAAAATGGAACTACAGATTTTGCCGGGGCATTGCTCCGATATTACGCCGCTGAAGGAGTTGTGCAAGACCAGAGAGTGCACGTCATCGGCATGCCCGAGCAATGGGGTAGAACCCTTCCGGGTTTAATAGGACCTGCCGAGGCCGCAGATGAAAAGCCAGACAGACGGAAAGGAGAGCGCATGAAGATCGCCTGGAGATATGAGCGTCTTGGAGAATTTGGAGCGGGAGTCGCGGGCGCAAGAAGTAGGTTACCGAAGCTGCGTGGGCACTTGACCACAGTGTATGCTAACCAGACCAGCTCCTGCAGCAACACCAGGAGACCAGAACCCTTCATCTACGGACGGTAACTTATCCAAGCAAGAAGCCTTCTGTCACGCGTTCGACCTAACGAAACGCCTCACACACCCTTCCATCAGCAACATGACCTATATTCCCCTTGTACCAACGAATGAGCCTCTGCTCGTCACAATCCAAAAGAAACTCCAAGCCGCCATTTCCTCTAGTCCTCCGAACACCATTCACCGAATTGTCATCCCATCGTTTCTCAATCCCACATTATATCCACCCGAGGTCAGCGAACCTGAGAATGTGCTACCGTTTCTCCATTCGCTTAGGGCCCTCGCAAGCTCGCCCACATCTCGCATAACCGCCATGATAACAATCCCACTTTCTCTCTTTCCACGTGCTTCAGGTCTCGTGCGATGGATGGAAATTCTAAGCGATGGGGTTATTGAGCTCTGCCCTTTTCCGCATTCCTCCGATGCACTCTCAACATCAGGAGCCGCCACATCTCATGAGGAACCCCCACAAGGAATGCTCAAGACACATCGACTTCCAGTTTTACATGAGCGCGGTGGCGGGAGCGATCAAAATATTGGGCAGGATTGGGCATTCACTCTCAGCAGGAGGAAGTTCGAAATCAAACCGTTCAGTCTGCCCCCTGCCGAAGGAGACCAAGAAGCGCAAAATACGGCTCAATCCGATAAAATGCCCAAAAAGCAAGACCTCGAGTTCTAGGAAAGCGGAACTTGTATCGAATGGAGCAGAACACGGATGTGCCGAAGTCATTCTTCATGATCGGATTCGACCAGCATATTGTCCAGCTCGATTTGCTCGGACATGGCGGGGCCAGTATTGACCATCGTGCGAAGGTAATCCCTCCCGTAAGAGTCGAGCCCCGGCCTCGCGGACCTAACGAACCGAGAATGAAACCGGCTACCTAGACAAGAAGAGAAAGCAAGCCATGCTTTGGAAGTGTCAGTTGCGGAGAATATGATGACCAGGGGGGAACAGGCGGGGTAGCAACCTAGGAATAGTATTAGAGGCGTGAAAAACACCAGAAAAATAAGCAGGAAGAAATTCATCATAGGATCGACTGGATCGAAGCCAATAATGCTGTTCTGTTCTTTCTCTGCAGAGTGCCTGAATAATGCGGAAAGCTGAGGGTGCTGCTTCGGCCCCTCTCGGCGACCGGAGCGAGAGCTCGCCCAATCCGGCAAAGCGCGGTCTCCACTGGAATTTTCGTGTTTAAAAATGACTCCCACCAAATTTCTTCCTTGCGTTCCTTCATTTCACTCTCGAATTCACTAAAACCGGGATTTGCTGGTCAAATCCTACAGTGACTTTTATCTGTAATGTTCATTCGTTTTTGATGGTAAGTTCGAAGCAAAACTTTTCCTTTTCGCGCAAAAGATCAAATGATTATATAACTACTATAATCTGTCAATCCCCTGAAGCTCGCTATAATAATCTCATTAAAAGAGCACTACGTGATTGAGAAACGTATTGAAAATGACTTGATCTCTATTTCTTGCCACTGCAATTGGTCTACCATAACTTGCTTTCTGAGCGATATGCTAACATGTGTTTCCTATCGCTAGTAGTGAATCCGAATCCTGAACCCTGATCGTTACTCAAGATGAATACCAGCCCAGAATTGCCGGTCCCGATATCGTATATCGCGGGTAATTACTTTGTCTTCTCGGTCGATGCGGCTACGTTCTTGAGGCGTGAGCATCATATATGCGGTGTCCTGGCAGGGACTCTACCGCAGGCACCACAGCAGAATGTCTTCACGGGTCTGCCGTTAGAGCTGATGCCGGAAGAAGCAAGGCTCCTAGTGGAGAAGGGCGTAGCTTGCATCGTAGATGAGGTAAACTTCCAGAAACAGGGAATGCAATCTCTGGTTGAGGAAGACCGCAAGAAGTATCTCAAAGAACTAGAAGCGCAAGGCCTCGAGACTACGCAGCTTCAAGTGCGCCGCAAAGAGAAATTAAAGCAAGAGGCTATGAAAAAGACTGCAGAGAAGAAAGCTGCAAAGGCAAAGAAGACTGAGCAGAAGCAGCCCGCCACCGAGGCTTCTGCGGAAGATTCAGCCGTCGTTTCATTGTTCGATAATAGCCAGTCGTCTAGTCCTAGTCAAGTACCCTCCTCGCGCTCATCGACGATATCGGCCGCTGAAGCTATGAGGATCACTCCAGCAGTATCCCACCCTCCGCTTCCTCGGCAGCCGCCTGCAGAGCACCTTCTATCACTCCCTCAAGTGCCATCCTCGTATCCACTCTTCGCTCATCTTCACTCCAAGGGCTATTTCCTATCTCCCGGGCTTCGATTTGGTTGCCAGTACACGGCGTATCCAGGTGATCCGTTGCGGTTCCACTCCCACTTCTTGGTTGTTTCAACTGGCTGGGACGAGGAGCTAGACTTGATGACAATTATCACGGGTGGCCGACTTGGCACAGGTGTTAAGAAGGGATTCCTTATTGGAGGAGCCGACAAAAACGCTGAAGGTTCCGGCGATGCAGGCGCAAATGTCAAGGCATTCAGCATCGAGTGGGCAGGGATGTGATGCAAGCTACCGCACACCAGACTACCCTATCACTCCTGACGAAGTAGTCGTCCGTATCGACAGTTGCTTCCTCTCACGCGTGTTCGGAAATTCCAACCTCGAAGTGATTGAAAGCTTCCGAATGTGTTTTGGCTTTGGGCGCATCGGTTGCAGAAGCAGGTCATGAGACTATCTCGCCGCAAAGGCGGAGGAATCCTGATATCCGGCCTGTATACGGACAGTGCTGCGACTCAGCGCAATGACCTTTCTGGGTAAACAAGCGAGCACTTCCCGATCTCGCTGTGGACAAAATGCTTTACTTATCAATCAAGCCAAAGGTAGTTGGAATCTGACTTGAAAACCAAAAAGCATTCTCAAAGATACTCCACATTGCGCCACTTGAATTTCTTGTTGGCTCTGTCCACAGGTCGATTCTGAAACTGGCTGCCATGGAGCTCAAAGACGAGCGTCTTGCCTTCTTCAGCACGGTCTGCAGCGTTTTCCGGATTCATCTCCCCCGTCGCATTTGCATCAGGCAGCGGCACACAGAAACGAAAAACCGTTTGCTCCTTTGGAATGTCTAAACACCACCTCTTTAGTTTTGAAGTCCAGTAGTCAAAATAAAGTCCGGGAATCAAACACTCACTCTTGACCTCATCCCTCTCCGTGACAATCACAAACGTAAACTTCGTATCCCTAACCACAATTCCCTTCAACCCAACTCTTCCCGAGCACTTACTCCTAACAACCTCCATCTCTGCCCCATGGAAATCCGCACTAACCAGTTTGCTCCCATGCGAAAGCGCCGTGACCAGTTTCCCACTACCTCGTTGATTTTGCTGCTGCTGCTGCTGCTGCGCTCTCCACGCTGCAGCACCAGACCCCAGATCCAATATCTCCCTCATATACTCCGCCCACATCTGATTTAGTCCCTTGAAGGTCTCATATTTGCATTCTTCCTCGGGTAATTTGTAAACTCCGGACTCCCGTTTCTCGCGCGCAGACAGCGGCTTCGGCTTCTGGTGCCGGAGGAAGTACTCCTTCTTGCGGAGGCGGTGGAGACGACGTCGTGAGCGATTGTCGGCAGGCGTTGGAGAGGTTGGACGGAGGTGCAGAGGCTTTTGTTTTATGCGTTCTGTGAAGAGGGCTTCGGCTGTGTCTGGGGAGTGGGCGCGCTCGAGGAGGGTTTGCGCAATGTGGGTTTTGGACGTTGACATTTTCGTTTCGTAGAGGTCGCGGTTATTTTATCAATTATTTGATTTCGAGGAAAGTCCGCAGTACAATCACTGCATGGTGGGTGTGGTTTCGTGGGTTGATGACTTCAAGAGCTAGATGGTTGTTGGAGTTGGGTGCGGAATTCGCAGCGGAAATTTCGATCTCTCCGCCGCTTACTATACATTCCCGGACCTTGACATCGAGCCTACATTGCATTTTTGCCTGTATCGGTCTATTTCAAACAGGATGCACTGTAAATTTTTCTCGAACTTACGGCGCAGTTCAGCTTGTTGTCCTTGAGAGTCTGAAAGAATCGTCGCAAATATTGCCTTTGTTGCCGGTGGTGCTTTGCTGGTGAGGAACAAGTATATATATCTATAGTTCTCTGCGATACTTCTCAGCAGTTATGTGGCGTAATATTTACTAAGAAGCGATCTGGCTTACCTCTGCCTTGCTATTCTTCTTCTTCTCCCTGCGCGCTTTCTGGTGCTTCTTGGATTCGGTGGATTATCCGTTCCTGTTATTGGTCAACTCGGCCTAGTTGAAATTATTAAGAGAAGCACATATGAAGCTGTTATTTGAATGATCTAACTACGCCTTCGTGATTACAACGGGAGAAGACGGTAGATGCCAAAGCAGAGTGCTCGCCTTAAGCATCCAGACAAAGATTTTGGCAGTTGCGTCAGTCTCAACCGTTGAAAAGAAATTGGGTAAAGAAGCTTTCTGCAGCACTTTCCAGCTATGAACTAGCGCGACTCTACAGGTACATACCCTGGAACACTGGAACTCAAAGCCGTGGACAGGGCCGCGGCAGACAAGCCCATCTTCGTCCTTCTCTGAAATTGTGTTCATTCTCCAGGCTAAAAGCAGCCATGATTAGTAGTAAACGAGGTATTCGCCATAGCGTCACAAAAGAAAAACTCGCCTGTTCCTAGCGTTGGGATGAAAGGTATAAACAGGTTCTATATAGCTATGTTTAATGAGAACCACTGCTCTCTTCTCGTATTGACTTGGTCGAGTCTTCAACAAATAAAGTTTATATAATTGCCCTCGGCCCAAGTGCTTCCCCGCATCAACCACAGAGTATATAGTGTGCGAGATCATAGCGCATATGACTCCAACACATTCGCACATACTGCGAAGAGATCTGACTATAGAAAGAAACCATGCAAAAACAAGAGGATGCTTTCCCTGGGATCCCAGTCTTCCCCGATGATGTTCCAACCGCTCCTCTACTCCGTCTCTCACTGAAGAACCTACTTGCCGAGGATGAAGATGAGATTCAGAAACTGAGCAAAGCATGTGAGGAAATCGGTTTCTTCTACCTCGATATTCGCGATGCAGGCGAAGCCACGAATCTCCTAGCCGACGCAGACAAGCTGTTTGAAATAGGAACCGATTTGTTCGAGCTTCCTCTAGAAGAGAAGCAGAAATATGACTTCAGTGCTCAGAAGTCTTACTTCGGATACAAGGCACAAGGTGTTGGCGTAGTTGATCGGCAAGGCAATCTGGATCGAAATGAGTTCTATAATGTCAGCTGTGATTTCCCTCTCGTCATTTTTACTCACTAATCCCTGTACAGGTCTCGAAAGACGATATTATGGGCGTCTCTCAACCGCTTCCGGCCCCAGATATTCTAGAGAATAACCGAAACTCCTTCGAGTCTTTCATTCAGAATTCTCACTCTATCGTCACACTTATCCTCAAACTTCTCAACACCAGCCTAGGTCTTCCGGAGTCCACTCTCGCCAAACTCCACCGCCTCGAAGGTATAAGTGGCGACCAAGTACGCTTCGTCAAGGCACCTCCACAGCCCGTCGATGACCGCCGTACTGCGTTGGGCGAGCATACCGATTTTGGAAGCGTAACTATCCTCTTTAACCGCCTGGGAGGCCTCCAGGTTCTTCCTCCTGGTGAAGATGCAGAGTGGCAGTATGTGCGACCTCTTCCCGGACATGCAATTGTCAACCTCGGAGACGCTATGGTGAAGTTTACCAACGGGCTGCTTCGGTCAAATATCCATCGTGTTGTTTCTCCTCCCGGACAGCAAGCCGATAGTACTCGGTATAGCTTGGTTTATTTCGCAAGGCCGGAGGACGACGTGCCGCTGCGGCGGTTGGAGGGGTCTTCTCGGATCCCCGAGCTGGAAGAAGGCGTTGTGGAAGAAGCGATTAACAGTAAAGACTGGATTATACGCCGTGCACTGGGTCGGAGGATAGATGTGCCTGATATCGAATACGATAAGTCAGTAGGCACGGAGATGTTGAGTAGGAGGTTGAAGGTCTAATGTATCGTTTTATATTTACCTCATTCTTGATGTATCTATCTTAAATAATGTTCGACTTGGCTTGAGTGTAATATGATTTGTGCTCTGAGTTATCTCTTTGACGATGGACTTCCCACGCGTGAGTAAAAAGTGAGCCATCCTTCCTCTTGTTATATCTCACTTTTTCAACCATCCCAATCCATCCAGGCACTCATGAAGCCACAAGCATCGTTGCTCTTGGACTGGGATGTGTCACTAGTTCCTTACTTTTCTATTCGCCTCAACACATTTTCCTATTCCTCTCACACGGGTTTCAGGATTTTGTTTCCCTGTGTTTCCTCTATACAACCCCATCCAGGGAAACACATTAATCGACGTCGTGTTTCATGGCTGCCATTTGGTTCTATTCAAGATGGTTTTCCTACGTGTTACCATCCGTTTACCTTTACGCTCGTTCCTCTCCTCGGTTTTCCCCTCTTCTCCATATCACGTCAGTTCTACAAACCACAGGCATTGTGTACCAAAATGGAATTGGGATATCTTAACGATAGCGACGATGATTCGGCTCCCGGTAGCCCGCGGACCTGGTTTGAGACCCCGCCTAGTTCACCGTCTAGGTTTACAGCGGGATCAGAGATTACAACTCCGGGGAGTATTGGTAGGATCTAAATCTGCTCTCACCAAGACTCTGACTAACCTGGATATATTAGGAGTGGACGAATATTGTATCTCTCCCTTTAATTCTTCTTTCACCGAGACCCAGCTCTACTCGCCTCCTCGGGCTGGACGATGGCAGGCCACCAGGCCAAAGCAGCCGCAGGATAACTCTGCCTCCGGTATCCAGAAAAGAAGAAAAGCATTCCTTGATCATATCCGGGATGTCATTCTGCCACTGCTGAGTGAAAACAACGTCTTCGATCATCAGTCTGAGGAAGATATTACCGGCGATGTCGAAGTCAGACCTTACTCGTCAGTTGGTTTGCAGCCGGCCGGGTAAGTAGTGAAACCAAGTACATATCCTGAAGAAGCTAGCTAATATATCGGCGGTCTAGTCTTCAAGGTAGCCTTAAACCTTACCAACTGGAAGGACTATCCTGGCTATTGTATCTCCGTCGTAACGGCATCGGTGGTATTCTTGCCGACGATATGGGCTTGGGCAAGACTCTGCAAACCCTTTCTTTATTTCAGTACGTTAAAGACAAAGAGCGGGGAGAACACAAGTTCCTAGTTGTCTGCCCACTAAGTGTTTTGGATACTTGGATGTCCGAGATTTCTAAGTGGAGCACCGGGTTTACACCATTGGCATATCATGGAACGAGCCATGATAGACAAAACCTGAGAGAAACTTTCAGCCAGCCAGAAGGTGATCCCGCAAACATTGTCGTTACGTCTTACGAGACCGTCTGTAACGACTTGCTGTTCTTCAAGAAAACGACTTGGGCTTATGTTGTCCTAGATGAAGGACATCGCATCAAGAATAGTAAATCTAAGAGAACGCAAGGAATCTACAAGCTTCGAACAGACTATAAGCTTGTACTAACTGGGTATGTTGAGCCACCAAGCCTTTCATTTACAACAACTGACGTTGTGCCCATGGCAGCACTCCAATACAGAACGACCTGACTGAGCTCTGGTCTATTTTACACTGGCTCTACCCAGACGTTTTCGTTCCTTCGACAGCGGAACGGTTTGAAGACTCGTTTTCTCTAAAAGAGGGGAGGTTTAACAGCAGCTTTGTTGCCAACGTTACACGCTTCTTGAAGATAGTTATGTTACGGAGAACGAAAACATCTCCGGAGATTGGCCTGGACATTCCGACCAAGAAGGAAAGTATCCTCTCTGTGCCACTGACAGAATTCCAGCTTGGCTGGTATCATAAAATCCTCACAGGGGTGGAGAAATCGATTCTCCTGGGCGAAAGCTCACCTAATTTTGAAAACTTCGTAGACCTAACGACAGATGAGTGGGAGCGTCCTGGGGCTGGGAATGCTAAACGCAAAAGCCGCATTACTACCAACACCTTGATGGAATTAAGGAAGGTAGGTTTAGCATTATCACCAGTTGATGCATTCTCTAACTTTTCAGTGCTCAATTCACCCCTACCTTCTGGTCGATGCAATCCCTGAAGAGTGCGAAGATGGAAGACATCTCATTGAGAGCTCCGGGAAGTTTATCATCCTCGAAAGGATGATTCGTCAGTTTGTCATTGTCGAGCAGAGAAAAATCATCATCTTTTCGGGTTTCGACCAAGCTTTAAATCTGTGTGAAGATGTTCTGGGTATGGAAGAATTCAAATCATTCAAACATGTCCGGCTGGACGGCAGTACTTCTGCCCCATGGAGGAACCTGTCCGTTTTCCTATTCCAAAATGATCCCCGTTACAAAGTGTTCCTTCTGTCAACTCGAGCTGGCGGAGAGGGTTTGAATTTAATCAGTGCATCAACCGTCATCTTTCTTGATGATGACTGGAATCCTCAAGTGATGCGGCAGGCTGAATCAAGAGTTCATCGTATTGGGCAAACCGAGCCAGTCAATATTATTCGTCTTCACTCGAAGGGGACTGTTGAAGATCAAATACGCCGACGCCTAGCGAAAAAGGCGTACCTAGCCGATAGAGTGATGGAGGGTCTGGGCAACGACATATATCACCCAATCGACATTGATGAGACTTCAGAGTGTGAAATTTCCTTAATGCCAAATAGCGCAATAGTCCCGCGTGCGTTCGGTGCTACAGAATTGGCGAATTTAGATCTCGATTCCATTATGGACTCGTGTGCTCTTGACGAAATCAATGTGCAAGAGATGTCATTTTCTGAAAAGAAAGCACGGCTTGAAAGACCGGAATCGGTGAAGACGAATATTTTCAACGGACAGAAGGTTGACACAAGTTCAAGGCGGTTCTCTGTCTATGAAGACACCATTCTTGAAGTGTCGAGGGCCTCACGCCGTATTGGCAAGTCCCGGGTCGTGATGATAGGCGAGTGGGAAGTCTCAAAGGAGAGCATAATGTCTGTGACGAGCCCTACCAGGGCAACATTTCCCAAGATTGGACGAAAAGTAAAGAAAGAGAATGAGACTGTAAGTACATGCCCCAATGATACTTGCAAGTCCTAACTGTTCCTAGGGCTGTTTTATATGCAACCGCCGTAATCCGATCAACTGCGAAATCTGTACGCGATCTTTCCACGAGCGATGCCTTGACCGCAACGACTATTGTTACAATCTGAAGGGGACAAGAATGATATGTCCTCATCACTATTGTTGTGACTGTGGGAAATCTGCCACCCAGGCAGGTGGACTACTGTTCGGGTGTCTGAAATGCCCACGGGCATATTGTGAAAACTGCTTGGATTGGAATAGCACAAGGTTCGTCGGGGGCAATCCCGAAGCAGAGGCCCGGGGCTACTCGCCTCGAAACGCATTTTTCATCGAGTGTGGTGCTTGCGCATCCGGAAGGAGGTCTTTGGGTACAGAGGTGGAGTTGAAGAAGCGCGCCAGGCGCTGCTGAGTGCTGACCTCAGTCTGGAAGTTATTGGAGATTTTTTCAATTACTTTATTTCAAATGGAAATACTTTCATGTGCATGATGGTATTTTATTTACTTTTGTGGTACACAATATGAATGGATGGACAAATGGCCGAATGCACATCATTCCCAAGTAAACCCGATCCCTTGCCTTCAAGCCTGCTTTCCAGGCCTGATCACCCGAACAACTCAGGTGGCAACCCAAGACGGGGATGCACCAGATATGCAATGCGATGCGGTGCAAGATGACTACACGCAGATTGCAACCTCGAATGGGAACATGGTATCCCGCCATGCTGTCAAACCTTCACATCGGCGCTCGGTTGAATATCCTGGGCTTTGCAGGGGTCCAGTTCGGCCGTGCGGTGGCAACGCCAGTATTCTGGCAGCGGAAGGTATCCGTGAAACGGGGCAGGCGTGGACAGTGCATTGCAATAGAGTTTCATGTGGAACTGTCGAATATCAACACCTTCCGTATTAAAGGCAAAGTATACACTGCCAGAGCTCCTGCCTGGTAGGGCAGGAGCATGGGGCACGGCACCTTTACTGAAGTACCAGGCGTTAGATACCCAATGCTCAACCAGTAGCAGAGTAACTTTCAAATGTATACTTTCCTACCAGTCACACAAAAGAAACAGTACAAACCCAGCCACCAGCTTCTCATCCGACGGTCCAAGCATCCAGAATCCTCCGAGAAAGGTTAATTCTACTGGAGCTCCCTTCTACACTTCTTTTTACTTTTCTGCTGCCCTCCACCATCATAGCTCAGTCTGATCGCCGAGGAAGCCCCGTGTGTCTGGGCGTGGTCCGATCCCTGTTTCTTCACGAATCTGACTTTTGGTTTTCGTCATTGTGGGACATCCACATAGCACACTACCCACCATACCTTTCGGCTGGATAGTATGACGATGATAATCATAAAGGAGATAAGAGGTGGATGAGTTACCCAGGTTGAGTAGGAGCTGCGCGGCCGCCCACCCCGCATGTTGGGTTAATGCATTAGTATGCAGAGAATAGAGTGGCGTCTAGACTCGATGGTGTCCTAATAGTCTGCTAATAGGTGCCCAGTGCTGCGATCCGCGACGCTCACACCACCTTCTAACAAAAATAACCTACTGGTAAGACAAGTCTCTTACCCGGAGGCGTCGAATCCCGGGCTCTCCGAGACAATGACATCAAACGGAGGGAAACAAAGTCAGACATCCTTCTCACGAAGGAAACCTGCGAGAAACAGCGGCGTTACATTAACTATGGAAGGGCAATAAATGGATGGGGTCATTGTAGGCTGTCGGACAGGCCGTACCGGAAAACGGCCTGATCGAGTAAGAACTGGAACTGGGAATGTGACGGTCCGGTCCGTGGAGCAACCCACGGTTCAGGATTCCATTATTCCACAACCGGCGGCACAAGAGGAATCGATAATAGTCCGGGTCTCGAGTTATACATCCTTTATCCCCAGCCCCGAAATGAAGCTTATCTCAATTCCAATCGGACAGGTTCGAAGTATCCGCTGACAGCTGACAGCTGATAGCTCACAGTCACCGGCTGGACGGTATGGCCGTTGGCGCCGTCCACGACTCTTTCCTATCTGGGCAGTAGGCAGGAGGCCCAGGAAAAGGAGAATGTCCGTGTCCTCCGCGCCGGCTCCATCTCGGTGGCCTGTTCACATTCCAGTTTTACAGCCCACCAAACCGGGAACCGAGCACACCACACCAGACCAACGACTGCCAGTGCCAACAATTAACCTGAGAACACGATCTTATTCCTGGGGCTTATTCAACCGCGAAATCGCAATCCATATGCAATGACGATCATCCTCGGGGGCCAACTGCCTGCCAATGCCACTGTCCACGGCCATTGCATGAGATTGTTCCCTTCCAGCCAATCTGCGTCGATATGACACATAACGGCGTTGGATTCAATCCTGCAGGCGCATCCTCCCTCAGGTCGAGAAATTATTGAGTCCTTCCTTCTCACTCCCGGTTTCCCGGCGTCAGTTCCCCAAGAAGAAGAAACCTCCGTGCAGGCTGCGGGAAGGGACATCGATATCCACCGGTTATTTCAGCCTGTCCTACCGGGTGCTTTTCCGCCCTGATGGCCTGTTGGGCCAAAGACTCGAAGGATAGACCAGGATCAGATCACCCCGTCGATCGTTGCAGACTTCTCCCCAGAACGAGTGCCTCACTCAGAAATCACGATTCAGAAATGGCCCAGGGCTGTCAGTCTCCTTAGTCGTTGAAATTAATGTCGATAGTCCTTTTCCTAGATCTGACAAGTGACAATAATTCAGCCCACTTTGGGACCGGAAACCATTTTTTTGTATCCACTTCCACCTTAATTCTTTTTTTCTAACGGCCGGGCAAACCTCGGCATGTCTGAAATATGAGTTATCGAAACACTTGGACATGCTATTGGTAGATTCTACAAAAAAGGGAAACGAATCACTGCGCCGGAGATCCTCTATTTTGCCCTTCTTCATCTCTTCATTTTTTGGTCGACGGCCGTTGTTCAATAATTAATATGTGCAATAATCAAGACTATTGATTGTTGTCCTGCCCATGCCATGCCACGCCACGCACGCATTCCAGACTTCGGTCCACTACCGAGGTTTACTTCGCCTTCTTCACAAAGTTTCCTTATCAGTTCATATCCTTTATCCAGGGAGTCTCCTTCCTTTAACAGCCTTATTCCAAATTTGACTTTGATTGACTTCAGGGTTCCAGGGACAAAGCTCCGTGAGTAAGGGAGCGAGCGGCCCGCAAATCCCGCCACATACCGTCCATGCCCGTACCTCATGGTTGGGCTCCTTAAATAGAATGCTCTAATTATGGAAAGAATATAGTTATGCCTCTGTTAAGGGGATGGTTACAGAGTAATTAATTCTATTCTTAAAGAGAAAATAAAGTAAATCACAAAAACACCTGATAAGCATAAGCATTCTTGGTGGCGGTCTTAACTGTACAACAACGTACTACTGTACATAACTCGTTACTCTTATTTGTGTAATTTATGAACAGAGCATAATCCCCAAAACCCACACACAAAAGAACCTGCAGAGTGCAGACGCCATCCTCATAGCCACCGGCGCCAGCAAAACCGCCCAAGACCCGCCGGGGTTGGCATTGGCATTCATTCTAAGCGGGGCTGTGGACCCCCCAATTAACCGGGGGCTGTCAAACCTGTCAGTGTCTGTCGGTGTCAGTCCAGGCCTGTCAGTGTCAGTCATGCCATGGGCCCTGGTAATGGTATGCGCTCCCAGGGATGTGGACTGTGGACGGCCACTGACTCGCGCTCTCAGACCGCTTGCCATTATTCATTAGCCGCGGGTGGTCCAGGATTAGATTAGTTTTTTCTCTCTCTCCCTCTCGGACCGTTGGAAACCTAACCTTGTCGGTATGTAGTGGTGGTACCAGACCTGACCGGCGGGTCGAGCTCGACGCATTCCTTAGGTAATATTAAAGTTCTTGGGAATGGTATGTGGGAAAAAGCCGTTGAGTGACGCGTGATAGATCGATTTGGGGAAACCCTTGCAGTGGCGAACCTTGCTTGAATGAGAGGAGGGTTTTTTTTTTAATCCTTTTTGAAGGACGGTGCATGTTTAGCGTAGCAAAGGGCGTTGGATAAGGTTTGCCTTCGGTCGAGTTCAATATCTATCATTATGTCTTACTGTGTATCTGGATTTACAAGCTAGAGAAAAAAAAAGTGCAGTGCTAACGGCTGCTACTGTCAAATTCGAGTCATTATCATGCTGTGCTAGGGAGACGCTCCGCTCGCTCCATCGGTATCAAAATATCAACAAAATCAATTCCTGAACTGTGCAGTTGTATGAACCCAGCGGGTCTCTCAAAAAGGGTGCTTTGCTGTTAATCTGCTCCACTAACTCTAATGCTAGCCAGTCTCTCCTCCACTCGTCGCACTATCTCGGGGTCTGGCTCCGGTTTCTGCTTTTTGGGCCTGTGGTATGTTAGTCACACAAAAGCATAGACCATGTGGAAGGGGTGCCAGGGGGCAACCTACGGGTCTCGTTTGGTTTCGGCACACTTCCCCTGCCCGCAATTGGAACAGTTCTTCTCGCCCGACCGGTAGATAGTATCGCACTGGTGACAGATGTACCGCACCCGTTGACGCGGCTTTTTCCAGGTCCTTGGGGGCGGCTGGAACGGAGGTTCTGCGTCACCGGGATAGCCATCGGGATATTTGTCCAGTTTAGGTCTGTGTAAATGTTAGTCAAGTTTCTATGTAGATTCGAGCTTTAGGGTAAAGTCAAGTCAAGACGTACGGATCGCGAGGACAAATCTTGCACCGGATATGCTTGCAGCTGGCGCATTCAGTCGAGTGAGGAGCAAAGATCGTATTGCAGCGATGACAAGTCCGTCGTACTCGCTGCCGAGCAGGCCTGCGGATGAGATCCTGGCCGCCGGTTCGTGAGGGGAGCGTGAGCTTGTGCTCTTTCGGCTTGGGTTGCACAGGCTGGCTCTTCTGGCCGATGATAGTCTGCAGCGCAGTCTCGGTCCGGTCTTTCTGGTCCTTGGGCTTCGCTGCGGGGTGACGCGGGCACTTCTTGCAACGGACGTGCTGGCAGTTGACGCAGACCTTGTCGGGGCCGAATGTGGTCTGGCAGCGGTGGCAGGTACGGCGGACGCGCATGCGGATGGTCTTGGTGACACGCTGAACGGGCACGTCGGTTGCTGCCTTCCACTCTCCAGGTTCCAGAGTCAATCCATACTTGGCAAATAAAACGCGGGCCTTCTCCTCCTGGAGCGCACCCCAGTTGGAAAACAAGGTCGGTTCAGGGGCGGGTTCGGTGGTGGCCTTGGCTTTTGGCTTAGGTTGCGAACTATATTAAGTCAGTACAGGGCAGAATACCAGAAAAAAAAAAAAAATATGAAAAGTGAAAATCATACGCAGGTTCTTTGCTAGACTCAGGCTGAGCCGGGGCAATAGTTTCCTTTGTGGCCTTAGGAGACGACTTGGTCGATGAAGTCCTCCTCAAGACGGTTCGCATACGGCTAATCACCTTGGACAGGCCATCCTGCTTGTCCTCGGGTTTAGAACCGGGAGTCGACATATTTCGGATGTTGTGTTGTTGATGAGTCGAGAGAAATCAATGGGTCGTAAACGGTGAACCGGGAAAGTCCTCTTGGTGGTTCGCCAAATAATCGTTCGCAGGGGGGGGCGTGTAAGCTAGACTGCTACCATGGCGAGCGCCCGTCGACAAAATCAAATACCACGATTCACCACGGTCGGACCCAGAAGAACAATTCACAAAAGATAGCGACGGATGGGAAGAGTCGCAGAGGCGGATTAAATCAGTTGAGGACGCACAGGTCGAGTGCAGGCGAAGTGGCAGGTCGCACGGGGTTGTTGTGTCCCAGAACCAGACAGTTGGGAGACAGACCCGACCAGGCGGACGGACGGTGAGAGAAAAAAGGACCACACCAGAGGGCCCGCAACGCAGCAGGCAGGGAACACGGGTGATTGGGCCGAGCGGCGGTCAGACCTGAGCAGTGGAGCTGGTCTGTGAATCCAGTTGGGGGAGCCTGTTTGAGGTAAAAGGCGAGAGGCGTAAGAGTATGGGGATGGAGTATTGTCGTGGCAGCAGCCGAGAGGCAGCTGGGTGTCGACAGTCCGGATGGCGAGTGAAGAAACGAAGGTTCGAAGAGTCTCACCGCAAGCAGCGGGAGCCGAGCGATAAATAGAAGCCAGCAGAGTTTGGGAGGAGGCATTGGAAGCTGGGGTTGGAGAGCCACCATAGACACCCACTCTTGTTACCGGCGGTATTGACTGGTACTGTAAAGTTGGGTATTTCCACTTCAGGCATCGGCGGGGGAAAAAGCAAAAAGACGCCCTCTAGTCACTTTCTAGCATCGGCTCTACTTCTCGAACCGGCAGGACCTTGTCGCGTCCTCCTCCAGTCCAGCCGGGCGGTTCGGTGGCCTTGTTTACTGGGTCTGGCTGTGCGATCCGCCAGATCCAAGCAGAAAGAAGTAAGAACCCTGGGCTGTCCCTCGCGTTGTCCATCCACGGCCCACGCTCTGGCATCCGAACACCGAGAAAATGGGATTATTGCGACTGGCGGCCCCAAAAAATCAATTGTATCGGCGCCTGCTATCTCCCCCCTGTCGGCGGGCATGAAGCTATTCAGAACTAGGAAGTACACGGCTGTGTGGAATGCAGTTGTTTCTTTTCGCTTGCAGGGTCTCATCCCCGCCCAGTCATCGTGAAATCAGACGATCCCAGGCATCCCTGTCACTCGGCGAGTCGCGCCCATACAAAACGGTTCCTTTACGCGCTGAAGCCTGAAGCCGACAAGATCCGATGATTGCGCTCGACGGCCGTTGCAAACTTGCAATTTCTTTTTACTTCCCCCATCCAGTTTGCCAATCGAGATCAGCATTGTCATCTTCATGAACCATCCGTGGAACCACGAACTGCCGCTGGGCAAATTGCTGGCTGAAACGTAAGCTCGCAGCCCATTCCTCTGGCGCAATCGTGTTGGGTTTAGCCTATGCATGATGCACGACAGAAAGGCGCCGGCGGACGGATGACGGAATGTTCTCACGCAATCAGAAGACACGAGGAAACGGCTTCATGCATCCTCTCTGCAGTTTCACCGGTCGAAGGGCTTGATAACCGATCCGGAGGAATTGACCGTCGAAGTCCCGTCGAAGGCTAGAAGCCCAATTCACGACAGCTGTCAAAATACAACCGTATAAAGTACATATACGACTACGTAATTATCCTTTGAGCAGGCAGTGCATCCAATCTACACCGATGTACGGATACAAAGCTGCTATGACTGCGCTAAGCACTTCCCACGGGTTGGCTCAAGAGTCAAATCGTGCTTGAAACTGTGATGTCGACGGGCGGTACGACCACCAATGATCGCGGCATCTCCTCACCCTTAATCTACCGAGGTGTTCCCACGCTGGTGATTGAACTTTGAAGCATCGCCACTTCGGCGATGATAACCGCCTATTCGTCATCACAAGAGTTCGTCAACCTGGCCCTGGGCCCAGCGACAGGGGTAAGACAGTTCATCCCATCGCATCGAACTCTTGTCCCCACCGGTGGGGTTCCCGAGACGAAGCGCTGGTCAGTGCGAAGGAAAATCGCTGTTCCAGTGTTACTTCAGGTATGCAATGGGGCAAGGCGTCCCCAAAGGCGAGTATACTTCCAAGTCCAAACGCCAGACTCGCATTCCAAGGGAACATGAAAGGGCTCAAGGGCCATATGGAAGAGGGTAGACTCATCCTTCGACGCAACTCTCCTATAAAGCCGGAACCCAATCACACGCCGCCACCAGCACAAAGCAACGACCACCTGGCACCGAACCGAAGGGCCTTATAATAACAATGATTATTGTTCTTATTGGCAGGGGTCAGCACCACACCACCTCCCACCACGGGCCCTGTGGGGCAGTAAGGTCCTGCCTATTTGGTATTAGACAAAGCCATCCTGGACTGGCCTTCGATCCGCTGTGGGGGGCCGGTAACACACTTGTACCAGCTGTCAGAACAAAGTTTGGCTGCCTCGAATTTTAAGTTTGAGATTTGATTTGGGCCATTCTTGTCCACTTCAATTTCACACGGGACAATCCTCCTGTTCCTTTTTTCTTTTTCTATTCTTTCTCTTATTAATAACGGTCTGTTCCTCGGCCCGTCTCAAACACCGATGCACTGATGCTCAAGCCATATGCAAATCACGTAGTATATCTTATCATTCTCATCAGGAAACTGCCCCGTAACGCCGTTACATCCACTTCCGACGTTTATCCGTTGGTGCTGTCTCAGATCTATATCCCCGGCGCCTACTTGTCAATGAGCTGGACATGTACGGTACTATAGAAAAGCACATTCAATCCCTATCATCGACAAGGACTTCCAATATCTGCATCATGCCCAGCATTTTGAGACAGGGGGGAAGCCAGTGTCCTCCGTACCTGGCGCTTATGGAAGTCGCAAGTCTTGAGACGCCAACCCTGTTTAACTTCATGGACGCGGAGCTTTCCCGAAGGATGTGACATCAGTAGCTTGCCATCGGTCTCAGCAGAAACAGGGGTCTGCAGGTGATGTTGTAACCAACTGGAACACTGAATGACAGTTGCAGGTAGGTAGTAGGGCTAGTTCAGTTATGCCCCGACTATGACTTGGGTAGCAAGTACAGGTGAAATATAACTATATTGCAAGCAATTTTAAAATCATGTCAGAGCTATATTCATGCAACTGCAAACACTGGTTATTTATAGTTCGTACCGTCGGAACGTAAATATATCTTCCTGTTTATATCAACGTAGACATTCTAGTGTAGACAGCGTCCGTATGTAAAGAGGAGACTACTACCTGTTCAAAAGTCCTGGATTGACTCGCTCGTTCCCAGACGAATTTCTTTCCAGGAAATGCTCTTTTTCGGATCACGTCTTAACAGAATCTATGCACTTCTTGACCTATTCTACCAACTGATTTGCAGAGCCGTGTCAACCATGCTTTATGCGCCGTCAACCTGAATCTTAATATCCCTCTTAAGGAAGTTTATATTGCCTGCACTTGCTGCCACTTGATTAGATGCTCACTTTGTGAAAAGTCCTTTATAAAGTCGATATCAAACCATTTCCCTTTGCTAGTCACCAACCTAGCACTGGCTAGTGGATTGGACGCCGACACTGGGGCATAGCTACAGTACAAATCAGATGGTTCCTTTTTGTTTTTGTTTTGTTAGTGTGTTAAAACAGTTATCTTTTTTTAAGTATGGGAATGTCAGATCGACCCTCACAGCGGTCAGTCAAATCACAGCGCCAGCTTCATTCGATTCCCAATCCAACCAAATACAGCCGCATACTTCTATCCTCCCATTGGTACTTCCAAGCTGATCAATCCTCGCTCTGCAGCTTCGATTCGATAGATATAATATCCTCGTCGCTCTCAACCTCGATCACACGATTAACCTCTGCAGTGTTCCGCATCAGTTCCACGGCGCCAGCATACATCATTCGCTGGGTGGGGTTGCAATTTTCAGGAAGGTAATAGAGAAGGACGTATGGGACGGAAAGACGACCGGAACCCTGTGACTAGTTAGTACGGGCATCGACAGCACTTCACTCGAGATTAAAGATACATACCAGGGTGAGAGGATAACTGAGGAGGATGAATCGGGGAGACGACTCTGGAAGCTCATCGGCTAGATCTTCCATCTTGGTGTAGACCTCGCCATCTTCAGCTCGGATTTCTTGGCTTTTTGTGTCGACAATGTCTGTAGGCGATTGTCAGTCTGCACTCTTCATGCTCGATGACTGTATAGAGGCGAGGCGATATATTATCCGATTGGATGCTGGAGCGGATTTGGGTGAATGAGGACCTACAAATCAAGGCTTGCGGTTCCTTAGCCCGCGACGTTCCCAGGCGGAATTTACGGAGCCTCTCTTTGGTCTCCGGAGAGAAGGCGTATAATCGTTCTGACGACTAAAGCGCGGAGGGCTCGTCAGCAAATATTTCGATTCATGTTACAGGTGAGCTGTGCGGGGCAGTTAGTCACTCACCATGCTGTCTGTATGTGATATCTCGATGAGAGCGAGGCGACACTTAAATTTCTCTAGATGTTTAGGCTTCTCCAGCTAAGAGTATATCGTGGCCGCAACGACGGAAATGAAATAGAACGGTCAACGTTGGGTTGCTGAGTGGAATGCGAACGCGGAGTTCGATCACGTCGTTCAGGCACCCCCACCTTGCGGCGAGAAACTCAACCCCAACTTCGCTTTCTTCGCCCGCCCTTGTTCCTGTTTTACTCTTCACCTCCCTTCAATCATCTCTCCATGTTCGCTCGACTCACTCAGCTCACCCGACATCTCTATCGACCGCCCTTTACTCGCCAGCCAGCTTCATTCGCTTCCCCGTCTCCCTTGTCTCCCTCGCGTGCGCTCTTCCCGAAAATGACATCATCCGTCCCTGGTACCGGCAAGACGATACACACGGCGGCATGCCTCATCATCGGCGATGAAGTGCTCGGCGGGAAGGTGGGTTATACAGATTGAATCTATCCAAATGAAAATGCAGAGGCTGACTTATGGATACGCCCTCTAGACCGTCGACACAAACTCCGCTTTCTTCGCGAGATACTGCTTCTCGCTCGGAATCCAGCTCAAGCGCGTGGAAGTCATTGCTGACGACGAAAGCGAGATCATCGAAGCCGTCCGCCGCATGAGCACTAATTATGACTTTGTCGTGACCAGCGGTGGCATTGGCCCAACGTCCGTTCCCATACAACCACACCGATACATCTACCCCTACTTGCACAAACAAAAGCTAACACCAAAACAGCCACGACGACATAACCTACTCCTCCATCGCCAAAGCCTTCAACCTCAATCTTAAACTACACAAACCCGCCTTCGATCGCATGAAGGCCCTCTCAAAACCCCACCCCCTCCAGCCCGCCTTCGACTGGGACACCCCGTCCCCAGGCCTCACGGCCAAGCTGCGTATGGTGGAGATCCCGCACGACGAATCTGTCCCACTCGAGCAGCAGGCTGTCTTCGTCGCAGACGACATGTGGGTGCCCATCGCCATCGTCAACGGCAACATCCACATCCTGCCTGGCGTGCCGCGGCTCTTCGAGCGCCTCCTTGAACATCTTCGACCTTCGCTGCTCCCTAGACTAGTGAACCCCGAGGGCAAGGGTATATACCGGTACTTGTTTAGCACGCCGCTTCCGGAGAGCGCGGTTGCGCCGTATCTTACGGATCTAGCAGGGAGGACGGAGGATAGGGGTGTCAAGGTGGGAAGCTATCCGCGGTGGCAGAAGAAGCGGAATACGGTTACGCTTGTGGGAACGGATAAGGAGCTTTTGGATTCGCTTATCCCAGAGGTTGAGCAGAATGTGCAGGGAACGAAGGTTGATAGGGAAGATGAGTTGGATACCCCTTCTGATGATGAGGAGGCGAAATAGATGCTTTTTCCAGGCTGTTTGTTGGTTGGTTACGGGTTAGATTGCGTTGAGATAGGGTCTAAGTAGAATCTTTTGGGTTGATTGCCTTCCATAGCAGTCTGTAATACAAGCTCGATAAACATGTCTCTGACAACTTCGTGTCTTCTTTAAGACTTATATTGGCGACAAATGCCGTGGATGAACAAGGTTCGTCCAGTCGGCATTGATTCCTCGGTCGAGCGAAGAGAGAGTTTAAGAATACGAGAACCCTGCAGTGGAATACGAGCGTAGGTACTTTCCATCGCTTCTCAACACATCACGTGGCGAGAGCACGTAGCAATCGAAACCACTGGCTTGAAACTCAAGGTACCTGGATGAAACGATAGGCAGTGGTCAAATGTTCGTATATGACTGTGACGTAACAATGGATATGCAGACCAAGATAATTGAAAGCTTGAAACGGTGAGGTGATGAGAGATGATGCACATAGCCTGGTATGCCACAGGTATAATAATGGCAGTATGGTAAAAACAGCAAAAAAGTCCTGGAATCCCAGATGCAACCTGTGACAATAGCATGTACGTACACATGAGAGTAATGGCACAAATCTATTGGCACGCCTATTCCTCGCACTCCAGCGAGGTATCGTCAAAACTAAATCTTTCCAGACCAAAAAAATGATAAATATAAAACAGATAGGCCAAACAGAGAAACAGAGGGGGAATCGAACATTCGTGGAGAAGATGACAGCGTGATGGATGGTTGATTAAAGCGGATATCGTTTGATAGCGAGCTTCGTATGGTATAATGAGGGGGGGGGGGAAGTCACAATCCGCAGCCCCCATAAATATGGGTCGAGGGTCGTTCTGTATGTTTTTTTGGTTTTTGGCTGTTGCTCATCTCTCTTCAGCTGGGGTTTCTGATCTATGGGGAATAATTCCTTTCGTCTCTCTCAACTTGCGTGCATGCATCCTTTTGAACCCAAACCCTACCAATTACATAACAATACACTTTCCACAGCAGCCGGAGCGCTCGCCGGGCTCGCTCACGTCCATCTTGTTGTCAGGGGCGCGGGATCCGAAAGCACCTGAGCCGGATGGGTAGGAGGACATCTCCTTGTTGTAACGACGGATCTCACGCACAAGTTCGTAGAAGGCGTTTTCAACATTAATGCGGGACTTTGCAGATGTTTCAATGAACGCGCAACCAAATTGACGAGCAAGAGCCTCGCCCTCTGTGAGAAGGAAATGTTAGCAAACATTGGATTGGCAATGGCGCACGTGGCGGGTGCCCACCTTGTTCTGAGACCACTCGTTCCTTCTCGAGATCGCACTTGTTGCCGACAACAATAATGGGGAAATAGTCCTTATCCTTCACACGCAGAATCTGTTGCTGGAAGGTCATGATTTCTTCGAAAGATTGGCGCGATGTAATGGAGTAGACTAGGAGGAAGCCTTCGCCCGTTCGCATATATTGTTCGCGCATGGCTGAGTATTCTTCCTGACCAGCGGTATCTAAGACGTCCAGTAGAGCCACCTCATCATCGACGACGCACTGCTTGCGGTACGAATCTGTTGTGTGAATGTCCATGGTGAGCGACAAATCTGGTATGATTATCCAGGGTGACAAGCGAACCTTCAATTGTTGGGTCATATTCATCCACGAAGTGGCTCTGGATCAATTGAATCGTCAAGCATGACTTTCCGACACCACCACCACCGACAACGACTAGTTTGTATTCTCGTAGAAACTGTTATAAAGCAATCAATGTGAGCCATGACTCCTTTCGGTCCGGGGATGATGGTTTCATTCCATGATGACGTTGGGCGAACCGGGCGCCGGAAGGGGGCAAGGAGACAAGGGCACGGGCGAGGGGACCATTGGACGGATAAAGAATCACCATACCTTTGAAGCCATTGTGAAGGATTCTGCTCAAGGATCTACCTGAGTGGGAAGAGAACCGATAGTGATCGAAGCTATCTGGGCAGTGACAGCGGGTCGAGGTGAGCAACACAATTTTCTTTTGCAGAAAGGGTCGAGAGTCGGGGCCCAGCAGGTCGGGAGTTTCGCGCGAAAGCAGGATGCGCCTAACAGGCAGGCCACAGCAACGGCGGGTCCAGTGACTAGGCCAAGCTTAAAGAAGCCAGACGGGGGGTCGATGAGAGGATCAGGGGGGTTCGTGGAACGCTCCCAGAGGCGGAATTGCAGGCGAGCCGGAGGCAGATAGCTTGGCTTCCTGGTCTGACTATGCAAGGTCTGCGATCCCGGAATACTTCAGAACAGCGATGGCTAAGCTCGAGCGAGTTGTTCGAGAAAAACGGACGGAATAAATGGATCAGGAGATGAGAGCAAAGGGAAAGGGAGAGGAGCAAGTGGAGAATTAGGACGGGGAGGGGAAAGGGGATGATGATTAAGAGAGAGTTCAAACAGAGAATCAGTCGCTGAATGGGGGCCAGCAAGCTAGACTAATTGGCTAAAAATATGGACCATCTCCAGAATCTTGTCTTTTGGATCGCGAATTCAAACTGATGCTTTGCCCGGTCGCGTCGCCATGAGGTGAAGAGCGCCTCGGTGTGTGGCATTAATGGGGGAAAACAAATATGGCCGCAGATCCAGCCAGAAAAAGGGGCCATCCAATTCCACGATCATCCCTTCATCCACTCGCCCTCCAGCCTCCAGCCTCCGGGCTTTTCTTAACTTCAAGGTGCCGAGCCATGATCATTTTTCCAACATTATCAGCCTCGCCCATCCAATCATCGTCGCGCCCGATGCGAATAAATTAAACCCAATGTACATTAATTGCGACGACGCGTTCATGTCCGTTGACCGGCCAGCCGTGCCTCAACCCAGAGCCCAGATGCTCTCGACTGCCAAACAATTGGGTATGCATTCAGCATCAACCCTGCTGGGTTGCTCGTCGCTCAGGCACACATGCAACCGCTGCAGAAATGCCGAAAGTGATGAGTAGACGCCGCCCTGATGACTTTCATCATCGGCGCAGCAATCACACGGTGCTAGTAGCTATTGGAGGAGGTTGTGTGACATGGGCCATTCATCTTCTTGCATTCTGGCCATACTTTCGGCTCCTCGGGAGGAACTTGGCCGTGGAGACCAGCGGTCGGAGAAATATCGCCCTAGGATTCTACACGTCTCATTATTTTCGGCGAAAAGTGAGGCTCGCAGGGCGACTACCCTCTGTGGTGACGACGACTTAACAGGATGGGGTATGAGAAACCCAGAATTGACATCATAAACCCCCCCATATTCCTTAGAGGTTCTTCCGTGTTCCTCTGTGACAACGGCTGTTGGAGATAGAGCAGCTTAGCGCCAAGCCGCCCAGGGCTGTTCCCCACACCTCCACTTTGCATAATCAAGATTGGCCCTTGGTCAATGAGATAGAAGCCATGAAGCAAAGGCCCATCCCTCTATAGACAATCAGGACAGCCAGCCCTTGTCGATGCGACGGTGATAATAAGCTGATCGCCTCTCTTACTCCGTACTCGCAGCCAATGAGTCCAATATGTCGTCCCGCCGGAGGCCACCTCACAACTCTTTCATGGACCGGCCGACGATCACGGAAAAATGGTCCTGCTTTCAACGGCCTCTTATGTGTCTTTCTCCAACATACACACCTCTAATTGGCGAAGGTCGACACTACATGCTGCGTGAAAACTGCAAAATGAGACGTCCAGCCATCTACGTAGCTCAGCCTGCCAGAGCTTGCTCCTCGGATCCTTGATATTTACCCTCATTCCAGGCTCCTGCATTTTCCGACCCTGATAAAGCCACCGTTTGAGCACGGCAAACTTAATTACCGCCAACCATCGACTTTATACTCCGCATTGCCTAAGCCTCAAGCCTCGCAACGCATCTTCGGCCATTTGCCCTGAATGCGGCAATATCGAGCCCGGCAGACTGGACGTGCAACATGGACTCAAGGCGAGCGTATGCAAGTCACCTCGGAACGGACAAGAAAAGCAATGGGGACACCGTCGTGCAACTGGCTTGGTTACTAGAATTATAACCTGGCTTTGAAGGAATAGTCTGATCCATGGCTTACCAGATCCGCCAGTAATGCCGAGGAGATGCTCTGATGTCAGATCTTGATCGTGTAACGGATCGTCGTGCGGGTTTTTTTTTTTTTTTTTTTTTCTTTTTCTCCTCCCAATCTTTTATTTATGCCGTCATGCCGTCAAATGTCGCGGCGGTCTATACTCCGTGCCCCGCGATCAGACGGCGGTCTGTGCCACCTGGGACCTGGAGTAATTGGTACTGCAAGTTTGGACGTCTTGCTGACGAATAGGTATTTTAGAGGAGAGGGTGACCGACAGCTGGTCAAACCCAGCCAGTCGCTGAAGTCATCAGACTTACCCTATAATGTAGCTCAATGGACTTGAAACACAAGGTAACTATCGAACGGTGGGTTATCCTGCATTAGGTTTGTGGGATACAGTTCCGTAGACACTGACAGGTCAGTGCATATGGAGTACTTTTTAGCGTTTCAGACAAGTAATAAAGTATATTCAAGCTGTCTTCTCTCTATAATCTCTATATCTAGTATGATATTATCTATACCTATCATAAAACTCCCAGCAGCATTTATGCATTCATCATTTCGGGTACAGCGGCACCATCCCCTAGAAACAATTAGCTTCCCCATCAAATCAAAAACAATTGAGGGGGGGAGAATAGATAAATATAGACGTATACATACCTCCACCTTCCGAGGCTCAACAAACAGCGCCCTGGCCTCAGCAACAAGCATGCCCTCCCTCTCCTCAACACTCACCCCATCACCCCCCGCAACATCTACATCTCTCGCACTCATCTCCCCAACCCCAAACTCCCTCAAACACCTCATTTCCCCACGTACCCACACCTTCCTCTCACTCTCCCTCTTCTCAATAAATGCCCTCCAGACGTAAACCCGCCCCGGCACAGCAGGGGCCCGGAAATCAAGACCCATTGTGGCGGTCATCCCGACCCGGCTGGGGAAGATCTCCGCGGCGAGCCGCGCGAAGACGTCGTCGAAGAGCAGGAATGGGAGGCCACCGTGGATGTAGCCTGCGTGGCCGGTGAGGTGGGTGGAGAGGTAGGCGGTTGCTATTATTTGAGGCTGGGGTTGGGGTTGGGGTTGGGTGGAAGGGGACGTGAGGAAAAAGATTGGGTCTGTAGGTAGTTTGGTTGGGTGGGAGAGGAGGGATGTTGTCACTAGGTGGGTGGACTGGGCGGATGAGTGCATGGTGCGGTAGGGGCGGAATTCGGTGTACTTGGGGGATGTGCTGCTGCGGAGGTAGCGGGTTAAGGGGAGGGAAGAGATTAGGTCTTCAATTGATTGTTGAGGTTGGTTGGACGAAGTGGTGGTGGGTTGGGTTGATGGCATTGCGGTTGATGCATATCGGGCTCTGGACCCGGGGTACAGCAGAGGCCCTTGACTGCGCGGGACCAATCTGGAAGCAGTAGACAATGGCTGGGAATACTGGAGTTGGAGGCCGTAGTAGTAATTGCCGGAGAACAGCTGGCGAGGCCGAGGCCATTTAGGACGGTATACCCCGATGGGCCTCATTTCGATCAGAGACAAAGATTGCTGTCTGGAAGGTCTAAGAATAAGGAACGGGAAGGTCGAGTTTCATCATGATAGGGGCTTGTCTTACCGGCGGAAGTAGCAGGTTGGTGGAGTTATGGAGGGACGGCCCGAAGCTGGCAGTCTGAGCACCATGGATCTATGCTTGGACTATATCGAATCGCCAGGGGAGTCTAACTGAGTTTGGCCGATGCCTGAAGTGCAAAGGGAAGATGGCCGACAACCCCGCGCGGACCCTTGAACTATATCGCACATAATACCGACTCACTGGGTGGAACACTCGGTTACCCCGGAATATCGGCTGCAAATATATTGGCCTGCTACCCCGCTCGTTTTCCGCTAGGCCGTAAAGTAAAGGAGAACAAACTACCAGGTACCTTTACCTAGGCTGAAGACATGGGCGGAATTATGGTTCCGCCCATAATCCCGCCCAGATTGTTATAGAGTGGTTTTAATTCAATAATGAGAGGACCAGCTCCATAGACATATATATGCGATATATTAGGAGATTGACGAATTCCCGCATTGCTTTAAACATTAAAACTCCCCTTTGTAAGCAGTTGATCATATAAAATGCCATGCCGAGGGCCATACCTCTACTTCAAATCAGCCGAGGATGTGTATAGCAAATCATGAGATAATGGTGACCTAGTTGCTGCACCTCACAACTCGAAGAACACCAGACCAACACCAACTCCCAACCCGCCACCATGAGCTCCAAAAATCAAACCACCACCGACAAAGAACCAACAGCAGTACAAACCACTAAAACTGCAGATGGAATCACAACAATAGCCCTCAACCGCCCGCATCGGCGCAACGCCGTCGATGGCCCGACAGCCCAAAAGCTCACCTCTGCCTTTCTCGACTTTGAAAACGACTCTACCCAAAAAGTCTGCGTCTTCCATGGCTCCAACGGCACGTTCTGCGCTGGATTCGACCTCCACGAAGTCGCTAAATATGACTCCAAGAGCGACGATAACCCTGCGTCGTCCCAGTCTAACTACACAGGGGTCCGAATAAGCCACCACGACCGTGTTCAAGGACGTAACATCGGCCCAATGGGCCCCTCCAGAATGCAAATTACTAAGCCCGTTATCGCCGCCGTATCCGGGTTCGCTGTTGCCGGGGGACTGGAACTCTCGCTGCTCGCCGACATGCGAGTCGCGGAGGAAGACGCCGTCTTCGGCGTATTCTGTCGGCGGTGGGGGGTTCCTCTTATCGATGGCGGGACTGTGCGGTTACAGGCTATTATCGGGCTGGGTCGTGCAATGGATATGATATTGACGGGGCGGGCCGTGGGCGCGAAAGAGGCGCTTGCGATGGGGCTTGCGAATCGGGTTGTTGCGAAGGGGACGGCGGTTGAGGAGGCGATGGGGCTCGCGAGGCAGCTTTTGACTTTCCCACAGGGGTGTATGAATGTGGATCGGACGTCTTGTTATTATGCGGCGTATAACGCGAAGAGTTTTGAGGATGCATTGGGGTTTGAATATGATCATGGGGTTAAGGTTGTTGAGGAGGAAAGTGTGAAGGGGGCGGCGAGGTTTAGTGCTGGGGCTGGCAGGCATGGGAAATTTGGGTTTGGGGGGTCTCTTTAGGTGTCTAGCTTTGCTTTGAAGTGGTGATTGTTTGGCATATAGCTGTATTACTGTATATTGTGTTGCATTGTTTGTATATACCCGGTGTCTAATATTTTGTTTACTCAGGCGTACGATTTACATCCACCAGATTCGTTCTTAAGGCTTCTTGTACAGGTGACCGGGAGAGGCCTGCAGAGTGTCTGGTCAGCGTATTTATTATCGAGGATGAAGTCTAATATGGCTTACTTGGTGGCTAGGGAAGACCAGAGTATCGGCGATCACAACATTCTCCCTCCGGCCAGCGGCGAAGACAATGACCTCGGCGATGTCGTCGGGTGTGAGTGGTTCACAGTTACTACAGGTTCATTAGCACTGCTTGTTAACGTCAAACTACGGCTGGCTTACGAATAAACAGCGTCGGCCTTCTGCTTGTCTCCATAGAAGCGAACAACGGAAAATTCCTAGAATAATCTTGTCAGCCTGTTCCACGCACCTGGGCTATTGTTACTTACAGTTTCAACCTGACCGGGGTCGATCTCGATAACGCGGATACGGGTGGAGATGAGCTCCTTCCTCAACGCCTCTGTGAATGACTTGACAGCGGCCTTGGTCGAGCAGTAGATGCTACCACTAGGGTAGGGTTCACGACCAGCAATGCTTCCAATGTTGATGATATCGCCACGACCACCATCGCTGCGCTTCTTGAAAATAGGGAGGACGGCCTGAGTCAGGTTGATTAACCCGGTGACATTGGTTGCGAACATGATGTTGATGTCTTCAGGGTCAATGTTGGGGGCTTGAGCAACGCCCTTAACAAGGCCACTATAGATTCTGGTTAGATGTATGGCCAAAGCGAATTTTCCTAGACAACGAACTTACGCGTTGTTAACTAGGATGTCAATGTCCTGGAACTCCGCAGGGAGAGACGGCACAAAGTTTTTGACCTCTTCTGGGTTGCTAACATCTAGCTTCACAGGCAGGGTCTTGACTCCATCGCCGACCTCCGCTTTGATTTCCTCCGCCAGCTCCTTGAGGGCGTCGATGCGTCTTGCTGTCACGATGATCTTGAGGTTCTTAGGAGAGGTGCGCGCGAATTCCTTGGCTGTGCTGCGACCAATTCCAGAAGAGGCACCAGTAACCACGACCGTCTTGCCCTCAAGGCGCTTTGCCATTGCGGTTGCCATTGTGCGTCGAACGAAAGCGGGTCCGAACAAGGGAGCTGTAGATGGGGGGAATGCGGAGGTTGTTCGATGGGATGAAGCGAGCTGGCGAAAAGCGGGGATTGAATGGCGATAAGCTCGGAGATAGTTCATAAATACACAATGATTAGTTAAACTCGGAAGAAATCCAGATTCGGGGAGCAGAAAAGAGGCAGAAGCCAAGGGCGAGCAGTATATATAGGGACGGGTTGCTGCGGGGAGTTGATCTCGCCATAGCGGGGCGCCGGCTACGCAGCACGACTCCAATGCTTCAGCGCTCGGTTGAAGGTTTGCCCGTTCGGATCTTGTCCGACCACCGTCCGATACGGTAACTGATAAGCCTGATAAGCCAAAGGGCTGTGCTTTATACTTCGCATGTATGCTACTTGCTTGTTGGCTTCCTTTTTCGCAACGTCCCTGGAATCTTGCAGTAATTCGCCGAACTTTGTTCCTGGTTCCTGGACTATTTGGTCGTCCAGAGTATGGTATGAGCATGATTTCCTCCGAACCAGGGGTCCATCACTTATAGTTTCCCACCCAGAAAACATGAACAGCTCAGTCCCACGGAATCAAATAATAAGAGCTCTGAGGCTCTTGATTAGCCAGACTGAAGAGCTGCAGGTGGTTCTAGGTGGACTGAATATGCTGAAGCTTAACCTTCGAAAATTCTGCCCTGACCGAACTTAAGCATGCCCAAAGTATAAACATACAGAAACTTCCAGGCTCCTCATATTAATGGCCCTCATATCAGTAGCAGATCTGAAGTATTGGGTAATAAATTACTGATCCTATGTTATATGGCCGAAGCATAGTGCTGGGTATGTAGCACTGTATGTTCCTAGCCAAGGGTGTGGGATGGCATATAGACATCGGACCGGATGTCAGTTCCAGTTTGCAATGCGAACGCGCAATGAACTATATGCTTCGCGCAACTTTATTCAGTAAACTATATTATTGACTCACTCTTGGACCGTCAGGGTATAAGTGACTTTTTTTCTTTCGCTCGACCTTGATGTTGGACTTTCCTCCTGCAACCATCCACTGCTATCATTTGAACATCTTCATACAGACCCAAGAATACCCTACACACACTATCGTTTTCACGGATTTTAGATCATCACATATTTGATATATTGACCAGCAAGAAATTATCTTCGCCAAAATCAAGCATCTCAAGATCATTCTACCTTATCGAAGTTTGAACCCTCGCCTACTGGGCACATTTCTCGAGAGTATCACCAAGAACAGCTTTGCAAGAAGGATACCTCCTTCTACACATCATCGCCTATATAACTCCCTGGTTAAACACCTGGAAGTGCCATATATATACGCTATTATCTATACCGCATTATTGCGGCTTAAATGCTCGTAACCCGAGTAAGTCTCCCAGCAAGCAAGGCTATCAAGAAATTACCAGCTGACATATACATCAGGCATATCAGAAGTTTACCCTATACAGACAGACCGCAAGAAATATGAATAGCTCTTCTCAGACAAACATAGCTGGGTCAGGACTCGACCTAAATTTCTACACATCACGAGAGGATGTGGACGAGTGCAGGCGCAAGGAGATTGAATTTCGAGAGGATACACTGAAAGGAGAAAAAGGAAATATGGTCCACCACTTCAACTGGGAAGGAAGACCTGTCTGCACCCGAAGCAATACTCCGCCGGAGCATTCACTCTTCGTCCTGATGTGCCTGCCTAGGGTGGTCCCCAGGGGTGCGTCCAACGAGCTATGGCACAAAATTATCATGAGATGCGCAATGGTATACGTTGACCCGGTCGTCATCTATAATGAGGGTGCAGATATCCCCAAGAGTCCACGGATGTTGCTCCGCTATGCAAAGAACCGGACGGTAAAGTTCTATACCCGGCATGGCTCGTGGTACCAGAGCAAGAAGGAACGCAAGGATATATTGGACGATGAAGGGGACGTTGAATTTTACATGGACAGAGATTTGGGCGTTGGAAATGGGTTTGTTGAGTGCTCCGCTGTAAAGTCGAGACATCAGCGGTTCAAGGAGGAGGAGGCTTTACAATCGTTGGCTGATAAACGGAAAAGAAAAAAGCGCAACCTGCCAAAACGAATTGAGGACCTGCGTCGGCCTTGCAGGCCCTCTCTCCTCAGATACTGCACTGCTGCCGACGAGCTGTAGAGGAGAGGATTGTTGGTGAAGCATTAAGGGCGTTACGAATCTGGGGCATTGTATAGTGTATTTTGTATCCATGTGTGATTTGGAGTTAGAATATTCTCCGGAGATTGGGATTTGATATGTTGGGATCTTTTTTTTTGTTGAAATGACCTGTATCTAAAGCCCAACCTGGCTGCTCATTCTCTCTGCTGCATGTGACTTTCTCTCCTTCCACTTCTCTTCGTAATCCAACACATACCATCTAACACAGGGTAGACCCAGCCCACCGCCATCATTTAATCGTTTATTCATTGGAAAAGACCATAAACAACACGACCGTATTTAGATGACCCACATTATGGGCGATTCCTGCATCCTGAACCGGACCAGGTCCATCAGCTCTGGTCCGTTCGTGCACTCAACACCCCGTCCTCTACATTTTATGACGAAAGTACAGTGGGATGGGCGCCAAGACGCGAATCGATCCGGCGTACGTTTATCTATACTGGCGGTTTTAGGTGTACACTAGCCAGGGGGTGGCAGATTGAAAACCCAAGGATCCCCCGTGGAAATCAGGGACTGCTTGGGTGGTGGTCGCAGGGAGGTACGGGGGTCGAACAAGAGTGGCAATCACCGGGTATACCTACTGTCGAGTCTCGACTAAGGATCTCTAATGAGATGAACGAGTCGCCCCGCGGAGCTCAAACCCGCTTGGGCATTCCGATTCAGGTCATGGCCGCGGATCGAAGGAGCATCGGCAAGCGTTTAAACTGTGGATAAAAGGTAGCAGACAATTTAAAAACGAGATGGGCAGTCGCAGATGTCACGACTCAGAGCCGCGGGTCAGAGCCGCCACTCACGACTTGCCGAAGCAAGCTATCGAGACAAATTCTCCACCCAGACATGATTTATTGTTCTGCAGGCCGCTCCACAGTCCATAAGCCGAACCCAGCTGCGGCCCGGAACGAATATTGGTTACATCCTCAATGCCTTGGTACTTGGAGTCTAGAACATCTTGACCAGATGAAGCCGAAGTTCTATCCGTCTCGTTGGAAATGCGAAAAATTTTCGCCCACAGCCCAACCCAGGCTCATGCATCCCTATTTCCGGGGCCAGATGCACGCTAGCGGCAAGCTAGGTGAGGCGCTCTTGGACATTCTGGTGGAGCAATGACAACCAAATCTGCACTTTTGAAGATATGAGACACGCAGCGCCATACCCAACAGGGGAAGTATTGAAGGCTCGGCAGCCCAGAGGCCCGGTTTCTCATGAAATGATGCACGACACTGCTGTTTTTCTACTCCTTAGCCTACCCACATGTCTGATCATTGGGTTCATCAACTACGTTGCATGTGGATAGTATGCTGCTCCCAGGCCCCAGTTTTTCGGTACCATTGAACAAAGCGCGTGATTATTATGGAGAATTGAAGATGCGATAGCCCCGGAACAGTAGAGTGTACCATAGCCGGCTTCCCGACAAGAGCCACAACCCTCTGTTGACATGATTAAGCATCCAATTAAATGTGATGTGGCTAATGACATCTCCGTTGTCTGGGCCTATTCTCATTTTTTATATAAGCAATCTGCCACTTCTTGTTTCCACCTTCGTGAATCTTTTTTGCTCTCACCGGCAGGCTGCCCCGCGCGTTTTTACACTTTTGAGAGCTATGCAGCCTCCGAGTCCGTTGCGAGCCGATCACCCTAACCCTTTCGTGCTCGGGTGGTGATGGATGAACACTCGGGGCACATTCTGCTCTCTAGGGGCAGCAATGAGGACGCACCTCGAGGACATATAGCCCTGGTAGTAGCAGCCGTGCTCACTGGAATGTCGATCGTGGTTGTCGCAATGCGCATTTACACCAGAATCGGATTGATAAAATTAAGTGGCCGGGAGGATTGGACTATTCTAGTTTCTCTGGTATGTATCACGGTGGCGTTATCCAGCACTTTATTAATCTCTCTTAGGCCTTTGCAATTGCCTATCTAGGTCTCGTTGTTGCGCGTAAGGACATGGTTTAGGCAATCACATTTAAAATCCTGACTGACTCTGGGCAAGAATACCGCCATGGCTTAGGAAAGCATTCCTATGATATACCGGAGTATGAGTTCAAGGAACAGTTAAAGGTCAGACACTGACAAAAAAAACCTAATATTCGTTGTATAGGCCCGCCGGCCATAACTAACCTCTTTCTACTTTACAGCATCTATGGGTTGCAATCCCCATGTATAATGCGAGCCTAGCATTCACGAAAATCTCCCTACTCTTCCAATATTTGCGCATATTTCCCAGCTACCGGTTCTGTATCATATGCTACATTGTCCTGGGGGTGGTGATCTTATACGCAACATGGGCAATTGTCAGCGGGTTCGTCAATTGCGTGCCCGTAGCCAGATTCTGGGACCCAAAGATCTCGGGTACCTGCCTCTCCTTTGAGGCTGTTTGGTTCTTCAACGCTGCGATGAATATAGCCACTGATCTCACTCTTCTCGTCCTACCGATGCCTCACTTATCGCAACTACGTCTTCCTCGTAGACAGAAGGTTGCACTCCTGGGCGTATTTGCGCTTGGTGGACTGTTAGTGTTCCTTTCTTTTAAACTGATTGATACAGCTAGCTGACAAGGGCAATAGTGTCGTGATTACCAGTATTCTTCGTATTTTTAGCATACGCGCTCTAACGAAAAGCATCGACATATCTTGTATGTCTCTCAGCGCTGCGTTTTCTACCGCATCTCACAACGACCCTCTCCTTTTTTCTTCGATTATACTAATAGGATCGAACAGGGAGCAACGTTAGCGCAGCCTACTGGACTGCAGCCGAATGCAACGTCGCGATAATATGTGCCTGTCTGCCATTCCTCCGCCCGCTCGTCAGCCGCATCTGCCCTAATTTCCTCTCTACGGACAGCGACAATAAGAACAACCCCACGCGTAATGCGACGCGCACGGCCGCTCCAAGCTCAGCACGCCTCAGAACCCCGGATTCAGATCTCTATCCCCAAGACCTGGAGTTCGGTCTGCGCAGTATCGACACGGATATCGGACACGACGTCGGAAACAGAACTGGACTTGAACCGACAACTCCTGGCAAGGACGGGAACGTGGACGGGAGTGAAATTCAGGTCATGACTAAGATGATTCAAGAAGTGAGGATGGCGCCTGTTTGTGGGGACACCCATGGTCCGGAGACGAGTCAGACCAAACTGGTATAAATGGCTCGGTAGACCTTTTGCTTAATAGTAGTACTGTAACAGCCGTCGAAGCCCTTCTTTATTCATCGGAGTTAGATTCATTGCCATTATGGCTTCCATATACCCAATTCATTGTTTATTCCGGATATATATCGATATATTTCTAGGCTCCCAGTTTCGAGCAAGTCAATATAAGGCAGAGTAGACTACAATTAGGGCAGCCCCGAATGATTCTAGGCAGGTCGCTTTGTCTAAAGGATAGACTTTTGGCTGTAAAAAGTACGTTAAAGGCGTATGAGGTTCGTTAAAATCTATGGTTCGTGCTTTGTTATATTCCACTGTTGAACTCCATTCATCCCATTCCATTCCATCCACCCATCCTAGCCCAATTTCTGAAGAATTTAAACAATCAATAAACAAAATAAAAACTGCAATTTAACCGGAAAGCTACCCTCCTATTAAATCATTCTCATGTGAACGCTAATCCCTCCAACGCTTAAGAAAAGGGATGTAAAGAACGAATATCAACGATAAGCCGGATGGCCTGTTGCGTTAACCCTGACATAATAAACGCCGTGGAACCCATCAACAGTGGAACATGGTATCTCGCGAGGACAGACTTTTTGCGCCGAATGTGCCTCAAGAAGGGACAAAGGTGATAGATCGAATTTGGAAAAGAAAAGAGGTGGTACAACACGCTGCGAAATTTCATCGTCATTGTCATTGATTTGCGAACTGTGCAAGCTCCCGCTCTTTCGCTCGGAGAAGCTCTCGCATTTCTTCGGCTTCCCGTTGGAGTTTCGCGCGGCGTTCAAAACTGTCTAGATCGGACACGCCGGGTAGCGGTTGTGAGGTTTGCGGGTGTGCAAGAGATTGGTGTTGAGGGTGGTGTTGCTGCTGACGTGCAAGGCCAGTCAGGGACGAATCCAGACGAGCTTCGCCGCCGGCATGAGCGTGATTGAGGATAGAGGATATTGAGCTAAGTCGAGCGGGGGGCGGCGGGTTCGCAGAGGAGACAATCGGCGGAAGTTGATTTGATCCAGCCTCCAATGTGCTCGGAATAGAACCAGCGTCTGTAGAGGGCCCGGTTTCTGATAATGGTCGTTTCTTGGGGTTACCTGAAGAATTAGGCGAGATGGAACGTCGGCCATATTGAGGAACCGATGAGTGACTAGGCTCGAGTAGCCTGGGCGGTGGTGGTGGTGGATGATGAGGTAGTGTTACGGCTCCCGAGTTGAAGCCCGTAAAATCGACCGGCAGCGGGGCGAGCACGAATGGACGCTGAGCCACAGGGGAACCTCGGTGAAATTGGTCAACGGGCTCCGAACTGTAGTATCGATACCGCTCATCTTGGGAATGAGCCAATGTCGCTGGGGACGATGCTTCTGGTGACGCAGAGGAACCCTGAGAAGATTGGGTGGCTCCAGTCGGAGAATGTTCTCGCAATGCCGGAACCACGCGCTTTCGCCGTTTGATGATGGTCTTTTTCATCGTGGTGGGACGGTAGCACCCGTGGAGTTTATAGTAGAGACCTGATAAATATGTTAATCATGACTGCCCATACAAAATACAGAAACGAGCGATAGAACCAATAAACGTACCACAGGCATTGCAGATCGGATGGCCGCTTTCATCTCGTCGCCAAAGCGGTGTCACGGTGGTTCCGCAGTTCTGGCAAGCAACCAACATATTACCCTCCGGTTGTGCGCTGGATCTGGCCGGCGCTTCAGGCTCCTGCGAGGTCGGAGCGGTCTCCGGAATCGCTGATCTATTCAACGCGTGTGCCGCGACATTCCCGCGTGCCGTTGATTTGTAGACGCGATTATTGTAAGCCGGACAACCGTCGCAGCCTTCGGCGCCACCTGTCCCATTGCAATTTCCACCACCTGGACAGGAACCCGAAGAACCCCCGCAACCTTCATTGCCGCTAGCGGCCGGCTCTGGCTGGGCACCTACGGGGGGAATTTGCGCAATAAATGCCTCTGGGCTTGCTTGAGTCCGGTTCCTTTTCGTTGGCCGTGCAACGTTTCGCGCTTTCAGGTAGAGACCGCATGCATTACAAATCATGGCTCCGGTAGGTGACCGCCGCCATAGTGGTGTGCTCTTCGTTCCGCAATTACTAATGAGGGGGAAAAGAAGCGATGTTAGCTCACCGACAAACCGATCTGGTTAAAAAAGCTATACGAACCTGCAAGAATGTCCTAAGAACGATGTGTCCTTTTGGGACTTTGGAGACGTTTTCTCAAAAATATGCCCATTTGTAGCGGTTTCAGAAGACTGGAATACTGAGTATTCGCCGTCGTGATGGCTCAGTGGAGCCCCTCCTTCGAGATTTCGCGACCCCTCATCGGTGTGTTGTCGATCGAGGGGATGTTCCCGGCCAGCTTGAGCAGACGAAATAAGTTGCTGAGCAGCATCTAGGTCTTCGGCCGATGGGTGTCGCGTAACCACGTCCGGATTGCGAGGGAGGGATCGCAGGGTCTCCATGTGGGAAATGGATGCTAACATTTCCACTGTTTATCCGTGTCCAAGTATCTAGATTGATGCGACTCGAATCCCGTGGGGATGGGTCGAGGGAAGAATGAGGAAGGACCCCAGAGACGAAGAAGTCCGCTGAAACTTGAGGGTCGAAATAGGGGACAAGTGGTCGTGCGATGGTAGGTTGCACCACAGGAGAGTGTAATTATTGTATGACGAAGTCAAAAGTCGGTCAAGATGACAGTGCAGGAGGGAAAAAAAAAAGAAAAGGGACGACTGGAGCGCCTGGCTGGAACCGTAAATCGATCGGTGCTGCAGCTAGTGAGACTCTAGGCCAGAGGGATGGAGCCGAGAACGGGAATGAAGATCCTCAAGAATGGCCCCAGGAATTTCCAAAATGCAAGAATGAAGATCCGTACTATGTCGTAAAGAAAAGATAGCTTACAGCTGCTGAAAGCCTGAAACTGCCACGACAAGCGGGAGAAGAAAAGACGTGTGCCGGTCGAAGTAGGGGACGGGGGAGTGGCGATTCAAATAGAAAGGCCGGCGGAGAAGACGAAGGCCTAGATGAGCCAACAGATGAGAATGATGAAAAAGGTAAATTCTTCAAACAGCCAGCGTACACAAAAGTACGAGCAAGCAACAGTGTCCTGAAAGTCAAACGAGGAGGAGGAGCGTGGACAGGTAAAGTTGTGAGGGAAGGATAGAGAAGGATCGGCAGCGAGGGGAGATCAATGATCAATCAAGCCCAGGGAATGTCGGATCAGATATGATGGGGAGGACGGCGGCAGCAAGGAGAAGATATGATCTGATTACTGCGAAGGTGAAGAGTGGCAGGCTTCAAGGATGGCAACTGGCAAGGGGGTGGACAAAGCTGGTGATGATGGTTGTGACCGAGAAAAGACAACGTACCTGGCGAATCGCAGCGAGGAGGCTGCGCGATGATGATTCTTTGTCACGCCAGTCAAGGGTGCAACTGGTCGGTCTCCAGTGTGCTGCTGACGCTGACTTTGCACTTCCTTTCCTGTCCTTTTCCCAAATTCCAGATTCCGAGCGTGTGGCTCTGACTTATCGACTTATCAGCTCGTTATCGATCTCCCAGGGGGATCTACAGTTGACTGGGGTCTCTGAACGTTGGGTCACTTTTCCAGACCCTTTCGTGTCTTCCTTTTTTGCTTTTTCGTGCTGCGATCAAGGAGGGCTATCCGACAGGTTGGGAACAAGATGGTTTTAGTCCGGAGCGAGACCCGAGCGACTGTTCCTTAGACCCTCTGGCCGCCAAAAAAGTGGTCCTGGGTGAGCGCGTCTCAGTCTCTGCGTTTGCGATTGCCTTCTTCCTCCCCAGATCGAATCACCGCGCTGCTCCACTGTTGCCTATCCCGGCTTAGCCCCTGCCTCTTTTAGAAGCTAGCGGATCCGTCACCGAATAAGCCTGATTATCACCCATCTCATTGGAGCAGACCCTTCAGAGCCCACCAGTCAGCTTATATTCCTTTTCTGTGATTGGTCATCTGAGGCCTCGGCCACCTTCGCTGAGATTCTTTTCGGCGGTCAGCAGAAGTCCGCCCAGTCGAGCCGCCGGAATTGCTTTTGTTATCTCCCCGTCGATCTATCGCCCTCCTCATTGGCCTGTTCTCGCCCCAACAGGTTGCCTCGCATCGTCCAATTGGCCGTCCTCCTGTCATCCGTCTTGGTCATATAATCAATACTGGACTTTAGGGATTCGAAAATACGAGGTAACAGTATCAATAGTTGGTTACTTGCCATTTCAGGGTTGTTGAGATTTGATTGCAGTCACGTCCCCATTCTTCCGTCAACTCCTTGGCCATTGCCCCAGCCGCCATTTGCACAAACCAGGGCCACCATACCCATGTTGCGCGCAGTGGAAACCCCGAGGTCGGAAAGCCATGGCGTGGCTCTCCAAACACGGGAGACGGCATAACGCGACAAGGGCCATGCCAGAATCATGATATCGATCTATAATACATGCATTAAAATAACGCTGCTACCTACCTTGTCCGACTTAAACGCACGCTTGTATCCCTGCCCACCCCTGTGCTTGACATGGAATGGACAGGGTTCTGTCCAACTCCTCCAGTACTTAATACAGCGTGTACTACCAAGCCGTGACGTTACCATCCCTGCGCAATATAGGTACCGGTCAAGAATCTACGGAGTAGACAAACCTCGTTCGGAGTGCATAAGTTTGCCTCAGCGTGGCAGCTTCTCCCTTCACCGTACACACGTGCGTACTCAACAAAACTTGGAACGTAACTCACCCCCTTGTTCTCGGCATGGCTTTCCAACCCTGGAGAATGAAAGCTGTCAGTCTGAGCCTGGGGAGTTCGGACTTTACTCTCGGACTTGACCTTAACTCTCAATTCTCTCTTGAACGAGAGTCAGTCACAAGCTTGAACGTCATAACGTGATAACACGAGTTAGGCGTCATGATCCGTCTTCGTTCTTCCTTGAAGACGACCCCGCTGACGGCTGGGCTCTATGTTCCGTCCTCGGGCCCAGCTTTCCTGCGTGACGCCTGGATAGCGCCTACTGCCCAGTGCTTACGAATCATGGCGATCAGAGAATAACTAATGAGCCCCAAATATCCCCTCAGATTAACGACCCGTCACAACTCGAAACACGTGCTGGCCAGGAGTTGCTCGTCCTGGATACCTGGTGGAGTTGACGACAGCCAAGATCGACAATGGACTTTTGTTTCAGCGAGCGGCATTCATGGTCACTGATCACGCGTGTCTCTGACTCGTATCACTGCTTAGACTCGGAATTAAGTTGTCATAGATTAGATCGAGCGCTTTGATAAGATAAACGACTTCGCCCGTCCTTTTCCCTCTTCGCGACTAACGATATTCGACGAGGGGTACGCTGTGGATTAAATTGGTTTCATGATCGCTACTCTTTAAGTAAGGAATAACTAGTCACAATAATGGCCCATCTACAGAAATGTATGATACAGTGCTGGTGAGCAGACCAAGCGGACAGCGGATAAGCAAATCAGAAATTGACAATAAAAAGAATAATAATAATAAAAGAAAACGTGGCTGAATATATTGGCCCTCAGAAAGTAAAGAGGATCCACCGTCCCCTAATAAGATGCGCAAGTAGAAAGTAGTTTATATCCACCACATATTGTCCTTCTCACCTATATCTTGCCTCAATCGTCGGAGTCATTCATCACACTCATGGAATGTCGTTCATCACGAGAATCCCAAATTATTCGAACTTGAATCTCGCGGTTTATATCTTGAAGGAATACAATCGACCGTTCATCGATCGCAACGGTTGCGCAGAGCACGATGAAGATTGTATTGTGTCACAATCCGGTTCCCAGACCCACGAACATGCGCTATAAGCCTTAGACAACCTGCTCAGCGCCCCAGCCCTGGTCGGCCTCACGCATATTGGACGGGGGTTCGATAGACGGGACGAATTCCAAGACGACGTAACCGATACCAAGGATGCCGACAATCGAAGCAGCAATGTATTGCAGGACGTGGCCGTGAAGAATGAGACACCCGACAAAGATATAGACTTCACAAAAATGTCAGCCTGCGGTCATTGAACGAAAGCCCAAGGGACAAAACTTACAAACACCACGGCCGACGAAGGAGAACAGGAAGGACGCATAGCGGTAGATATAGTCGGGGACGTTGGGCAAGAACTCCAACCCAGCAACGACTACAGCGAGTCAGTTTCCGCGGACATCGGTCAAGGTTCAGCTTGGCAGGGGAGACTTACTGAGACCAAACAGAATCACATAGACACCGGTGATGATATTGCCCATGCTTATCGGGAAGAACTGGGCGATACCACCAAGAACCATGATGGCGCCGACGGCGATGTTAGCAAAGCGACTAAAGCAAAGAGCATCAGGTCAGCAATGAATTCGCTCCCCGACAAATAAACGACAACATGTTGCAACATACAAGATGTTGGAGAAATCCATGTTGAAGGTTATGCTAGGTTGTCGCGGAGTAGCTGTGTCCGGTGTGGGTTTGAAGTTGGCGAGTATGGGAGGAATTCCGGCAATACGCAGAATCAAGGCGTGCGGGTTGTTGCGCTGCTAGAGGAGAATGTTTGTTGCCTAGATCGAGCTTGATGAACCACCACGTAGCTTGTTGAAGTTGACGAATCTGTCAGGGGAGCTAGGTAGCAAGATTGTCGCGAGGAGTAGGGGCGTACGATTGCTGGTAGGTCAACCAAGGAGTCGGAAAGGGGAAAGGAGGAGTCTATTGTCCCAAATGAAGCTGTGAATGAAAAGCAAGAAAGGGAAGAAAAGTGCGGATGAAAGGCTGGGGACATGAACAGGAACTCTAGCATCCTTTCCCAGCGAGGCGCAACAGCGGGTCTGCCAAGAACAGGGCGGGTTCGGATGACTCAGCGGCGCCCAGCGGCTGTTCCAAGTGGCTGGCTGGCTGTACACAGGCCTTGGAGCACTGCGCAGAGCTCAGATGATTACAGGACCATTGTAACTAAATTACAAGTACTTATATCTTCTATATAAAGGTTCCCATCTGAATCTTCTCAATTTAGTCCAAGCTCCATTCTCTTCGGGCTTGAATGACGGGGCCTGTTCAACTTGGCCGCCCAGGGTGGTCTTCAGTATCAAAAACAAAAATGATTTTAGCGAGGTCGGGAAAACATTGAGATTTTTCCTAGCAGCAGCGACACCCTTTCCGTCAGAAAATTAAGGCAGAGATATGTTCAGCACCGGTGGCCCCAGCTTGCTAACATGGTGCTCTCCAATTCCGTTCCGTCACGCGTCTGTTGGCGTGGTACTAGATGTGTATAGTATACGCGGCTGCAGCTGCTCGACTGCTATTAATTAGTCATTCCGAAGAGCATAGTTATAGTATAGTGCAAGTATAAATCGCTGTGCTTAAGGCATGCCGTGCCTTTCCAGTATTTGTAGATGCGGATCCGCCCCTCGGATTCGACGATGAACAAACTCAAGGTAGGCCTGTTAAATATGCCCACCAATATATGGCATAGAAAACCATGAGAGACGAGCCATAAACTGCTACTGGGCGGTGAATTTCATATGGCAAGGCCTCATGCAAAACACTGAAGCTCAGCCTCTCGGGCCAAATGCAGGGGTGCTTCTGTTCCGCACGGTCACTGTTGATCTTGGCCTAACAAGACTCCAAGTTAACTTCACGCCAGAACTGCCATTCCCAGCCTCATTGGCCCACTTTTGTTTCAAGTTCAAGTTGAACATGCCCAGGGTGCGGGTCGTCGTGGAGGCTCAGACAGGAACAGACCGCTTGTCGGAGGCTGTGTGCACGAAGTATGAAGATCAGTCTCACGATCTCGCCGAAGCTGGGGTCCTGCTTAAAATCAGTGTTCGCTCATGGCAGGTCTTCTGTAAACTTCACATCCATTGTGCTGAGCGCCAGGACTAGGATGATTTTTCCCTCCACAACCCGCCAAAGGCCGCCTCGCAACCGTTCAAGATGGTATTCACCATGATACGGAATCCGAACTCCGCTGTCTTCTCGTTCACTGCTTTGCGACGTGACCATTATCCAGAGGACGACATCGATGAAGATAAGACATTAGAGCCTAGGGAATCTAGCGAACCTCGTATTGCAAAGTGGAGGCGGACACTCTATCTGGGCTCTGCCGTCTCGGCCGCGGTCCTGCTCGTTAACCTGATCATGGTCCTGTGGGCGAGTCTCCGGAAATCAGAACATGGACAGAGTGTTCTTCTGCTTTCAGAAAACTGCGATCGTGTCAAAAGGCTCAGCACTGGGGTTCATCTCTTGATTAACATTCTCAGCACGCTTCTGCTGGCGGCAAGTAACTTTGCTATGGTATAGTCACCCCGTATCCTTTTAATTCTTCAATATGGCGCTGAGAGAACTTCTGTAGCAATGCGTCAGCTCACCGACGAGAAACGACGTGGATCGCTCCCATTCACGGAACGAATGGCTTGATATTGGTGTCCCCAGCGCTCGGAACCTATCAAGGATCTCTGGGATGCGCCTGTTCTTGTGGCTTTGCCTTGTTCTCTCCTCTGCGCCACTTCATTTACTGTATGTAAGTTCTGTCTTCGCCTTGTGGCAATCAGATGCTGATCAAGTAGTTACAACTCGACGGTATACTCGACATTTTCCGTCAATGCTCCATCCATATACGTGGCGAACTCAAGCTTCACTTCCCTGACCAACACCGAAATTACGGCTGCCGCATACCCTAATTTGAGCTCGTCAGCTCTTTCCGATGGTCTAAGGCTCGTGGAAATGGCCAACAACATGACGCACCTAGCGCCACAAGATTGCATCTCGGCGTATTTTACCGAATTTCTATCCAAGTACAACAATGTAATCCTAGTCAGCCAGGGATTCGACGGTTCGGAAGAGCCCATATCGGCTATTGGCATGCAGGTGTTCACAAGTCCCTCAGAGTACTCTCCGGATCCGGCGTATTCTTGGGTATGCGTATCAGACCGCGGACACTCACCCGGCGTTCCCCTCAATGAGTGGCCGAAATTTTGTTCCGATGTTCGCTCACGGGTTAGCTCAGGACAGGACTGGGTTGTGAGTGGGTATAAGGTTGACTATTGCCTGGTACAGAAAACGATAGAACAGTGCTCCCTCGAGTACAGTTTGCCGCTTGCTATAGTGGTGATTGGTGCCAACCTGGCCAAGGCTATACTGATCTGTCTTGTCCTATTATGCCTCCGAGACAAGCCGCTGTTGACAGTCGGTGATGCTGTAGCTTCTTTTCTTCAGTCTCCTGATTCCTCGACTGTTGGAACCTGTCTATTGACGCGCCGGATGGTATCATCGGAGACAAGGTGCGGCGTTCGGGAACAAAAATATTCTATACTCGGAAAAGACTCAGTATACGAGCCGCAACCATATTTTGCAAAGCAAAAGCGATGGTGGTCATCTTTGTCCAAGACTCGCTGGGCCAGCCTTTGCTTAATGTACGTCACTCCTCTTTAAACCCGCGATATAAGCTAATGTTAGTCGCTAGGTACACTCTCTCGCTAGCCGTCTCAATTAGCCTCCTAGGGCTGGGGCTGTGCAAGATGGAAATCACTGACGGTATTTGGGATTCTGGCCTTGGAACTGTCCAGCATAATGCAATTATTAATGATGAGAATTGGCCTGAAGAGCTGGTTCCCAATGTTCTCATCGTCAATTCCCCTCAACTCATCTATTCAGTTCTCTATGTCCTATCCAATGGAATCCTCACCAACATGGCCCTTGCAGGCGAATGGAACACATTCTCTGAAGAAAGAAAAGGACTCCGCGTTTCAACTTCTCCCAAAGAGAATCAACGTACATCGCACTTCCTATCACTACCTTATCGCTATGGATTACCACTTATTGCTTTGTCTGCCTTGACACATTGGCTCATTTCACAGAGTATATTCTTAGTGAGCGCTAAGGCTTATAACGAGTTTAGAGAGAGGGAACCCTATTTCGATGTTATAGCACTTGGGTATTCACCGCTTGCAATTGTTATCAGCATTTGTGTGAGCATTCTTCTGCCGGCCTCTTTATTCCTGATAGGTTGCCAGCGGTTTAAAACAGGGATGCCAATTGCTGGCAGCTGCAGTCTTGCCATAGCTGCAGCCTGTCATCCGCGGACCAAAACAGACGATGAGAAATTTGATATCGAATACCGGCTTCTGAAATGGGGTGTTGAGCCTTCTAAGCCAGGAGAGATTGGGCACTGTGCGTTTTCGGATGCAGACGTCACCGCGCCGGAGGACGGGGTGTTTTACCAGTGAAGCATTACCATTATTGATCATCTGGTCCCCGTCAGACCTGGCTGAATGACCTATCGACACACCAGATTCAATATATCGATCAGTGTATTGGTTCGTGAGGCCAGATACTCCTAATTGGAAATCCACATGAAGCCTTACATAGCTGCATAAACCGCTAGATAGTCGCTCATTTGGAGGTTAAGCCTAATACTAGTATATGATATACACCCTTAGAAGAATGATCAAATCGCCATCAGATCTCCCACTCGTTTCTCTAATCTGGCGGTCGACAAGGCATTTGCCAACTTGCACATCCTGATTGAGTCTCCCTCCAAGTCTGCATAAATGGAATCCAGGTCGGTCCCCAGTCCAGCGTCCTCCGCAGTTTGTAGACTCCGGGAATCAATAAATGGAGCGATAGACGGCCAAACGCTTTGCACGTTGTTGAAGAAAAGCTCCACGCCTAGGTCTCCCAGACCGTGGACTTCCTTTACGAGCTGCTTCGTTCTCTGAGGATCGTACTCTGCGGACTTTATGACATTGTTCAGATCCCCATCTGTGACCCGAGTTAGCTATAGTTAACTAAGTGTCCAAAGGACGGGGATGCCCACCATATTTATCGTTAACGAGCTCGACCAGTTTCCCCAGGTTTGTTGAACCCTGTTCTCTGTATCGATTGTATCCCCCATCCTTCAGGACCATAGCTCTCTCCTCCCAGCTAGCATCCCCCAGCTTCTGGATATCGTGGTATCCAACATCAACAAGTTTACGCAGTGTACGGTCCGTGAGTTCATGGGACAACGGCTTCGACTTCAGCATTGCGTCAATGAGCATAGCTAGAATGGTATCAGGCGATCCCGTAAGCGCTTTCTCTTCAATCGCTGTTCCCTCAAGCGGACCATGACCATATTTCTCAATGGTCTTCTTCAGCTTTTCACCACTCGTAGACTGTCGCGACTTCTCCTGGTTCGTACCCTTTTCTTGTTCAGCCTCTCTTTCTTCACTCTCCTCCTCATCTAGATCGCTCAACTCCTCATCAAAATCTTCCTCATCAAGCTCCTCCTGGTCAGGATCGCCTTCACCAGACTCTCCGTCGTCGTCATCTTCCTCTTCATCAAGATCTCCACCAGCCCTGGCAGCCTTACTCGGTGGCTGCAATTCAGCCTCGTCTGCACTCTCTTCCTGAACCACGGGCGTTTCCTCGTGGACTCTCTTGCGCTTTGACGTGTTTGTTACGTCGTCTTCCTCGTACTCTTCTTCCACCTCGGGAGCTTTGTATTTCATTCTGGTAACTGTACTCTTTCGTGAAAAGGTATCGGGACGGATGTTCCAGTGTAATCTGGTTATTCGGTTAAAGTTAATTAATATAAGAACAAGGAAAGAATAGTTACAGTCTGTGTTGTTAATCTAATCCCCGGAATACCACCACGGAGTTGTGATGACGCAATGTCGACGTCTACATAACCTAGGGAAATTACCTTACGTTCTTAATACTTTCTTCAGGAAATTTAGGGAAATGGAAAGGAAAGGCCTTATTCGAGTGACAAACCAAGGTTTGTCGGTATTTTCGATACTAAGAGTAATTTGAATTTCATCCTGGCAACGCAGACGGCCACTACTCTGCCAGTCTCTATACAACTCCAAAATTTTATTCATAGCTTCGCCTGGACTTTGTCCTGCAAAGTCTCCTTCACTAGCCGCACGGCTTCGGCCGCGCAGCCATAGGAAGATTGATATCCAAACCCACCATGGCCGTAATTATGCACAACCGCAACACCATCAATCTTCTCCGCCTCGATACGTGGCCCACCATCCCTCAGAGGCCGCAGTCCAACGCCATGTCTTATTATATCTAGGCCTTCAATCCCTTGCCCTTTGGACACCAGTTCTGGACATACGGAGATTGCACGCTTCATGATGCGGACGGCCAGATTGGGATCGGGCAATGGGTCCCACTGGTGCTTCTGATAGCAGCCACCTAGGATAGTCCCACCACCAGCAGCGCGGGTCATCATGTAGACCAGCTCGTCCTCGCCGTCGTCCGTTCCCGAGACTGAGACCATCTTACCGGGGTCGTTTCGGACTACAATGATTTGGCCGCGGCCTGGATGAAGCTTTTCGTCGAGGACGCCGCCTAGCTTCTTCGATGATAGGCCAGTGCAGTTTACGACGACGTCGCTAGGTCTGCCGGAGTGATGGGCGTTTGCCGCGTCTGATATGTGTTTAAAAACTGCGCGCTTAAATACTGCGCCGTTCTTGCGGCACTGCCCGACTAGCCAGGGGAGGTATACTGCGGTGTTAATGCATACTGATGTGAAACTCTGGGCGTTGTCGATTCCGGGAGCTAGCTGATCTTTTGGGATGGGTTTGAACTGGGCGGCGATGGTTAGTGGATTGGTATAGAATACCTACAAGATGCAATAAATGGCAGAGTGCTTACATCGGGAACAGTATCTTTGTACCATGGGTTATCACTGACTAGAGCTGAAAACCACTGGCCGATAGAGGTTTCCTGGTCCTTCTTTCGATTGTAAACGATGGATTCTATCTCCCATTAGCAGGTTACATGTTTCATTCAAGGATGGAATACCTTGAAAATGAACGCCTGCCTCAGGGTGGTTCTCTGTCAGTTCCTTCAATGGCTGCCATGTCTCTTGTTCCCATTTAGCATGGTTACTGCCAGGATTTCCGGTTCTAAGTCCTGGTGTTAGCGACGAAGACGGGGTTCCAAATAGGTGATAGAACAAACATACGGAAGGTAATTAGCACCGGCCCAAGGGGAACAGTATTCTATATCGTAATCCCCGGGCATATGTTTGGCAACGACAGTAATGGAGTTTCTGGGATCTTGGGACAAAAGGTATGCGGTTGTCAACCCAGAGACACCAGCCCTGTTGTTAATGATTAGTACATAGTTTAGAAGAATTGGATTGCAAGAACATATCGTACCCTATTATTACGATGTTATTTGCGGCCATTGCTACTCTCTATCACATCCACAAAGAGCAGGGATTCAGTACGATCCAGTTGTGAGTTAGTGGGAGGAGGGAAAGGACAAAGATACGATGTGGCAGGGAGTAATAAGTAGCAACTGCAGAGTGACATGGGCTGACAGTCAAGAGCTAAGGTACCCCAAGGTTGCTGTCACCTTATTGCCAATTGGGCAGATGGTAGCGTTTGATTAACCGGGAGTTGGAGACTTGGAACCTGGCACTTGTGGCGGGGCATGCAAATCGGCTTCTTGCAGTGCTTCACGGGAATACATCAAGGACCTACAGCTGATAGGCCCGCGCGGCAAGTATCGAGCGATGAGGAATGAGGGGTTTCCAAATGCAAACAACCATTCTTTGGCGACTCTGTCGTTGTCAAATCCTCGTTCTCCGCGTTCTTTGTTGTGGCCCTCGTGCGGGGTTCTTCGTTATCAGCGCAAGACACGAGACTTCTCCAACTGCGTATTGCCCTTTTGCACCGCCACTACTAGGTATGATTAAAAGACAAGCACACCTTACACCGTACATCCAGAGTTCCTCCTTAACACACTTCAACAACGACGTGTTCTGTCAGGAGCTGGGCGAGGCTCGAACAGGAAGCGCGACGCGCCGAGAATACACCGCGTACTTAGCCGGAATAGGAAGGGAGATACGTGTGCCGCCCCCAGAGTTAAAACCAATAATACAGTGACAGGGCTGTTACCAAATACAAAACGCGGAGGCAACAATCAACTGGCAAGAAACTCTCCAACACATTAAGACTATTTGGTAGACTCAAAGTGTGATTCATCGAGTCGAAGTCGAAAGAAGAAGAAAGAGGGCATTCTTTCCTCTTTGTGTCCTGCTGAGGCAGGCACCGTGCATTTTAATCATCCAATTTTTCCCGAGTCAACCCTGGGCTATTACTATTTTTTTAAGCTCCATATTTCTTTTCCTCTCCTCCGAGTCCTCCATCCTCGCTCCACCGACCCTTCGTCTCTCCCCATTTCGAGCCCTCTCTTTCCCTCTCACTCTGGCTCGACGTGGCTCTCTTCTCTACCCTCCTCAATGAGGGTCCTTCGTGGGGTAGGGATTATTCAACCATGGCTGATGTCCCCAGAGGCGCCAGAATTGTGCCTATAATTGCCCCTCACCATGATAGCCATGTCGAAGGGAGCTCGGTCAACGACCACAAACCTGAGAATCCGCCATCGGAGCAGAGTTCCCAAGAGGACCGCCCCGCAACCTCCAGGAATACACGCGGGAAAGTTGAGACGGAATGCTTGGAGCTTGCTAGCCTCACTCAACTAGGGCTTTATGCTCTTCCTACTGAGGGTGATGGTAATGATCCCCAACGTCGAGAAATCGGCCTCGATCATCTCCACCCTTGTCTTGCCTGAATTATGTAGTGTTTCTAACTGTTTACTCGTAGGTAATTGCCTCTACTACGCTCTATCTGATCAATTGTACGGAGACTTCCACCATGCCGACCACATCCGAACGCGGCTCGCCGACCATATTTTTGCCAACCGGGAATACTTCATGAGTTTTATAGCAGCGGCTGGTGGGGAGCGTAGGGCACCTAGGCGTGCGGCAGCCGAAGCAGCTAGGAATACCTATTGCTCGTCGTCATCTGCAAGTCCTGCTCCTGCACCTGCTCCGTCAGTGAAAGATAAGGAACGAAGCTTTGACTCAAGGGTAGCAGAGTCACGGAAGAATGGCGTATGGGGTGGAGCAGAGGAAATACAAGCATTTTGCCAGTCTTTCAAGAAGGACGTCAATGTCTATACAGAATATGGGATTCAGAATTTCCGTGACGTCCACGCCCCGCGGGACGAGGAAAGGGAAACCATGCACATTGCGTTCCATGTAAGAGCTGCCAGTACCTATTTTGCTGGTCTCTTTCTAATTCTAACGCTTATCTTCTTTTTTTTAGGACTTCCATCATTATTCATCCGTGCGGCATTCTAATGGTCCTCACACGGGCTTGCCGTCCATTCCTAAATTTGACAAAGCAACCTTGGATAGCACTGCGCCGTCGGAAGGCAACGTAGTAAATGTGGCCTCCCCATGGAAAATATCAGTTATTCAGGAAGGTCTCGGCGGTAAGTATGACCGTGAAACCATAGTGGAAGTACTCGAGCAATGCCGAGGGAACATAGACAATGCGTTTATAAACCTCATTGGCGATGATGCCAACGCACAACCTCTGGAAGCTCCAGCTTCGCGAGCAATCATGAAGTCGCGGTTCCAACCATCTTCGCGCTCTTCATCTCCATTTAGCACTGGAAGTAAACGGTCAGTCGATGATAGCGATGAGGAAGAAAATCCTCGGCCCGCCTCGCGGCGCACTTGGGCCCGTGACCAAAAACGACGGATTCTCCCAGACGTTACAGTCGGGATAGCATTTCGGGATGATCAAAACGATCTTGTTTCCCTACGTCTTCGAGTGAGTCCCGATAAGGGGGTATCAGCTTCTCCAACGGATAGAGACAAGGAGCCAATCGAGCCGAGCTCATCCGAATCACGAGAAGAGGGCATGTCTCTCCCGAAGAAGGGCAGGAGACTAAAGCCGAGAAGGAGGCAAAACACTGAGCCTAGTGATACATCAAGCCCACAGAGCGAATCCAACACAACCGAGCAAAAGTTACGCCGAAGTCAACGTATCACCCGGACCCGCAACACCCACTAAACCCTATTTCTATACCTCGACGTGGTCCGCGATTCTATTCGGGTCATTCCGTCACTTTACGGCCGTCTTCCTAATCTTCTTCACTCCTCCATTGCATTCAAGTGTGTTGGGTGGTCGTTTTTTCTATGGTTGCATTATTCCAGAGCGAGCATATTGTCAGCGACTTAGCGGTGTTTTGAAATTTCCCCGATATCTGACAGCATTTGGAGCCGTCTGTGCGACCCTGCCAACAAATCAGTCCCTCGATCTTCCCACCCGACCACGCGAGCGTCCTGTATGCATGCGTAACTGTTTCTCACAAAACTTTGATTGGACCGGCCAACGTCTCTTACCCTATTCTGGTCTTGCATTCGGCCCGTCTCTTTTCTCTGTCAATTGATGGTTTTATCCCTCGTTCCTATCCTGGTCGGTACAAGTGTTACGTCTAGCGCCTCGCATTTACCTTCCTTTTTTTACCCTCACTTTTGTAACGCGTTTGTTTCTTGGCACCTCTCTTAGAGAGGTTGGCGCTGACTCGGCTTGGGTTTTGCTTCAGGAGTTGTTTTGGCGTATAGGCCTGGGAAAAGAAAGGCATGAAACCCAGCCTGGCAAGTTTGGCGGGTTGTTTAGAATTTAGAAGGGCTTTCCTTAAGCTCTTTTGCTTCTTGCTCATATTTGTGAAATCTGGCTGGACTGATTCACTATATGGCTTACAATTATGAACTACAATTTCTCTATGAAAATTAACTCTCAAGTATATACTGCGTAGCTCGTATCTGTTTATTAGCCATGTAGCATCTACTGTCTTCTACTGGATTTATACAACCGGTCCTGAACGAGTTTATTGAAAATCTTTTATTGCTGATAGCACATATATATACACAGGATATCATCATGGTTGATTGCTCCTCATTTTGATATCATTATCAACTAGTTTGCTCTTTTTGTCTAAAACAACCCATGCGCCAGCATCGAATAATGGGGTGAGTAGATTACGCCGGATGAAATCAGGTGTATAAAACTCCAGTCATAACCATATATACAGATTCTATGAATTTACAAGATGTGTATGTCGGTTCGAAAACGCCCAACCTGCTTTCGACGAGCGCAATAAAGCGTCGTGAGGGATAACGGCGCAATATCGATATGGGAAGGTGAGATGGAGGGGGTATCGTTTAAGCATTATGAAATATCGTCAAGATGAAGTCGGGTCATGTCAAAAGCCGGAATCTGGGCGCAGACGCATCCCAGGGGAATAGCAGAGATTATGGAGTTCGTCGACGTAGGTGTGGGCAGCTGAGCTACCAGCCTCCACCACAGTGGTCGAGGACTGTCTTCCAAGGGCTGCTTCAACCGCTGGGTCACCTAATCTCGCCGAGTCGACCTTGACTTCTTTGCGGACCATAATGTCTCCTAATGGCGTGGCATCCGTGAGAGTCTCCTGAGATGTCGTCTGCTTGTATGCTGGGATCCGTTTTCGAGACGAACGGATGTTGAATTTGGAAAGGATCGACGATTCCATTTCAGAGTCGGTAGTGGAGCTTGTGCGGACATTAGAAAAGAGAACGCCGTCGCTGAGTTCTTTGGCGAGCCCGTCTACATCGGTAGCGCCGCTATTCACTTGCTGTTGAATACGGAAGAGCCGAAGGGGCATAAAGGTATAGTTTGGGTTAGTAACACGCGTGCTCAGTGATCCAACCGTACAGAAGGCAAGTAGCATGCATGTCTTGTCATCGGAGATCCTTGTGCTGCGGCACGGCGCAATTAAAGGGCGGGGCGAGAAGCGCGATGCGGAATTGATGTCTGCTGGCAGCGACCTAGCAAGATGTGTCATTGCTCGGATTAAGTCCTGACGGAACTCGTTGGCATCCTGGTGGCTTTGTGCGTTTCCAGAACTCAACCAATCTAAACATGTCTGGATTGGCCATCCCTCCATATGTGAGATCAGCTCCAAATGAGCTATTTGTAAGCTTCTCGTTTGTAATGTCATCGACGGCAGTGGATTTGAAGTGCCAGCGGCGGTTAATACTTCGAAGCGATCATGGACAGTAGGGCGGGTAATAAACGAAATGAGATGAACGCCAGGCTGGAAGTTTCGGTAAGATGTAGCGAAGTCGCGCATATCCTTTAGGTGGGTTCCTAGCGCCTCTGATGTAACGTTCATGCGGCTAGAGAGTAGAGTCGTGATGGTATCAATAGTAGCAAACCTGAAGCCAGATGCAGCGAGCCGAGACGCTTCTTGCTTTCTCAGTTGGCGAACTGTGAACATTAACTGGCCTTTGCCGGCGCGTAGTCCGGAGTATCCCATTGCGCGTGAAATCCGTGACGATGGAATAGATGTGGTTAAAACTTCATCGTACAGCATACCCAAATCATCCAAGGGCTGTCGAACCTGATCAGCAAGATCGTATGCTGCCACACAAAAGTGACGCTTGAACAACTCATCAAAGCCGCCATTAAGCTCTGCTTCTTGTTCTGGATCCAGTCCTTTGCCAACATATCGCCGGTGCGCCTCTTGCTCTGTTTCTATCCTGTCTCGCATGTATGGAACAACCTCTTTGATAAGGCCCCAGTTTCTGCTTGCTCGAAAGGCCCATAGGAACGCGGGATGGGTTCGAGTGAGGTCATCGTCGCTGAAAGTCTAAAAAATGTGAATGATTTGGTGAGCTTGTGGTGAGAGGCCGTAGCTAGCAGAAACTGTGACTCACCTTTCCGATATAACGATCGACTATTTTCCTAGTAGGAAGAAGAGCATGCGGTGTAACCATAACACGTCCCTCCGGGTCAAAGAAAGCAGAGGTCAAGACCAGCTGTTGTGCCTGTATCCTTAACTTTCTATGGTCGCCATTAGCAGTTATAGCACATGCTGATAAGACAGCACAGGCAACAAAAGCCTAGACCGGTTCAATTAGTTTTTCAGCTACCCGCATAGCGTTGAAAATCAATGACTAACCAGAACAGAGCATATGATGACAGTTTGAGTTCGAGATAACTGGCCACCAGTGCTCGCAGATGAATCATGTTCGTTGTATGTTGTCCCAGCAGCAGCAGTCCAATGCATGCCAGACACGGCCACCGCCAAAAGGCAACCGCAGATTACACGCCTCCACCAGCGATTTGTCCAGGAAGCTCTCCATCGAAAGAAGATACTGAGTGCAGCAGTGCTGGCAACTACCGCGATCACTGCAGAACCGGCGACGTTCCCAGCATGGTAGCCACATTTGTAATTGCTAATACCCAGTTGGCCAACATAGTGCATTCCACACACTGACCCTCCGGTCAGTACCCCTCCTATCAATATCCTGGAATAGCCTGCCTTCTCACTGGTCCCAGCGGCATAAAAGGCTGCAAGCAAGACAACCACGGGAAGGACGAAGGAAACACCGGTGAATGACATGCTATAAAGGACCTGAATACTATCATCTCCGTTACCGAGAACGATCGCGCGATTTCCGATAAAATGCATGCACCAAATACCGATTCCTCCCATTGAGATTGCAGAACTGAGCAGCAGGTACCTATTTCGCCAACCAGTCAGATGTGTTATCTGCCGAGTCATATCATATGCGGCTCAGCTACTTACCAGTTGTAAAACCCAGCTGCCGATGTCCGCCAATGGAGCAATTCAAGTGTCGTGATACATCCCATCACACTGATAACGTAGGATAGGACAATGAAACCTGCCAGATAGGAAACTTCCGGACGCCCCACGTTGGGAAAACTGTCCATATCTAACATGGCTCGGATGGACAAACAAGTTGAAAGGCTGTATTTACTAAAAAGGGGGGAGGGGAATATGAAAGAGATCAAGCATTCATAGTGAACAAAGTGTTGGTACAATTAGGGCAATTTGGCCCTGACAGCAATCAAAGCAGAGAAGCGAGAAAACGAAGGCGAAGAAATTGACTCCAGCATGGTCAACATGGATCTCGTGGCGCGCTCGGCTTGTTATAGACGCAGCAATTAATGGGGATGTCCACTTGCTCCAATAATCGGATGCAAATTGTTTGAGAGCTCGTTTAGACTGGAAACACTGGGATGGCTGCGACACACACAAACAACCCCATAGGCGTCTGTCTCACTTTGGCGTGGATCCAACTCCCATGCATATCATTTTCGTTGGATGCTCGGAAGTAATCGTAAGGGGGGGAACCATGGTTACATTTTCAGCTGCCTCTCGCCTTTCACCATAATAATTATGAGGTCGGAACTCGTAAGATGCAATTAGATCGAAGGATTGTGGGTGCACGAGGACTTCTTGGCCAGATCCCAGAGCCTGATAGGAACGATGGGGTCACGCTAGATCCACGGCAAAGCCAGAAAGTTGGCCCGATCTGAGACTAGACCTGCCAGAGCGATTCCTGACAACCGGTTGTTTTGCCCAGACGCCCCGAATTTTCATCTCGAACTGGGGTCAAAAGCTGAGAATTGCCCGGTGTGAGGAAATTGATTCGTCTTCGGCGGATCGAGATCCCTGCGATCTATTGGCAAACGTGATCTTGAGAAGCACAGATTCAACTATCCGAGCCGCGGACGCGGGCCTCCCACGTTCTTGGATTGGCCAAGCAGCCATAATCCAATCATCGTAAAATAGTAATTGGGAGGGTTATGAGCTCGGTCGACGGCCTGACCACGCCCAATGTGGAACTTGAGCAGCAAAGCCACCTGGGTGTGGAGTCCAAAGTGTCAGTCAGGCAGTCGTGAAGCAGCCGTCCTCTTTCTGGAATGGAATTCTGCCGTAGTGCGAAGGAACAATGTCACCTATTAGTTGAACTTTATCCTGACTCGATCCCAGCTCTTTGGGCACCTTGGCCTCGGCAAGCGCAGGCCACGACCCAGCAATTCTTTTGGCAGTGCTGAAAGCGGGGGCAAATACAATGCGCAGTGAGACGAGGAGTTCTAGAAACAACACATTGTTTCGGTGATCAGTCTGAGGTTTGGTGTCTTGGAAAGGGAGGTTGCCAGGCCGGCCGAGACTTGGAGACCTCCAGTGTATCAGCTCGAGCATCACAGGCCACCTGATCGCGCACGACACGCCCAACACGTGCTCTTCTTCCCCTGTACACAAGCACAAGCCCACTGTCTTTCATGCGCGACACCATCCCACATTCCAGTCGGCAACACCGGTCATGCATCGCGCCGGTTAATCTCGATCTGCACGAGCACGGCGGCTAATCAACCGGCCCTGGCGATCCGATGGATATCACCGACATGTATCATGTACGGCGTAGTCTACTATATATGCAGGCACGTAGTGTCTATTCGGACCTCAAACTGACGTCCAAACGTTTTAACACCGCAACTTAGACTCCAGTCTCAAACAAGAGCGCCTCCTTGCTCTGGCCGGCCCTGTTCGCTGAAGTGATCGGAGTCTACTAAAGCCCTGGCCCCACTGGATCGAAAATTCGCTACCCGAAACGAACGACTTGGCTGTGTCCGCTAACCAAACCATGTCTGCTCGGATCTCTACAGGAATATCTTGTGATTCAAGTTGTCAACAAACAGGCTATTATCTGTCAAGACCAGAGGAATACCATGAGATCCCTTTTATCTCTGTGCTCTTGCTCCAGTTCACAATCGAAGTTATATTGCTGTTACATAAGGGATCCAACAACAACTAATTGTGGCGTTCGTTTTCAGAGCTGAATTGGGTCGCTGCTGTCGGCAGACCTCGGCACCGATGCCTGGATGATTAAAATATATTAAAGATGGAGTTATTGCAGCAGGCCTCGCTTACCTGACGTGAACACTGCTGTGGTATTCCCACGTGGCAATAATGCACAAATCTAATGCCAGCCTGCAGATTCAATAATTTGCGAACATTTCATTCATAATTTGACTAACTATTCAGGCATGTATATGTTTATGCTTCTGTCAGTCAAGTAATCCTTTATTTTCATTTTTTTTTTTTTTTTCTGTCTCCAGATACACCATGTTTTGCTTCAGAAACCGAACTCGAAATATATATAATGCACACTAGGTTCTAGGCATCACCGGTTTTTCTTTACGTTGCCCAGCATTTCATGTCTTCCTGCTATTCTCCAGTTAATCCATACTAGAAGCCGGAAACCCGAAGTCTGCGTCTTTGTAAACTTTGTTCACATTCTGTTCGTACGGCTTCTAATACTCCCTGGGCCCATGTCCTTTCCCAGCGCAATTGTTTTTAATGTCCCCATACGAGATACAGGAGAGCGAATTTCTCTAAATCGACGTCAAATAATTGTACGTCGGTCTACTTAGACCCCTACGATGCTGGGCCATTCGGAACATGAGAGGCAGTGATACCTGCTGTGGTTCGCCCACGCGTCAGTCGATGGCTTGAAGCATGCGTATCTATACACCTTCCATTCGCCAACTCACGAGAAATCGACATTAAGCCTACCTCCAATATACCAGGAACCCAGGCCAAAGGCCTAACCAGACGATGAGGCACCTATATTCCGTAACAAATCATCTTCGTCGAGAGAAGCCTTTGTGAAAACGGAAGCTAGGCTTGGATATGCAATCCCAGGCTCCGACTCTTATCTGCAAGTATTCTCGAATGGCTTCTTTTAGCGCAATGTTTTTTTTTAGAGCACTGCGACGCTATTGTAAGGGTCCGATGGATTTTGATTGTACCCAAGTAGAGGAGATCCTTGGAAGGTACATGTGCTTTTTTGCTATATTCAAAGAGGATAGCAGAATGTCATCACAGGTCCCTAGTTGCTAGCTCTTGGTTATGGTGAAAAAGAGTGAAGGCTAGTGATACTACTTATTCAACTATTTTAGAATTGCTGTAAAATCTAACTAAGCTAACAACCTAGCTACTGTTGTGGAGGGCGCGAAGGGGCCATGAGCTTTTACCTACTTAGAATTCTTCGTCAACAACAAACATCCGTTGTCAAGCAAGCATCATTAGCAAGCATCTTATTCTATCAATATTTGAAAACGAAGTCCTTCTAGGAGTCTTTTAATCCTTTCTCCTCATTCGGTGACCCATGCAGGGACGAGCAGGTCCTGCTTTGCCTATTCCTATCCCTCTACCAGAGCCATTCGTTGAGATCTCGTTCTACAAAAAACTGCCAGTTTAAAGCTATTCTATGAAGGTCTTTTTATACTAAGAACTCTATCTGAACCCTCTAATCCTTCCCGATTATAAAATATACGAAAATCACCACGAACCTCCCTTCGAAGCGCTGATTAGGTACGATTAAGAGGTAACCTACTGTTAAAAACTATCGGAAATCTGTGGGAAAAGAAAAGAAAAGAAAAGAAAAGAAAAAGAGCCAATAAAGGAGTATTTAGGTAGAAAGGGGCTAAATACGTGTGAGTATTTCTTTCCTGGATACCTATTAGTCTTGAAATCTGGATACTAACCACCGCCAACTTCCTATACTGAACACAGGCCGCTGACCATCGATCGATACTATCTCTCAGATAATCCGGGAAATCCTTATTATAGAAGACAAGAAGACACGAAGAGGGCTATGAGTTTTCACCTGTGTATTAGAAATCTTTATCAACAACAACCATCCGTTGTCAAGCATCACTGACAAGCATTCTATTCTATAAATAATCAATGGAGGAGTCAATCTGGAAGCCTTTCAATCACCCGCCCCTCACTGCCCGGCCAGCCCTTTGGTAGTCCCCAGCCATTTGTCATGAGTGGTGTAATGTGGCTGCGGTCTTGTAGTTGTCCAAGATGGAAGGATCTTCGAAGATATCACTGCCTTTCGTAGACCAGGCTTCAAGGATTTTCCAACAGCATGATTGGATTTTTTTCACCGTGTCCGTTACCTCTGGTCTTTCCCAACGATGTAAGACATTTGTATTGGCATAGATGTTGAAAATCTCAATTAACCGATCGTCTGCCTGTCGAATGCGATTGGAGTTTGTACACGTTGAAAAGGACACGCCGTAGTTCTTTCTGAACACCTCTTTCCATATTTGGGTTTCCTTGGTGCCTGCTGTGTCCATGCGTGATATTATGCTGATATCCCCTAAAATATCGCCGCCATGCACGAGGCCGTTCCGGTCTGGACGGTCGGAGTTGATGCCAGCCCATTCGTCAAGGGTGCTAGTTCTGATTGTATCCGCAATATTTTTGAGCTGGCGGAAGTCGGACTTGATTGTTTCAAGCATCTCAAGCAATGATATGCCTTCCATGTTGCCCACAATTTTGTTCTCGGTATCGATTCTGTAAGGTGTTGGAGTGAAAAATTGTTCTGGGAAACCCGTATTTTCGTCCAGCAACTTGAATAGGATACCTTTCCACATCTATTGATAAGAATTATAATCAGTGTCCGTTGAGTCATAGAATGAATGATCTGTGAACGTGTAGATTCACATTCTGGTTTGAGGCCATCGCAAGCTTAGGCCTATCAACAGGCTGCAAGTAGCTGAAGCTTTTTTCAAAGTATTTTCAATGGATGGTGTCATGTAACTCAAATATCACGAATCGTAGTTTGTTGTTAAGGTCATGAAATCGATGTTGTCGAAGACTCGAATAATGTAGTAACACTGACGGGCTGGGCAGTTTGCTCCAGGAGGTGCGAGTTAGGTATTGAGGAGAAAGTTAAAGAAAGATTTTCAGAGTGTTTTCTCCAGCAATATTGATGGAATGACTTTAGACATAGCTATACATTTCCATTGCTACGCTAGTAAGAAGCGAGCTTTCCTTGTGAGACCCTATTTTGAATACTTCGTTTACTGTACAAACAGTGAAGGCCGACTTTGTTTGACATTGATAGAAGTGAACAACTGCCCCTTCACTGGGATCGTCAATGGTCTATGGACGGACATACCTTACGGGATGAACCTGCACTGGTACTTCACAAAGATATCCCATATCAGGTTCAGTCGCCAGTGGTAACACCGTTGAAAAGCGAGCTCAAGGTTGGGCCATCCATTCAGTTTTTGCTTTTTTTTCGATTTGGAGCCTCATCAGCAGGCATTATTCGATGTTCCAAGATCTCGCATCGGGACAGATCTTGTAGATCTCATAGATCTGCGCCGCGATACTGGAATCGTCGTGATCATGATTTAGGGCATCCATGGCTTCACTTCGGAGCGGCCGGCAATCGCAATCACGGCAGGGGAGTGAATAGTAAACTACCGAACCGACTATGAATTTTAACATCTGCCCAGATATTTAAAGTTGCATCAACACACAGCCTTGGAGCCTGCATTGCCGGCGTGCCCCTATTATAGACACCCAGTCACCAAGCACCTCCAGCCCCTATTTCTTTTAAGAGAGCGCTGATCTTGTACAGTGCAGGTATGGGCCCATCATGGACTATTTTTTCGACCAGCTGTAGCGTCGATTTCCGGTACCGAATGCGAGAAAGTTGGGATAAATGCATGGAGATTCCCTTGGCAGCGTGTCCTAGCGGCAGATACATAGGGGGTTCCTTCTAGAACATGGGGATTAGCCCACTGGAGTACTAAGGCATCAGTTAATTATGATTCTTGCAGTATGGCCTGTATGTTCAAAAGAAAGACACTCAATAAAGACGGTGACAAACTCATTGTGTAGCGACCAGTTTGAGAGCACGGCTGGAAGGGCTGGAGAATCGAATGCACTAGCAGTGGTAGCCCTGAAGACCCACTGGGCCCACGGTGGAGAAAGCGCGAAGATGAGGAAGAACGCATGAGTCAGGACTTTGGACAGGGCCAACGAGCTTGTCTTGTATTGACTATCATTTGAGTAACGGCGGCTCAGGTAAGGTCCACAGGTTTTCGATTTCTTTTCGGAAAAGCAATTTCCGCCCAGAGAAATAAGTCTACCTACAGCAGAGGCCAGCATGAGATCTCCTCCAGCCTTGAAACTTGACAGAAGTTTGGGCGGGCCTCGCACCCACAGTCGACGACCCGAGTCATTTCCAGTCGGAGAACATGCGTGGCCCTGGACCACCCTGACTCTGCCAGGCAGCAAAGCGAGCAAAGTGTTCCATCCAAGCTCCAACTTCCAACGGAATTGCAGACGTCAAACTCCTGACACTGTGGCAGCGGGGAATATTGTTAATTCGAGCAGCCTCTCCACTACTCACTCATCCACCACCCAAGAATATACAGAAGTACTGGATTACCAAACAGCAGGAACGCAGAGTTTTTAGTACGCCGTTTCCGTTGTTTCAAGCCGAAAGCCACCCCGGTCACCCCAGAACCTCGGGGCCTCTACTCCGTAGAATGCCGGCAGCCCTGCCGGAGTTACAATCTGCCATGGTTTTAACCGAGGCCTGTTAACTGGTTCGAAACACTTCGCCTTGACACGATACCAAAGAGTCAGGGATCTTCTTGGATTCGTACCCGATCCGGACTTCGGCCATCGCTGGGTCCTATTGTCCCTGACTGTCACCTGTGGTCCAGCCCAGCCGTTTGGTATTTGCCCTGGCTCCAAGTTCTGGGACACACCACGAGGGGACGAAAGGAACCATGGATGGCACGAGCATCGACCCAAGATTCGTCTCCCGCCCTACAAAATTGCTGCGGACCACCAGATCGTGAATATGGCCGCGAGGAGTATGGGCAAGATATGTCGTGACAGACCGCATGTTGATCACTGGGATCGCAATGTCGTTCATTTTCTGAATGCAGGGTAGCCTCAGTTCAGCTCCATCCATCGATCCAGGGAATCTCGAGTGAGCAGCAGCTTGTACCAAGCCATTGCCACATTATTAGCGAGTGGCGCGCGGATCAGTTCTTGTTTCAGACACTCCGCCGGAGGAGCCCTATCTGGCTGTCTTCTTCCGCCGCCTGGGCGATTCTGCAAGCGATCTGTGTCGGCGAATGAGGTCCACCAGGTATAGTTCCAAGTGGGCCGGTGGGCGACCAGACGCGGCCCATTTATCCCGTCCAGAAAGGAGATTATGGTATGCTCATGCCTTGGTCAAACCGACCTAACGAGACGTTCGTGCTTTTTAGGTTTTAACTGGGACTGTTCCCAGTCTTCACTTTCTCCCCCGGTGTTCGATTTCTGATCCATCATATACTCAGACAACCAGACAGCCATTGATCGATTTCGGCGTCGACTCGAACTATGGCTATCACCGGTGACCATGCGCCCAGTGTGTCTGGCAGCGTCATTATGTTGACGGCTCTCGCTTTTATTAGCTTTTTCCTGCGTATATATTGCCGAGTGAGCAGGAGATCCTGGGCTACGGAGGATTGGATTATGACGGCGGCGGTGGTATGTGTTTGCTACCCAGGCAATGAATTCTTGGGGGGAATATTGCGGCTAACGGAATAACCGAAAAAAAGGTACCCTTCATTGCGCTGGCAGTAGGATGTATTGGGGGTTCGTTCAACGGTATCGGCATCCACGTCTCACGGTTAAGTCAACCCGGAAACGAAAAGTATCAGGCAAACGGCCAGAAGTTCTTCCTTATCTTCGAAGTGGGATATTGCGCCGCCATCATCCCAATCAAGCTCAGCATCAGTTGGATGTTGATTCGAGTGGCCGAGGGCCGGAAGGTGTATATCTACATTCAGTATGCAACAATCGCGGTCTTCACAGTGATGAATGTCATCGCGTTGATTTTCATCCTCACCAATTGCATTCCCACCGAGGCCATGTGGGACACTTCTATTATTGAAAAGGGAGAAGGAAGCTGTAAACCTGCCCACGTCTTGACGGATGTCTACTACGCCACTACCGCCGTGAACATTATGACTGACTGGATTACCGCTTTGATGTCCGTACCACAATCCGCAATTTGACACTAAAGAGACAGCCAGAACTAACTTCAGCCAGGCCAATCCCCCTCCTTTGGAATGTCCAACTCGACCGCAACAGCAAAGCAGCTGTAATCGGTCTCATGAGTCTCGGTATTCTGTACGTGCCTCTCTCCACCTCCACCTCCACCAACCCCCCGAACCCCCTCACAACCTGAAACACAATCCCAAACTTAGTACATCCTGCTGACCCCCACTCCAGTGCCTCACTTTCAGCCTGCATCCGCCTCAAGTACACAATCAACCTCACCAACCAAACCGACTTCCTCTACGCCGTCGCCAATGTCGTCATCTGGGGCTTTGCCGAAAACGCCATCGGCATGTTCGTCGGCAACATCGCTACTCTCCGTCCCCTCTTCCGGAAATTCTTCAACAGCACGCTCCGCCGAACAGGATATTCCAGTCGAAGCCGACCTTCGCGTCTTGCTTCCAACTACGAGCTCTCGCAGCACGGCCCGTCGAAGAGCCATGACGGCTACATGTCTTCAACCGTGACAGAGGTCAAGGGGAATCACCAGGGCAGGAGGGGGCGCAGGGATAGCCAGCTGAGCGATGATAGCCAGAAGTTAATATTCGATGGCAGGGGTCCCGGCGCTGGCGGCGCTGGCATTGGCGCCGGTACCCAGCGGACGGACATTATGGTTAGTCGACACGTTAATGTCACTTACGAGCAGTAGGAAGGTAGAGATCGGGGCTGAGCTCTGATACTACTAGCCATTTAGTTTCCATTCGAGACAAAAAAAAATCCGAATAGTAATAATAATAACAATAACAATAGAGGACAATGGCAATTGACAATTGAACGAAAAATTTTTCCACCAAAGTAGAATGCGGACGGAGTAAGGGAAATGAGAAGCTCTCGCAAATCCCTGTAGAACATGACTCGGTGTGGGGACATGACAAGATGACACTCGTGTTGGACCCAGAAGCCCAGGATCAACAAAGTCCAAAACAAGAATTCCAAGAACCCGAGCCTCACATGTTCTCAGCGCTAAAGCCCACGGCTGGCAGCTTTATTAGCATGAAACAAGACGCGGGCTGGGGTGACCGGGGTCTGGTCCACAAGTTTAATATATTGTTAATATAAAGATACCCGCCAGTTGGGGAACAAAGTTTAGCTAGCGATGTCAGACCAGGAGGCGCGGCTCTAACCATAACTATTACCGAAGTTGGTAGCTTCGTCCGCACTTCCGAAATCCATCATGGTCTGGCTGGAGGCGGCTCGGGTTCACCGGTTGGTTCTATCACTATCACACACGGGACTGAGATGCCTGTGCTATATCCCTGCATGGTTTGGTAGAGGATAGGCTTGGGGTATCGGCGCGGCAACGTTTGCCGTGCCTCCGGTGTGATTCCTGTTCAGTGGTAGCGTAGCCCATCTACTGGGACAGTCGAGGGAAGTCCCTTAATAAATAAAAGTTGGCGTTCTCGGTTTAAACGTGGTGGCGTTTGTTCCGCAAAATGCTGGTGGTTGGTGAAGTAGTCTAACTCACTTTGTACACGGACTGGTTACCTGTACCTGCACGGCAATGCTGACCGATGGACCATGCATTGCATATCGAAAATAATGTTTTGCATAAAACTTCATCCCACTATAAGCCAGTACCAATTATGCCCTTCTTGCCGACTCTAGACTTATTTCAAGGCTAGTCCCGTTCAGAAAGAACTAGGGGTCAATAGAATGTCTAAGTATGAGCATTTGCCCTGGTGCCTATTTTTAGACATTTACCAGGTGAGTCTTATAAAGTTCTGTGTATAGTAGATTTAAGTTGTTGGCTCGGCGACAAGATATACCGTCTGTTATCTTGCGTCTTTTTTTTTTCAGACTAAGATGGTACTGTTTTTGCAGCAGCTGAGAGGCCTGCCTAGCCCTGCTAGAAAACATGACGCTAACGCCACGGGTTTACCAAACATAGTGCTATTCAATGTCAATTTGGCTAGAGTCCAATTAAACACAGGCTCAACATGAATATACCTGCGTAGGCCAATAGAGGCTTGGCTTAGCTTAGCAAAGACATGCGATTACAATGCAGTGAAACATCTATGCCAGAAATCCACCTCTTTCAATACCATAAATACAGGGTGCAGTAGAAAGCACGAACTATAAAGAAGATGAGGACAATTTCAATTCACTAAATTATGCACTTTGATTGAACACCGCGACTCTAAGCAGTGATCTTCTTGATGCCAGCCTCCAGGGCGGGAGGGTTGGCACCAACAACGGTGTCGACGACCTGGCCGTCCTTGAAGAGATAGAACGAGGGCATGGCGCGGACACCAAGCTCGGCGGCAACGTCGGACAGCTCGTCAACGTCGAACTTGTAGAACTTGGCGCCGGGGTACTGCGCGGCGAATTCGTCGACCTTGGGAGCGATGGCCTTGCAGGGACCGCACCATTCGGCGAAGCAGTCTAGAACAATGGCGTCCTTGGAGTCGGTAATCTTCTCCTTGAACTCTTCCTTACTGTTAAAGACAGACATTATACGTTAGCGATGGGGTTTCCTGGAATTTGGAGAGTTTTGAGGCCGACGTACGTGGTGATAGAAACAACGTTGCTGCCGCCCATTTTGGCTGGTGAAGGTTTGAATTGAACGGTAGGGGTGGTAGAGAAAGCTCGTCGGTTGCTAGTGAAGCTGTTGTTTGCGGAGGATCGCAGGAGTGCAGAGGGACGCGAGGCAGTCGATGCGAGAGTAGGAGCTCTTGAGGAGAAAGAAGAAGAGAGACGGATGGATGGTTGAGGACTATGAATGGCAAGAATGATTAGCTCGAAATGAGGGGCTACCGAAGAGGGGCAGAAATGCGCATTTATAGTGGGCGAAATTCCGCCGGAGAAATGACGTTCCAAGTTGCCGCACTCCAATGACTGACTAATCCAGCAGTTGCTTTGCAGGTCACCAGGCAGGGAAGGACACGGTGAAGATAGTGGATGGTTCTATAAGGTGCTTACCAACGAGGACGGAGAGCCCGTAGAACAGTGGACTGATTTGTCAAGCGCAGAGAGGCCATTTTGATGGTGTTACAATGAGTGGATGAGGCAATTAGTTCGCTGATAAAGCTGACTGCGCCTGGCTGCACGAGAGCTGTGAAGAAGCGTGGTCTTTGGACCTAACTTCGGAGGCTTCGGTAAAAGCGGCGGCATCGGATGACGTGATTTCGCCGCTTATGAATCGGGGTGGTCTGGGCTTTGTTGCCTCAGGCAGAAGGACTCTATCAAGCACAACTACAATATTTTACAGAATAATACTCTTTGAGGTATTTCTTAGAACAACATTGCGAATGGTATAGCCAAGTTATGTTATCCTAGCAACAGTATATTTAAATTACAAGTACCTTGCATGAAGTATCATGACAAGAAAACAGCGCAGAAGCTGCAAGTCTATTAAAAACAGTCCACAGAAAAACACATTCGGCCGTAAACCAGAGGTGACACACAACTCTTCAAAATCTCGCCAAAGGGGGTATCAACAAAGAGCACAAAAACAGAAAAGCAAGACCACCAGTAATACCAGCAGCATTAGTACGGCTTGCGCCGTGAAGAGGCCGTCAATAAAGCTACCTGGACTGCAATGCAAGTTTCAAGGTAGTTAGGAACAAAGGAAACGTAGGAAAAGGTCAAAAGGAGTGACTTATACATAGGAAATGTAAAGAGTGGCGAGGAGTATATACTCCAAAAGGTAAAACATACAATATTCAAACGCAGGGTAGTTGGCGAGAGTTTCATGAGTAAAAGCCGCAGCAACATCATCGAGGATGCGCGTCAGTATTAGCGGCGGTGTCATCATTAGTGGCTGAGAGAATCTCGGCAGCATGTTCTTCAATCGGACTAATTCCCGCCTCTGCTGAGATCGGGGACAGAGCCTGAACATTGTTGAGGAGACCTTCGGTCGACTTGGGCCGCACTGCTGGGTTCACCACAAGTACGGGTCGCTTGGCAACATCCTGGCGCCAAGTTTCGGCCGTTGGCCCCTGCTGAGAAGGGGCCACAAGGTCTTTGTCGGCGGCAGTATTGTCGACTTCGGTGCTCGCTTCAACTGGGAAGGCGCCAAAACCAACCTGAACCTGCGCGCCGCCTGAGTTCTCGTCGCCCTTTAGTGACTTATCAAGCCCTTCCTCCGTTCTGTTTCGGGAGGACCAGCCTGAATTGGCTTGCTTTTGTGAAATACGGCGCAGAAATTGGCCTGACATCCATGACCCTTCTGAGTCGACCGATGCCAAGGATTGCGACAAGGGTAGGTTATCAGTATCATCTTCGATACTATCGGCCCACGAATTTCGACCATTCTTCACTCCATCCTGGTCATCTGTTCCAGGAATGGGATAGTAAGATTTAGACTGGAGATCGGGGACCTGGTCTTCGACCAGAGGTTCATTCTCGGGGATATCTGGAGACTGAAGACGCGAATCAGGTGGTGAGAGAGGCTCGTCACCAAAGTGTTCGGTAAACTTGGAATGAGAGCGTTTAAACGAGCTCGAGCCAAGTAAAGCCTTTGGAGGAACGTAGGGAGTGGGAGCTGGGGTCGGGGTTTGCGTGTGAACTTTAAAGAACGATTCGTGCGAAACGTTTTTCATCGGTGGGGGGCTGCGGTCTGGGAAGCGCTCTCGATAGCTGCGCTTCAGACGAGAGCTACCGCGGCGGAAGATCGAAGTGATCGGGTTAACATGCGCGTTGCTGTTGTCAGATGAGCGCCGCTCAGGGCCGACGTTCTTAGAGATATCGGACAAGGATTCTCGAGTCATGCCATATACTTGAGAAGAGTCCTGGCTGTGTACTCCACGTCGAGACGGTGAGTGTGAGGGCGAGATGGTGCTACGGGACATTGTCATCTCTTGCGATGGACCAAAGCTGAGGCGTTGGGCGGCCTTTTTCTCACGAATAGAGCTGTCATCGATATTACCAACAACATGGGTGCTTTCGGGGGATTTGCGGCCACTCCTTTCAACGTCTCTGGAAGTATCCCGCAGCCAGGAACCTTCGTCGGCTTCGCCAGACAAGAACGCCTCCGTCTCTAGAGTCGTAGGTTGGGATTCAGTTTGAGTTTGAGGGCTAGAGCGACCGCGCTGGGTCTCAGTACTACCATTCATTTCGCCCTCATGAACTTTTGGAGATCCGGTGGGCGGTGCTTGAAGTTTCGGCACGCCCTGCGCATTGCGTTGTAGCTTGCGGACAAGCTTCTCTTGGTCCTTCAGCAGTTGTCTTTCTCGGCGTCGGCGATCTCTGTCCATTAGTTCCCTCAATGTACCCGCATCAAGGTCGTTGGCCAGCTCATCGATCCTTCGCTTGGTGCGCAGATCCTCGTCGGAAACCTCGACAGACGGCGACTTTGTCCTCCGATCGGCTGGCTCCGGCGATTTCAGACTCCTGGGGTACGATGCTCGAGGGGACTCCACGTATCGTATGACCGGGCGAGGAGTCCAAGCGGCAAAGCTGTTAACTTTAAAAGTATAGCTATCAGAGTAGTCGGAGAGCGATGAGGCAGCGGAATCTCGAATTGAAAGGCTTATATCGGAGCGATGTCGGTCTATACGTCGACTCTGAGAACTGTATACCCGACGAGCATCGATCTGCATCGGGTCGCCAGGTAAGGGGGTCGTTGCACGCCGAGGAATGTCGATTGGCATGGACGCCATCATTTTAATCTCACGCTCCCGAGCAATCTCATAGATCTTCCGCTTGCTCAGCCTCTTCTTCAATGTCGCAGGAGGTGAGCTGTTGCGCTTTGCTTTGCGAAGAGATGGTTTTCGGGATATCGCTTGAGGCTCTGGGATCGGGGCAGACGAAGCTTGGAACGCACTCCCTTTCCCCGGTCGGTAACGCGCACCCTGAAAGCCGGACGACAAGTAGTGGGCAGGCTGGGCTGTTGGGGTGTTAATATGGCTCAGATCGGTCGGGGGGTCGTCGACGGGCGTCGAATAACGGTTCTTATGACGTTTGGATCGCTTGCGAGATGGTTTCCTACCGAGCCTGGCTTCGTCAAAGCTGTGACGAGAGGCTTGCGACGTCGTGCCGAACCCGCGGGCATCTGCATCTACCTGAACGGTATGCCGCTTGCCCCGGCGACCAAACGGCCATATCGCCATGATGTCTTTTTTTGTCCAGCCGGCGAGTCTAACACAGAGGGCCACTATTGCCGAATAGTCAAACTCGGCACGAAAATTGGATTCATGGCAGGACGGTAAGACACGCGATCAGATGACGGACGAAAGCTTGACGGCGAACAGCCGAGGGTAAGCGTCGAGGAACAAAGAGTTAAGTGGAGGGCCTTGGATCGAGTTTCCCACCAAGAAGGCCGCAGCAAAAACACGGAGGCAACGACGAGGCGAGGCAGAGGTAAGAGGGTGAGTGAAGAGTGAAGAATGTAGGCCGGAGAAAGAGAGAGATCGTCGATAGTTCTCGGGGTCAGCCTAGCCAGAGGCAGGTGGTCGTGGTACAAAGTCAAACGGTCGAAAAGAGTATGTATGCCTGACTCGTACGTCAACGGCGGAGGCAGTAGTGGGTGGCGACTTCGAGAGGTTCCCAAGACTACAAGCGTCAGGAACACAGGATACTAAACAAACAGAGCCGTGGAATCAAAGGACGCCAAATGAATGGATGGATGGGAAGAAAGGGAGGAAAGGGGAAGGAAAATGAAGGAAAGACGGCCAGGCGAGGGAAATAAGAACAACGAGCCCAAACGAGACCCAGTGATGATGTACGAGGGATGACGGAGGTCGAACTTCTGCGAGGGCCTCCAAGGACATGGAGTGATGGACCAGGCCGGTGGACCTTTCGTCGCCTTCGAGCCGGTCGGATACGCTGATTATTCTTATTGGGGCTTCTTATTTATTCTTACTGGCCTCTGCATTATTTACACTGTTTTGCTGGTCCTTGGGACAGGCGGTCCTTGGGACAGGCGGTCCTTGGGACAGGCGGTCCTTGGGACGAGTTACACCGTTGACAGCGGGCCGGGCGGAGGATGTTTAATTACGACCCAGGCCCAGAATGTTCCAACTGTTGAGTCGCTCAGTTGCTCATCCGCCCAGTGTCTCAAATCTCTGCATTCAGCATTGGCTTCTTTGTCTTACCTGGCAGCCCCTGGCGGCCGAATGTCTCAAAGAGCCAGGACCGATTCCCAGCTATTGAACACTGAATCGCGATCGCTCAGATGGCAATCTCATCTGAATCTCCATCTCAAAGGCCTCTCTGGATGATGATCTTGCAAATTTCTTCGTGGGTGGAGCAACTCCAGAGACGCCAGCGTCCATTCCCCCGGTTGAAGCCCAATTGAATCCCATTGTCGGTACCTGCCTTAGGGGCCGCCCGGCCATACACTGGCGACGATTCTCTGCCGTTCTCCACCATATTGCTCGCTCCATTCTTAGAAACATCTCTTTAGGGGCCCAAGGCTCTCCTGTATCGAACCGAGCCAAGCGACTCTGAATCGACTGCTGTGCGTAATACGAATACCTGGCCCTCATGCATGGCAACTTGGCCGACAAGATTTGCGAAGCCCGCCGGCGCTGATTCGCCCAATTTCTGTGATCTCGCCCATCTATTGGTATCACATGGTATGGTCAACTGCCTCACGCACTGGCTCCATTATTTGCCTCTTAAAACTCTGAGCCACACTTCATCGCCGTATCAGGATGGATTGGGCGATCGGGGACGGCTGAGCTCAAGGCTCATTGCAGCACGAGGGAGATACATCGAATTACAGAGTGGGAACTAGAAGGGGAAAAGAGCAGAGTATTGACGGGAAAACGTACCGATAAAACCGACTGCTGACTACAGTATACGACTCTGCTCCGCCGTACTAGTACGACATGGGCTTTCATGGGGGCATACTACTCCATAGAAGTACACCGCATTGACTATCACCGCAGACGGGGAAGGCCAATTTTTCCGCCCTTCCATCTAGGCGGTATTCAAATGCGTTCAGCGAGCTAATAATAAGCAGGACGGCCAGGTTCTGTTTGACATTGTGCTGAACCCTGAATCATTTACCTTTGCTATTAATATCATCCTTATTTGAGGTTGCTGTTCCTATGCTTTTCTCCATGTCGTCGGATTCAAACTACGGGGCAGACCGAACGAGATACTCCGTCCTTACTCCTTACACACCTCTTGCAGACGACTAAGGGCATCAGGCTATCAGCGTGCTGACAGCCCCACAAATACAATCCCACCCTTCCTCCATCGAAGATCCTTCCTCAATGCAAAGCACTAACTGTCATTTTATCTTGCATTTATTGGTGGGGGAGATTCGGGTTCTCAAGAAGGCTGCGTCGAGGTCATGCCCTCGACCAAATCCTACATACTAACTATTAATGGGACTGGTGGTAAAATAGATGCAAGTATTGATAATAATACAAGTCAGATCTTACACGATATCAAGAGATGTCCATAATGATCCTTTTGGGTTTAGTTTCCTTTGGCTGGCTGGGCTTCTTTGTGTGTGGGTTTGGCGATATATAGTTACTACCGAACGAGGATTACATCTACCACCTAAGCGAACACCAATACTTAATGCATGCAGCCCCCTTCAACTCTTCGGGCAAGCCTTGAAGTCATGAGTAACCAATTGCATCAGCATTTTTGTTTTATTCCATTTTATTATTTTCTCAAATGCCATTAATTCGCCAGGTATGAGCCTGCAGAAGCGAAGGACTTGGGGCTGCGGTTGTAGGGCACCACGTCTGATTTGCGTTGGCAGGAGTCACTCCTCGCTGCTTTGTGACTGGTATACCATCTGCACAACCAAGTAGTACTTCCTACATCAAGCACAACGCTGCAATGCTACAGAGTAGATCAGCTATTAACCATTGCTATCTGCCTGCCACCATCCCCGGGGTGCTTTTTCTTTTTCTTTTCTTTTTCTTTTCTTTTTTTTCCCTCTTGTTCGCACGGTTTCATTCATGGATTCTTCACCCGGTTTAGTTTGCCAGGGCACAGGTAGTGGCGCTGGACTCTGCTTAGATTATGGGACTTCGGATAGGGCCCTTCGGTAAATAATTCATGTAAATAAAGTCAAGGTCTATGACTTGTCTATCATGGTGAGGTGAGGGGTGCTAAGTACGACAATGTTGACCAACCCCCAAATGTACCTGCACTGATAAAAATTGCACCTATGAACCAAAGATTCTGCACCATCTGGATAGATATGTGGAGAGTGATAGTAACGGCTAAAGTGATACAGCCGCTGTTTCACAACGATTGTAAATGCTGACTCGCGAAAAGGGTCTGCGTTGGTAAGAATAGAAACATAAATGGAAAGCCGTCCAAAAAAAAGCCAACAACCAATACCACACGGACTTGCAGTGTCACACCAGCGCCGACCTGGGGAAGAGAAACGTCCACATGTGGCAGCGTTTGATTTGAACGATAGAGAAGTTGATGTACAAGAATTTATATGGTAAGGAAAATATGTAGTTTAATCGGATGATTGTCGGGTATCTTTTGATCTCGTGCGCACCGTCTATTGGGTCGTTGAAGAACGCTTCCTGAGCCTGTTTGGCTCTCGTTCGAGAACCCGATATCGCCGGCTTAGTCGGCGGCTTAGGAGTCCCCTTATAGACCAGGACTCGCGACTATCGGTATGGGATTCGGTTGCGTGCTCACCGAGCGAGTCCTTTTGTCTCTGGCGGTTGTGATGCTGAGATCCGACATAGAGCTCGGGTTGGTGGGAATGCAGAGTGGCTATCAATGAATCTGCACCCATCGTCTGGAATGAAATGCAGTGTAGTGGAATGTGGGGTCAGGACTGGGTTCACGCAAGGAGAGTCTAGCCTGGAGGGGTAAATCTTCGAGGGGCCTTCTGAACGTCTTTCTGTGACTTAAGAAACACGGGAAAAGTTTGAAGACCAGAGGAACCCCGACACAGCTGAGTGAAATGGGGGAGAATGATGAGACCGAAGCCGAGCGGGGTCTCCGGGATATTGCTTGCGTGTATACGCCCGCCCCAAAGGTGGCTATGATCCCGCGTGAGATTGGTCCGTGGACACGGGCTGTATAGTTACCTCTCCAGCGGGTTGACAGTCCAGGCGTATCTGCGATGGGGATTAATTACTATCGCGGCTTGAGTTCGCGAACTGAGCGAGATGAGATGCCGCGTTCGTCCGCTGCATCTTCGTCTCGTAAGGATCGGTCATCGGATGGAGGGGGGACGGATGACATCACGTGTAAAGTGTACGCCCCGGACAAAGAAAGAACAGACTCATGAGGCCCTCGATGGTGGCTTGCATGCAAAAAGTGGTTGGAATCGGGCCAGAGAACCACAAACTCCTCGGTCGTCGTTTGTTGTCACCTACATGTCACAACGGCCAGATCTATATCACACCGCTGTATTATTGCCTTCTCAGCCCGAGACATGTCTAACGGGCCCAGCAAGAACGACAGTAATAACTCCAACTCCATTTCTGGGGACCGAACAAAAAAGGCTATTCCACCGACAACCTGATCAGAACTCCCCAAGCGTATCCGTATGCTCCGTAACAAAGCAAGAAGACCCCAGTCCAGACCCGGTGATCACCTGCCACTCCCGTCCCAACGGCATCATCAAAGTCGAAGCCCCGCGCGTGACAAGATTCCGCTTCGAACAATCGGCCTGAAGATGATCATCGTTGGAGCCGTGGTTTGAAGAAAACCTCCTCCAATTTGGACCGGAAGCAGGGATGCGCTCCCATGTGCGCTCCAAACCTAACGGCTCACCCCGCTTCTATAAACTTTGGCAGCTGAGGTGCATGAACACTTGGGTGCCCTCTGGTCTTCTTTTGCTACCTGATCAAAGAAATCAAATCTGACCAGTATTCGAGAATAGCGGATAATTTCGTTTGTCAGCCTGAGCGGCTAACTAACGCTTGTGACCGATCAATCCCATATATCTCTGTCCCTCCCACTTTCGGTGAACGGGTGTTGATGGAGTATATCAACACCGTATCTGATTTCGGGAAACAAAAACAACTCGAACCAATATCAAATTCTTATTCTTCTCAACTCGAGACAAGTCATATTCATACTATCTCGCTCTAAATTTCATACAAACGTACTCTAAGATGGCCGCCCTCTGGCTTTTCGTAGCGTTTGGCTACCTCCTCCTTTATGCATTTGCTTCCATGCAAGCACAACTACTTGACCCTCAAAGTCTGCTTCTCAGGCGGATCGCGGATTGAACAACTGTTACATATGGAATGAACCCCGTGGTTTTGATGGAAAAGGAAAAGGAACGGACCGGAATACGGTGGCTCCCGAAATAGCACACGCCCGCTAGCCTGGAAACCGCCTGGAATATTCGGGATAACTTCTCGCCCTGGGAAAACTCGTTCTTCGAAAACATGTCGCCACTATTTATGTGCCAGCATCTTCGACTACTCGGATTATTGGTTTGGCCCATAAACGGACCGACTGGGGCTCTTTATGCCGGGATTGGAATTACGGATTGCTTTATTATGAACGGAAAAAGATGACTTGATGAATTACGATTAATGATTACGGCTTGGGTATGAAGATTTGCGGGACAGATCTATGACATGACTAACATGAGATACGTGAAAAGAAATCTTTCGTGATAGTATTGCACTTAAGGCTTCCTTAGGCTATGCAATATTTCTCATGTTTTGTTCCCTTCTATGGATTGTGCCAGTAGGACGATATGTTTTATGGTGCATAAATCGTAGCTCGTACGTTGTGCCGGTGCTACAGACCAGTACCAAAATAGCCGGTAGTGTTTTTGGAAGCTCCGGAAGGGCACTGGTCATATGTAACCAAGAGGGAATCATAGAAGTATAAACCTGTAGTCTCTTTTTGGTGGGAGCGAGAGTTCTCTGTATTTTGCATGTGACGACTGGAAGTGGCTTGACGGAAGGGGGAGTGCTGCTTCCCGTCTAGGATTGATGAGTGTCATATACACATACAATACCATGTCTGATTTAGCATACCACCTAATCAGGCGCCAGCCGACATCCTATCCGCTCGGAGTGTGCATCAAAAAGAAAAGATATTAGAACCATATTTTGATCAATTCTTCACTGACAGCACTCGGCGTTAACACACCGCTGTCAGTGATCAAGGCAGAAATCAAATGAGGCGGCGTGAAATCAACAAACTCAGGGTCGAACTCAGAGTTCGAACCTAGCGGTGTACCTGATGGGCTCGTCGGACTCTTTTGTTGCTTGGCGGTATCGACATCTTCTTGCGTCTTGTAGTCAATAACGTGCTGTTCAATCGGTAGGTCATATTGCCCAAGCGGGTAGACCCGGACAAACTTATGGCTTTCGGCAACAACATAGAATGGTTTCCCCATTGCTTTCGCAAGGAGGCCAATCTGGTAGGTGCCCATTCGTGATACAATGCCGCCGTTCTCCACGACACCCTCCGCGCCCACAATAACCACATCCGCCTTTCCAAGTGAGTATGCCACAGCTGACTCTGGAATAGTAGCGACCGGGACACCCTTCGCCCGAAGAGCACGCACCGTCTCCATCCCCTCCGGTTCCGCGGTGGGGTTCTCGATATCCCCCTTTGGCGACGAAAGAACGTATATCACCTTGAATCGTACCGCTGATGGTCCACCCTTTTCGTCGGCAGCCTGCTGCAACAACGAAGCGACAACTCTAGACCCGCCATTGGTCAATACTGTGCTCCCATCACGAACGAAGCCCCTTCCGAAGGCAGCAATCTTATCTCGGCTTTCCTTCGCACGTCGAATGAACAGCCGGCTGTTGGAAAGAAGGTGTGCCCTAATAGCATTGAAATCGCCTGCAGGTCCCAGCTGTCCTGGTCTTTGTAGTGTCGTAATCAAATAGCGCTGGAATAAATCGGTACCGGCAGAGAGACCAATAGGGTTAGGGATGGAGTTCTTCAAATGCGTGGTGGACTTCTCAAGAAGGTCGAGTGTTTCCGATATCGTGGATGAAGGGGAGTGTGTTAGGAGGAGGACTAGAGCTTCGATGGCTGCGATTGGCATCGTCAAATCGGGATCCGAATGAAGCAAGTCATTATACGTCGCGACAATGCTAAGAACACACGATCAGCACAGGATGTTGAACAGAACGGTCCGAAATACTTACTCGAATGGCTCAGAGCGGTTGGTTGTTTGGGGGTTGGCAGCTGCCATTGTGCCTAACGGTAATTTAGAGTTGCCCTGGGTGATTGAGGGCTCCTTCTTAACTGAAGTCTATTCCTTCTTGTGCAAACGTCACGTAGCCTTGGATTGAAGCTATGAAGAGTCATCAAAAAAAGAGGCATCGCGGAGTATTTGCATTGTTTGCATCTCAGCCCCTCCAGAAAGCCGCTAGTCCGCTTTTGTTCCAAGGTTGCTGTGCAAGCATCACCCGTGTAAACAATCAGCCCGATCGCATTTTCTCTGCAGCAACCTCACTTTTTCGCTTCCTTCTTTCCCCTCTAGTTTGGGGATAGAATATATTTCGAAGACTAGAAGCTTATAATGGCGTACAACAATCGCATGAGTCAACAATTTCACGGCTCCCAGCAGCACGGCCGGGGTCGCAAGAAGGAGGATGAAAACGACGCTTTGATGCGCCTGGTACGTTCTCAACGTCCGTATTATGACTTTCCATTGTACCGCCTGCTGACATCAAAGCTCAGCCTGATAAAGAAATTGCAGGCTGTATTAATGATATCGGCATCCCATTCACGGCTGCCGATCTGATCAAGCCGAACCCACAGCAGGTCCAAATGGTGCTGGAATGGTTTGCAGAGCTTCTTATGAACACTACTCGCGATACTGTCGAGCCGGCGATGCGTGCTGCCGCAGATGATGTCTGCGGTGATTTCCCGGATATTGTGCCTACGGACACACGGAACTTGATGGGTTTCTTTGCTAATGTGAGGAGATTGATGTTGGAGGTATGCTTGACTATCGTCTTTGTCTGGCCGAAAATTATGAATTCTGACGCATTTGCTTCACAGTGCGGTGTAAATGACTTTACGTTCACCGATCTGACGAAACCTACCCACGATCGCCTCGTCAAGATATTCTCATACCTCATAAACTTTGTCAGATTCCGCGAGTCGCAGACAGCCGTTATCGACGAACACTTCAACAAGACGGAGAAGACGAAACAACGGATTGATACTCTCTACGGGGAGAACCAGGATATGGAACAACGACTTGAAGATATGCGCCGAAGCCTCAGGTCCAACGAATCGGAGGTTAAGGAGAAGATGAGACGAAACGATGAACTCAAAGCTCGCTTACGGCAGCTGGGCATAAGCCAAGAGCAGGTCGCTGAGACCTTAGAACGAGTCAAGGCCGATAAAGCAAGGCAACAGACTAAATTGAAAGAGAAGATGGAGAGAGCGGTGAAAACCCGACAAGAGGTCGATAAGCTGCGGCCATACGTGATGGAAAGCCCCGCAAGTCTTCAGGCCACGCTCACCGAATTATCGGACAACCTTCTACGGGAGAAGGCCCAGATTGATGCCATGGAGAAACGAGCCCGGGCGTTGCAGACCTCGTCAGACACATTCACAGTCGTCAGCAATGACGTGCAAGCATGTGTCAAGCTCCTTGAGGATGTTTCTGTGGAGCTACATAAAGAAGACGACGAAGAGCTTCGCGCTTTGAGAAATAAGGAAGCTATTTCGGAAAGGGGCAACAATGTCAGGGAAGTCGAGCAGACGGAGGGACTACTACAGCGGCAGCTATCTCGGTGGAATGAAAGGATTGAGGCGTTACGAAACAACGCACGTGAAAAGGCGGAGGTGGCCCAGCAGCGGATGGAGGAGCTTCGGGAGGTGCAGAAAGAGCTCCGGGAAGAGCGAGCAGAGAAACAGCGCGACATGGAGCGAAGGAGGATCAGGATCGAGCAAACTGAGAAAAAGGTAACCCCGTATATCAAACATACCGTCTTGGATTACACTAACGTATCCGCAGATGGCCGACTTGAAGGAAAATATCGAAAGCGAGGTCCAGAGTGCACATGATGAATATCTCAAGCTCGAGTCCCATATCAAACTTTACATCACAGAGATGGAGAAGAGTTTATAACATGCAGTTTTGGTCACTTATTCTCGGAGTTAGGGACAAGTTGAGGATACCCGGGTTTTCTTCTCACGCTTATCTTTTTTTGGAGTCATTTGTATCTTTGTGTTCCGATTTGCATGAAGCCATGATATGATCAACTTAAATATTCAATCTATAAATTGGAACCATCGTTGTATTATTCGTTTGACGGGCACAGTGCGTCCGTTCAAGTAGCTGCCCTCGGCCCCAGTACGTAAAGAGGTGCTAAGCAGTGGCACGTCGACGTACCACTGCGCTTCACCGAGCTCGGTGCTGTTTGGGTCTAGGGCATCCCTGCATTCACACAGCATAATGTCCATATTGGCCCTCGAAGAGACTTCCACGGCATTGGCAAATGTTCTAGACAGCCCTTGGGCAGAAAATTCCCTAGTAGAAAGATGCAAACTTAACGGGTTTAGAATGGCCAGCAAAGGTTGCGACTCTGGTATATTCTCTACCCCCGGTAAGCGCCCTTCGATACCGGTCGAAACGTATGCTCTAAGATGCTCCAATGTCGGGCAAAACACCGTTCTGATGTTGCGGGACGAGGAAAGCAGGCCGAGAGTTTTGGCCAGCAACTGGTGATGACCGGCGGCCGTTGGTGTCTGAAGATGTATGGCGGCCAGCAGCTGTTCGAGGAACGAATCTCGTTCCGCACATACAACGAGTACGATAGAATTCCGGTCCTGATCGAGTATATATTGCAGGAAATCAGTGGCCCATTGAGCACTGATGACGCGCCGCACAGGCGCCATGCGTCCGCCAGTTTCGCTGTTTTGGTACTTCCTAGCGAAAACCAAATTTCCCGCAGTATCACATTATCAATAGTTTTGTTTGTGTTGCTTTGTCGTGTTGTTTTTCTGTTGATGTGATTAAAGTGAAGTTGTACTTGGGGTGATGCAACAGTCTGGTCGAATGAAGCGAGAGCTTTTCTTTAGTCGTCACCGACTGCCCGCGGCCCTCTTCCGCCAACTCCCCACATCACCAGTTCAACACCTGCCTACACGCCGCGCTGTACGCATTGCCTCCGCCGAGGCTCGAGGTCCAAAATGGAGACGATCTCCAGAATCTCTTCGATGCTGGAAACAGGTATGTTTATCGGGCACGCCCTTCGGTGGGCCGCTTGAAGGCACACGACTAACGCTTCGTGTAAACAGCTCGAGAGCTCACTCTCGAAGCAGCCCAGTCGGCGTCTATGTCTCGAGGAACGGGTATTGGCACATCCTCCCGCGACATTGGTGTCTCTCACATCAAGAAACTTTTGGACTCTCGCAGTGACCGTGACGTTTTGGACGGTTTGCGACGGATCATCTCTGTGCGGAATGTCTCTACCGGAAACACCATACCGTGGCTAACCTGTGATAGCTCATGTACCGTTCCGAACCCTCCCTTCCTTTCTTCTCCGCCGTCGTGAAAAATGTCCAAAGTGCGAATCTCGAGGTCAAGAAGTTGGTCTATATTTATCTCGTTCACCATGCGGAGACCGAGCCCGATCTCGCTCTTTTATCTATCAATGCGATCCAGAAATCCCTCACGGACCAGAACCCTCAGGCACGAGCCATGGCACTCCGCACCATGGCTAGCATTAGAGTGCCCGTTATCAATCAGATCGTCTCTCTAGCGATCAAACGGGGCTGCGGCGATATGAGTCCACATGTTCGGAAAACGGCTGCGCTTGCTATCCCGAAGTGCTACAGGCTGGATCCCAGCACCCAACCGCAGCTTATCGGCTATATATCGACATTACTTGGTGATAGTCAATACTTTGTTGCTGGTCCAGCGGTCTCTGCATTCTTGGAAGTCTGCCCCGAGAGGATCGATCTGATCCATAAGCATTATCGGAGTTTAGTGAAAAAGCTTGTGGATATGGACGAATGGAGTCAGTTGGCAACTATGCGTTTCCTGACTATTTACGCTCGGAAGTGCTTCCCCTTGAAGACTAGAAAGGTGCAAAGGAGCCCACAAAAGCCAGAAGGGTTCTACGATGATGATAACGACAATGGTACTAATCAGGACAACACGGACACGTATGAGGTTCCGATTCTCGATCCAGACCTCGAACTGTTTCTGCGGTCATGCAAATTACTTTTGCAAAGCCGCAACGCGGCGGTCGTTGTTGCTGTTGCCCGGTGTTTTCTCTACCTTGCGCCGACGGAATATCTTGCTGATGCTGTTGGTCCCTTGGTCGCCCTGCTTCGAAGCCCTCAGGATATGCAGCTAATCGCACTATACAACATTGTGGTTGTCGCTTTACGATATCCGAAACCGTTCACAAAATATATCTCACATTTTCTGGTACACGCAAGGGACCCTTCCCACATCTGGCGCCTCAAGCTCGAAGCCCTAACGATACTCTTTCCCCACTGCGGTGACCATTTCAAAAGTGTGATCATTAGTGAGCTCGAACATTTTGCCCAGGGTGCCGATTCAGACTTGGTGCGCGAGAGCGTACGCGCATTGGGTCGCTGTGCACAAGGTGATCCCAACACAGCTGATAAATGTCTACGTATCCTGCTTCATCAAATTACAAGTCTTGATGACAATCTTGTGGCAGAGTCCCTGACTGTCATTCGACACCTTATTCAACATGATCCGGGTTCGCATGAGCAGACCGTCATTCAATTAGTAAAACACCTCGGGCTAACAACAAACCCCGATGCGAGAGCAACTATTGTGTGGCTGGTTGGAGAATATGCCGGTCTTGAGCCTGACAGGAATTTTGCTCCAGACGTCCTACGCGTTTTAGTGCAAAATTTCGCGAACGAGTCGGAAACCGTAAAGCAACAAATCCTTCTTTTGGGAGCTAAAGTTTATCTCCATCACATTTTACGAAATCCCCCCAAGGAAGAACCCCAAAGGGAACCGGAGACCCAGCCTCAATTTAATAACGAGTGGAACGACGTTGACGACGGAAAGCGGAATGGGCCAAATGGCACTGAAGAGAAACAGAATGAGCCTGAGGAAGAAGATACGATGTCTCTTCTCTGGCGCTACATACTTCTTCTAGCAAGGTACGATACGTCTTACGACCTTCGGGACAGGGCTCGCCTATACAAAGCCCTTCTTTCTACGCCGTCGTCGACTCAAATCGCAAATCTGCTTCTTCTTGCTCCGAAACCGGCTCCACATACCGCCAGTCCATCCGAGACACGAAAGGATTTACTTATTGGCACCTCAACTCTTATCTTGGGGCCGGATGTTAGCATCCATGGCCTTCGAGGGTACGAAAATCTACCAGACTGGGTCGAAGCCGGGCAGGAGCCTGATCCGAAACTTCGTGAATCTGAGGTTAAGGTCGACAAGCCAGTAGCAGGGGCTGGTACTGCGGGTGAGCAACTTGATAGAGCACTCAGAGAGCATGAGGCTCTTGCAGCTGCCTCGAGCAAAGCTGAAGCAAGTCGCGCGAAGGGGGCAGCATCGGTTCCTAAGAGCAAGACCCTTGACCAATGGCTTGACGAGCCTGAATCTGAATCAGAGGAAGAGACTGAGGAAGAAACTGAGTATGAAGAGGTGACAGACTCTGAGGAAGATGAAGAGGGGTCGTCTGAAGAGTACGAAACCGACGAGGAAGAAGCCACCGACTCGGATGAGCGCGAGCAAGCCTCTCGACAACTTCTGGCTTGATACATCTCGGTACCTTGGAATGATGTATATTCTCCAGTATAGAGCTACTTACATCTTATATACAACCAAAATGTAGACATTTTGTATCCATCACTCGCAACTTTGTGGTAGAGAGTTGTTGACGATCACGCGGGCGGTAGACGGCGGCATAATACCTAAGCGATGCAGCTCCGGTTCCTCGATTCAGCCTCCGCATCTCTGGTCGCGAATCTGACTATGGCCAAAGCTCAGGCACCAACGGAGCTTAATTGATAAAGATACATACCCGTTGTCCTTTCCTCCGCACATTTTCCACGTTCGCCTCACGCATGATACGAGTTCCGTCCTCGGCGCTTACTCACCCCACCGCTCCTCCAGTCCGTTGGTCATGATGAGAGCTACTGTGGGCAGTTTCAAGACAGTCGTACCCTCTCTCCAGCAATCTCCCATCGCATTCGTTTCCAAATCTCCATATCTCCGCTCATAACCTTGATACCTTTTTATAATACGTGCATATTGGTGTTGGTTCTCGTTTCTTCAGCTGTCCGCGTCTCAATTGTCTTGTACCATTGTCTGTGGCTTTTAGTTTCGGTTCTTCACGATGCCTGGCCTACCGGGTAAGTCTACAACGCGACCCATGGATTTGGTATTGTTGCTGATATTTCCGATAGCTAGTATCGATCTGGACGAGTGTATTGAGAGGTTGTATAGAAAAGAACTGCTGGCGGACTCGGTAATCGAGGCGATATGCTCCAAAGCCAAAGAACTATTGATGAAAGAGAGCAATGTGGTCCACATTGCAGCGCCCGTCACGGTGGTGGGAGATATCCATGGGCAATTCTTTGATATGATTGAGATTTTCAAAATTGGCGGGTTTTGTCCCAATACAAATTATTTGTTCCTCGGTTCGTACAACACCCCCCCCCCCCCCCTTCTACTGCTGCGCGCAACTACCCTAACCAGCCGAGTTCTTTCTCCAGGCGACTATGTCGACCGCGGTCTTTTCAGCGTCGAAACAATATCTCTCCTCGTCTGCCTCAAACTCCGCTATCCGCAGCGCGTCCACCTTATCCGCGGCAACCATGAATCGCGGGGCGTCACCCAGTCCTATGGCTTCTACACCGAATGCGCTCGGAAATATGGCAATGCCAACGTCTGGCACTATTTCACAGATATGTTCGACTTCCTCACTCTTAGCGTGGTCATCAATGATCAGATATTCTGCGTGCACGGCGGCCTCTCCCCCTCCATCCATTCAATAGACCAGATCAAAATCATCGACCGGTTCCGCGAAATCCCACACGAGGGCCCTATGGCCGACCTCGTCTGGTCAGATCCGGATACAGAACGCGATGAGTTCTCTCTATCACCTCGAGGCGCGGGGTATACCTTCGGAGCGCAGGTCGTTCGGAAATTTCTCGAGGTCAATAGCATGTCACATATCCTGCGAGCGCACCAGCTTTGTCAGGAGGGTTACCAGGTTCTCTATGATGACCGGCTAAGTACAGTCTGGAGCGCACCAAATTACTGCTACCGATGTGGCAATCTGGCCAGTGTGCTTGAAGTTAGCGATACCGGCGAGAGGTTTTTCAATATATTTGATGCGGCACCTGAAAATGATATCCACCGCGGGGAGCAGCAGGCGCAACAAAACAAGGACGGCCAGGGCCCTGTGATCGACTACTTTCTGTGATACCCTTTTTTACTCTTTCCGTGTCATATATTTCCGGCCCATTTTGTGGGTTTTACGTTATTTTCTTGCTTTCTCATTTAAGCGGCACATTTTTTGGGAGTTTGGTAAACCGAATTCATTTATAGAGGGGTAGTATGGTCTGTACGTGGATTAAAGAGAGACGCATGTATTTAGTTTCATAAGGGACTGGGCCACTTCAACTTAATCAAACACGATGTGGTTGTTTCTATCCTAGTTATCACCCTGCCAGTCAGCCTGACCCCGGGACAGACACTCGTCTCATCTCCAACAAAGCCTGGATAATTTCCAAGAAGATACTTGTTTCAACGCTTGCTCATAGATTGGGAAGAATATATGCTGTTCGTTATATGTATGTACGCTACCGCCAAGAGAACTGTCAGAATTACCAGTCCTTCGCGATATCAAAAGACCACTCGAAGTGAAGATGGGTCTTATTGTCATCATCGACGAATTTGGACTCTGCATTGTAGTGGCCGCGGTAGAGCATACCCGAGGGTGCCTCCTCTTCTTGGACTGTAGACGGCAAAAGCTGTTAGTGACGGCGATAACAATAAAGGAGCCCCATGTAAAACGGTCGGGTCCAAACTTACACTTCTTCTCGTATAAGCGCTTTTCCGTGGTGCATGGGGCAAAGCTTCCCTGGTACGAGTTAGCACGGTATATCAGCCTCGCTGCTCTGGGGAGGGTATGAAACTCACAAGCATCTCCTCGTCCTTGCTAACACGGACACCCTTGCGCTTGACAGCCTGTATGTATTTCAGGCCGCTCAGGACGTCATGGTGGACCTCGAAGGTCACCTTGATGCGGAAGTGGGCCGCCTCCTTGATCTTAAAGGGCTGGTCCTTCAGCTTGTCAACTGCGCCTTGAGCGGAGACATCGATCACGACGTCGGGGCGACCTTCGACCTCGAGGGCGAGGGACTTGATGATGCATGTTCTGGGGTCTTTGGGGTCGCCAATCGGTTCGCCGGCGTTGAGGCCGAGGGAGGCTTTCCAGCGGTTGAGGGATTCATCGTGCTTGTCTAATTATTTTGAATGTTATTAGTCGCGGAGCGTATAATTGAGTAGAGTATATATATTTATCATTGGAAGGTGGGAAGTAGTTCGGGGAGAGCTGAGGAATGTGTTGGGCCTGTAGGTGTAGTAGGTAAGGGGCGAACCCCGCGAGGGGGATGCAGGTTGAAGTGGACATAGATGAGGGCGAGTATCACGTACCAAGTTCGTTGTATTCGGCAATTGTTTTCTTCTCGCCGAGCTTGAATCCCTCAGTCTTGGAGGCGGCAAGATCATCTTCGTGGTCGGCCATTGTGCTGAGTGTTTAAATTGATATGGCGGGGTAGGTGTCACCGACAATTGGGAACAGGAAGTAAGAAAGTAGAAAAGGGCTGTTAAGATAGGAATTTTCCGCCTCAAAAACGGAGTAAGGATATGTGAGCAGAATGGCTGGGCGTGATTGAATAGCAAGGGTTGTGTTTAAGAGAAAGAAGAGAAAGAGGAGGTTCTGAAGATGTCTTTGGTGAAGACGAAGCTTTGTTGATGTAGCGGTGGAGAGGCAGACCCGACTAACTGAGGGGATTCCCGTTTGGGACTAGTGTACGAGCTCCTTTCTATGGAGCGATCGCCTCCATCGCAAGTCTGGAACTGGAGATTGAATTTGAAGGCGTCATGGGCCTTAGTTATACTTTGCCTTTATAGATGTTCTTTGACAGATCTGCTCGAATCAACCTGGCTAGTTGGGTCATGGCCCGAGCTCTGTGCTAGCTAAGCTAAACAGGAAATATATATGGAGTAGTTGACAGTTCGTTAACACCCAAGAGCAAATATATTTCAATATATATCTTAGATCATTTTTGCAGCTAACAGTGAACGTTTTTAGCTTTATACCCAGCCCATACAGCAATAATCCATTATGCTCCCAAGTCTTAAGATGATATTTACTACATGCCCTATAATCCACGGCCCAAATCGACAAACAACGATAAAAGACACCACAAGGGATGCGACTGAGAATTAGAATATTGTAGGTCTACTGTGTACTTGGGCTGATTGAGATCAAATGTACATTACCAATTTTACGCTCCTAGGATGCCTTTCACGAAGCTTTCTCGACAACGGCGGTCTTTTCTGAGGGATCCGAGACTCAACCGCGTGCTGAGAGATCTCTCTGAGGATAATGATAAGTCTTGTCATAATAGACAGTAGTGGGCGGATGAGCTGGAATCCGTGGTCCAGTACAGGATAAAAACGGCGACACATTTTATCGGCTGCGTGATGGAATGTTGTTGGCGGGGAAGAGAAATAGTGATATAGTTAGAGGCGGCAGGCCTCAGGCATCAAAGATACATTCTTGGTCTGGGTTAGCGTGGGAGCTCCTTTCCATGGTGCGAACGCGCTGGTCGCGAACTCCTCCGCCTGTGCTGTCAACCACTGTCGGCCAGCTGTCAACTGCCATGTCATCTCCGACCGAATGGTGCATGGTCGGTGCATGGTCGGTGCATGGTCGGTGCAGCAGTAGTAGTGCACAAAGCATAACCACTTCAGGTTGACATGAGATAAGCCTTCATTCAGTGCTTGAAGATGTCCGTTTTTCGCGTGGTTGTCCATGATGCAGGAAATATGCTTTATCTTGAGTTGACGGAAGCGGGCGAAGCCACAAGTAACCGCATATAATGCCCTCTCCAAGTTCGCCTACCATGTCATATTAGAAATTCGAATAGTCGGTTCTCCCTCAATATTGGATAATGCGGTAGCGACTCTGGTTGAAACAGGTCAAGGCTGGCTGCCCGTTCTGTCAGGCGGCAAGGCATAAATACAATGTTTGCGTAAAACCGGATACCGGGGGATGGGTCCGTAGTCGCCGATCTTCTCCTCATAGGGCGAATGGGCTTGAAGGTTGGGAATTTATTATTGGAGAATGCGATCGTAGCTCGTTTTTGGGGTATTAGCATAATACGAGGGGTCGAAAGGTATGGTAATGTTTCGCGCAGAGTTGAGTGCCCCGTCCTGATGAGGGCTAACGTCTATCCATTTCCCATTATTATTCATTAATTTCCTCCCCTACTTTATCGACCTTCCTATCAATTCCTGTCGTTTATCGACTTTTGGTTTGTCGCACATTTGAGCGATCGTGTCTCATACTTCTTTCTCACCTCAAGCGATCGCGTCTGATTTTAGTCTTGCGCTTTCGGGAGCTTTGGTCGGTGACGTCTTATCCAACCTTGAACGTTTTCCGGACGAAGACGCGCCTGCAACGTGGCCGACGTCCCGGCGTCGCAATCAGTTTCCCACTATCCTCAGAACGACCGTTCTATTCCTACCGAGTCTGCCTTCCACTTATCATCGTTGAGGCAAGATATTCATCATGGTGCGCTCGCTGCCAAAGAAGAACAACCCGCTCGTCATTCCCGACGCGGCACCTGCCTGTAAGTCGTCGCTCATTGGGAACGCGAGTTGAGAACTCGCGCCCCTCATCGGTTTGAACTAGAGTTTTCAAGTATCTTGCGACTGACTATCGATTTTTCTTTTTCCTATTAGATGAAGAACTGCTCACGCGCCGCCGATTGGGAAAGACCAATCTTGCCGTGAAGCCCACCCAAATTGGCACCTCAAATGCGACTAAGCCGGAAAACCTTGGGCCATTTGAGTATGCTCATTTGCGCGCACCTCTACCTAAGGATTTGAAGGGGTCTGAGATTTTCCCGTCACACTCTCCCCAACAACATCCAGAGACATATTTTCTGATGGTAAGTGAATACGGATCGCGTGACCTGGATCTATGCGAAGAGGATACTAACTGGACATGCTTGCCTGCTTATAGCGACGGAGCAAAGATGGTTTTGTAAGTGCGACTGGGATGTTTAAAATTGCCTTCCCTTGGGCCAAGCTGGACGAAGAGCGATCGGAGCGCGAATATCTCAAGGCGCGGGAAGGAACCAGTGAAGACGAAATCGCCGGAAATGTTTGGATTTCCCCAGTACTAGGTAAGTCAATCTGCGTTGATGCTTCCTGTTTCTGCTTGTTATTCTGACTGGTTTCCAAATAGCACTTGAGCTGGCGGCGGAATACAAAATGTACGACTGGGTCCGCGCCCTGCTTGATCCCACAGATATTATCCAGAGCCCATCTAGCGCAAAGAAGCAGATTACGCCTCCGCCTAAATTCGATCTGCCACCAATCCAAGCCCCAGAAGCGCTCGCCCCTTCGTCTCGTTCGAGAAGCCGTCGATCCGCTTCCCCTAGCAAGAAGGCTGGCACGCCGCGCAAGACTAGGCAGACTAAAGCGCAGAAAGAGGCCGCCACAGCTGCCACTAACGAAGCTAATGCGACGCTCCAGAGTGCCCTGGATGACTCAGTTTCAAATGCGGATGGTGAAGTAAATGGAGAGGTCTTGCCCAGTGTGGAAGAAATTAGGGAAGAGGTGGAAGTTTCGCCTGTTAAGGGAAAGAAGACCACAGCGAAGACGAAGAGAAACGCTGCTCGAGAGGAGGACGAGGAAGATAAGGTCAAGATTGATATCAAGTCCGATGCTTCTGAAGGAACTGGTGTTCAAACGGCTCAGACCACCATCTCTGTCGAAATGCCTATTTCCCTGCCAGAGGCTCCTTCCGCCGAAGAGACCCAAGAGATGATCGCACAGGCCAAGGAAATGGTCAAGGAGGCCGTTAAGGGACCCGCGGAATCATCGGCAGCCGCCAAGAAGCGTGGTGCCGACGAAGCAGAACTTAGCGAGGAGGAAGATGATGAGACCAAGAAATTACGGACGAAGCGCGCGAAGGTTCTTGAGGAGAAGCTGAAACGCGAGCGAGTCCGTAACCGTGCTTTGGTCGGTGTCACCGCGGCATTTGCCTTAGCGTAAGTAATCCCTTTCTCCGTCGTTGAATAACCATTGTTAACATGTCCTTTCCAGTGCCTCAATTCCTTATTTCTTCTAGATTACCCGCCTCTACGCTGCTATGCATCGCCCTGAGTTGGTGACGTGGCCGCTCAAGGATGCATCAGGTAGCTATTATTGAACAACCAAGTCATGAACCCATTCCCCGATTCCCCCGATTTGATCACTGCCTTTCGCCGCTTGGTTCTGGATTATCCACCTTTCCCCCTTCGCCTTCCCCTTCCACCCTCCCATACCCGAGTTGAAGCTTTGACTGGAGTTGTATAAAGCCCACTCTGGTAACACACGGTTCTTGGTGAGAATGATGTACTATGTTCATGGCCTCTTTAACACCTTTTTCTAATATTTCCGCGTTTGGTCGTCAGATTTGCACATCCCAGAAGAGCAGTGATTGCCAGAAATTTGTGGTCCTGGAGATCGAAACATTCCATTCCTTTGCATGTACGATCTCTTGAGCCCTGGATACTTGATACACATTTTTATAATCCTTCCTCATACCTATTTCCTTATTCCTTATTCCCTTTACTTTCCACCATTTAGCCAAAGAGAACGTACTTGTCCGGAGTGAGACGACATTTTGTCATTAGGGTGTTTAAGGACAATACAATGAAATGAATAAAGCAATATAGGTATTCTTTGAATAGATGAGCGTAGCTGGTTGATGGTTGGCTCGGTTGAGCATGCAGACAGAAGGTGATGCAAACATGCAAAACTCCGTCATCGCCAAGCACTTTGGATCGGCGTCTTTGTTCGAGCTTCAAAGGCTTGGAGAGTACGTCCACAACCATCTCACTTCTGTGTGATTCTTTCAAAAGGTGTCAGATCCCACCCAACTGTCGCCTATACATTTTCCAGCAATGCAATGTCTCTCCCGGGTCTAGAGCTCACGCAGCCCTCCGCGGAGAGGGAGTTCGCTCCCGCACCGCCGTCTCAAATCAACCTCTCCCCAGGCTCAGAGTGGAGGTTTGAAGTAGCCTTTGAGACTACTGTCCGAGTAAAGGTGAGCTTTTTTTTTGCATTACAGAAGAATCTAAAATCTCCATCCAGACCCTATTCTAAGCTTAATTGACTGGACGTTACTGATCCGAAGTGAGGGGTGACTTCTAGCTCCTAACAGGTACCGCAGAGCTCTTCGGCACCGAACTCGCCCCATCGCAAACGTACACGTTCTCCGGCACGAAAGCCGCAATCTACACATGGCACGGATGTACACTTGAAGTCAGCGCGGGGGATGCTGTCTTGGGGCTCGATGGCATGACCGCTACGAGCACGCCCGCTGGTGGGCGAGGTGGATTCGGTGCAGGAGGATGCCAGAGCGAATACACGGCCGAAGAGACGCCAATGGTAGAGTACGCGAATGTGCATTTTGCACTGGAGGGACTACGAGCTGAAGCGAAAGCGAGCGGGAAGGACGGACCGCGTGTTCTGATTCTTGGCCCCGAGGATGCTGGCAAGACAAGTCTGTCGAAGGTTCTGACGGGGTATGCGGTGAAGGTTGGACGGGAGCCAATTGTTGTGAATTTGGACCCTACGGAGGGAATGCTGAGTGTTCCGGGGACGGTAACGGCGACGGCTTTCCGCGCCATGCTGGATGTTGAGGAAGGTTGGGGGAATAGTCCCATGTCTGGGCCGAGTGCGGTACCAGTGAAGTTGCCGCTGGTATATTTCTATCCGATGTCCAATCCACTAGAGGCTGAGGGGACGGTGTTTCGGCCTATTGTATCGAGATTGGCATTGTCGGTCATGGGGAGGATGGCTGAGGATGAGGATGCGAGGGAGACAGGCATCATCGTTGATACGCCGGGGATTCTGAGCCAGAGCCGCGCGGGAGCGTTGGAGATGATTAACCATATTGTAACCGAATTTTCGAGTATGCTTGTCCCCCTAGTATTGGTGGTTCGAGGATGAATGCTAACGAGACTCAGTTACCACAATTTTGGTTATAGGCTCGGAACGACTGTACAGTCTTATGATGAAGAATTACGATAATAAACCCTCGTCGAGTGCAGCTGCTGCAGCGTCGGACGAACGTATTTCGGTCGTGAAGCTCTCAAAATCTGGTGGGTGCGTTGATCGCGATGCTGCATTTATGAAAGCGGTGCGAGAGTCTCAAATCCGCACATACTTCTTTGGCAACCCTGTTCCTTCTACAGCTTCATCGGCATTATCCATCTCCTCCTCGTCAACAACCAACGTTACATTATCACCGCATGCGCAACAGCTAGACTTCAACTCCCTGTCTCTCTACAACTACACCACCTCGTCTGCCGAGGACGACCAAAACGACGACGACGATTATGATCCAGCACAGCTGACAACAGGGGAATCCTTCCTTCCGGGGGATAACGAGGCCGAGAAAGCATCTTCGCTCCTCGGAACCAACCCCGCAACCAATGAAAGTTCATCCGGTACCGCGGTCGGCAACTCGCTAGTCCCGCTGAAAAAGGTCCTGCCGCCAGCACCCTCTGCGCTCGCCAATACACTTCTTGCGATCACACATTGCCCTCCAACTAGCAGTCCTGGTGAGATCCGCGATGCGAGTACCATGGGGTTCCTCTATGTTGCAGATGTCGACAGTGAGCGAGGGAAAATAAGGGTTCTGGCTCCAGCGGGGGGACGGCTCCCCTCACGAGCGATCGTCTGGGGAAAGAAATGGCCGGCGGAAGTGGTAGGGCTAGTTGGTTAACCCTTAGGTATATTGACCAGGCCAAGCATGTGCTAAGTGACCACCACGGGCCCTGGGGATGGACGATGGGACTATGGAGATCCCACTTACCAGGGTGTCAGAGACCCATGGGGGCTTTGACAGCGAAACTCGTGGTTCGCAGAAACTACGTAACTTCTTACGACGCAGCTAAATCTAAATTAATCCATGCCAATGAAATTCCATATTGATTAGAGCGGAGCCCGCCACTCCACAAGAACCAGATGCATAGCTACCAATCTGGCGAAGAAAAAAAAAAAGCGCTAGGGCGAGACGGATCCATTTTTGGCTCAGGGGTGCAGAACTTCAGAAAGGAACCCGAAGCTAAGATCGCCGCCATAAAACAACAATTTTGATCCACCGTCTTCGCCTCTATTCATCCACGTTCTTTTCTTCCCACCTGAGCCCCGTAGCGTGAGACGGCCAGGGCCTCCACTATGTTCCGACCGACCTTCCTCTCCTGACATCACTCGTTTCCAGTTCCTACACTTTTCACTCTTTTAATTTATGAACAACTTCCTCTTTCTCCCCAAGCTCCCACCACCGAGAGAGATAGACCCGGAGTAAGGGGAGCGAGAGAGATGTTCTTCTGCTACCGCTCGTACCGGCACTCCCGACGAAAACGCCAGCGCCTCCTAACACTCGCCCTCCCCGTCCTCGCCTTCCTCACCCTCACTCTCCCATTCTACATAATCTACAAACCTCCCCAATTCGTCGTCTCCTACCTGGCCAGCAAATACCCCGACATCCTCTGGCATGTTCCGAACCTTAAGCCGGGCGCCCAGCCAATTGTCGCCTTAACAGTCGATGACGCTCCCACCAGATACACACCACACATCCTCAACCTCCTCCGCGAGAACGACGCCCACGCGACTTTCTTTCTAATCGGCGACCACATACCCGGTAATGAGGTGTTGATGCGTGATGCCGTGAACGAGGGCAACGAGCTCGCGAACCACGCCATGTTCGACGAGCGGTCCAAAGACCGAAGCGACCAGGAACTCGAGGCCCAGATCCAAGCCGTGCAGAGTCATATCCAGCGGATATACGCCATGGCCGGCCGCCAGGCTGAAGCGCACGATGAAGTGAAACTAGACGATATTGAGCAGGACTCGCTTTTCGCGTCTGGTGCGGGTGTTGGGCGTGGCTTTGGACAATCTTCGAAACAATCGCGAAACATAGCGAATTCAGAAGGCCAGGGGCTGAGTGAAGTCGGTGAAAGTATTCCGGCGGTTCCCGGCGGTCCTGGACGGTACTTTAGGCCTGGCTCTGGGGTGTTCTCGGATCGGATGAGGGCGCTTGTCCAGCGGTTGGGATTCCGCCTTGTGCTTGGGAGCGTGTATCCGCATGATCCGCAGATTAGTGTTCCGTGGGTGAACGCGGCACATATCTTGAGTATGGTCAGACCGGGAAGTATTATCATTGTGCATGATCGGAGGCCCTGGACGGTGCCGATGTTGTCGATTGTTTTGCCGGAGTTAAAGAAGAGAGGCTATAGAGTTGGTACGGTATCGGATTTGCTTAAAGAGGGCGTGGCTCCATAGACCTTTTTTCTCCTTCCATTCTTCTCCTTTTTTCTCTTCGTTTCTTTTCGATTCTTTTTTGTTCATGCTTGATATCCGGTGTTATTAGATATTGTACAGGTCTATCTATGTATATAAGAGAACGATGGGACAAGTGTACGATATTGATACAAGTGGGAAATGGTTGAGGCAATGAAAATGCAAATAGACTAATGTGAAAGAAAATATACATGATATAACTCCTGATGAACATAGCCACGACATGAGGGAGAATGAAAATGAAAGTAAAGGTAAAAAGAAAAGGACATTAACATCACTCGTAGCGTTTCCAGTCCTCCAGGTTCTTGCGTAAATCCCCGGAACAATCATACCCTCTTCGTTGATCCTCCAACAATTCATCCTGGCGGTCCCTGAACCGCTTCTCGGCCTCGTAGCGCGTCATCGCCATCCACCTGATAAACGGCAAGTCATCCCGCCGCACAGCATCGTTGAACTTGGCTCGAATCCGAGGCGAATATAACTGGCAGCTAGCCTCCCGAGTCCCCGTCCCCGTATCCCCAGGGAGAAGACGCATCACGGATGAAAAGTCCCGAGCCATGGGATGCCGCGCCTTTGCAAGCGGCCACACGATATCATCGTAGCAGTCCTCGCAGACCGTGAATTCTGGAAGCTGCGGCATGTAGTGCCACGTGTTGAAGATCAGGCGGCTACGACGGCAGTCTCGGAGGACGACCTTGCGTCGTGCATACGCCAAGAATTCTTTAAGTTCAGGCTTTGAGTCTTCTTGTTCTGCCCGGTTTGCTGAAAGGTCGAGCGCGTCGATGTATCTGATGAATCGTGGGCTATCGGAGACAAAGTCACAGACGCGTTCCTGGGGCGTGCTGCTACGTTCAAATGTCCCGCGGTGCACAGGCCATAGAAGTTTGATGTTGCGGATGCACGCTGAGCAGACGTTGAATTGTGGGAGGTACGACCCTGTATCGGAATCGATGATACGGTACCAAGATTGATCACTGATAATACGCCCAGTGCAGGATTTGGTACCCAGGGAGGGCCGAGTGACTTCGGAAAGGAGATCTAGACGCTCGAGCTTCTTCTTCAGGGTTTGCATCCACGCTAAACGGGTCCATGGCTCACTCATGGCGCAGCGGACTGGTTCAGTACGGGATTTGTTGACCGGGCTGAGGATAAGGCGATCGCGGAACTTGGACTTGCGCATCTGTTTCACGCAGGAAGGGCAGATATCGAGATGGTCCAGCCCTTCGATAGTGTGCCAATCCTGGTATCCTGCGACTGGTATCGACCTTGGACAGGGGGCGAGTGTAAGACCCGTGTTTGGTGATGATGACCGGCTTGAATTTGATGAGCCATCTTCATCGGTTTGCAGCCGCGTCAAAGCAGTTTCGTGGTCAACTGTGACTAGAGCTTGGGAAGGGAACTCCACAGGGGTTTCGGCGAAGGCCACTGTCCGCCTTCGAGCGATTTTAGTAGATGCTGACTGGCTTCGATCCAGAGATCGGGACCTCAGCGCCGACTTTAGAGGTGCCGTCTTAGGCTGCGGCTTGGACTCGCCTGTAGAGTGGTCAAGCGTCGGAAATTGGGAAAGACCGGTAGAAGGAGAATCAGAAGGTTGTTCTGAAGGCCAGCCCCCTGGGGGTTGAACTGGAGGAGCTCGACTGTCTGGAATTTGTGATGCCAGAGAATCCGATGATTTTGACTGGACCGCAGCAGTTTGTGAGAAGTCCCCCGATCCACGTTGTTCTCGACGGAGCTTTAGCTTTTCTTCCAACCTTTCAGCAACACTCAACCCTGGGGAAGGAGGTGAGTTTACTTCGACGGGGAGGGTTGAGCTACGGTTCAAGGGCCGTGGTACGCTTTCAGGATGAGCGGTGACCGGTTTGGAAGCATACCCAGATGTAGCGGGCCGAGGGTCTGCTGTCGATTGTTTGGGAGGTAGCGCCTGTTGCACGCTTCCTGGACCCTTTGTGGTGCTTTTAGATGGCATACGTGATCCTTCTGCTGGGGAGTTCGGCAATGGATGCAAAGGGATGGTCCGTAACGGGAGGGGTTGTAAGGGTGCCGTATCAGGCGAAGAGCTTGGCGGTGGAATTGAAGATGGAAAAGACTTGTACTGTATGCTCTCCGAAGGAGTGGGAAGAGGACGTTGAATTGACTTTGGTCCTTCAGGGAATGGTCTTGGTGGAAGCTTTTCAACCCGAACGCCACTCTCCTGAACAATTGTCTCTGGCTGATAGGAAGCCAAGGATGGGCGGGGTTTGTGCTGTACATCATCTGGCGGAGTGGGGAGGGGACGTGGTGCCGTAGGCTGACTTTGGCGTGTCGCATCAGATAGCTGTTTTGGTGGAAGTGGAGGCCCCCGCGCAGTAGTATCCCGGGCTAGTTCTGCATGATGATGAGTGACAGGCAATGGACCGTTCTGGCTTCCCTGAGGCGCTGGGTAAGGTTGCGATGAGAAAACCTGGGGCTGTTGTGCTACACCTGACACTGGCCTCTGTGGAGACAAGCTAGCTGGCACCCTAGAATCCCTCGTAGGCTCCGCCCGAGTAGATATGGCTGTGTGAGTAGGTATGTATTCTCTTTCGTCCTGACGCATAGGAGGCGCCCGTGAAGAAACAGATGGTGGCTGCCGTGCTACATCCGGAATTCGCTTCGACGGTGAGCTCGTTCGCACTTCGGAGTGGCGAGTTGGCTCAGACTGAGTATATCTAGCTGGGGACCCGGACTTGCGCAGCTCCTTGCCCCTTCGGAGTGAAGGGGTGCGGGATGGAACACTGGGGCCTTTCTCAGTCACATCTGGCGCGGACCGTGCCAGAGAGTTTATTCTCACACCAGAACTTCGATCTGGCTCCGGTTGGGAGTGTCCGGGTGGGTAAGCAGCCTTGGTCTGTTCATGTTCCCGGTGTAATGAAGGGGTGCTAGTGTTGAATGAAGCTGCCTGGCTCTTCTGAGTCACATATGCCATCGGCTTTGGTGGAAGCTTTGGCGTGAGCGCATCCTCACGGGGCCCAGGTGCCCGGGTGGTTGACCCTGGCCGATGAGGAATGGGCTCTTTGTTAGTACCCGGGAGGGGTCTTTGGGGGCTGGATACCTGTGCATAAGCCGGTTTAGATGGCCGGATCACAGGAGGCACATCCTGGGATTTGGACGAGCTCCGTGAATGCGATTTTCCTGGCCTCTGGACCTGAGTTCCTCCAGCCGGATGGGGAGATGGGTTCGACTTTGGCCCTTGTTTTGTATCCATTTTGGAAGAGGTTTGGTTTGCATCAAAACCGGAGGTACCATATTCCTGGGCAGGTTTCTTCTCAGCATTAGAAGAGGCATTGGAAGCACTTAGTATCTCAACGTCCAGAATCAATGGAGATTGATTCGCGGTGCCCCTGGCTTTGGCACCTTCATATCCTGGGAGTTCTCCGGCATGGGATGATCCATTCAATTCCCGGGATAGGGAGTCAATTTCATCCTCAACAAATGGTCCAGGAGGATATTGAGGCCGCTTGCGCCAGCGCAAGGGCATTCCAAGGGAGGAGGCGAGATACATAAGGAAACAAGGGCAACCAAAAACAATGCAAAAAGAGTCCTAGGATATGGTCCAATTTTGGTTTTGCAGAAATATCAACTTTACCCGGTGGCAGTGATATAGTAAATTGCAGTTAGGTTCCAGGCAGTGGTCATAGTAAATTGTGTCGTCTTGATGGAGTGAGTCGCTGAAACGCCGTGGGCCCAGGAATCGAAGAGTCAGAGCGTTTGTGTCAACAAAGAGCAGCAAAAGCAAAAGGGCAAGCCGAAGCCGTCTAGCGTAATTAAGTAACGACAAACCAAAAACAAGGTAGTAATACAAGGGTATCGGTGGTATACAGAATGTCAAAGACAGAACAGAGTAGGGAAACGAGGGGGGCGATAAAGCAGGTATATAAAGCTCCCGTCAGCGGAGCGGCCCTTGGGCAGCGCCTTGATTGTTTTTGCCCTATGAGCGTCTCAGCCCACAGGTTGGGCGGCAGAGGCGACGAATCAGTCTCAGAAAGCACGGGACACAGCGATCGTGGCTGAGTGTTGAGCAATGCGAATGGCTGATATTTCTGATCAAGGAGAACTTTTGAAACTCATCGTGAATGCTCCGCCTGCACTCCATGCATGGGCCTGCATTGCGTGAGAAAGTAGTGCTCGATGGCCCTGAGTTTGGACGCAACACCAGAGAATTTACCCAGTCAATGGCGTAGGCAGAGTGGAGAGAGAGTAAAACAAACCCGCCACTGCCACTGCAACAACGTCAGGGGCACCAATGCCAGACTGACTTCCAGCAGAGCGCAACCACTCAGCCTCCGTTGGCGGCATTCCGTGTCTATATTGGGCGCCATGTCTCCATGCGTTCGGTGCCCATTGGGACGGCGAACACCCACGGCATAGCTCAAGTGAAGCCGACGATGAGTTGTCTGGTTAATATACAAATATATTGTTGTCGTTGACTCATCGAGACGGTGAACAATGCAGTCAAGCCGACGATCAACGAAGATCCTCGTGACAGGCGATGCAATCACTGCAGTGTTGATGGGGAACCAACGCTGTTGGTGGTTCGGACTTTGGGCATCAGTCGGCGGGACTCCGGATATTTCGTACTACGCATTTATGATAATGACTCAGCTATACAGGATCTTATGCTCGAAGAAGTTATGCAGGAGATTAGTAGAGCGCGGAAGGGTTCCGGCGCCGAAGCTTACGCTCTCACCCACCATTCGCACAGGCAGATGGAATTGGAGCAGTCTGACAGAAAGCCCTCCACAGCAACGACAAATCAGACAGCTTAGACACCCAGCAAGCCTTTACTAATGTAGAATATCTTGCCGAAATTCGTGATTCCCGGGGGTGAATGGCGGGGAAATATGGAAAACAACGGAATAAGAACGAATGAAGTCATGGCCTTGGATGTCGAAGCTCTCGAAGGAGCGGATAAGATCTCTTGCAGACGCTCTTATGACAAATCCAAAAGGACATAGTTAACTAAGGGGCCTCCTCCTTCAGCAACGATATCCTGGTTTTGTCTCTCCGGGTCATTATTATAAATGTATTCTCGTACCCTCCCCCGCATTGTGTCAACATCTTCTACCCCTCAAGCTTCATCTCGCGCAATTTCCCGGCTATCCTCCATCACCACTCATCTTCTCCCCCACCCAACCCACCAACAAAATATACCACATCGCCCACCCCATCGTAACATCACCACAATGCCTCCCATATCGTCCACTATGAAAGCCATTGTCGCCGAGAAAGTCGGCGGCCCTGAGGTCCTCGAAGTCCGAACCAACCACCCCGTCCCCACCCCGCAAGAAGGCCAGCTGCTGGTCAAGAACAACATCATTGGCATAAATTACATCGATACCTACTTCCGCACCGGCCTCTACCCTTCGCCAAAGCCCGAAATCCTAGGCCGCGAAGCCGTCGGCACGGTCGTGGCTCTCGGGCCCGGCGCGAACCCGTATAACTTCCAGGTTGGCGATCGCGTTGCGTGGATGGCTACCGGCTCATACGCAGAGTACACTGCCGTTCCTCAGGCAAAGACCGTAAAGGTGCCGCAGGGTATCTCGGATGAAGATGCCATGGCTTCGTTTTTGAGTGGCTTGACTGTTCTGTCCTTTGCGAAGGAGACGTATCCCGTTCAGAAGGGGGATTGGGTGCTCTTGCACGCGGCTGCGGGTGGTGCTGGGTTCCTCATGACTCAAATTCTGAAGGATATTGGGGCCAAAGTTATCGGCACCGCTGGTGGAAAGGAGAAGGTCGAGCTTGTTAAGAGCCTGGGAGCCGATTATGTGATTGATTATCGCAGTGAGGAGGGCAAGGATTGGGTTAAGAAGGTCAAGGAGATTACCAATGGTCGGGGAGTGGATGTTGTCTATGACTCTGTTGGAAAGGACACCTGGGAAGGCAGCCTGGAAGCCGTTAAACGCAAAGGAACTATTGTCTGGTTTGGAAATGCCAGTGGCCCAGTCCCCCCTCTGCCATTACCGTGAGTATCCGGATTCGAAAGAAAACGCAATTGTTATTGGTTCTAACTAAGAAACAGCAAACTAAGCCCCAAGTGTGTCAAGATCGCACGGCCAACCTTGTTCGGCTACATCGAGACTCGGGAAGAATTCGAATACTATGTTAACGAACTGTTCAACTTGCTTTCGACCGGCAAACTAAAGGTAAAGATTCACAACGTGTATCCTTTGGATCAGGTCGCGCAAGCGCATATCGACCTAGAAGGACGAAAGACAACCGGAAAGTTGCTTCTGAAAGCGTAAGGGGGCAACAACGGCAACAGATGTAGTGACAGACTAATAAATCTATCTTATGAGAACATCCTAATGGCTTTCCGTAGTGCCTCCTAAGCTTTGCTTTCACTCGGCCTCACTTTCTACCTGATCTTTCTTTGCAGGGAGGGATCGTGGTTTCTTCCAGCCCATCATCAATTCATTGGCAAGGGGCGTGTAGATAGAGCCGTAGGCCCTGATAACCTCTTCGAAATAGTGGAACCCGCAGTTGAGTTCCCAGACATTGGCGATGATTTTCATTCCGGGATAGCAGTGTTTGAGAAGGCGCTCTTCCAGAAAAAACGTGAATTTCTGAACCGGAAGACCATTCTTTGCCCATGCTTCCCGCTCCTCTGGAGAAAGGTCATACTCCGGCTCAGCCGGGTCGTAATAGGTTCTACCATATAGAATTCCAACTGGGTGAAGGTCAGGTGCTTGGTCTTGGTAGAACTGCTGTGCGTTATTATCGAGAAAATGGACTCCAGTTACTTCGAAGCCGTGGATGTCTTGCAGCTTCTTTGCTGTGAGTGTACCTGAGACGGCCTTATGTTGAAATGTAGAAGCAACATCGTCTGTCCCGGCAACACCTAAACCAAACCTCACGACCTTCTGGGCGATCTGTCTGGTCATATGGACCTTGCCATCCTGCGGGCTTTTCCACTGATTATCCTCAATGTATAGCTCCTGTTCGAACCCACCGAACAGGATTGAGCAGGCCTTGTTGAAGTCATCTGTTCCTTCGGCAGTGAGCTGCTGGTTCTTCCAGAGCTCGCCGGTAGCGACATCACACGACTTCCTTGCTTCTTCGATGTTCTCTCTGTATTCTGGGCAGACATCATGATAGAGAAGGTATGACAGGAAGCTCCGGATGGTGACGGTAGCGAGTTTGATCATGTCCTCAGTAAAAGGGTTGAAGTAAAAAGGGAAATACGAGGTCCTAGCATGATTTAAAGTCAATCGGGTGCGCGTAGCGGTTTGACAAGGGTGTGGTTAGTCCTTACAGGTATCCTTTCACCACCGCATTGAAATCAATCATCAGTTTAGAATGACCCTGATTGATTGATGTGTTGCCTCTCGCCAGAAGGATATCTTCCTTGTCCATCTCCTTCATGCCACGTTCGTCCACTCCCGCAAACATCTTAGGGCTGACATCAATGCCTCCGTATTGGAGATACTTGTTAAAAACCTCCAATCTATCGGGTTCCATTCGTCGGTTCTTGCTGAATCGCAGAATGCCATTTTCGAGGCGGCTACTGTTGTGTTAGTATTCGGCGTAGTATCATGGGCGTGAGCTTGCGGCTTACTGAGTGATGGGTCGGGAGCTTTTCAGACAGATGTTAGAAAGACTAGGTATTAGTAAGGACAGAGCTCACTCACACATGGTAAAGATCGAGTTCGAACTCGTGTTCTTCAGCGGTGATCGGAGCATCCACATAGTACTCTTCAAAGCCGGTTGGCTTATTCTGTCATGGTAAGCTGCGAGTCATTGAAAGAAGGGGAGTCTGGGAAAACCGTACCTTTCCTTTCTTGCTTTTTGGGCGTTTACCTCTCTTCTTCTTCTTCGGGGCTGGGATAGGAACAAGGGCGGGTTTTCCTGTATCTTCTAGATTTGTTGTCATCTTGAGCTACTTGAACCAATGGTGAGTCTGAGTTCCTGAGGTGTCACAAAAAGGATGCTGGGAGACGAGAAAGATAGATAAAGAGAGAGAGAGAGAGAGAGAGAGAGAGATTAGAGAAAGATGAGAAGAAGGATTTGAAAGGGAATTTGCGAGAATTTCAAGGTTGGTGGTTGCAAACAAATTCGAGGCTGCAGCGGCTTTCACCTCAGTCTTCAAACAAACACTGTCAATTGTTTTTTTCATTTTAGATTTGAAGGTAAATGAGAATGTTAGCAGCGAGTACAGCGAGCCATGGTCATATTGCTACAATGAAATTGTTTGAGGACAAGAGAGTGAATTGATGCTGAGCGATTGGATATAAGTATTAGTAGTAAGTAGCTCGTGTTATACCGGTACCTTATGCTAGCTTAGTTTAATGTCCATGTTGGAACACAACTCCTTTTTTGGACCAATACTACGACCGTCGACTGTAGACCAGAAAAAAAAAAAAACAGAAGACAGGTTAATTAAGCAGCCTCGACTAACTGCAAACGAAAGAGCGGATGACGGGCACATGCAGCATACTACTTAGTATATTATAGTGGAGCACAGGTGTCAAGGGGCCGTGTAAGCTGGAGTGAAGCTGAAAGTGAATTGTCAGCAGAAGGCGTGGATTAACCCCTTGAGTTCATCATTAGCAAGGAGTCCATGTGAAACAGTCCGTCGAGAACAAAAAGGGCATTTCATCATCAGACATCGACGATCGAAGCTGCGGTCAGGGATCCTGCGCCGATCGGATTTGCGGGTGACAAAACGGTTGTCGCAGGTTCAGTGACGGGCTTTGTCCTCGCCCCAAGTTTCCCCTGCGCTCTTCCGCCTCGTTTGCGCCCCAATCCCTCCCTTTCCCTTTTGTCTCCATTCTTTTCTGGCTTGCCATCATTTTGACCTGTCTCTTTTATTCCCCCTTGGTTTTTATCTCGCTCATTTTTTTGGTTGTGTCCTGCAGAGCGCTTCGTAACCTTTTATTGCGTTTGCGTTTGCGCTGCGGCTGCGGAATGCCGTTGAGTGTTTGGTGGTTACCTACGAGCTGTGAACGAGCTATTTGGCCGGCCTTTCTAGTTATTTGAACCAGAGATACCCCGGCGACCCATTTGGAGTGATAAAAAAATGCCGTCTTCTTCGAGGTCCGACAGCGTGAAGAACCAGAAGCTCGACAATGATAGCTTCGTTGCCTTCGACCACGCCGCGGCTGGACAGTGAGTGTGCCCGATGGATCTCCCCCCCTGCGACTCAGCCCTGTGAAACAAATAAAACCACCCCAACTGGTCTCGCGATCCAATCCCATACTTGTTGCCTCCCCGGATCCTGAGATCTTTGCTAACTATTAATTCTTTTTCTGCGATAGCGACGGAGTCCGGTGCACACCTTCCGGCTTTCTTATCGCGAAACCTTGCACAGCCCAAGAAATCGCTTTCTATGAATCGACTGCTGTCCACCCTGCCTTTCACGAATTTATTCCTACCTATATCGGGTCGCTAAGCTCGGCCGATCAACAAGATCCATCTGCCGCCCTCACTGCCGCAGCTGCTACCCAGCAAGGTGCTATCGTCCTCCCCGCCGCGGAGAACTCGCCTTCTTCGGGACCTCCGGCTGCTAGTGTATCTACCGAACCAACTGCATCAGACGACCCGAAGACAGGCGACGCGACAGGCGACGCATCGTGGACTCCATCCGCCGGGACAGGGAAGAAGTTGGACACAGGGTTGTCGATTGTACTCGAAAATGTTGCATCTGGCTTCAAACGACCGAACGTTCTGGATGTCAAGCTCGGGGCTAGGCTCTGGGCTGATGATGCCATTCCCGCGAAGCGAGCGAAGCTGGATGCAGTGTCTAAGGAGACAACCAGCTCGTCTCTTGGGTTCCGAATTGCAGGGATGAAGGTATGGACCGGTGTCAACGGCGAAGCGGACGAAGGGAGTAAGACAAATCCCTACATCACACGCTATGGACAGCCAGGAGGCACCAAAGGCGAAGTGATCGAGCAAGATGGGTATAAACGCTACGACAAGTGGTACGGTCGCTCCTTCACTGCCGACAATGTGAAGAGCGGATTGGAAACGTACCTCGCGGGAGCAAAAACCGCTGAAGCCGACCATTCGACGCTGGTAGCTAGACGGTTAGCGGACGGGCTGAGACGCCTGCAACAAATTTTGGAGTCAGAAGAAAGCCGCATGTATTCCTCGAGCGTGTTGATCATTTATGAAGGCGACCCAGAAGCCATGGAACTAGCCCTGGAAGAAGAGAAGAAGGCAAAAGAAGCCCCTCCAAAAACATCTGATGCGGAGGAGGACGAAGAGGACGAATCCGATGGGTTCGAGCTCCAGGATGGAGGTGCGTTTGAGATAGCCAACCTTCCAGTTGGCGAAAATGGGGTGCCAAACCAAACCATAAACATAAGCATTGACCCGGAAACCGCCCAATTGGGAGATCTTGAGGATGAAGAGGACGAAGAAGAGGGGCCGAAGGTGCATGATCTCCGTCTGATCGATTTTGCCCATGCCAGCTGGACTCCTGGCCAGGGGCCAGATGAGAATGTTCTTGCTGGAGTGCGAAATCTTGCTCGCATATTCGAAGAGCTGTCAACGGACTAAAATATTTGCCATCTATCTGTATATGCATTGGCTATTATGCTGGACCTTGATTCATAGTCGCTGGCGACTTTGGATCGGGATCTCGCTTTATCTTTTCTGTTATTTAGCCCAGCCTAGATCAATACACCTGAACATTATTGTCCCAATGACGGGTTTCCACTGCAATGTACCCACATACTACGCCAAGATTTAAAGCAGCCCAGGTTCGAACTCTTCAATAGTATGATGTCAGTTTCAGCCCTATGTAAAAGACCCGAAATGCTTGACATTGCTGATCCTCGTATTCCGGGTGACAATATACTTCGGATACGAGAACAAGTCACGAGCCACCATTGCAACCAGGCATCTAAAATCTTTAAATCGACGTATTAAAACACCATCCTCTGTCCCATGTCGACTTCCCACTATCACAAAACTTGGAAAAACAGACACTTATCATCTTTAGAAGCGTAACCATCAGTAACGATGAAAATCGTAATCATCGGCGCCGGCATCTCCGGGTGCGCTGCATACCTGCAACTCAAAAAACACCTCCCACAGCCACGTGGACCAGCACCTGCAGCACAGCACGAGATAACCATCTACGAAGCTTATGACACCAGCATAAATACAACACACGAAGGCCGCCACGGCGACACCCATTCCTCCACCTTAGTCGTTGGCGGCGGACTAGGCATCTTCTCCAACGGTCTCAACGTCCTGAAGCGTCTGGACGGCGATATCCTCCGTGACATCGCGCGCGGGGGATATGCCATCGCGCATCAGGATCTGAGGACGAAGAATGGGAGTTTGCTGATGAGAATGGATACGACGGCGGATGCGGATCCCGAGTTGGATGGGAAGCAAATGCATTTGCTTGGTGTTAGTCGGCATTGGTTGTGGAGGAGCTTAAGGGTCAAGATTCCGGACGGTGATATCGAGACAAGGCGTGTGGCGAGAGTTGTTGCGAATGAGAGTGGCCGCAATAGTGTGTACTTTGCGGATGGGAGTGAGCCTGTTGAGGCTGATCTGGTTATTGGGGCGGATGGAATCAAGGGCGTGACCAAGCTGGGGTTGTTCCCTGGGCAGGAGAGGGATTATGCGCCTGAATATCAGTGAGTGTTTACCATCCCTCAATGTCTGATTATGGCGGAGCTTTTTGTTAATGAGACGTTACAGAGGCCTTGTTGGGGTTGGGGGGTTTATCTCGACGGAAGAGGTTAAAGGACTGGTGGAGAAAGGCTCGATGAATCTGCTCTTTAGTGGGAGTGGATTTTTCGGATACTTCTACTCGAGCAGCGCGGCATATGCGCCGGACCGTGATTCTGCTTACAGTGTATCCGAACCAGGCGAGTCGCTTGGATGGTGGTCAACATATTCCGCGGACGAATGTCCAGATCCAAAGACGCTGGATATGGAAGCAGTTGCGAGTCAACTGCGCGAGAGGCACGGGGACTGGAAGGACCCCGTGATTCGGAAAATCATAGGTTCGCTGAATGTTAAGAGCATGTACCCAACTTGGACATCGCCTCAGCTTCCGACGTGGGAGAGGGATGGCGTTGTCCTTGTTGGGGACGCGGCACATGCCCTTCCCTCTACGTCCGGACAAGGTTCCTCACAGGCCTTGGAGGATGCTGAGGCATTTTCGATGCTTCTTGGCCATGCCATCCACGTCGTGGACCAGGAAAGCTCGGCTGATACAGCGGCATATAAGAAGGCTATCACGACAGCTGCTAAACAATACATCGAGATTCGCCGGCCACGGGTGCAGAGTATTCTGGAGAGTGCACAACGCATGCAGAGTACCAAACGGGACATGAGTTGGATAGCTGAATATGCAATGTATTGTGTGATATGGATTGCTGGCAAGTCTCTAATAACCACAATAGAAGCTCCGCTGACAAGTATAGGATGCTTTCCGAAAATGATGTCGGGGCCTACGAAGCGGGTAATCAACTATAATATCTCCGAGGAGGTGAAGACATTTATTGAACGGGGGTAGAAAAGTTGATGTCCTTCATAGTTCTCACTTGCTTATAGTGACTCTGTTAGATGAATAATGATGTAATGATAGTAGTTATGCTAAGCCTTTAAACTCCGCTCCAGATCTCCACCTGCATCGCGCAAGATGTTTGTTACCAGGAACAGAATGCACAGTTAAGAATCGCTGTATCAGATGTCGCCCATGCAGTCTCGCAGATCAGAGAACGCATGGTGCCATATCAGGATGTTGTTGCCTTGCAAGAGCTGAAAGATGCGAAGACCGCCAACGGAACCCATACCGTAACGCTGTATGCAATGTCCAACATCTAAGCTCCAGACTGAAAAACAGTCAATATTCGACGAGGTTTTCGTTTCGCGCGAGACCCAAATGATCAAGCCCGAGACAACCATGTCATCTCGAGGGCAAACACTGATCCGAAAACGACGGTATTAGTAGACGGCAGATGGGAGAATGTTCCTTAGCCCAATCTCTGGGACTCAATGACATTAAATTTAAAGGTCTCGAGGATATGAAGCTGCATTTCGGGGATCCTTGTCGTCATCTAGTGAAGTTCGAACAGAACTTGTATAGGGGAAACACCGGAGGACTGGTATTCTGTTGACTTTGAAAACCCACCATAGATGCCAAGTGCCTGTATGTAATTACGAAAAGATCTCAAAAGACAAAGAAATCAATTCCGAAGGAACAGCAACAAACCAAGAATTTAAGAAATGTTCATGGTGCTGGACTTTAATGTCAGGCATTGTAGCCTGAGGCACAAATACCTTACATAATCACAACCTCCGCAACATTTTATCTCGAAGTCCGAAACGCAGCACGGCGACAATCCCAGCTCGCTCGCAGACAAAATGCAAGCCACTCGAGTCCTGTTCGGGCGGTCCGTGTGGAAGGGTATGTCCTCCATTTGCCTCTCCATCCACTGACCAAGAAATATTACAATGACAAGAGCCGTAACTAACAAACAACCAAATTCCAGGCCCGAATATCGTCCCGTACGTATAATCCCGGCGCACCCCCAAACCAAACCAAGCCAAATCCACCCCGAGCCCGAAGCAACACAGGGGGAATCCCAATATTCGAGTTCAGTTCAATTCAATTCGATTGCTAACGCTAGTGTCCATACTCCAGTCTCGCTCTCCCCCGCCAACTGCCACCTCCACCGGGAACACCCCCGATCAAAACGCAGAAGCGCGCCGCTACGATCCTGCCGAATTTCGTGGGATTGAGATTCTCCGTCCACAACGGGAAGACATACCAGGATGTGTATATAACGGATGAGATGGTCGGCCGGAAGCTAGGGGAGTTTGCGCCGTATGTACCCATGTGTCGAATAATGGATTAATTGAGTGAGTGAGTGACTGACTATGTTTTGGATGCAGGACGCGGAAGAGATTCACGTATCGTCTTTCGAAAAACAAATGATCGTCTCGCTCTTTATGTTGGATGGATGGCCCTTGGGTATGGATGGGTGTCTTGTCTGGATTGGGAATTCTTTTAAGCGGTGTTCTAAACTTCTGTCTATCTATCCCTTTTGAGGGAGTGTATAAATATCTACTTGCGGCGCTTGTTTTCAATACATACTGTTTATGTGCGCGGTTCTGCAACTTACCGTTACTTTCCTGAATCCATAGTAATGAAATGTACTGGAGCGGCAAATGCCTATCGAAGGGTCTTTTTCATCGCTTATAATTTTTGATCGCTAATCTAGCGCTCCAGGCCTGCTAGGTCATGGTCGACATGGAAGTACTGGCCGTTTCGCACTTTATAGACAGATGCCAAGCGCTCCCAGTCCTGAAGACCGGCCATAACCACTGGTAAAGGCCCCGTTCAATCCATTACCTATTCATTGTCCAAGTAACGCCGTAAAATATCCCAGTCCCATCTCAAACGCCATATCCAGAAGACAAGAAGAATAAACCAATCAAACTCGGCATCCACAACAGCATCTTGAGGAACCCGAGTAAAACCCAGACGGATTTACCGATAGAATTCCCCCCTCTTAACACTAACCCCATATTCCGAGACCGCCATCCCCAAGTCCTCCATCGTAAGCACCGTCCGCCCCTGTCCAGACCCTCCAGAGCCACCACCTCCAAACCCAGGCCTCTGAATCCCCAAATGCGTACCCGCTTTCCCTCCTTTCCCTGCATCTCCTCCACCGCCTCCACCGCCACCAGCTCCAGCACCACCTGCCGCGCCAGCAGGCATGCCGAGACCAGAGGCAGCATTGAGACTGCCCATGGGGTTACTCGCGGACGAGGAGTTTGAGGCCCGGATGCGCGCGTATTGGTATGAGTCCGCCGAAATATCGGCGATGAATTTCTGCGTTGCGAGAGCTAGCAGGCGTGCCAGGTGAGGCGGTGTTTGGTTAGGTCCGTTTCCTGGTGGTGGGAGGCCGGCGAGCGTGAGGTAGTGGGCTGTTACTGCATCGGGAATCTGAGCGAGGGGATATTAGTTAGTAATTTTTTTTTCACTTTATTCATTCGATATGGGGGGTTGATGGTTGATTGATTGATTGATCACGTACAATAGGCGCATAATCGTCCATCTTCCCAAGGAACTCGCGCAGGCTGGTTTCCTTTTTCGATGTCGCTGCTGCATCAACAGATGTCGCTTGTACGGGATTTCCAATATCAGCATCTTCTGCTGCTGCGCCCGTGTCCTGGGCGGCGGCGGGGTCCTTGTTGGCCATGAGGTCGGCTTCCTGCTCTATGGAGGCGTCTACCGCGACAGGATCTGAGGAGTCTGGCTCGGTTTTGGGAACAACGGTAGCATCAGAGAAGGACTGAGGGTTTGAGCCTGGCTGCGGTGTTGATGAGGATGAAGGAGCAGGCTGTGTGCTGGGGGGAGGTTGCGGTAGGGATGATGGTGGTTCCGACATGGTGAGTTGGCGCGGGGGTGACAAGCTAATTGACAATTCACTCAGTCTAGTCGATCTAACAAGGAACCGGCACACGAGGGGGTATAGCTGATTGGACGAGGTGAAACTGAGAGACGGAACACTTGGAGTCAACGGGTGAGGTGAAGTATGAGGTACAAAGACGGAGAGTGAATTTAGCTGCTCGCGTTGAGGCGGTTCCGGACCCACTTTTGCCATGGTCGGAGATGGAGAAATTGAAGCACGATCTATACGAAATATAAGAAAAAAACTTGCTGTACTAGCATGAAGTCGTGCTAAGATGTCTGAAATTAAATGCTAAGAATGATATAATAACACAATCGCTCGAGGTTTGATTATCATAATGTTACACTCGATATTTTACACCATCTCCGCCACGGATTGTCCACCTTCGCGGTCATTGCCCCATGTGCATATTCTCAGGATGGTGATGATGCTGCTGCTGTCCAAACTGCTCACCGTGGACTTCCTTTCCCAACGTTTGCATGAGGTTCTGCTCCGCCGTCTGGTCAAAGTTTGGATCCGGTGGTAGCGGTGATGCCGACATGCTCTCATGGCCATGTGCAACCTGTTGGGGATGAGCCCCGGCCAGCGCCATCATTCCCTTAATTCCTTCGACATGAGCCTTGTCCTCCTCGCCCTGCTTCTTCTGTCGCTCGCGGGCCTCGCGTTTCGCCGCCTGCGCGGGAGCACGTGTTTTCAGCTCTCCCGTGACAAACTTCAGATAGTAAGGCACTTCAATCCCACTCTTGAGGAAGAAAAGCTTCAAATTACGAGCTTTATCCTTGAGCTGTACCTGATTGCGATCCTTGAGCGCCTCGCTGATTGTGCCGCCTGGGCCGAACATGGCAAGGATTTGACTCCAATGAGGGCCCTTGACCCGATCAAGCCCCGCCATAAGGGCATTCTCTTCTTCGGTGGTCCAGGGGCGCCGTTGACTCGGTAAACCGGACTTGCGACTGCTGGGCGAGGATTTTGCGGACGCAGCCATCCGAGCACGCTCGTAGAGAACCTGTGTGGGCTGGGATTGAGAGTAGTGAGGGATGCCGGGCATGTAGCCGTGGTTGGCGGTCGATGAGTTGGGCCGACCTGGTATTGGGGACGGCGAGGGATGGTTATACTGCTGGAAGTTGTTTTGCATCGGGCTCTGCTGGAAGGTATACGTCCCAGGTGACTGCTGGTAACCTGAAGGAGCCGGACTGGTCTGATACTGTTGCTGTGCAGGGGTATATCCTTGGAGGATTTGAATTCCTTGCTGCTGCTGTTGTTGAGAGGTCTGTTGCTGTTGCTGGGCCTGCTGTTGCTGTTGCTGTTGTTGCTGGGCCTGCTGCTGCTGCTGTTGCTGTTGATATTGCTGCTGCTGCTTCTGTTGTTGTTGAGCCTGCTGTTGCTGCTGTTGTTGCTGCTGCTGGGCCTGTTGTTGTGAGCGTCTGAACCCGTGACCCTGCAGTGCAATTTGTGCTGCGCGAGCTGCACGGGCAACCAGGTCGCCGTGCATGTTCTTGTCAACTGGGACCTCCGGCGCTTGGGAGGAAACCGGAAATTGGCTTTGAAGGGGGGCACTGGGCGGTTCGGAATCGCCATTTGAGGAAGATGGTTGCCGACCCTTTGTGACCTTCTTCGACTAATCCGCATTAGTAGTCTGAGCGAAACAAACAAAGGAAAAAATAATTTTAGAAGTCTAACCTGTTGGCTGTTGATCGTATCAAAATTTTTGGTAATGTATGAGCTGAGATCCCGGAGGAAATCCTCCCAGTGGTATTTGTCCGGCAGTGCCTTCATGGCTTCCTCGTTGTTGATATCGCTCAGCAGAATGTCACGACGAGACCCGGCGCGGTTAACAAAATCGGTTTCGCTTGGAGCTAGCTGGCGTGTCCCAGGTCGTCTGTCAAGAAGCTGCTGCTCCAAGTTATCTGGGAAGAGAATATACAGCAACTCGGTGCGTGTACGCTCCGTGTTGTTCATCGATGCGATGAATGCTTGAGTTTTTAGCTCGAGGAAGAGCGCGCCCTGTTGCTTGAGAAGTCGACCACCTTCTGGAACAAATACATCAAGAAAATTGTCGTTCAGCTCGGAGAACCCAATCTCTTGGGTGCCAAATATGCTTGAAACGAACGAGGCCAGGTTTGCTTTTCGGATAATGTCGACTTGAGCAGGCTCCGTGAGCTCAAGCTCGGTCGGCGATAAAAACGACACTTTGGACGAGTAGACCTTTTTCGTGTGGTCAAACAAGGAGCGCATCGTGGCGTAAGCCTGTCCATTCTCGGAATCCGGTTCTGACACAAAGGAGGTGATATCTTGGTAAGTCGACTTGGCTAAGAGGGAGAGAATTTGGGTGGACTGTTCCGTTAGCTTGACAAGGGAAGAAGGTTTGCAGGCGACCAACCAGGTTGTCCAGGATAGGAAGACTCTGGATCTTCAGATGCGAGTTGGCCTTGACAAAAACCATTCCTTTGGGGGCACCTTGACCTGAAAGGTCTGGCAACTGCTGCGGTCCCATCGCGACTTGTTCCTCCACACGCTCCGAGTGATTCATGATGTTTGAGATCACGGTGGCGACATCCGAATCGATATTGGCGTTTTGCTCTTGGGTTACTGGGCTTTTGCCAGATTGTTCGACATGTCCATTCTTGTTGTCGGTAGACTCCACGGAGTCGACAACGCCAGCACCAAGCGCGGAAGCCAGCTCTTCTTCGATCTGATCGCCAGCACCTGAAAGGAGGTGTGGCTGTTGCTCTTGGTTATGGTGCTGTTGTTCCTGGAGTTGCTCCTGTTCCTGGGGTTGTTCTTGAGGTTGAGTGACGTCGGCCGGTTCACTTTCGAGACGACGCTTCTTGGACGCCCTCGGGGAGACAGAGCCGTCGTCGAGAGAGTGCGATAATTTGGGGAAGTCTTTAAATAGTCAGGTATTAGCGCAGGAATATAGAGCAAATAAGATGCCTCAAGGAAGAAGTGTTGCTCTCGGGCGGGTGAAAGCCTGCTCGAAAAGACTGAATGAACGCCAGGGTGGCTCACCATGGTGACCTTCCTCCTTGAGCACAGGGGAAGCAGGACGGTCGGAAGTCCCCTGGCCATCGACAGAGGGCCCCGACCCGTTGGTATCGACCATCATGGAGGCAGACGGCGAAGTCATAGAGATGATGATTCCAAGATCAGCAATGAGGGCTTAGGGTAGGGGTAGGGCGCGTTTGTAGGGCTTGAAGGTGAAAAAGTTGCTGTCACGTGGAGCAATCCTGGAAGTCAGGTGACACGCTAGTCTTAATAAAGACTAGCTCAGAAGAAGTCCCAATTAGGAATAGCGCCAAGTCCTCGTACACTCTACAGACAACATTAGCATCGACAACATCCTGTGTAATACATTATCACAGTTTTGAAAAAGAAAGAGGTGGACACAAGGACGTCTGCTTCCGCCGAGCGCTGGTAAGGTTTGATGGGGTGATAGATGGAGAGTTATTTTGCGATGGACTGACGAAACAACCCGTGCAATTTACACTGTCCGTTACGGAACGAATATAAACAGAAACAAGACCTATGGACAATACATTCAATTTCCTATGCGGGTAGGTCTAGACCCCTGAGGCGATATTCTGGTACGAATCTACCCTTCGTTTTCCCAAATAATAGTTAGTATAGTGTACCCTCACAAGCAAGTAACGCATGCCCCGCAGCCATCCTGGTTCATCTCTGGGTAGTTGTTCGCGTCGACCAGTTTAAACAGCTGTACTGGTGAACAACTCGGACAGCAGACCGATCTAGCAACTGCAACAAGGCAGAGTCGATCCAGTGGAGCTGGCGCTTGCATCTGCTTTCTTGATGGCCACTAGCCTTGCCGCAGACGCAGTGCGGCGCTGCTCTGCCACGGACTTTGTGTCATCGGCCCATTTAAAAGGCCCAATCAGGCGGTTTTCCTTGAGGGAGCCGTGTCTTAGGGCATCTTTACAATAAGATATTACATTAACTTTCACAACCTCTCTCCTCTGCTTTCGTTTTCTATCTTGATCGCGAAATGGCCACTGATATTCCAGGTCGCTCTGCCAATGCCGCGCATGTTCGCCGCTTCATTACGGACGTGCTTGTATCGGACTACTACACAGACCCCACCTTTGCCAGTGAAACAGCGCGTGCATGGCGAATAGGCCGCGGTTCTGAGCTCCATGATGCAAAGCAGAAATGCTTCGAAGACCTTTTTGGTGCTGAGATAGGATTCTGCCTGTATAGGAGTGTTCTTGAAGCGAGAGATAAGACGTGGCAGAGTTCCCGTATTGGCGTACTTATTACCTGTAGGTCTCGGCTTATAACCTTTATTTGCTAACGGGCTATCTTTGATGAAGTGCTTACCTTACTCAGGGGGTGTCTTTCTGTCGCCTCTTCTGTCCTTTTGGACTTTATATCAGAATCGGCCCGCGTCTTCAGATACTCGTGAGTGGACTCCTGCGCAGCCTGGATGTTGTTAACAGCTTATTCCCTGGGTAGCCTTGTTTACTCTTTTAATACATGGCGCTCTTTTGATGGGTCATGCCTGCTTGCGGCCCAAGGGGAGCTATATAAGCCTGGTGATGGGCCTTGTTAGTTTTGGTGCTTACGTTCTGCTTTGGTCTAGGAGAGTCATGTATACCTGTTGAGATTTAGTGATAGGTTGATTGATTGCCTTATAGTATATATATAAGTTGCTTAACTCTATTAATACTCAGCTGTTTAATTAAATTAGTCTCTATATAATTATCTTTAAAAAGCAGGCTGGTTTCACAACGTCTTGCTGAATACTCTTGCATGGGATAAATGCATAGAACAGCCTCTTTGTTTACTCTGGTATATATGACCATAGGGTGTGGAAAACAGGGCTTCCCGTCCGCTTTGGCGAGGCATCTTTGGCATGCCATAACACCTGGCGGTTCTCAGTATCAAGCTCAAGAAACTCGGGGAAGTTTCCAGATGGACTTCAGGAATTGTCCCTAAGCAGCCTTTATTTTCCTCCCGAGGCTAGATACTCGCCCCTTCCACTCCTCCACCAGCCCCGCGTAATCCCCTGGCTGATGCGGTACGAACAGATTCCTCCACCAGGACCCCTTTCTCGCCGTGCGCAGTCCCAAATCTCTAAGCAGCATATCCAAATAGGGGAGGACCTCAAAGACAAAATCCGCATTCCGCGACCCATGATTTGTTGGTGACCGCAGAGCAACAAATTCAGAGTGCAGTGTTGCCTCGCGGAGTGCAGACTTTTTGTCCTGCGGATGGTGTCGCGTGAGTTCGGGGGCATGGTTCAGGTAGACGAGCGCCCACAGAGCTTGCACTTCGGCGACAAGTGGTGTGTTGAAGGTGGCTACGGTTCCGAGGATAGCGATGCTGTGGTCATCCCATAGCTCCGGGGGAACCATGAAGCGCGCGAGACGGAAGGGGTGCAGGACTATCTCGTCGACATGTTGGCCCTGCGCGTCCTTTGTGCGGTACATCCTTCTGGCTGGGGCGGTTTGGAGCATGGGCAGGCGAGTGTAAAGCTCCTGGCGGGTGTCTTGCACGAGGTCCTGCTGGTCCACCAAGTTAGCGACCCATGGAAAGCCAAGGTCCCGTTCAATCCCATCCGGCAAGAAGCGAATGCCCGGAGACGCTTTCCAGCCCGTGCATAGAATGAGTCCTCTTGTGGGCAGCCTCTCCTGGTTGGACAAAACAACCGTCTTCCGCTCGAGTCGCTCGACATCAGCAATGTGCACCTTGACCAACCCCCGCCGAACCAGGCCAAAGAAATCCCCCGGGAAGTTCAAAATCGCCACCGCAGTCCCCGCCCAAATCATCTTATACGAGGGCCGTAACTTGGCCGTCTCCTCATGATCCTGGTACCGATTCGTCCGCAGCATATCCCACTCGAGCGAAGCCCAGAACAGACGCACGATCATCCGGCCGAGCCACGTGCCATGCAAGAATCGGCGGATCGGATTACTCGCCCAGATGCATGGGCTAAATACGCCCAGTGCCCGTATAAGAGGGAGGCTCTCGAGGAGGAGGTTCAACGGTGAGAAGACAGCGGCGGGAGTCATCCACGAGGGGCCAGCCCCGGACGCTCGGATGATCCAGTTTACCTGGTGGCCCTGGGATGCGCAGGTGTAGACGGCGTCCCAGGCGGATTTGCCCCCGCCGAGGATTGCGATTGGTGCTGTGCAGTCATCACCAGCTGGCTTGTTGGCGAAGAGGGTGTTTTGATAGTGAGCAAACTCCTTGACGTGAAACAGCGCCGCACCGAACGAGCCCTGTCCGTCGAACATAGGGATCCGCGGTTGTGATGTAAGCCCCGTTGCTAGAATGAGTTTCCGCGTCGTCCATATAGCTTCCTCCCCGGCTGCTGCTGTTGTGCATTGAATAGTCCACACTCCAACTTCCTCAGCATACTCCACAGTCTCCACCTTGCAATTGAATCTGACCCTCTCATGAATCCCGAAATGGTCCGCGTACGCTTTCAGATACTGATGAACTGCTCTCCCGGACATATGTTCACCGGGCTTCACAAGACCAGCCACGGCAGTAGCCTTCTGGATGGGAAAATCGCTATACACGTACGACTCCACTCGGTTATTCGTCCGGAGTCCTTCGTATACCCGCTCTTCGGCCCAAACACCGCCCACCGATGCGGCTGAATCTAGAACGACGAGATTAATGCTGGGATCGAGCGAGAGGGCGGTTTTGGCGGCGGCGAGGCCGTGCCAGCCTATTACAACGAGTTAGGGGTGATGACAATTGGGAGCCGTGGGTTGTAGACGTGGAGGGAAAGAAAGTGTCATGTACCCGCGCCAATAATAACCAGGTCAGCTACTTTCGGCTCCATCTGTATTAGACCCATTCTGCTTGATTCAGGATGTTCGGGAAATAGGCTCTCGTTGAGCGAGAACTTGGGTTGGCTGTCAAAAAAAAAAGCGAAATGCAGGGAGCGCACCGTCAGCATATAAATGCGTCTTCTTCAGTCTAGTGCTATTTTCCCGCCAGCTCTTGTACATTTTGCCCTGCCGGACACTTATCGAACGGCCTGGATACAGAAACATTGACCAACCAAGGGCCCGGACGTGTCCGCACGGGCTTCACCCCGCCCTCGAAGGCTCAGCTCCCTTTCCCAATCAGCAGATATTGGACATTATTCACTAGTATAGTGCGGCTGAGCTGACAAAGTGACGTGGCTGGGCTTAATCCAGTTGATTCAATCCCTTGTCTTCTCGCGAAGTGCTGGAGCAAAATATGCATGAGATCTCTTGGTATCTGAGTTTCTACTTGTATTGGCTCCTTGTGTTATCGCACCACCTAAGCCTGTTACTGCATAACTCATGAGTCGCAATATGCACCACTCTACTAACAAAATCACTAATCTACAAGAATCCGCTGCCACATTGACTAGTAAGACGGCATATGCTAAACAGAATTGGCATTGGTTTTCAGGAGACAAGGCATATCTTAGGAAATGTACTAGTAGACTAGTGATAGTTGTCCTTTGCAGTCTACAAGATTAAGCCTCTTTCCTAGGTGAAATGATGCTCGGGTGAGGCGGCGCGTCAATATGACCAGCTTTCCGTGTCAGGGGCACGTCAGCAGCCGTGAGGGTCAAATCATATTTGCCGTGAAAGATGAAGTTCATTGGGAACCCAGGGTTGAAGGCCACTGCCGTATCAATCCGGTCCATGTCCTCTTTGGATAGCTCGATTCCGAGTGCTTCAACGTTTGCTTTCAAGTGCTCGATCTTTCTCTGCCCGATGATTGGGAAGACATATGGCGACTTGTGGAGGAGATATGCAAGGGCCTGCGGAAGAAGTCAGTCCTTATGCCCGGCTAGTACACGTTGGAAGCACCATACCACAGCCGGAAGACTCGTATTCTTGCTCTTCGCTACCTTATCCAGGGTGTCCGAGACGCGAATCTCATCCTCAGTCATTGCATCATCAGATCGGCCTCCACTACTAAGCTCTCGAGCTTCAGGAGACTTCAACTTTCCCTGGGCCAGGGGCCCCCATGGGGCAGTGCCCATTCCCTGGTCTCGGCACATGGGGACGATTTCGCTCTCCATATCACGATGCAGCGGGTTCCACAGCCCTTGGTAGACAGAAAAGGGCCGCAGGCCATTGGCACGGGCGTAATCGTTGGCCTTGACAACAATCCAGGCGGGTGTGTCCGATACACCAAGATACAGAACCTTTCCAGCCGAAAGCAGTGAATTCAGTCCGTGCATGACCTCTTCAACACCGCTCGTGAAGTCCCACCAGTGCACATAGAGCAGATCAATATAGTCGGTCCGGAGGTGCTTTAAGCTGTAGTTCACCGACACTTTCAGCGATTTCATCGAGTTGCCAACAAAATTGGATTGGATTCGCTCAGTTTCGAGGTGGGCGTCGCGGAAACCAGTCGTGTATTTGGTGGCGATGCTTTTTGATGGTTAGTATATATACATAAATGAATAATAATAAAAAAACATACACCATCTGCTCGCGGTTTGCGCGGCTTTCCATCCACTCACCAATCCATCTCTCAGAATCACCTTGCTGGTAATTATTCGCCCTATGCAAACATGTTAGACAGCCCACCAGATAATATGTACAAATTGTGACATACGTATCGATGAAATTCCCGCCCATGTTGTAAAATTCATCCATCAACGCAAATGCTTCATCTTTTTTACATTTGCCCATGAAGTGCTCCCTATGAAAGGTTATTTTAAATCCCAAAGACCTAGTTAGTCTCTGAGAATGAACTCACCATCCCTCACCAAAGCTCATTCCTCCCAAACACAAAGGAGAAACCTTGACGCCCGCAGTTGGAGCGAGCACTCGATGATACCCCAACGGGGTTTTTGGCTTAGGTGCGAAGGTCCAGAAAGACATTTTATCAGATGATGAAAGCGAAAAGATGGCAAAAGTTCGGGCTCTCAAACGATGTTGAACTTGGGTTAGAATTGCCAGAAGACGAGGCTCCGCCGGTCTTTATACATCTTCATTGCCCTTGAGAACATCGTGTACGTATATCAAACGGAGAAGTCGGAAAGCTCCAAGGCTTCTCGTGGATTAACTCCGAAGCATAGATATTTCATGAATACTAAAAGACTGTCAGCAGTGTGCGCTAGCTTGTCATCAACACGAGATTTGTCGAAAGCTAGGTGCGAAGGTGAGGTGATTCAGAATTCAATGGCAAGTAAGCCACTCAGATTCGTGAGGCTTGCTTACAACGGCTGCAGCTCCGTGCTGTAGACCGTTAGCCTGACCACGGCGCTGCCCTACTCCTGTAATCAAGACCAATCATGCATTTGGACCTGTGGTCGGGGGCAGATGATGACTCGTAGGTGCACGCTATTGAAGTTGGTGGTATAGGCCACATCGGAATGTTTGATATAATCTATCAGATGGTAGAATGCTGAGAAGGCTGGTTCCTAACAAAGCAACTACCATACTCATTATCTGAGTAAGTTAATTAGTATATAATTTTCTTATTAGTAGAGTAATATATATATTTAAAAGTAGCTTGGAACCGTTTGTTAGAAGCTTTCTGTTTAGAGAGCTTGAGCAGTGCTGTTTAATAAGATAATTTGGAACCAAGCTAAATAATAGGCAAGGAACCTATTCTAATACCTATCAACTCTTCCAAAACCTAATCAAGTCATGGTTTATATAGCACATTACAAGAATAGCTTCTTTACTATTGTTATATAGTGCTTTAACTAATAGAGCGCTAATGGATGCCCTTTCTGTTCCTAATATAAAGGGTTAGCCTGTTGCAGTTAACAAGGAAGAAAAATATAGTTATCTGGTAGGCCTTGAATCAAGCTTACTTTCTACGTGAGTCTAGAGATAAATAACTCCATCTAAGATAAATCGAGCATGATTGGTGTCTTAGTAGTTAGCATATCTTACAGGGTTCTTACAGCTTGAGAAAGTTTATTAATCAGTTTTTTACCAAAACCATGGATTAAGAGATGTCGCTGTCGCGTTTTGTAGTCTAGCAGCTCCTCGTTGCCTCTAGTGCTTTCAGCAAATGTAGGTCCTGGTCAAGTAGTAAAGGCTGTCTATCGCGCACTCACCCTAATTACCCTGATCTCACCCAAGTCGCGCAACCATAATCTCACCTGGGGCAGCACCCTCCCAACTTTTGGCCACGCTTCGCACGCCGGCTGGTTAGTAGTATGGTGGGTGACCACATGCGAATCCCAGCTGTCGTATGCTCTGTTTTTATTATATAAAATTTTTTTAGCTCTCCAGGCGAAGTGACCTACCAAGGAATTGAACCACGGAATCCTGCATCAAACCCAATGGTTATTTCATATATCTCTAAGATAAATAAATAACTGAATACATAAATAATAACATGGTCTGTTCCGGTCCGAGTTCTCTGTCAATTTGCGGCTTTAGGAGGTGGGGAGATCAGCACCGAGAAGCCTTGCCCTAGTTGGGGGTCCAGTTTGCGTCTCTCGGGAGCGTGTGGGGAGCTACTCATGGTCATCTGTTGACAACACATGCCTTAAATGCAGGGGAACCGGGTACAGTCAGACTCAGTCGGTGACTATAGCATCTTATCTCGGTTGGTTGTCCATCGCCCTCATGTTTCGCACTCCACCAGCTGGCGGCCCTGTACATCCTCCCCAGAAGGGTCGGGTTCTAGATTCGGACCTCCCCTCACAAGACATCCGACAGCAAACCAGGACGCCCAACTCCCGTGCTCGGCAGATGCAGTCAGGGGTCGAGCGATCGGACTCGAGCGAGCAGCTAGTGAGGCGGCGCAGGCCTCGGTGCTCAAGAGCCTGTGAGCCATGCCGCATCCGAAAAGTGCGCTGCATAGCTGGAGTCAATGGCTCCCTCCCCTGCGAGAGGTGCAGAACCATGGACGTGAAGTGCGTAATTCGGCAGAGATTTGTACAGAGGTGCGTCTTTCGAGTCCCTGCTATCCGGCTTCTTTTGCGGCTGGACTGACTTCTCCCCTTCAAGCAGCGCATATCGGGTGAACAATTCATCGCGCAGGCCTTCCAGGTCCCTCGACGAGCACGCCGATCCCTTTTTAATGACAGCGTCGGATATTTTCCCCTCTATGGAGAGCCGGCAAACTCTAGTTAGTCCTCCAGACGACCTTGTATTCAAATCTAGTCCATCGCATCAAGGTGAGGAGGTACATCTCTGCCCTTTTGTCAGATCGGTTCTCTAACATGACATAGATCCCAGGGATGAGCTCCATCCGCAGGACTTGGGCTCGGGCTTGGGCCCAACCTGCGAGGAAAGCATTCGCACACCGGAATCGGCCCCAGAGATCGCATCCCACCCTCACCTCCACCCTCACTCTTCCACCCAACCGCGCCCATCAGACACCAGCGCCCAGACAAGCAGAGCAACCCGGGATATTCTCGCCCGGCTTGACTCTGAGATACTTGCCCTGTCGAGTGCCACGTTGCGCCAGTCCCTTATTCGACACCTGATGAGCCAGGTTCGAATCCTGATCAATACCATACGTCAGATCGAGCGTCTGGGCCCTGTAGGCGCCATAACCGACCCGTCCCGGAGATATTGGGGGCCTACCAGCCAAAGACATGGAATATGGGCGGATGCCGTGGAGAATGACAGCGACAGGAGGTGCAGAAACCCCGACAATTCCCATCCGTGGCCACCATCCATCGGATCGCACAAAACCGAAGGCTTCTTGTCTCAGAGCGATCCAGGGTATGGATTAGGCGCGGTGGGGCCAGACGGTAGTCGAGATGGCCCTGACCTCGGGACGACTTCGGTAGAGCCGGCGAGACCTGAGAGCACCTCGTCCGCAGGGGACGACGCGGCACGTCTCGAGAGTGGGATACGAGACCTGTTGGACGAGTTTTTAGACCCGATCCCACTGCCAGTCTCGGGGCCTGTCTCCTCTCAGCCCAAGTTGGGGCGAGGCGGCTACGGTGCATCTGCGCCTAACGTCGAGTTGGACGTCGAGTTGGACTTTTGGAGTTGAGAAGCCGCGACGGAATTCTACCAAGAGAATAGATAAAAAAAAAGAAATTAAGGCGACATATTTTCTACTGGTACTGAATGGTTGGGTCGCTGTAGGGTCGGTGCACTCTGCGCACCTGAACGATGTCCAGAATGAGATATTGACCATGATCACAAAGAATGATTCGATGATTCGACATTCGAGATGGACAATTGTTTAGAGCGATATCTCGATTGTGCGTGGTTTCTTACGTACTAGTCAGCCGCCCAAGATGAGCCATACAAAACAGCGGAGGCACACTAGATCTGAGCACTCCGAATGATATTCGCAAGTTCAATCGCCCTGCTTTAACTGTGATAAAGACTGTGCCATCTGCGAGACGCAGCGCCACTGGGAGCCGCATCGTAGCAGAACCGCCTCGTAGAGACCGACAAGACTACTGAGATTACAAGCACATACAGAACGCCCGTCCATCAGCTCCCGCCCCCCATGCTCCAGCCAATGTCGGAAGGGTTCATCCTGCTCCATTCCAAATAGCTCAAACGACTCTAAGCTGTCGCTGGCTGCTTGCAAGCTGGAGCCCATGGAACAGGCATCGCAGACTTGAACTGAGCGAGCATAGGCCCACACCACGAGGCCGGCCTCGTACAGGGCAATCGAGGCAATGAGCCCTATGTGTGGGATTGTCGAGGACGGGTTGTTGCCTTGCGTGTCCTGCTGGCAAAACTTGTCCCGCAACAGTTTCAGGATCTTGGCGGCATGCCAGACCGCCAACCTCGCATCCGGAGTCTGGACCCATCGTAAGGTGCTCGATTCGAGCTGTCTTCGGAAAGTGCCTGAGTATGGGCGCAGCCGGCTGTCGGTCGCTAGTTCTTTGAGTGTTTCCACATTGGCCGCTAGAACGATCTGCGAGAGGTGATACAGTGGGATAGCGCTGATCTCAAGCGTCTCCCTGTGACCCTTTGATGACAGCTCCGGGCCGAGTACCCTGTCTCTGTAGCCCTCCTTCCAAAGCGTCAGTTGCTTGGTCCAGAATTCGGAGCTCCGCGAGAAGCTGGCGGGCGTCTTGCTTTGCAAGTTCGACCGCACCCCTGCGGACTCTGTCCGGGACCGATGCCGCTGAGCGTCTTGCCAGAGCCATGCTTGCATCGCGCACAGTCCGTACAGGTACTCGTCCTCCAGGAGCGGGGGAAGGGTAGCACGGCAGTTCTGGTCCATGGCCTGATCGACCAAGTGCGTGAAATACATTGGATTCCGCTTTCTGGATTCGATCAGCTTCACTTTGTGCCATTCCTCCGCAGTCTGTGCCTCCCAGAGTCGTTCGGAACATGGCAGCGTGAGGCAGAACTCATCATATCTCAGCATCGGGCGGTATCCACGCAGGAAGTAGAAGTATATGTCTAGTCGAAACGCAAAGTAAGCTAGCCTAAAAGGGGACGCGTCAGTTTGATGGGTAAGATTTCGAAATGTTCGACCAGAGCTGCTACCTCTTCAAGGATTCCCGCCTAAGCCAGCTTGAGGGAATGGCGCCTTTGGCGTCATGGCGTGCGAGAATATACTGCTCATTAAACAGCCCGGCCTCCCTAAATACGGAAAGCATGATGCTGTGTTGCATATATGCTTCACTAAAGAATTGGTTGTCCTGGATATCGCATTAGTTGACAGCGTTATCACGCGCCGCAACGTCAATACAAAGTGGTAAAGGGGAGTAAATAGGGTGAAGGGTGCGCAATAAAGAAAAGTAAACGCTTACCGAGACCTGAAGCGTGAATATTGCATTCAGCAGCAAGGTCTGGTAGGTAGATACAGGCCAGCGCAACCCTACATCTTGCTTCGGCACCGGGCTGAACTGGGAATAGTCTCATGTTTAGTTGCACGCGCTGGAATTCTCGGGTGACTTGGTAACATACTAGTTTGTCTCGAAGCTTCTCAGTGATTTTCTTATGAATATCAAGGGCCGCGTCCATCCACGAGGGGATACCCGACTCCCACGCACCAATCATGGCCATGGTGTCTACCAGACCTTGGTCGTCTGTCTCTAGTTTGAACGTTGCCCTATGGACCACTGCCCACAGGCGGTGGAACTTGGCAAAGAAAATATCAATGCAGTGCTTGAGGGTTTGGAGCCCCAAAGGAAATAGGGACGGTGCAGCGGGCCTTGACGCCGTGTCGGAAGCCTCACTGTACAAAGGCAGGTTGTCTGGAGCCCATGCATCGCCATGCGATGACCATGAAAGGCCAGCTTCGTTAGTCGTGGATAGGAATGCTAGGCTGGAGTTGAAGATGCCGGAGGGGGCCGGAAGCCAAAGGTCCTGGGCACTAGAAGGCAACGCAGACTCCAGAAAAGTAGAGTCGAAAATATAGTCGAGTGTCTGTCTGTCAAGGTGGGAGGCTGGCGCGGTAGCACCAGCAGGCATTTCATCTTGGGATGGGCCATCAGGACATATCCTCCCGCGGACGGCGCCTGTCTCGTCAATAGATGAGACAGCTGTTGTGATGGCATGGGGTGAATCCGAAGTGACTGGTGGCCTTGGCAATGGCTGCTCTGGACTGGCCGTCGGAAGTGCGGCCTCCGCCCCAAGCGTCGACAATCGTGCAAAGGGCTCGACGCGATAGTTTTCGTCGGGACTCTGCGGCGAGACCGGCGGGTAAGCCGTCAAGTGCGCTGGCTCTGCTGGGATCTCTCGCGGGTGTTGAGATGCTGCCCTGTCCAGTGCTTCCCATGGTACGTCATTGGAGTTCAGAGTAGCAATGGACCCATTTCGCTCGGGTCCGGCGGGTGTTGGAAGATGAAACGATTGTGGAGGGGTGTGGCCACTCTGCCCTGCCAGCAGCATGGTATCAACGTCGAAGCATCCGTCGCCGCTCGGCTGGTCGTGCAGCAAGGCGGAAGTGTATAGGGAGGACTCTGTGGTATAAGCTGGCGTTTGCGGCTCGACTGGCACGGCAGCTCGGTCCTCAGCGGCTCGGGCCGGCTCGGTGGTGTTGCAGGGGTATTGGCAAAGGCTGTTTGACCGTTGACAGGCCTGGCAGGGGAGCTCCCCCGTGCAGGCGGCCTTGCGAGAGTGGCAGCGGTTGCAGGCAGCCACCACCCGGCGCCGGCGGCGACTGGTGCGGCGGGAGTTGGTCGACGAGTGCTGCGAGGCAACATGACGCTTGAGGACGTCCCTGGCAATGAGGAGACATCACGTCAGTAAATAGAAGCTGAGGGGGTGGATTGCTCACTGGCGACCATAGTTTTTGTGGCAAACGGGGCAATCGAACGGCTTCTGCAGCCTGTGCGACCGCAGATGGCGCTCCAGGTGTTCGTTGCGCCGGTAGGCCTTGTTGCAGCCCAGGACGGTGCAGACGTAGCCCCGGGCATCTTCGTGAGGGTCCATCGAAGCATCCAGGGCTGGCATTGTCAATGCAGGCTGGAGCGTCAGGAATGGGGGACGGAGAGGCAAGAGCTGAGAATCACCTCATCCGAGCGTTTCTACGTTTGTTTCCTATGGGCTCTTGGGCCAAGTGCGGGGTGCGGAGCGACACCCAAGATTGGAGTTGGAGAGCATCCATCGTAGTTGGCACTCCTTAAGGGCCACTAAGATTCGCAGGTTGTTAATGAGTAATGACCCGGGCGTCCGGTTGATCTTGTCATCCCGGGCGATCCAGCCATCCTGCGTGAGTTGATCCTCTACACTATTTTAGTTAGCTCGATCAACTCTATTCTGATACGATTGGTATAGCTCGAATGCTATGCTTAACTAGTTGGAGCCTGAGACTTTCGTTCTTCACAAAAACTTTCTGTCGAAATGCGGGCCCATGCGATGACTTGTATCATACCCAGCTGTACGGCCTCTCCGAGCTAGCCAACATGATTGACTAAATACTTTGAACAAGGCAAAATACGAGACTACCTAAATTAGGCCATTGCATGCAAAAGAAAGCCTTGGCCTTAACGACAACGAGGTAGCGGAGGGTATCCTTTGCACTCCTTTCTTTCGGGAGCATACGAGGCAGCAATAGACTGCGGTAAATTACCCCACTCGGCACGATGAAAATAAACGAGAATAACCATATAGTGAAAAGTATAATTTACCCCACATCATGCCGATTAAAGAAGAATGAACAACAGTATGCTGCTGACTCGGCTGAAGTCTAATTAGTTTGGTCTCCACCTCGCAAGTTGACCGAGTTGAACGAACCTGGGGAAACTATACGTCTGGTGCGTATGCATTATGCTGCATAAGGGAGATCGTGTCATCGGACACACAGGCACAATATACAAAATGGCTGAAAAGAGGATTGATTCTCCACTCGGCTTGAAGGCATCTCGATCAACCACCCCCACATCGGCTTATCGAGACTATGACGACGTGCTTGTCGGATGCAAGTGCCGTGGGTGCTCAACTGAAGGGCAAATGCTTCTCAGAACAGGGTACACAGAGGCCGAACAAGCATAAGTCATGAATCTAGGGCGATGACTTTACCGCGTGGGGGGCTGCTCCTTGATTACGAACGTTTCTCTGGACCCTTGTTAGATGGCTAAAGACAAAAGGACTCCATGTAAAAGACCCTTGAAAGGACTTTTTTATAGAAAAGACTGGTAGTCAAGGCCCTCTAAGCTACGCGACAATGGCATCCCAGACAACCCTTTTGAGGCTTTCACAGCCTTATCTCGAGCTCCTTCAGGAGTGGCAAGAAGCGCACTCTCTTGCGGCTTCGATAGCTGCTACAGTAATTGCGACTACTCTGTTGTTTGCAGCATACGTCTTGTATGCTCGCTCATTCTCGCCGCTTGCCAAAATCGACGGGCCGTTCTGGGCGGCGCTCTCTCGCCTCTGGCTTGTGAAGCATTCGAGCGATGGCGACATGCACCGCGTCATCATTGCGGCGCACAAGCGCTACGGGGATCTTGTCCGGACCGGCCCCTCAGAAGTCAGCGTTGCCGACCCCGGCGCCATCAAGAAGATATACGGCGCGGGCACCAAGTTCCGCAAGAGCGACTGGTATAGTGTCTGGCAGGGGCGGCGGAAGTTCGATATCTTCCCCGAGCGGGATGAAAAGATTCATGGGACGCAAAGGAGGCTGGTGAGCCACTTGTATGCCATGAAGTCCTTGGTGCAGTACCAGGATAAGGTCAACGAGGCGATCGAGGTCTTTGTCAAGAGGATCCGGGATCATGCGAGCCACCAGCCGCTGAATCTAGGTGTATGGGTTCAGCTTTTCGCTTTCGGTAAGTCCAATTACCCTATACCATGCACCTAGCCTCACGAGCTGCGGTCTAATACGTCTTGGACAGATGTCATTGGAGCCATTACCTTCTCCAAGCGGTTTGGCTTCCTTGAAGCTGGCAGCGACGACGGCCAGTTCAAGATCCTGGAACGCGCCCTCCGCTCGGGTGCGTGGGTTGGACAGATGCCGTGGTTATATTGGCTGAACGAAGCCGTGACGCCATACACCGGCAATTGGCTGGATGTGATGGTGCGACATGGCTCCGTGAGACAGTTCGCCAAAGCTCAAGTCGATGCGCGGGTGGCCACGGACAACACGTCGTACACCGATTTGCTTGCCCGGTTCTTCGATGTCAACAAGCAGAAACCCTCGGACTTTGACGAGACCGCCGTGCTGTCGATGGCGACCTCGAACATCTTCGGTGGCTCCGACACGACGGCGATTGCCCTCCGAGCGATCATCTGGTGCGTCCTCAAGAACCCACGCTGCAAGGAGAAGCTCGTGGAAGAGATCAACGAGCGCCGGCGCAACGGCCAGCTGTCGTTCCCTGTAGCCCTCGAGGAGGCAGAAAATATGCCATACCTGCAGGCGTGCATGTACGAGGCCCTGCGTCTGCATCCTGCGGTTGGCATGTCTCTTCCCCGGGTCGTGCCCGACGGGGGGATCGAGATCGACGGACGCTTCATTCCTGCCGGCACGACTATTGGCGTGAATCCGTGGGTCGCGCATCGTGATGAGCGGATCTTCGGGAAGAATACCGAAGAATTCAGGCCGGAGAGGTGGCTTGTCGAGGACAGGGCCGAGTTGGAACGGTATTTCTTCGCGTTCGGCAACGGGGCCCGGGCTTGTCTTGGTCGCAATATCAGTTGGATGGAGATGAGCAAACTGGTCCCAACCCTCTTTAGCCAGTTTGACGTGTCACTTACCAGCAGCGATGCACAGTGGACGGAGAAGTGCTGGTGCGTGCATCTATCATCCCTGCCATGTCTGCATTTCTGTGCTAACCAAACCTTTCATCGCAGGTGGTTTGTCAAACAAGACAATGTCTATGTCAAGTTTGCACCTTTGAAGAAATAAAGGCCGGAGCGTCGCAAGGTGGGTAAATGGCGTATACTACTATAGGTGATAGAGGTAGAACAGATTCTCGAGTTTCTTTGTAACGCCTAGCACTCATCAATGAAGTACGAATTCTTCTTGTTACACGAACTCTAGCCTTTTTCCATTGTAGATATTTCTTAGCACGAATGATCTTTATACGCGGAGTTCAGACCTGGGAAATACTTCTTCCCTATGAATACCTGCCAGGTTACGAGGGCCTGTTTAGATTAGCTTATATATATATGTTATATAACTTTCTACAAAATCTTTGTACTAGGTTCGTGATGTTATTATCTAGCGACTTTTTTTTTTTTTTTTAATTAATATCTTAACGTTTTACACTTAGTACCCTACCAAAGGCTACTAGTTATAGGAGGCCCTGCCTTTTGGAGTGTAGCAGCGGGCAAGGCTTGTAGAGTTGTAGAATCGGAGCCACAGCTAAAGTCAATTTCAAGGCGGCGTGTATGATCGAAACGCTGTTCGATAGCCCACAACCAGACCTACGACTGGATCGTATAATCTATGCCAGCCACAGAAGAGTATTCGTCATATCTCGGTAGGTCAATGTCGCTACTTAGTTGCAATGTCGATAGCTACAGGTTTGAATAGAGGCTGGGGAGAGGCTCAATAAAATCTCCCGTTTCAGGGATCCGCTCGCCGTCAACCCAATTGCCATGTACGGCAGATCGCATTCCTGGATCCTGTCAGTAAGTGTTTAGCAGGATCAAGGAGATGACGCACGGAAGGGTAGCACGATCCTGGCGACGATGTTCTGAAAGTCCTTGGTGTCTTGAATGATCTGCGGCAGCACCTCCATGTCAGCATGTGGACCGTGTCCGCTTTTCTTCACCAAGAAGGGGCCAACTAACCACTTCGTTCCTCAGTTTCGGAACATTGTCGATCATGGTGATCAGGAAACCGTCTCCTTCGGGTGCCTCCGGATACCGTGGGCTGAAGCATGGCTCTTGCACCAGTACGCCTGGCCCTGGCGACATGATCTCTAGCTTCCTTGTTTCGGAGTCGAATCGGCCAAGGCAGTTAAGCCCACGGAAAACCAGAGCCGGGTCGACCATGGACTCGGGGTTGAAGCAATCGAGGAAAGTATAGCGGGCTGTAGCCTGTTAGCCGTCTCGGCGACTTTTGCTGAGAGCACAGGTGCGACAATGGGGATAACTTACATCGTTTGGTCAAGAATCGCTCGTCTATGCGGGGGAATTCACAAGGGAGGTCGACCAGAATCTCTAGATGCGTGTCAACGCCAGTACTTGATGGGCATACCACTCAACTGGGCATCTGTACCTGGGTCTGCAACTTCTTCCGAGACAGCATTAGGGTCAATGGAGAATCTGACATAGTTGACCGTAACCGGCTTTGGCTCGCCAGTTGATGCAGAGCTTCTCTTGATCGCTAGCCGAGGATGGGTCAGGAAAGTCTGCTCGGTGCATGGTGTGTGTGTGTGTGTGGTACTTACGCAGAAAGGGGAACGTGTTGCTTGATGCAACTGTTGTGTCGAAAATGCTGTCACAACGACAATCAGCGCGCCGTTCAAAGTCGAGCAAGAGCCTGTTGCTACTCACATGTTTCGTCCCTCTTCCCAACATGCGCCAGTATGAATCGGCATCGAGTTCTTCCAGTGGAAAGTCCGTACGGGCTTGTCCATGTCCCTGGGCACAATGTAAAAGTACGTCGGCAGGCCCTCGTCGTAGGTCCTTGCCGGTGGAAGTCAGCACCATGAGACGCTTGAACGGGGCCTTGTCCTACCAGAGGTGACCATCCTTGGTCTTCAGCTGCTCAAAGCTCGTGCGGAAGGGCATCTGCTGCAACACAATGTAGTTTCTGGTCTAAGAAAGGTAGAGTTAGCGAGCGATCTGGGGTACGGGGACGAGGTGAAGCGTCAAGTACAATCGCGCAGTCGTGGATGAACCCAGTGATGACTCTTTCAAACGGTCGTTCAAATGTCTTCTTCCCATTCCTGTCAAGGATCCAAACAGTACACTACAACAAAGCCATTAGATAACAAGAGCCTTTATAAGATGGATTTCTCACGTCATTGCTTTCGGCTCCCTTGAGTCCGTAGCCAAAGCCGACGAGCTCACCCGTGTCAGGATCAACCTTGGGGTGCGCCGTGTAGGGCCCATTGACCGGGATCTGACCAGGGAAAGGGTTGTGGCCGACGGTGGCCATGGTATCTTTATGTTTGTTGTTCTATGTGTCAGCCCCTAGAAGGCGTTGGTGGGCAAGGAAGAAAAGGCGCTCGCTCACTTGGGTCCAGCTCATACGGCGCGCCCAGCTCCCCCAAGGCCAGCAGTTTCCCTGCATGGACAATGATATTGGTGTTGGCCACATTGTCCTCCATGGACCTCACGCAAGGGTGATGGGAAAAGGGGCTTGTCATAACCCCAAACATGGCTCGGCCAGCCTTGCGCTCGGCCAGGAACCGCTCTGTCAAGACATATCGCTGCTTGAACGAGGCCTTTCCGTCTTCAATTCGAAATGCACTGATACTACCGTCGGCATCGAACGATGTGGTCTTTGCACCGCCCTCGTAGTAGTCTCGCTCATAATACGGATCATGGGAAACCTAAGGGACACAGGCACCGGGTCAGGCTGTGGACACCTAGAGCAAGTTCTGGGGGACTACTTACACGATAGAAGGTGCCGCAGAGCTCCAGTGGGATCTCGCCCTCAACCTCGAGGTCGTCGAGCTCTGCGTGGGCTCGGAAGGGCCGCGAGGCGCCGGCGAAGTCCTCGTAATTAGTAGACAGAGCGCGCACCATGGTTAACGAAATCGAGTGTTGTGTCTGGCAGGATTCTTGTTGCCTTGGTGGAGGGGTTAATGATGATGATTTACCGTCCCAGCACTGGATACAGAGAGGTTTGGCATCTTTATATGGGGGCTTTGGGACGTGCTGCCCGTTCCACCAGAAGGCCACGACCATACCGTGTGGGGCATTAGGGCGTAAGTTGGAAGAAGTGATTGTTATTGTTACAGCTCCTACTCTGGACTCTGGAGTCTCGCTTCCCCTCACGCATTCAAGAGAAACCCCAGTGAGGTGGCAGGTTAGTAATACCCCACACGTTCCATGTTGCCCGAGTGTCATCATTTTGTGGAGGATCAACACCCCACACCATCTATGGAAAACCTGGGGAGTACCGGAGGAGCGGGGAGGATTCGCAGGAGCTTCTGTTGAACACCACTGCTTGAATGGTGATCGAGCACCCAGAAAGATCTGGGAGGGGCTGGTCATAGGATTACTTTTGTAGGCTCGTCCTATAGCTCCAAGGGATAGAATTTAGGTATGGGGCGAAGTCTTGCATTTGATAAGCCACACAGGTGCTCTATCTACTGAAACTGGCCATTGGCCGTAGCACCGGGTCCATTCTTGTAGCTGAACGCAAATCAAGAGGCAAGAGAATTCTAGCACATGGGGAGAGCCTCGACGCGCCATGCTGATCTGCGCAACCGCCAATCGAGCAGAGACGCAGAACGATCATCAGGAAGCAAAGCTCCCTTTCCACGGGAAGATTCTGTTTGTTGCTGATGGGGAGGCCTACGAAATCGAGGATCGTTTACAGGCCTTGGAGCCCGAGTGGCTTGGTAAGGAGAATAGCAGACTGCAGGCTCGAAACATGCAGTAGATGCACTCGTCACTCATCGACTCTTTTTCAAGGTTAGGGCAGGCCATGGAGTCAAAATGGAGAACGGGCTTACAACGGGTAGCAGGACGACGTCTAGTAGTTACAATGGCGGTTGGATAACATGTAGTTGTAAGTTTACTTTGTTGCTTTGGTCCGTTGTAAAAAGATTATTACCTTGAGCACTTGGCCATCAAGCGAAGCCCTCTGCAGGTTTAAACAGATCAGTGGGAGGGTCTTTGGAAAAGGAGCTCTATAGGCCAACACTTCATGTTCCATCTTGCTTGTGGCTCAACAGAGGCGAGATCTCTTCATCATACCAGGGACTGCGACACCAAGCGGCCTAGAAAATCTTCCATGTCGGCAGAGATAGGGTTTCTTGCTGGACAAGGTTTCCATTTAGATAACGAATCTCGTACTCATTTCCATCTTGTCTTGCTTGGCCCCCTCAGCTCAGATCAACAAACACAGTCTTGGTCTCTGTCCAGATATCAAGCCCTTCCGAGCCGAGTTCCCTGCCGGTCCCAGAGCCTTTGGTTCCGCCAATTGGAAGGTTCTCGCAATGATACGGCGAGGTAGTGTTGATGCCAATGGTTCCAGCCTCGAAGTCTTTGGCAAACCGCAGACCGCGCGAGGTATCCCGCGTGAAAACACTGGCGTATAAGCCGAACTCGGAATCATTTGCTTGCGATATCGCCTCGTCTTCAGAGTCGAACGGAATGACGCACGCAACGGGTCTGCAGTCTGTTAGTATATATATATATATATTAATTAAACCCTCTTGACTCACCCAAACACTTCCTTCCGCACAATATCGCTGCTCTTTGGCGGATCCCAGATAACCACCGGATCGACAAAGCAGCCCGTCCCTTCAGACGGAACATCTCCCATGGAAAAGCAGCATGCTTGCTGCTTCGCTCCCTCCAGCATCGCCTTGATCGAGTTGAACTGTTGGCGATCTGCCACTGGACCGGATGTCGTCTTGGGGTCTAGAGGATCACCAGCATGGCCTCTCACTTGAAGGATCTTATCCTTGTACACCGTGAGAAACCGGGCGGCCACCGACCTATGCACGTAGACTCTGGTACTGGCCATGCAGATCTGGCCAGAATTGAACATGACGGAAAATGCGGCGGCCTGGGCAGCCTTTTCCAGGTCGGCATCTGCGAAAACTACCAAGGGGCTCTTCCCTCTGCGGGCATGTCAGTACGGACGGCAAAAAAAAAAAAAAAAAAAAAAAAAAAAAAGTATCATGAGCCATACCCCAGTTCGAGCGTGCAGTCCTTTAGGTTTGATTCAGCGGCCGCTTTCTGAACAAGCTTGCCCGTGTGTGCACTCCCCGTAAACGAGATCTTGCGGATCTTCATATGGCGAGCAAGGCAGTCGCCGCAGGGCTTCCCAAGGCCCGACAGGATGTTCAGAACTCCGATTGGCAGCCCAGCCTGCTTGGCAAGACGAGCAAAGAGGAGAGAAGTCAGCGGAGACTTCTCCGACGACTTCAGCACCAGCGTGTTTCCGGCGATTAGCGAGGGCCCGATCTTCATGCACATCATGATCAAGGAAACGCTGTTTCCTCGCGAGTCAGCGTTAATCTATATATACAGGATCTCCACGTTAGACTGGCTACCTACTTCCATGGGATGATGGCCGCTGTGACGCCATACGGCTGCTTTAATGTCAGGTTCAAGTGGGTGTCCGTGGCCAGTGAGGTAACCCCGGCGATGTCGTGGCCGTTGATGCGATGTAAGATGTACATGAAACTGTGTCCCTTCTCGAAGCCGTCGGACGATGCGGCGATGAATTCGTCGATCGTGCCCTGCTTCCAGGATGTGACGATGAATGCATCGTCAACTGCAGAACACGACCAAGTCAGCCACGGAGGTCATCCCCCTATATGTAACGACGGAACAAGAAACAAGGGAACAAGACACACAGAACATGGATCGATACTCGGCCCACCTGGTACTTGTTAGCATATCGAGGCAGTAGCAAGCGAGGCGGGGGCGTTACTCGGCCGCGTCCCGATACACCCATCCTTCGCAAATCTCCCTGATCTTGAAACGCTCCAGGGCCTCTGCGTCGAGAAATAGGCCGCTGGAGTTGTTACACAGCGCGCGGTCTGGCACGAGGTCGGGCAAATGGGTGACCGGGTATTGGTTATCGGATCTGGGGCCCTTGTCTGAAGCCATCGTCAGCTCGTGGGACAGGCGGGTTCGTCTCGCTCCTTGAAGGTCACTTTAACTTGGGGCTTCTATGATGGATGTGATGAACGTGGATGTTTCGAACTCAGATATCAACTTATTCGAAGACTATGTAGGCCCGGAGGAACGATAAGCTATTTCCAAAGTTACAAAATTCTCCACCTGCACCCCATCGGCTTCGCTCCCCACGCGACTGTTCGCTAGACTTGTCCCCGCCGAGCTTGCAGCCGGCAGACCAACCCTTGTTGAACGGGGAACCTGCGCGTTGGCGCATTAGCAATCATGTGGGGAGATGGGGAGACGGGCAAAGACTCACCAGTAGTTGGCGGTTTTCAGATCTTTTTCTGGTGCGACCAGAACGATGTCAAACGCGCGGAATAGCTGCGGGATCAGCTTGGACATCTCCTGCCCCGCCGTTAGCAATGATGCGACAGTGACTGGAGCCAGCCGAGCCTCTTACCATCATGGAGATGTTCTTGCCAATGCAGACGCGGCTCCCCGCGCCGAATGCAAGAGACGACCGCTCCATTTCCTTCAGGCGCTCTGGATCCGCGTCCAACCACCTCTCAGGCCGGAACTCGTCCGCATCCTCGCCATAGACCCCCTTGTCGCGGCCAATGACCCAGGGGTTCATCCCAACCACGTAGCCCTCGGGGATGAACTTGCCGCAGATGGTGGCGCCGCCTTTGGGCACATGCCGCTCCATCAGCATGCCTACGCTGGGATGAAGCCTCATCCCCTCCTTGATGATAGCCTGTAGATACGGCATCTGCCGCGCCTCGCTCTCCTTGACCGGGTCTGATAGCCCTCCGGCCTGGTCCAGTTCGTCAATTTCACGGCGCAGCCTATTGTAGCAGACCGGGTTGGTAATCAGGTTGTGGATGATAGAGCGCAGGGCGATGGCAGTGGTGTCACTCCCCGCGAGCACGTTGGTGCTGGTGTGGTTTACAATGTCCGCACTCCCAAAGGCGCTGCCAGTCGTGCTGCCGCGGACACCCTCCTTCGCCATCTTCTGGAACCGAACCAGGAAGTCGTCCCGGCCCTTGTTTACCTCTTCCGCCTCCATTTCCCTCATGCACTTATTGGCAAAGTTGACGGCGGGGTTGAAGGTCTCAATAGCAGGCATAACAATTGGCAGGATGGGGTTCCCGACCAGCAGCTTATGCAGCCAGGGAATCTGCCCTACAACAGCAGCATAGATGAAAAATGACCCGATAGAGCTGATCACGTTGTCGACGTCTCTCGACTCTTCAATAAACCCCAGTGTCCGAGAGAAGGTGAGGTTACCAATCACATCAAACGCGTACCATCTAGCCCCGTTAGTATGTATGATGGATGCTTCTTGTCTGATATACGAGAGGGGGCATACTGAAGCCACTCCCCGAGGTCGAATGCTTGGTTCTCCCTCTCAAAGCTCGCGAGCTTCTCCATAAAGAGGCGCGAGACGTGATCGACCTTGTGCTCGAGCTCCGCCAGTGCGGCCATACTATAGGTGTGTGCCACCGGCCGCTTGATTCGGCTATGGTAGGCCTCGTCGCGAGTGGCGAAGAGGTTCATCAGCGGTTTCTTCTCGTAGCGTGCTGCCTGGATGGGGTAGAATGCAGTCTTGGTGAATCCTCCGTTCACCGAATAAATCGTCTTGATCGCTGCCGGGTCCCCGACGGAGACGTGCTTGGGTCCGAGCCGAACCAGGGCGCCATATTGCCGGTGGAGAGCGATTGCTGTGGTTTCATCGGCCGTAGAACACAATGACGCTGATAATGGGCCAGGGCTCACCTGTGTACTGAGAGCTTCCCTTGTAGGTATCCCAGGTTTTCCAGATGCTGGAGAAGCTGGCCCAGAAAGGCCCCGGGATACCCTGGAGATGACGGTCGAATTTGACGGAGAGGTAGTAAATAACGGCCGTGCAGAGGGCCACGAGCCACAAGTTTGGGGAAATGTAGAGATCATACTGACTCCGAAGGCGAGATTGCCCGGATGGCAGAAGCCAGTCCAGGGAAGCATCAGTGATAAGGCCCATTCTGAGTCTCAGCAGTAGTAAGAAGGCGGTTAGCAGAGAACTTTGAAAAGGCGACACCAGAGCCGTCAATAGTCCATTTCAGCGTCTACTTTGTTATAAGATGGAGAACACGTCCCACCCCACGCCGCCAGAATCCGGGGTATCTCAATGCTAATGCCCTGGGTTGATGATCATCCCCGCCGGCTCCCTCCCCACATGTTCCGGACCGCGCATGTAGGACCACCGTTGCTGCAAGGTCGGTCGGTGGGAACGAGTCCGTTGGCATCGGCTTTCCAGTCATTGAAGAACACATCTTGTGCTCGTTTCTACATTGTCTAGGCTGCGCCTTTCACCTGAATCCGACCAAGCCTTGGCCCTTAACACCGTCCCTGTTATCTGTCTTTACCTAGCAGCAGTCAGTGTTTTGGAACAGCCAGAATGCTTCTTGTGTTGGCTGCAGCCATGGTAGCAATCACCTGGCTTGCATTTGGGCTGATCGCTCCATCACCTCCGACAAAAGGCAGCCAGGGGCCCTTACCTGGCCCACCAGGTGCGCCGCAAGCATTCCAGTCTTTGAACTGGCCATAATATCCGCTAACCATGACTCCCAAGGCAAACCAATCGTTGGAAACCTCTTTGAGATCCCCCCGTACCATTCCTGGCTCAAGTTCAAGGAATGGGCTGACATTTACGGGCCAGTCTTCCGCCTCAACCTCATGGGCCGGCAACACGTTGTATTGTCAACCGAGAAGGCCGCCAATGATCTCCTGCGTGAGCGAGGGACATATTATTCGTCGCGTGAGTTCCTGCCAATGGCGTCTGGAATCCTCTCGCGCGAGATGAGGCCTTTGCTTCTCCCGTACAATGGTGAGCCCCCCCGCGGAGGAGCCACACCCGGAAGAAGAAAAAAACGCGCTAACTGCAGCCTGGTTTCTTGCAGACCGATGGCGCCGAGGGCGCAAGCTAATGCATCAGTTAACGATGCCGGCAGCAGCCGACTCTTACCAGGCTGTCCAGGACTACGAGTCCAAGAAACTGCTTGTCTCCCTGCTCGAGGCACCTGACAAGTACGACAAGTGGTTTGAGCTGTACGCCTCCGGGGTTGTTTTCCGGATTGGATTCAGCAAATGGATTGAAACCGGCGAGGAGCCTGCTGTAAAAAGAATCATCCAGGTTAACCATAATCTCGAGCGAGTCGCATCCCCTGGATCCTACCTGGTTGATTCAATCCCACTTCTTAGCTACCTGCCTGAATTCCTGGCCCCCTTCAAGCGCGAGGGACGGAGATTGCACAATGAAGAGCTGAGCCTCTTTCGGGAACTGCAGTCTGACGTGCGGCGTGAAGTGGACAATGGCTCTGAGGCACAGTCCTTTACGCGCACCTTCCTTGAGAACAAGAACAGCTACCAGCTCTCCGACGACGAGGGGGCCTATGTGATCGGCACTCTGTTCGAGGCTGGAAGCGGCACGACCGCAGCGGCCATGATGTCCTACTGCCTGGCCATGTGCCATTTCCCGGAATGGCAGAAGCGGATGCAGGACGAACTGGACGAGCAGGTCGGCGAGCGCATGCCGGAATTCAAGGACATGCCAATCCTGCCGACGGTGCGTGCTGTTACCAAGGAGGTGTTGCGGTGGCGCCCCGTCACCGCAGGTGGCTTTCCTCACCAGCTGACCAAGGACGACGAGTATAATGGGTTTTTCTTCACTAAAGGGACCATCTTCCATCCCAACCAATGGTAAGTGGTAACCCTCCCTGTTCAATGTGGCCGACGCTGATTCCCACGCCTCCACTCCAGGGCCATCCACCGAGACCCGGCACTGTACCCTGACCCAGACAACTTCCGACCAGAGAGATGGCTGGACCCAGCGTTCCCAACCACCTACAAGGAACCGCTGTCCAAGTTCCCCAACCTGCAGAACTTCAGCTGTTTCGGGTTCGGGCGCCGCATCTGCCCAGGCCAGAACATCGCTGAGCGGTCTCTGCACATCTTAACGGCCCGCATCGCCTGGGCAGGCAGCATCGCTAGGAAGAGAGGCCCCGACGGAAAAGAGCTGCTGCTGCCGCTGTACGACTACACCCGGGGCTTCAACACGCAGCCAGAGCACTTTGCCTTTGACATGGTTGCGCGTTCGCAGGAGCGGCATGAAGCCATCAAGGAATCTCTCAAGGACGCAAGGTCGAAACGCCCTGCGTAGTCGCCAGGAGCGGGCTATACCGTAACTATAGGGTGTCGATAGTTGACATGTTCACTTTTCGCACGACGCGTCAAAGCAATAAAACGAGACGATTTCGAGTCGAGATTAGTAGAAACCATGGAAAAAGAAGAATGCAGTGCTAGATATGCCATCCTCCAGTCGCTATATGTTTAATTGTTTTGTCAAATTCAGTACATACGACCACAGGGTGTGGAAAACAGGGCTTCCCGTCCGCTCAGCCGTACTTAAGCCACAATTATCAACGTGGTTAGAAGTATAATAAGCCCCGAGTGCGTTGCTACTCTTAGGGGTAATAGACACTAACTCTTGGGTAAGTGCAGGTGAGATAGGTGATAACGCGGTGAGAATATTACCTACTTAGATAAGTGGGGGTGGGAAGGGTGAGTAAAGAGTTTATAAAGTTCAGGGACCTGCTATAATAAATAGCAAGGCTTTTCCTACTTTTATCCAATATCTTTTAAACCTATAATAGATATATTTACTCTTACTATCTATATTCTTCCTATCCTTATCTCACGTGACCAAATGGCACTACCCAAAAAATCTTTAAAATATAAGAAGCTTGTGAACTTTAGAAGTTTATAGAATTATATAGATTTACAGAAGAATACTAATAGGAGCTAATAAATAAAAAGAATATTATTAGCTATAAGAAAAGGTCCCCGGCTACTGATAAGAGATATAAATATATTATTAAAAACTAGAGAATATAAGAAGAGTCTAGCCTACCCTGAAATTAAAATAGATAATATTAATTAATATAATAAAATAGATAGATACTATCAAGAGACTAATCTCAGGATTTATACTTTAGAATAAAGAACCCTTATCCTTCTATCTAGATTCTTAAGCTATTTTTAAAGAGCTATATTATACTTTATAAAAGTCTATTACTAAGCTAGTATAATATCTTATAAAATCTTTCTTATTTTATAAGTAAATAAGAAAGAGTCAGGTTAATTAAATTACTAGATACTCTTAAGAATAATATTTATAATATTTATTTACTATCTCTCTTATTTAATACCTATATTAATAGTAGTAGTATATCAAGAATAAACTTACTCCTAAATACAGGCTATATACTAAATATAGAGAAAAGTTTCCTGTAATAAAGATAGATCTTAATATTCTTATTTAATATCTCTATAAAAGTGATTATAAGGTCCTTGGCCTTTGGGGTTGTTGTAAATAGTGTGAAAGAGTGTAATATACCTAATAATCAAGAATATAGTATCGTGATAGCTGGATTTCAAGAATAAAGAATAGTTAATAGATTAATACTAAAGTTTTAAGTATACACCCTTCATGAAATAAAGAGGTATCTCTCTAGCTGAGTCAGCTTCAGGCTGACTTAGCTTGCGAATACTTAGTATTCTTCGCAGAGGCCTTACAAACTCCCATGGCCGTTAAGAACAAGGAGTCTATATTAGCTGACTTTTTAAGTATTTGTAGCAGGTAAGAAGACCTCTCTAAGTCACTACAGGCCAATATTATTATTTGTCCATCTGTTTACTAATAATTTAATTTGCCAGTCACGTGGGAGGTTGCATTTACTAAACCATCCTTCTATATAGACTTTTCCTTTAAATATTATGGTACTGGGAATGCTCCACCCCATTAAATTAATACACTTAATTATTATTACCCACTCACGCTGGCCTGGCTGTACAAGATAAGGTTTACCAGGCATGTTAGCTCTTGTCATGACTTTTATAGTTGTAATTATTTTATTACAAAGCCTGTTTTGTTAAAGTTAAAGATATCCTTATCTAATATTCCAAACTCCACCTATATATCTTGTAGAGTTGTAAACAAGTCCTGTATAAGCTTTGGGTCCTTGTATTTAGCTCTCTTATAGGCATACTTTCTAGTAAATTAACAGCAGATCTCTTCATGGTATTTAACAAAGGAGGTAACCCAGTTCTTGCTAACAGGGTGGAAGGAGGAGGGGTCTGCAGTTTATAGAATTATATTTGCTATTTCTTGTATATAAGCAGGTTATGGAGCAACTCCATGCCTATCCTGTAATATAATCCACTATATTAGAGTATTCTCTTGAATTTCAGAGAGTCTAAGGTTCTGGTTGCGGTGTTCTAATTTAAATTAAATTCCTTGTACGCGGTCGCGGAGAGTTCTGTATGAGATATTAAAGGCACGCGCCGTTGGATGAATTTTATGTTTTTTGTCTTCTTTTAAGTATTTAATTGCAAGTAGAATCCGGCCCTCTTGATCAATCAAATCTTGACGATTTTTCTTTCGATTTGGAGGCATGGTGGTTGCTTGAAGAGAGACGTGTAGAACACGCATTGACTTTTTGACGTGGCGGTCGGAGCACCCGAGCGGTCGGAGGACCCGTGAAATACGTTATCCAACACTACGCTGTAAATGACTAAGCTGCTTGGCAACCATGCAAACGTCTTCTCAGACTGTTTCTATCTCTTTCATCCACCACAACCAACATGGACCGATTACCTGTCGAGATTCTCTTGCACATCTACGAGCACTGTGATCAATTTCGTCAAGCGACGTCCCTGTCGTCTGTCAACAAGCGATGGCGCTCTATGTGGGAAGACAAGATGCCGACCATTCTGTGGCATGTCGGGACGGCCAGCGTTGTCGGCTTCAACGACGCTTTGATGGCAGTAAGCTTCTTCTCTGGTAGTGAACATGTCTAAGTGGATAGGCCCGAGCAACTACAATTGTCAAAGAGCAAATCCAGGCTGACAAACTGCCTCCGCATCCGTTCCCACTGCCATCTCTCCGGGACCCCAAAGTCTCGCTGGACGAGCTCATGGCGGTCTTTGATCTTCAACACCTTGCGGAATGCCTGGAGTACAAGCAGTGCCATAAGACCGACTGGGCTACCGACAATGACCTGACGGTCGACGCGATCTGGAGAGAGCGCTTTCGTCAGTCGCTGTACCGGGTCTTTCTCGCCGCTGCTGCCTTGACGGGCGCATATCAGGAGCCTTTCCTTAAGCAGACAGACGATTGTCCGAAATCGTTTGTCAAAGGCTATAAAGACGAGCTTATAGAAGACCCCGATGTACAGAACTTTGCTGAGGTGCTCACCCCGCAAGATTTTCGCTATCTGCTCCAGTTTCCCGTCTACAACTTCCAGGACTATGAAAGGCATGACGATACCTATGGTCGCCTGGCAGAGTTTCTGTTCCAACTGAGCCAGGAACGAGCCTGCCATGAGGGAATGGAGGACAACGCCCTGGATAGGCTTCTTTCGGACCACTCGCCAGAGGCCAGGGTCTTGTTCCACGAAACATCGCAGCTACTGGTCGCTTTTGAGTGCCTGCAAGAGAACACTGTCCGATCCGAACTTGGTCATGATGCGATGGGTGGAACTGGCCGGAAAGCCCTCATTGTGTCATTGGGATCGTTCTTCCCTGTTGAATTCGACCTGCCACTCTGCTCTGCAAACGTCGACCCCACCGGCCTGGCATACAAGAATATCACTGTCGACAAGCCCCCGGAGGTGCACTACCTCGGTCCATTGGACATTCTCTTGGATCTTGTCTTCAGAGAGTCAGGCCAACCCAACTATTACGACACCACCTGCCCTGCGCCCGCACCGCCCCTGCAATTCTTCGAGTACATGTACCGGAAGTATCTCGGCCTCAGGTTCTCCAAATCGGCGTTCGAGGAGTCCAAATATGCCCCATATCCCCGCTGGGTTGCCGACGCCAATGTTTTTTTCGACTCGTTCCGCATGTGGTCTGATAGCTTTGATGGGGCTCTTGTAGCTGACACCCCGCTGCCAGCTTTCTATCGTCGCTAGTTCTTACTACCCAACAAGGAAGGTAACATCGTCTCTGCCCAGGCCCCCTGCGTCCATCCTGCATTAGCCGTCATTTTCGTGTGTCAGATATTGCTTGGTTGAAATGGACCTCTTGTTACAAATTCAAGGACCTGTGTATGTAGTTACTCGGGAAATGATTATACAGATAACTGAATATTTGTCCATCCAACCTACACATCTCAAGGACCAGCTCCTAACTTCAAGATGAACAACGCGCTCAAAGTCACCATAACCTCTCTCGCTCTTGTATTCCTTCTCCAGCCACTACATGCAAAACCTTTCCATACTCTGGATACCAGCGCCCATCTGGCCCCGCGCAATGTCTCGTCAACCTGCAAAGCATCCGTCAGTACGGACATTTGGACAACGTGCCAGTCCCTGATCCAGCAGTACAACATCTCTCTTCCCGCGTTCTACGAAATGAACCCAGAGGTCTGGTACGACTGCTCGCAGTTCCATCCAGGTGAGGACTATTGTATCCGCGAAAGTGAGTGCATCCATTCTGTTTTGATTTGAGGTTCACGATTTCGCAGTGACGAGCTTCCCGATCTCAGAGGATGGACTCTGCGGTAGTCAGGCCGCGGAAACTGTGACGTGTATTGGGTCTGAATTTGGAGACTGCTGTGGCAGGAATGGGACGTGGGTCTTCCCTTCTCTGCATTGGTCCTTTGGCTAACGAGGCTATAGCTGCGGAAGCACAGAGTATGCCAAATCTGAATCTGATGTGGGCTGAGTGTCTCGGCTAATATGCTACAGCAACGAGTGTGCCATTGGCTTCTGTCAGTCTGGGATTTGTCCTGGGCTGGGCTACAGCACCAATGGCACATGTGGAGAGGAGTATGGTAACCTAATGTGCGGAGGGTCATTCGGCGACTGCTGTTCCAACTCTGGCGAGTAAGTGATTAATCCGTCCAGACCAATTACCCAACTAAGGAGCCAGGTGCGGAAGCACAGAAGCCCACTGCGGGCTGGAAAACTGCCAGTCCGGGGCATGTGAGGGCAGCACGACGAGCACCACAACCCCCACGTCGTAAGTCAGACGGCCTGATATGTCTTGGGTACTCAACTGATGAGAACAGCACCCCCACTCCACTCCCCGAGCCCTTCAGCCCCAGCCCCGACGGCACCTGCGGCTACCGCAACAAATACGTGTGCAATGGCACCGAGATCTACTGGGGGTACTGCTGCTCAGCTGCGGGATACTGCGGGACGTCTCAGTATCATTGCAGTGATCTCCAGGGCTGGTGGGCCTTACTTCCCCTCAGCTGAGTTCGACCTGCTGACCGTCTCTAGCCAGCCGGAGTTTGGGCTCTGCGATGTGACCAACACCGTCACGGCTTCTACAGGTGCAAGCGAGCCGACCACTACTTTGTAGCCCCAGCTTGGCACGTCTGGAAACTCGCAGGGATCTCGGTAGATAGATTTAGGTAGCAAATTAGCGAAATGAAAGGGCTTGATATCGGCGAGGGCGAAACTCCAGATCAGTCAAATCACCCCACCATCGCGTCGCAGAGTATTCGGCGTCCCGGTGCTGACAGTACTACTGGCCTTTTGGGCTGGGATGCCTCATCGAGCCGCCCCATGCCCGGTAGTGACTTGGCACTTGGAGCCATCAACCATTTTGCGGCCCCTCATGCACTTTGCAGTACATTAGCGTCTCTTGGTAGGGGTCATTTGCACCGCGGACCCTGACTTTCAGCTCAGGCGCTCTGGGGGCGACGCCTGAGGTTTCACGATGCTACAATGGAGTCGTTTGACCGGGGTATGGAAATTATGTTACATTCCAATGTAGGAGGGTGTGTTCAGCCGCAGCTCATGGCCTGCAGGTACGGTACGATACAAGCTGCTCAAGCAAACGGCTCAAGCCATGCATGGTACCGCGTGTGCATGTCGGCCCCGACGAAAGAGCAGCATGTTCCAAGTCCCATCGCCCCGACGTTTAGAATAACCCTCTGTATCCGCCTCTGCCTTCGACACCACGCTCGCCCCGGTACTCCTGTTATCCTCAAGTCTACCAGCCATGAGACTCCATGCCCTCGCCATGACCCTGCTGCTCCAGCTTGCAGCAGCCCAATTCCCAGGCCCCAAAGTAACCGAGATCGAAAACGGGCAGGAAGTCTGGAAGGCGCAGCGCTTTGAAGGCGACGACGAGGTCATCACCTATACGGTGCGCGACCACGGCACCATGCGCCCAACACTGGTCTACAACTGCGCCAAAGCACCATCCCTGTGCAAGACCGTCGCAAAGCACTTTGGCGGCAGCGTGGGAACAGGAACGTACCACTACGACGCGGACTATCGCATTCGACAGGGCGATAGCGGACAGCGCAAGTCGGTGCGGCGGAATGACAATTGCCCGTCGAGCTGGATTGATGGGCGCTGTCCGGAGGCAGACCAGCCCAGGTTCTATGCGGGTGCTCGGGGGTTTGCTGATGCCCTGATGTACCGTGGGCGTAATGCAGACCGGGAGCCGGATGATAATCGCTTGGCCGAGGAGTATACGAAGAGATTGGCGGATGGGAGCGTCAAGACGATGCACCGCGAGATTGGCGCGGTGCTGTCGTGCGATGAATGGCCTGCTGCTAGGTATGCCTCTTATATCCCATCGGCGAGGCTCTACTGATACTGATTGATTGCAACCACAGCTGGATAGAAGGGGGATCCGGGGGCGCGACATACTGTAGGTAGACTCTATCCCAACCCTATCTGCATAAGCTGATTCCACCGCAGGCTCTCCAATCGGCCAAGGCTGCGGTCGAACAAGAGCAGTCCAGACCGACCAGAACTGGCAGGCGCAGGCGCACAATGCCATCGGAGTATGTCATACTACTGTTCCATTCGAAAGTCAACTAACGTGGTAGATCTGGTCTCGCATCCGCTCGCCTGCTGATCGCCGCAATGCCGATACCCATGACCCGGAGTATACAATCTTCAAGTTTGACTTTCGGACGGTCGACGACAACAACAACGGATATGCGACCTGGGTCGAGGCCAATGGACATAAACGGTACTGCTATGGGCCGGACGTGGGAGACAAGAGTGATTGCAAGCCAGCATGGGATGATGACCCGGCAGTTCCGGAGTAGTATGTATAGGCTACCATTGTCAATATGATGTGTTCCCATACAACCCTGGGTTCTATCCGTAGGCATCGAATATCATGTTCACCCTAAGTCAAACACGGCCTCCGGCAGTGCAGGTTGCCTGATGAGCCGAGGCCTTGGGCCCCCTGCAGAGCAATAATCTCAAACAAGAGCTGAATCAACGGTAACGGCTAGTAATCCGCCCCATGCAGCCCTAGTAATGCGCTTGCTCTGCCAAGGACTTGGGGGCATGCAACGATGTATACCGATACCCAGGCAGTCCTCGTCTCAGCACTGCCCTCCCCAGTCCTCGCTTCAACTTATTACTTTACTGATGGTCTAAGTTTCGACTGCTTCGTCTGTCCTCAACCTACCAGGCAGGATGAAGACCACTCGTGCTCTTCTGTTCACGGCCTCCCTTTCTATTCTTCCATTTGTACACCCTCGAGCGAGTCCTTTCAATCGGCTACATCGACGAGCCGAATGCGAAGCCATCCAAGTCGAGGCCGACGATGGCTGCTGGGCTCTTGCCGATCGCTGTGGCATCACCCAAGACAAACTGGGCGAGTACAACCCGGGCGATGATTTCTGCACAACACTCGAGCTCGACCAGTGGGTGTGCTGCTCCGAGGGCGATTTGCCCGACCTCTCTCCACAGCCCGGCGAGGACGGGTCGTGCTTTTCCTACAGCGTCAAAGAGGGTGATGACTGCTGGGCCATTGGCGACGAGCACTATATCACGGAGGATGATATCTACGACTACAACGGAAATACCTGGGGCTGGGCTGGGTGCGGTGAAGGGCTGCAAGAGGGCCAGCTCATCTGTCTGAGTGACGGAGACCCCCCCATGCCTGCGCCCCTTACCAACGCGACTTGCGGTCCCCAGGTTGAAGGGACGGAGAGGCCCACCGACGGAACAGAATTGAAGGACCTGAATCCCTGTCCGTTGAGTGTCTGCTGTAACGTCTGGGGCCAATGCGGCGTGACCAGTGACTTTTGCATTGAAGCGCCTGCTGACACTGGCGCGCCGGGGACTTCCCTGCCTGGCGCCAACGGGTGCGTCTCCAACTGTGGAATGGAGATTGTCAACAATGATGAGCCCCCTTCTGAATTCGCCCATGTGGCCTACTTTGAAGCCTGGAATCCGGACCGGCCGTGCCTGCATATGGATGTTACTGATATCGACACCCAGAAGTACACCCATATCCACTTCTCTTTTGCGGATATTACGCCCGAGTTCACGGTGGACGTGAGCAAGATTGAGGACCAGTTCAACATGATGAAGACCATGACCGGCATCAACCGCATCCTGTCCTTTGGCGGGTGGGCGTTTTCAACCGACGCCCCTACCTACACGATCTTCCGCGATGGAGTCACCCCGGAGAATCGCGAGACATTCGCCCAGAACGTGGTGGACTTTATCAACGAGCACGAGCTCGAAGGAGTCGACTTTGACTGGGAGTACCCGTCCGCCCCCGACATTCCTGGAGTCCCTGCAGGCATCAAAGAAGAGGGCGAGCAGTATCTCGAGTTTCTAAAGCTGGTGAAGAGCCTCTTGCCTGACAAGTCCGTCTCCATTGCCGCGCCTGCTTCGTATTGGTATCTTAAAGGTTTCCCCATGCAAGAGATTGGCGAGGTTGTGGACTATATCATCTACATGACCTACGATCTCCACGGCCAGTGGGACTATGGCAACGAGTGGGCCAACCCGGGTTGTGAGAATGGGAATTGCCTTCGCTCGCATATCAACAAGACAGAAACCATCAGTTCGCTGTCCATGATCACCAAGGCAGGCGTCCCCTCAACCAAGGTCTTTGTTGGGATTGCCAGCTACGGCCGCAGCTTCCACATGGCCGAGGCCGGCTGTACTGGGGGGATGTGCAAGTTCACGGGCAGCTACAGCGAGTCTGACGCGACGCCAGGCATCTGCACCGACACAGGAGGGTACATTGCCTCTGCCGAGATCCGGGACATTCTCCGTCAAGGCCGACTAGGGCTTCGTTCCGTGGAAACGTGGTACGACGAAGAGTCCGACTCGGACATTGTGGTCTATGACTCGCTGGAGTGGCTCGCCTGGATGGACGACGACACCAAGGCCGGACGCATCGACTGGGTGCGCGGACTGAACTTTGGGGGAGTCTCGGACTGGGCTGTTGACCTCGATGGAGACGCTGGCACGGGAGGAAGCCTCGAGTATCGCAGCCCTGAATCGGCCACTGTCATTCCGTTTTCTGCGACGAGTGTGCCTCCCACGGCCACATTCACCCTTGGAGGGCCGGTCACGTCTGATGTTGAAGGCCAGCCGAATGCAGGCGCACAGAATACACCACAAGGGCCTGGAGCGGATCTATGCGAGGTAAGTCTTTTACCCGAAGGAATTCTGTCCTAATTTATGCAGTCTTGCGACCTCATGCGCCTGATCACCTCGACCTGCTGTGGTTTGGGCGGCAGCGTACGCAACGGCGTAGAAATCTCAGCCAATGTGCCTCTCGCCCGCGGCCTCATCCTCCCAACTGGCTTTCGAGTGAATCAGGATGTCGTCGAGTCCACCAATGTCAAATGGTCTGCCGGCGAGACAATCCCCTGGGAGATCATCATCCCCCGCGGCACCCGCTTCAAATTCCCCTTTGAGATCCCGCCTGGCCTGCAGCTGAGCGATACGGCATCGGAGGAGTTTGCAGACGACGACGATGACCAAGGCACGGATGGGGTCCTATACATCATTTCTGACTTTTGGGAGCGCCCGCATACGGTCTCATGCCACTTCCCCTGCACCATGATGTTCCCTCCCGTTACCACGACCAGCACCTGGACGCCCCCTCCGTTCACGACCAGCACGGACGGTGAGACCGAGACAATTACGCCGCCTGTCCACACCACCCAGAAGATTCGCATCTCGAAACACACCGTCCAGAGCAGCACGGACTCCCCGCCGACCAAGACCATTGGGCCGACGCCAGGTCCGGATCCGCTGTGTGTCAAGATGAGTGTCCCGGTCTTGGGCGATATCCAGGTCGGAATCTGTCCTCCATCCATTGACCCGTTCCCTCCGGATATCCCAGACGTGACCATAGTCCCTGTTCCTCCTGGAGGCAAGCCGGGGCCAACCAATCCCGCCAACAAGCCCTCGGAAGATCAAGAAGAAGTAAGCCGTATATTCAACGTTGAACTAAGATGCTAACGCAGTTCAGGAGGAGGAGGAAGAAGACGACGAGGAAGACGACATGAGCTGCGCTCTCCAAGCACCACCCCCCGATCCCGACGGCGAGTACAGCCCCATCGACAACGGCGACGACGCCCCCTACAATTCCGACTACGACGTGCGACCAACCTCTGGCCCTGGCTCAGGTGTAGACCCCGACGACGGCGCGGGTGTCGGATCCCCCATCACCACAATCATCACCGTGACTGCGCCTCCTCCCCCTCCACCAACCGTAACAGTAACGGTGACGGTCCCGGCCCCAGCACCAGACCCCCCAACGCCCTCGCCAGAGCCGGACCCCGAACCCCCAAAGCCAAACCCCGACACGGAAGAAGAAACCTGCTACAGCCGGCCCAACCGCGAAGTCTTCGGGGGAACCGTCCAAGACGCCCTGGACAACTTCTGCGAGTGGGCAGACGGGCAGAGCATCGCCGACAACGACTTCCTGCAGGTCAAGGCGCCCGGCGACTTCCTGTCTAATGTCATCGTCGGGGTAAGAGGCAAGAACAAGTGCGAGTTTGAGATTGAGGAGGACGACTGCAAGCGCATTCTGAACAAGGTCGTGGGGTGTCGGCCGGGGGGGTCGTTGCTGCGGATTGGCGGCGAGGTGGAGAGTAACTGTGCTGTGTGGACGTTGGATCCGGTTGAGAATCTGCATGGCGAGTGCATTCCCATTCCGGCGTTTGAGGCGATTTGTGCTTTGATTGATTTCTTTGCGCCGTGATCACTTGCATATATATTTGGGACAAACGAACCGCAATATGATAGCCCTCGTGTGAATCAAGGCCGGTTAGATCACCCATCCAATGACCATCTCCATCGCAATATGCCATCCGTCAATGATGTCAGCAGAGTAGCTTCTTTTTGACTATAGTTTGCCTTGACCCTACTCTATACCGTAGTCGGTGGCTGGCTTCTCCTGCGGCTCGTTCCTCCCGTCGGTCCGAAGCGAGCAATCTATGACATGGCCAGCTATCAGATGACGTCTCCATAGCCTCTTTCGTGTTTCTCTTTCTGATAAGGACCTGAGACGTGCTGAGATGGCTATTACCCGTAGAGCTCTATTGTTACATCTCCATTCCCGGAAGATGCGGAAGAGGCCTCATGATGCCAACGATGCCAGCCATTTGATATCAGAAAGTTGAGCCACATGGTTAGGTTTATATATCACCATGAACTAGAAACTGCTTAGTGAGCAGTTTCTCAGGACCTTTTTTGGTCTATGGGTTAGATCACGGGATCATGGTTGGCGTGGCTTTCACATATATATTAAACTTTTCAATTCTTTCTTTATACTTCTTAAGTAATTCTATATATAACCTATATTTCTATATAGAGAGATTATTTTCTGTAACTACCTTTTCCTTATTATTCTTTCTAAACTCTACAAGCTTACTTTCTCTTATGAAGTCTTCTAGCTTTAGTTAATATCTAGATAGAGGTATACTTAATAGGTCTTTATTCTCTATATCAGGATCTATATATTACTAGATATTCCTGTATTCAGCAAAGGTCTTAATCCTTTAATATTATTACTACCAGTCCTTATCCTCCTATAGTTAGATATTAGAGATCTCACTAGCAAGCTTTCTTATTAGACTGTCTATATCTATTATCTCAGGGTTACTGGGTATTTCTGTTGTTATTAGAGCTTTCTATATAGCTTTAAATTATCTAAATCAGTTAAGTATTTAACCAGCTAGATACTCTCCAGGCTTATAACTATTAGATTCCAGGCGGTAGACTTAATAGCTTAATAACTAATTACTGCCTTAACTTTGATAATATCTGAATTAAGTAAAAGTAATAATATTAAAGTCTTTAAAAAGAGTCTAAATATAGATAATTTAGGAGATTCTAATAAACCCCTAAATAAATATATAGCTAATCTAGTTAGGTAGATAAGTAATAATTAATATCTTTAGTTAATTAGCATAATAGCTACTCGGTCCGATTTAGTAGATTACAACCGATTCTTGGTGGTCAGTATTTCGACACCATGTTTAAGCCACACGCCGGCTGGTTAGTAGTATGGTGGGTGACCACATGCGAATCCCAGCTGTTGTATGTTTTTGTTTTTTATTTATTTATTTTCCCGTCCCCTTATCAAAGGCAGCAGTCAAGTTGTGTTACACATAAAATAGAGTGGTGGTTGTGAATTGGCACTTTGCTCCCATCAACCATCCTCACTTTCATCAAGACAAGGCATTTCCAAATCCAAGTCCGGAACCTCCCCAGCAACATTTCTATACCAGTCGACAGAACAAACATCCTCATACCACGCACTCAAAAAGGGAAACATCTCGCCCATTTTCCTCCGAAACGCCGCATAGGCACCCATCAGCATACTCGCCGTGAAAAAGTCCGCAACAGTCATGGTCTGTCCGACAAGATACCTACGGTCCTTTAGATACCGCTCCAGATGTCCGCACCGACGCAGCATCGCACGCAGCGAGTCTTCATCATCCTGACGGATTATCTGGCGCTGTCCGATCCGCGGGAGAAAGACACCCCCAATTGCCAGGAAGAGGTCCGAGTTGGCAAAGGACATCCACTGTAGGATCTCGAGAGAGTCGTTTTTGTCCTTTCCCAGCAGTGCTGTGGATTCGTCTTGGGATGCGACTGTTGCTTGTCAGTCTGGCCAGTTTATACTGAGTAGGTAGGGTTAGGGTTAGGGCACAGTAGAGAGTGAGAGGGATGCATTCCGAGAGCACGTAGCCGTCGGCCCTGACAAAGGTAGGAACCTGGCCGAGGGAGTTGTATTTGCAGAGCTGCTCGTGTGCATCTTTGTTGGTACTCTCCGCGTAGATGATCTCCAGATCCAGCCCGTGGAGCTTTGCCAGGGCGAGGATGGTGGTGGACCGCGGGGTTGGCTGGCTGCATTAGCTAGCCCTACACTAGCAGGGACGGAACGTACATTGTGGGTGTAGAGGGTTCCGAAGGACATCGCCGTCGTCGATTGGTTTGGATTGTAACTACTGCGATCGGGGACTATTTAACACCGACTTATAGCGCTGTAGACCGGAGGCCGCTGCGAGTCTGCGATACGCTGGATGGACTCCGACGATCGGGTCCCGAGCTCGGGGAAGACGTTGTTATTGTTGTACAGAGCTGATAGTGTTCTATTTAGGTTATTACGCTGCAGCGTATGGCAGCGCTTATCTGGAAATAGAATAGAATAGAATAGGGGTTGGCTGGTAGCTGCGCAGCATAAAGTCGGGTAGTCCATGAGCATCAGCGATTATAACTCTATCTATACAGACAGAAGAGAGAATGCCTACATATGCCGTCCTCGGCGCCACAGGCAACACAGGGAGCGCGCTCATCCAAAACCTCCTCCGCAACCCCTCCAACCGGATCAACGCCTACTGCCGCAACAAGGCCAAACTGCACCGTCTCCTCCCAGAGACCATCGACAACAAAAGCGTCTCCATCTACGAAGGCTCCATCAGCGACCTGGCACTCATCCACGCCTGCGTGCACCGCACCCGCGCAGTCTTCCTCACCGTCACATCAAACGACAACATCCCCGGCTGCCGACTATCCCAGGACTCGACGCAGACAGTCCTCGATGCGCTGCAGCAGATCCGCACGGAAGAGGGTCCCGATGTTGTTAAACTGCCGAAACTGGTCCTCCTCTCTTCAGCAACGATAGACCCGCACCTGTCCCGCAAAATGCCGAGCTGGTTCTTGCCGATCATGAAGACCGCGGCGTCGTATGTCTACGCGGACTTGATCGAGGCGGAGCGCATGATGCGTGCGAATGACTGGGTGGATAGTATCTTTATCAAGCCGGCGGGATTGTCTGTGGATATCCAGCGCGGGCATAGACTGGACTTTGATGAGCAGGAGTCGTTTATCAGTTACTTGGATCTGGCGGCGGCGATGCTGGAGGCTGCGGAGGACGAGACGGGGGTTTATCTGGGGAGGAATGTGGGCGTTGTGAATACGAATGGCAGTGCGAGGTTTCCTCCTGGCACGCCCAAGTGTATTGTTGTTGGCTTGCTCAGGCACTTTTTTCCCAGATTGCATAGGTATTTGCCGTCTACGGGGCCTACTTAGATAGCTTCAGTATATGAATTTGGTAATATCAGTCAGACTAGAACGTAGCCCGATTCTCCATAGAAATAACCCCGAAGTACTCGGGCATCGGACTTCAAGACATCCGATGCAGGACGTATATATACCTGGACAGTACTTCAGGCAACAGCAACAACAACAACAAAACAAACAACTCTACAAATCAGTTATTAGAATGTCCTCCCAGATCAAAATCTCGCCTACCACCCTGGGCCAAAACAACTACAGCCCGACTCCCCCCTCCCAGTCCGCCCTCGACCTCACCAACCGCCTCCTCCAGTCCAACCACGACAGCCTGCACATCTTCTTCCGCAACCTCAACGGCCACAACCACCTCGTCCACAACCTCCTGACTCGCCTCGTCCTCGGCGCATCCCCCTCCCAGCTCCAAACCGCCTACGATGACGACCTCCCCACCCAACGCCCCATGCCCCCACTCAACGAGAACACCGTCTCCCTCCTCTCGGACAAAACTTACTTCAAATCCCAAATCACAAACATCGACCAGTACACCAACTTCCTCCGCTTCTTTGAGAGGGAGATTGATGCCCGCGGGTGGAAGGATGTCGTGAGTGAGTATGTGTTTTCGCGGGATGAAGTTGCCGAAGCCTTGCTCCCGCTGATGTATGATGGTGCTTACCACTCCATTATTCACCTTGGGCTGGGTGTTGAGTTTGAGCAGCCGGGCGTTATTGCTGAGGCGTTGGCTCAGGCGGCGGCGCATGATTCGTTTGATACGGATTATTTCTTTCGTTCTGCTGAGGCGGCTGCTGCTGCAGCTGCAAAAAAGGTAGGTAAAAAGGGAGGGGAATCGCTTGTTAAGCTGCTCGATGAGATCCGGGCAACGCCGAACCTAGTTGCCGCCGGCCGGGTTCAAGGCCTTATCGGGACGATGAAGATGAAAAAAGCTGTTCTCGTGCAAGCAGGCGACCAGATTATTGACATTGCGTCGCGGTTTCGGGTGAGCGAGGAGGATCTGGAGAGGAAGACGGCGGAGGTGGTGAACCTGTGTGCGTATATGGCTGGGGCGGCGGCGAAGAGGGAGGGGTGTCAGGAGAAGATTGATTTCTTCTTCATGCACTGCGTGACCAGCAGTATCTTCTTCTCGGTGCTTGCCAGGCAGGACTGGATTAGTGTGAAGGATAGGGTGCGGCTGGTGGAGTGGAAGGGCAGGCTGGATCTGATGTGGTATGCGGTCTGCGGGGTGCCGGGACTGGATGTTGATGCTGTGAAGGAGTACCGGGGGCAGAAGACGGGGGATATAACCTGGGAGGAACTGTTTGAGCTGGTCAATGAGCAGCATGACGATGGGCATGTGGCCAAGTTTGTGCGGGCGTTGAAGAACGGGGAGGAGGCGTGCAGGCCGTTTGAGGAGGACTTTATGATCAAAGGGGATATGTGGCTGCGGATTGGAAGAATGGCATACGAGACGACGATTGATACGACGATGCAGACCAGATGGGTTGTGATGGCGGGGATGGACACTGCCTGGACTGGGTTCAAGAGACAGAATATTTAAACACTATCTAGGTACGCCAATACAGCAGCCTCCACCTCCGATCGGATGATCTTGTGCGTTGCATTGACTGGAAACCTTTCTAGTCCAATATCCTGCAGAAACAAGACTCCTTGCAGTGTATTCTCCCCAAGAGCGGCAGTAATGTGTGTTTTGATCTCCGTCTCTGTCTTGCTGGAGTGTTCAAGTACCGCAAAGGGACCGCCGGCATTGACCACACACGCCTGACAATTAGCGCAAGTAACAGATAGAACAGCAGAAACAAGATAGAATAGAACTCACCTGAGTAGACGCAAACTTCTCCAGACAACTCTCAAGCAGAGCTGGCATCACGCCCGAGATCATGTCCTTCTTCCTCCCCAGCACAAACACGATGCCCTCGCTGTCCATCATTCCCACATCGCCCGTGTTGAACCATCTCCTCCCTCTTTCTTCATAGAATGAATCGCCTGAAACGCCGTCCAGATATTCCTGGATTGTGCTCCCACAGCAGACATGCAGCTCGCCCAGCTTCCCTCTCCTGGCCACTTTCTCTTCATCCCAGATCCTCACCACTGCCCCTGCAGCAACCGCCCCAACCGGACTCATCTCGCCATAGAACGGAATCTGCTTCATCGCTGTAAACGGCCAAGTAAACACTCCTCCCCCGCCCACCTCCGTCATCCCATGGTTAATCACAACCCTCGCTTTAGGGAATAGCCGGCCACATTTCTCCAGGACATCCCTCGTCACCGCATCCCCACCAACCTGCACCGTCCGCACACAATCAACATCAATATCCCCGTTATAAACCCCCTTGCCCAACTCCACGGAAACAGCATGCACCATCGCCGGCGTCAGCACAATAAACGTCACCTTATACCTCTTCACCGCATCTAACAAATCATCCACATTAAATCCATTTCTTGTCATAACGACCGTCCCGCCCCCTCGCCACGTCTGCAGCGTCTGCGCCGGTGCAATACCTCTCGCATTATGAGCCTGCTGTAGCGCCCGTCTGCCGTTCTCTGGGGTTAGCAGCCAGGACTGCGACTGCAGTACATGACTAATTCCTGAGACGAGCAGTGGACACCCTTTTGGTTTTCCAGATGTCCCGGAAGTGAAGAGGATAGAATGTATACGAGTTGGATTGTCGGAGCGGGCAGCGGATAAGAGGGATTCTATTAACCAAGGTTCAACAGCTGAGGATGCGAGTGTTAACAAGGATTTCCAGATTGATGCCGTTGATGGATATGAAATCGCCGGTTCTGTGAGTGTAATTCCGAGAATGCTCCCATCTTCGTTTGTATCACTTCCTGGAAGAGGGATATTCCGCCGTACGATGTCCAATGTATTTGCTTCATATGCATCCTGCACCACGATAACAGCCGGTTTCACCCGCCGGAGCAGATCCCGCAACTCGTCGTGTTTCGAGATATCGAGCAGTCCCAGGTCCAGCGATACGATCGTAAGCCGCAGAATAACCGCTGCCCAGAGCAGGATTGTATACTCGATGCCATTGGGGATGAGCAGGAGTATGGCTGTATTCGGCTGCACGCCGCTGGCTAGCATCCCGCCTGCCAGTTGCAGTGCTGCGCGATGGAGCTGGGTGTATGTCCATGCTAGACAGGGTTCATGTTGGCTTTGGCTTTGGTTGTTGATTAGCGAGGCGAGGTGGTCTGGTGGTTGGTGGGTGCTTATTACTGCGAGGCCGTGCGGGTTTTGATGTAGGCCTCGCTCGATGTGGAGGAAGACTGAGGGTTCATTGACGAGGGGACCGCCGTCTATCTCTGCTTGCGAGGGACGTGGCTTGAGGCGGAAGAATGAGCGTAGAGAAGGCATTCTAGATACTGGATTGTGGAGGTAACGAGAGAGCCTTGGAGAGATGTCTATCCTGTAGGGCAGTTCTCCGAGCTCGGGGTTCAATTCGGGGTCCGGTGTCGTGCAGCTGCTGTTTAATAAATAAATATTAAAATAGTAACTAGTGTCGCAGTCCGTACAGTCTTTGGCCGACTCGTAGTCCAAGCCCTAACTAATCCAATCTCTCCCTAATACCTTCACCACCATAACAAACCAATAAACCAACTAATAGACTAGTCAAACACAAACCCCAAGCCCAACAACCGCAGCCACAAGCGGAAACAAACTCCTGACCAGATGCATCCACCCCCATCGCACAACCAGCCCCCTCACCCCTTCCAGTGTTGCCGTCACCTCACCCTCACCCCCAGTCTGATTCAAATTCCAGCTCTCCCTCTGCAATCCAAAAAGTACATTATTCGTCGCCGTCATACAAACCCACGTAAACGGGACCATGATAAGCGTCAACACCCCCACGAGCGCAGCTCTCCGCCACGGCTTCTTCCGTGAACTCTGACACGCAGCGATGTAGAAGTATAACACTGCAGTGACTATGGAGATTGAGGGCAGCGAGATGTGGCCGTAGTGGTATGTTCGCACCCATTGGTGGAGGAGTTGCGGTGGGTGCGTTGTTGTGTCGAGTAGCACCGGGACGGTGATTGTGCTGAGGGTTATCATTGCTCCTGATTTGTAGTTAATTTTATAGAATTTGGAATTTTGGGATATCATAAGGGACGGTACCAGAGAGGAAAGACCCTGATACAACGGCTGTGCTTTTGAGGGTTGAGAGGGATGGGGAGAGTCCTGCCATGGTGAATGAAGTTCTACGGAAGGAAATAGACCTGCGAAGGGGATAATAAGTGTAAAGGCTTAAATGGGAGATGTTACGTGTCCGGCTCGGTGAGTGTCTCGCTCTCCGAAGTGCAATCATTCCCGGGCCTGTAGGACAGAAAAAGTTGCATTGAATATCGAATCTGCAGCACATAAGTAACACCAGACTACTTCGTATCTGTAAACCCATCAACCTCGACGCCCTTGTCGATGAACTGCGATATCCATCCGATTGTCATCCTAAATCAGTAAGCACATCTCAGTCACTCTTAACCAGAAATAAATAAAATTAAAGGAAAAACGCACTTGCTCCTCTTCGTATCCGCAAAATTCTCATGGTCCCCGACCAAATGCTCCTTATACCACGGATCGTCCTTGATCTTCTTATAGTCCTCGAAACTGCGAAACACCACCTGACTGAAGCAGTCGTAGTCCGCGATATTCGCCATCTGCGGGTCCATGATCTGATACATCAGCTCGCGGGTCGAGCTCGTGTTGTGGATCTGTGCTTTGATCAGTGTGTTTGCTCGGTAACAGAATATATATGGGACGCACCTGGGTCCATCGCATTATCCCGTATTTCACCATCAGTCCTGTCGTCAGTGGTGCGGAGACCTCCTTCATGTGCTTCCGGTAGGCTTCTTCGGTCATGCCTGGTTTGCGGTAGCCGAGGATTGTGAGGCAGAGGACTTGGTCCTCTGATGTGCGTGCTGGGGGGTCTGGAAGAGACATTTTCTTTACTTGATGTTTTGGGTTCTGGAATATGATGATCTGGTAGTCTGATTTACTGCGATGGGGATGGCTTCTATATAGGGTGGAAATGACCCGAGTCCAAACCCGGACAGCGACGGCGAATTATCGGAACATTAATGCTCGTCTGTATTCTGTATACGAGCTGATGTCAGATCTGCTGTCAATTTTAAATTCCTAGAAAATGCTGTCTGTATATTCGATTTGTAGATCTATATACTCAAACCCTAATATTAGGCCGAAAGCAAGGAATACAAAGCATACAGTAAAACATACAATAGTACACCATCTAACAAACTGAACTAGTTGTAGTACTCCAACAACCAGCTTCGTAAATCTCCAATGGTGGGGTACTCCAGGAACAAACTACCAGTCACTGTCACCCCCAGCTCCTCTCGGAATTTCTCTGCAATCACCAGACTCATCAAGCTGTCGACGCCGAGATTGGAAAACGAGGCATCATCCGTAAGATCCGACAGCTCCAGTGCCGCTTCCTTGGAGATGAGCACCAAGGCCTTGGCTGCCACGCTGTCGCAATCTGCTGCGGGTGCTGGAGCGGGAGCGGGAGCGGGAGCGGTGACTGCGACTGCGACTGGTGCTGGAGTAGGAACCGGAGTAGCCACGGGAGCCGGCGCAGCAGCAGCAGGCTGGGGTTGTGGCTTTGCCTTAGACGCTGGCGTAGCTGAAGCAGCTGCGTGAGATATAGCCCCGGCCTCCTCTGGAGCCGTGAAGAATCGATTAAGCAGGATGCGCGGGTACCGACGGAACTGGATACCACCGCACATGCCAATAATGACTCCGTCTTGCATGACATAGACGTCCCCAAGATAGACAGTAGAGTCTTCCTCGGTCGGAATCATCTTCACGTAGGATCGGTATTTCGCGCCTGCGACAAGGGGCTTAGCGAACCGTAAAGATCTCCAGCCCGGTGTGACACAGTAGTTGGCCTTTGTGTCTATGGCGTCCGATACATTCATCACAAACCCGGCAAGATGCGCAACACTGTCGATAAAGTACGGCGGAACAGTCCAGGTACCGCTCTTCTCAGTAGAGAGCTTGATGTCGGCAAAGGCCTCGAGCTCATGCAGAACAACGGATTGCATTCCACGGTATTTCTGTGCATAGTCCACCAGGTTGTTGGCAAAGAGAAGGTACGCCATATTGTGATTGAAGCGATTCGCGACACCCTCTTCTGCAAGGCGCTCGAGGGCTTCCACCCTACCCTCAACCAGATGCTTGTTGGGGATCCACGTCTTGAGCCACTCGGAAGCATCCCCATAATAGATAAAAGCGCTTGCAAACGGCTCATCTGCGGTACCGTCGTTGAGGATATTTTGCCAAGTAAGATCAGCAACACACGAGTGGATATCTACAGTCGAAATGGTGACGCGGATATACTGAGGCTTCTTGGTGTTCTTCTGTGCCACGAGTCCACGCAAAACCACAAGGTCTGCCATGTTCATGTCCGGCGTCTTGCCCCCCTTAACTAGATTCTTATAGAGGTATCCCCCAAGGGTATACCCAATGTCCGCATGGATGGACTATTAACGTTAGCTAGACGCTGAGGAGAAATTGAATGCACTTACCGAAGTTACCACACCACATCCGTTCATCTTGTGTCCATGTGCGGCAGCCAAAAAGTCAGGCTGCATCATATCCGACTGCATTACAACTTTACCCGCAGATCCGCTAAAGCTCTCTTCGATGATCTGCTGGACAGTTGAAGTTCTCAGACCAGAAGGCATCGCAGGGGAAACGTGTCCCGTTTGCTGCGCCTTGAGAGCCTTTTCAGCATCATAGAATGTGTTGCCCTTGGTGAGGGCCCAGTCCCCATTGTACTGAAGCCAGTATGTCTTGTCATTCCAGGCATAAGTCGGCAGATCTAAAAGCCGTAGGCCTTTCTCGAAGGGGCGCTGGTACTCGTTCCATTCAATAGGCACCCCGGCGCAATGCAAAGCAGAAAGAGATTGTGACAATGTTACCCAGTTGTCCTCTCCTCTCTTCATGGAGGCTACTGCCACATTGACAGTTGGGAGCGTGGCTTTCACAAATCCTAAGCAGACAGGGTGAGGCCCAATTTCCACCCAGGCAGTGTCTTCATCAACCGTCGAGAAGTCCTGAGCCATCTCAAGTGCCGACAGGAAATTAACAGTCTCCCTAGTTGCACGGCGCATGTATTTCGCGTTGATGGTCTTATCGTCGAAAATGACCTTGCCCAATAGTGGAGATATAACGGGCATAGTGGGTGCTCGGAACAGTGCTCCGTTTTTGGCGGCCTCTTCGAAGTCGTCGAGGATGGCTTCTGTCTGAGACGAGTGGAAAGCAAATGCCACGTCCAGGATGCTGCATCGATAGCCACTCGACTGCAAGATATCGGAAACAATTTCAATCTCTTCCTGGGTGCCGCTAAGCACGGTCTCTTTAGGCCCATTGACGCATGCGATCTCATAGCTCTTGCCCTCCAACAATTTCTCAATATCAGCCAACGGAACACGCACCGCCAGCATTTTATGGCTGCCGACCTGGCATTTATCTTCCAATAGCTGCGCCCTGCGGCCAACAAGGAAGAGTGCATCACTGGCAGAAAGCACACCTGCCACATGGAAGGCCGCATATTCTCCAAGGCTGTGGCCAACGACAGCAGTTGGTTTGGCACCAAGTGAGATCCAATACTTGGCTAGAGAAATCTCGGTCGAAACCAAAGCCAGCTGCGTGGAAACCGGAGAATGGGCATGGTCTTTCGGGTAGCTACCATCCACCACTGGAATGAAGGATGGGAAGCCTTGCGCCTCTGCGAGTGAGTTCAGGTACAGCATCTGAGACCTGAAATACGGCGAGTGGTGAAACAACTCCAGGTCCATTGACTTGTATGATGCACCCTGACCTGTGAAGGCGAAAGTGACCTGCGGTGGCCCAGTTGTTGGGATAGGCTTGAGCGTGTCGACCCTCTCTATAATCGTTGAAAGTTTTTTCGTTACTTGGGCAATATCGGTGGCGGGGACTGAGGCTCGGTGGTTGTGGTGGTAGCGTCGAGCTGTGGTAGTATATGAAAGATCCGCCAGCGAGATCTCTGGGTGGGCTTCCAGATAGGCGATTAGCCGCTCAATGTTTTTCTTAAAGGAAAACTTGCTCTTCGCAGATACATTGACAACATGAGCCACCCGTGGGTCAACCGAGTCTGTCTCTCTCAGTGGAGGCTCCTCGAGGCAAACCGTGGTGTTACCCCCAGCTGCACTAAAGTTGTTCACCACGGCATAACGTTTCTTGCCTTCCACGCGCGGCCATGGAACCTTTTGATAGGGGATATGTAAATTCCTTTTGTCCAGATCCTTTGGGAATAAAGGATTGAGGCTGTTCTTTATACCCACATGTGGCGGAATCGCACACTTCTGATACATCAGCAATACCTTAAGAAGGGCGGTCACTCCGGCGACGGCCTCTCCGTGTCCAACATTCGCCTTCACAGCACCAATATGGAGTGGCTGCTGAGCGCTTCGTCGTTTAGTTATTGGAGCAAAAACGTCGGTGATGGAGGTAATTTCCACAGAGTCACCGGCCTGTGTGCCAGTGCCGTGCATTTCCACAAAGCTGACATCTAGCGGGTTAATTCCAGCGGAGCTCGTAACCTGCCGGTACAAATAACTCTGAGCACCGGCGTGGGGGTGGGTAATTGAGATAGCCTCAGCTGAGTGATTTGTGGCAGCAGCACGAATAACCCCGATAATGTTGTCGTTGTCCGCCTCAGCATCATCAAGGCGTTTCATGACGATGGATCCCATTCCATCAGCACGACAATATCCGTCGGCATCCACATCCCATGTCTTGCACGCACCGGGTGTCTTGGAGAGGAAGTGGCCATGACTGAGACCAGCAAAAGCGTCGGAATTAGTGAGAACATTCATACCACCGGCTACGACCATGTCGGTATCCCCATTCCATAGAGAAGTACAAGCAGCCTAATAGGGGATGCGTCAGTTATAAAACAATCAGTTCATATGTAGGTGCGTATTAAATACCTGAATAGTAGCCAAGCTGGAAGAGCAAGCAGTATCACAACTGAAGCTAGGCCCAGAGAACTTGAAGAAGTAGTTTATGCGTCCCGGACCAAACGCACGGCAGCCACCTGGAATGAAATAGGTACTGATTTCTTGAGCTGTGTTAACCTCTCGGTAGTCATCACTAGCTTGTCCATAAAATGTTCCAATTCGGTGGAGATTAGTGGCTGGGGTTCGATTAGCCACGTAACCTGCCCGCTCCAGTGCCTCGTATGCAGTAACGATGGCAAGGCGCTGCATTGGGTCCGTCTGTTGAGCTTCCCGCGGCGACATGTTAAAGAATGGAGCATCAAACAAACCAGGTTCGTCAATAAAGCAACCGTATGGGGTGTGGCTCGTATTCATTCTTTTTCCATTCGGGTCCCAGTGGGTTTCAACATCGAATCTATCAGCAGGTATCTTCCTGGCGACATCCAAGCCTTGCTCGAGTAGATCCCAGAACTTCTCAGTATCCGTTGCACCGCCAGGCATTCGGCATGACATGCCGATGATTGCAATCTTAGACTGTTTTGTTCCCCGTGGGCTTTCATTATTAGGCTTCTCAAGAATCCAGGGAATCAACTCCTCCGTTGACGCCTCGAACCCCTGAAGCTTGGAGCTAAGCGCAGTCCGTAGGTCATTGATAGGAACCGAAATACGAAAGACCAAAACTTCGCAGTTAGTTGCCGATATTGTATATGCCTGGTCAACGACGCCCTGAATGACATTGTCCCACAGAATGGGCTGTGTGAGGAGCTCCAAAACTAGCTTCTCAAACAGCTCTTTAGCGGTTGAACATGTGAAGTGTTTACCAGTCGAAGTCTGGTAGATTGGTACTGTAGGCGAGTATACTGTATCTATAGAGTCGATGGTTTTCGTAGATATGATCGCACGTGCATGCTGTTCGTTGTATAGGTGCTTGGCATGGCAAAGGCCACTGTACACAGGAAGGCTCACAACCTTGTGGCGCCTAAAAAATTCCGATAATCGCAAAACACGCTTGATTCGCGAAGGGGGCCCGCTGATCGTGACAGAATCCTCGCCCCATGCGCTGATAAAAATCTTGCTAGGTTGCGGGGTGTTCTTCGAAAGATCCAATATTAGCCATTAACCCTAATGCGGGTTTTAGGGCCCGAAAATCTCACCTCTCTGGCATGAATAGCGTCAAGTTCCGTCTGCACTTCTTCGACCTTGGCACCGGGGACAACCGAAGCCCAAGTGTCTGGGGAGCCCGACGTATCGCGAGGCTCTAGATTCTGAGAGATCTCGTCGACCAATGTCCCGAGACGGAAAGAGACCCGTACTACCTCGGCACCCGTAACTGGAAGATCGGCTAATGTAGAACATAATGACACAGCAGCAGTTGACAAAAGCCCAAGGCCCAGGCCTGCTAGATATGTGGATACGTTGTGTATGTCAAATCGGTCAGGTGTGTTCTCATAGTAGCTACAGAAATTAGTAACCTCGCGTCATCAAATATCCAGGGTGAATTGGCATATATACCCGATCAGAGTTGCTATTTCCAGGACACAAAGAAGGACGCCGTCCAAAGACCCACTTAGAGGCCCTTTGCGGAGCTCAGGGTAATCAGCAAGATTAAGAACAGTTTCAAAAGCAGGAACTAGAGATTTGACAGAAGTCGGTAACTGCCGTACTTCGTCTCGGACAGCAAGTGTGGCCTCATCAATAAATCTCGCGAGTATCGGGTGTCGTCTATCTTTACTGTGGTTGTACAGGTGGCGGAAGAGCCCCTGGAGGTCGTCTTTGGGAAATTCGTTGCTGAAGTAAAGAAGCTTCATCTTGGAGTATTCCGCTTGTGAGCCTGACTGGGGAGTGTAAACGGACATTCTCGCAGACAATGCCTTCTGGAAGCGGATGGGCCACCTGATCCGGTGTGTAAACGAAGGTAAGGCAGTTAGTTCACGGAAGGCGACGCAGATAATGATCAAGGAAATGAATGTGCAGATCTGAAGTGAATACAAGACAAACTTTGTTGCACCAGGCGAGATTTATTGTGGTCAGAAAAGATCTAGGTAGACCTGCCAAGCGATAAGTGTCAGACTCGGCCAATTCGGATCCAGCGGCGTTCGGCGATGCGTAGTACTCTGGACTCGTACTCGGAAAACAAGGTCCCCGGTCGGAGTCCAGCCCAATATGCGGCTGGCTGAGCGATTATTGGCAATGCCGATGGGGCTGATGTAGTGTAATGTTTCTTGTGCCCCGGCTAGACTTGATATTTCCAAGGAGACCTCTGGTGGTTCCCAGAGTTCTTTTACCTAAGACAACGCCTGAGAAAACAGGTTAAACTCGAGTCTCCCGAGTATATCCTGGACCCGGACAGAATGGCTCAATCTCAGCAGCATAAGGGTGGGTATAAGCAAATCAACAAAGCACTCAACATATGCGCCTTCGAGGATTATCTTTCTGCGCAGCTCAAGCACTTGCCTCGCCTTGAGGATGTGGAGCAACTCAGCCCTCGAGTTATTCGTGTCCTAGGGCAGAATGCTGGGAAGGTAAGATATTTCCGGCATACGAGTGCTGCCTCTGGCTAACGAAGCCCACATGTAGTTCACTTTGCAAGGGACAAACACATATATTGTCGGCACGGGGTCGCAAAGGCTGATAATCGACACTGGCCAAGGGATTCCGGAATGGGCAGATATCCTTGATTCTACCCTCAGGGACCGTTCCATCTCCCTGTCACACGTCTTCCTGTCCCATTGGCATGGTGACCATACTGGAGGAGTTCCGGACCTCCTGCGGCTATATCCCGATCTCACTGAGGCCATATACAAAAACTCCCCAGGTAGTGATCAGCAACCGATTGATGATGGCCAAGTTTTCCGTGTCGAAGGTGCTACTATTCGAGCGGTGCATGGTCCAGGCCATTCCCATGACCACATGTGCTTCATTCTCGAGGAGGAAAATGCCATGTTCACAGGAGACAATGTTCTCGGACACGGAACTAGCGCAGTCGAAGAGCTTGGTGTCTACATGGAGACTCTTCAGAGGCTGAAGTCACACCATTGCGCCATTGGCTACCCCGCCCATGGGGATATCATCACAAACCTCCCAGCGAAGATTGCTGGAGAGTTGGCGCAGAAGATGCGGCGTGAAAAACAGGTTCTCATGACGCTCGACCGACTCAACAAAGATTCCAGGCGAGCAGGCCGGGCCAAGAAGGCCAGCGTCACAGTCAAGGAGCTGGTGATTCTGGTGCACGGGGATGGGATTGACGAAGATGTGCGGACGATGGCCCTGGAACCGTTTATTGATGAAGTGCTGCGCAAGCTAGCAGAAGACGGCAAGGTAGCCTTTGAGATGCGAGGGGGAATAAAGCGATGGTTTGGTGTGGGAGTGTTATAAGTTCAACGTTGGAGTGCTGCTTCTTTCTTTGAATGGATGGAGTGAGGTTGAAGGCGCCAAGCTTTACCTGCGGTGTTCCTCGCCAAAAACTCGCCTGTCTTCCTTCTTCGGGTTCCTTTTTGTTTTGTACGCTGTCTCCCACTTCTGCCTAGATTGATTTCCCAGAGTCTCTTTGAAATGACAAAAAAATTACTGCCTACTTTCGTTACATTTCGACGCGTCACCCCAGCCTGCGGTGCGGACATTTAAACGCTTACAATCCTCCAGAAACCCAACCGCCCAAGTGCTCACACAACTATCAGAAAACGACGTCCTTTCTCATCGTTTGTCTTTGATAAATTATTCCAGCTGCTGCCTTTCCCACAGAGTCCATCACTCGATTGTTTGAGCCTTGCTGGTCCGACTCTCGGGCTCCGAACGTGGCGTGATGGATTGAGTACGGCAACCAGAAGCTGAACCAATATTTTACCTGACAAGATGCAGGGTTGGCTGAGACACCAAGGAAAGGGCTCGAGAATACCGCGCTGCCTGCTATGCGAGGAGAATAATCGCAATTCCGACCCGGTGTTATCCAGTGGCCAGTCGCCGAATCACACCATAGGCTCTTTGAGGCCATATCTTGAGCGTCATCCTGAAGGACGACAAAATAAGGTGGATATTAGTACGGTCACTAATATTGACTAAAGCTTGTTACGGACAAAGTACCGATGATCCCTGGGTCTCTCAGTTGCTTGCGCTCAAGCCGATCTCGGGTGGGCTCTTCTCACCAAGCTGGGCTTGGCTGTCAGCTCCGCCAGAGATTCCCATGTAGCCTATGACCCCAGGTCAAACTCGTTAAACTCACACTGAGTTGTTTGAGTTCTCCTGATAGATGAAGCAATCAATTGCTCGAGTCGCCTGGCTCCCAGAAATAGCAGAATCCCGGTCGGACAGCGGCAATGCTGTCGGTCTCCGGGGACGAAGTGGGAGCCCGTTTACCTGGGTCCAACTCAGCTTCAGCCTCAACCTCTATACTCGTCTCCCTCCCCCAGCCGCGATTTCGTCGTAGCCGGATACGAGTTGGGGGCTAACTTCTGGATATTACTTGATTTATATGTCTTCTGAGGTGGAATTACCGGTCAAATGACGTTGACGGCGATACGATGCCGCAGCTAAGTCTGAAGTTCCCGTGTCATGGCCACATTAGGCTGCATGAAAACTGCTAGTGCTGGCCTGGAACAATGGCGATGACGATAACTGGATTGCAGCCACCCTGGTCTGACTACGATCTATGTAACAAAAGCACACTGGACACGACCTGGCTGAATCAACAGGGCCATGAAGGGTGCCAGGCGACCGCTTCCCAGCCATAAAACCAATCCTGGGCATCTGTTCAGGCCCCGCATACGAACGCCAGACACTAATTGTATCTTATTGTAAGCTGACATTAAGCGGCTAGGCTGACCTGTCAATCCCACAATCCCAATAAACCCCGCCAGAGCTCGCCATGCTAACAAGCAGTGCAATCCTTCGTGCAGATGCGCTTTGTCTTTTTAATCCTGGGGCCCCTCACCCCTCCTTCGTTGTAAATATCCGATCATCATCCCCTCATGTTCACAATGGCAACCTTAAGCGCCGATGGTACTTCGCCTATCCAACCTCCGGCAGTAAAACTGAGAGGAAGCTGTCAGGCATGTGCGCAGTCCAAGCTCAAGTGCAGTCAGGACAAACCAACTTGTGCACGGTGCGCCAAAAGAGGTACAACATGCCAGTATCTAGTCAGCAAGCGCGCTGGCCGCAAACAGGGCAGTAGGACAAGCAGCCTCAAGACTCTTTCAAAAGAGTACCAACCTACGTCTGTTGAGGAAAGTGATGGTCAAAATGGGCTCCTGGATGCGTCCACACATTTAATGCAGTACGCTCTTCAACAAGATCGAAGCCTCGATGCGTGTCGGGAAGGTTTTCACCATCAGCGTACGCCGAGTTATCCAGAGAGCATCCCGAGCCTCCTCTCATCTGCTGGCCCTGCAACCTCAGCTACAACTCCTCTTACATTTGGACACACCGAGTTTGACGGCTTTCTTGCTTCACCGGTGTCCTTGTCGTTTCTCGATGCACCCGATGTGGACTATTTTTCCGGAGCCAAGGTCAATTTCAGAGATCTCGATGGAATTCCTGAGCCTTCTTCGTTCTTCTCATCCAGCGACCCAATACCGATGCTTGACGACAACATTATCGAGTCCCCTTTTGTGGCGAATTCTCCGGGTCCGCAGACTAATCTGCCTTGCTCACCTCCGCTACCGGAGATATCTACTCTCGGGGATCCACCGCAATGCTTCTGTTTTGCTCGTTCATTATCGTTGCTCCGGGAGCTCTTCCCACACCCTTCGTTGAATTGCAGAGCTACAAGCACCGACAAGAGTTGTTTCAGCCCTCCAACAATCCAACAAGTTATCGCTCAAAATGAGCAAACCATACAAGATATCAATCGAATTCTTCAGTGCCCTTGCTCTCAGGATGGCTATACTCTCACTATTCTTGCCCTCACCGTCTTCAAGATTCTGGCGTGGTATAGTGCAATAGCGTTGGATTCGCCCATACCCGGTGACAGTCAGTCATTTACAGAACAGGTCGACAGAGCACCAGCTATAATCAGGGGCTACCACCTTGAAGGCGAAGACAGGGACCGCATGGCCGCACAGCTTGTTTTGAGCGAGCTACATCCCGTGCAAAGACTAGTGAATACACTTTACCAACGGCTGAAAGACAAGGTATCGCAGGGCAGACTGCTCACTGGACCGAACATAATTCCTGTGGGAGCTAATGGGCACGAATCCAGCGTACCCCTGCACTTCCTCGACAAGCTAGCTGTGGATCTCGGAACTCGGCTACGCGGGTTGTCCAGTGAGATTTTTGAGCAATTACGGCGAGGCTGGTGATTGACAAACAATTGAGGCTTCGGATTCCATACTCTATACCCTACAGTGGACTTGCATAGTTAGCGGATGGTAGGCGCGTCCTCGATGTGATAAAATGTGATATATTAGTGGCCGGAGCCTTTGAGGTACAGCTAACAAAAGTACCTGCAACCTCTACTTAGCCCGTAGCCTTCTGAATGGAGAGGCGGGATTCAGTTCACACCGAGAATTCCAAACTGGTCTGAACAGCTCTGGCCTCCATCGTGCCGCGTTTTCATCCCCGAACAAGTCCTCCCAGTCTCCCAGCCATCAGCGGCTGCAGTCAATAGTCAGGCTCGATGGCAGCCTTGTTCTCTGTCCATCTTCCCGTCTTCAATGAAACGTCCCCGATCAATTGGAAATTTCCATTCCAAGCCACTGACTGAACTATGCGGAGTTATTTCCTTCAGTTCCATTGGTGAATTTTGATCCCCGAAGCCCTCTTCCATACAAACAGTCCATTCACTAGCATAGCTGTGGAACCTTTTTACCCCAGACGTGCTCCACCTCAGTACAAGGCTACAATGCCTGCACTTTTATATCGTCGATACACTTTATCCGTCAATACACTCGGGACACTACGCATCCCAATCAACAAAATTCAAACCAAAAAGTCCAATATGACACAATTCCCTGTTAACATCGCCAGCGACAAGGACGAGTTTGATCCGGAGCACTGGACAAACCCAGGCGCAAACAATGTCAACCGTCTTCCAGCCCGTCACCCCGAAACTGGAATCAGTGTCCTTATCGTCGGTGCTGGGATGGGTGGGCTCATGACTGCTCTTGAATGCTGGAGGAAGGGTCATACAGTCGTGGGCATCCTTGAGCGGAACGAGGGGCCTGTTTATTCGGGTACTCTATCTACCTTATCCTCTTTCTACTCTCAAACTAGGCAGCTAACTGGGGTTAATGAAAAAAAAAGGAGACATAATCGTCATGCAACCCCCGGCTGTCTCCATCATCCGCCACTGGCCTGATATGTGCTGCGACATGGAAGAAGAGCAGGTCCATGCTGCCGTTAGCTATGAGACCCACGGTGGAAAACATATCTACGGCCCGACCGTGCCATCATTCAACGACCCGGAACACCTCGCAAGCCGGAAAGGTCCATTCGTTGCCCCCGCCCAGGTCCGCCGGAAGTTCTACCGCATGCTACTACGGCAAGCCGCCAAGATAGGTCTCCAAGTTGAGTACGGAAGCCCCGTTCAGAGTTACTTCGAGGACCAGGGCGCAGCCAAGGGCGGTGTTGTTCTCGAGAATACCGGGGCGGTCCGTCTCGCAGATGTAGTCGTCGCCGCAGACGGGCTGAAGTCCGCATCGGAGATTCTCATTGCGGGCGAGCATGTCCCCACCAAGTCAAGTGGGCTGAGTATCTACCGGACTGCGTTCCCCAAGGAGCTCGCGATGAAAGACGAGGCCGTGCGGAAACGCTGGGGCAATTCTCCGCCCGTGTGGGAGTATTGGCTTGGACCGGGGATGTACCTCGGTGTATTTGTAGGCGAGGATATCATCTCGTTCGGGTTTACGCCACGAGACGTGCAAGGCACGGCGACAGAGTCCTGGGAGCCGGATACAGATCCGGAAGACGTGGCGAGGGCGATGCTGCGCGTGCCAGACTGGGACCCGGCAGTGCTGGCACTGATTCGGAGTGCGCCGCAGGGTGCGATCGTGCACTGGCCGCTATTGTGGCGGGACCTTCGACGCGAGTGGACGTCGCCGGCGGGCCATGTGGTGCAAGTTGGGGATAGTGCGCATAGCTTTATCCCGACGTCGGGGAATGGAGGGTCGCAAGCGTTGGAAGACGCTATTACGCTGGCGACTTGTCTGCAGTTGGGTGGATGTGTGAGGAATGCGCCGCTCGCAACGAAGGTGTATAACCTGCTGAGGTATGAGCGGGTTAGCTGTGCGCAGAAAATGTCGTTCGTCAATTCGCAGCTCAAAACTGCGACGGACTGGGATGCTATCTGGAAGGATCCGGCGAAGATCAGGACACGGTTCCCGAGTTGGATCTTTAAGCATGACCCGGAGGCATATGCTTACGAGAAATATGGACAGGCATTTGCGCATCTGATTTCTGGAACGGAGTTTGCCAATACCAATTTCCCTCCTGGGCATGAGTTTAGGCCATGGACAATGGAGGAAGTGTGGCGAGATATCGAGGATGGGAAGAGGGTGGAGGATCTTCTTGATGGCGATTGGTCTTGAGATCTGTATTCAAGATTCCATATTGGGTTCAAATGTATTTGACGCTAGACACCAGCTGCAGATCGAGTGTTGTTCGTGCATCTCCGAGAAGTGAAATCTCCGAGGGCGAGCCCTAATCGACGACTACAAGATAAACCAAATCCACCACCACAGCTTTCCAGTCCCAAATGATATCGCTGTCCGACTATGATCTTCGCATAATGCAGTCCGATTTACGACTTGACTTATCCCCTGCGGAAGTCTCTTATCCCGATTCTCGGGCACCGTACTCCTCACGTAGCCTAACCCAATTCTAGGGCCTATAATAAAACTAGGTACAAGGAATAGGTAAATAACTAGCCCCAATGCCTCCAGTAGCTCGTCTTTCCCTCATACGCTCCCACATTAGCCCTCCAAACCTTGACAACGAATTAAACATGGCACCTCATATCCCCTATCGCCTCGATGGCAAAGTCGCTCTCGTCACCGGTTCTGGCCGGGGAATCGGGGCCGCAATGGCCATCGAACTGGGCCGATGTGGTGCAAAGGTCATAGTGAACTATGCTAACTCACGCCACTCCGCCGAGAAGCTGGTTGATGAGATAAAGGCCCTCGGAACCGATTCAATTGCATTGAAGGCCAATATCCGCAATGTTCCCGAGATTGTCAAGCTCATGGACGAGGCGGTGGCTCATTTTGGAGGCTTGGACATTGTTTGCAGCAACGCAGGGGTTGTTAGCTTTCAGCACCTGGGCGATGTCACTGAGGTACATTTTCTTTTCTTTTTTTTTTTTTTTTCATTATCGTCAGAGCTAACGAGGTCCCCCTGAATAAAGGAGGAATTCGACCGCGTCTTCTCACTGAATACGCGCGCCCAATTCTTCGTTGCGAGAGAGGCCTATCGCCATCTGAACAACGGAGGACGGATTGTCCTCATGTCCTCCAACACAGCCAAGGAATTCAGCGTCCCCCGACACGCCGTGTACTCAGGCTCCAAAGGTGCCATTGAGTCCTTTGTCCGGGTTATGGCGAAGGACTGCGGTCATAAACAGATTACTGTCAATGCGGTGGCCCCCGGCGGCACTGTGACGGACATGTTCAATGATGTGGCGCAAAACTACATCCCCAACGGTGAGAAGTACTCTCCTGAAGAGCTCAAGCAGATGGCAGCCCATGCGTCGCCATTGCTGAGGAATGGGTATCCGTTGGATATTGCGAGGGTTGTTTGTTTCCTGGCGAGTGGTGAGGCGGAGTGGGTGAATGGGAAGATTATTACGGTTGACGGAGGTGCGGCATAGGTCGGTCTGACAAATGGTAGACAGGATTGAAATAGATTAAACTATTTAGTCAATGCATTAGTTTGCAGTTGTGTAATTGGTTGTTCATGTTACCAGGGGCGAAGGCATCGGATTCCGAAGGTGTTGACTGTCGGGGATTTCCAAGAAACTCCACGCGAGTACATTGTGTGCGAGAGAAATCAGTATTGTTGATTCCGGGTATGTCACGGTCTTTGACGGATTGAGGTCATTTAAATAAGTCCTTCACTCTGGTTCCTTAGCATCTGACAGTCCGATTCAGCCTTAACCAAACAGACCAACACGATGGCACTTCGCCCTACCTTTGAAGGTACATTTGCGGAATGCGCAGTATAGTACAATGCTAAGAAATGATCAGATATAAAAGCCTGTGAGACGGTTCTTTTTGAATGGGCAGAGAGTTACGATGGAAAAGACTGGGGACGACTGGAGCGATGCATCGCTCCCTCTCTCCGTGTCTGTCGCTCGTTATCCATGTGAGGGGCCAACGCTGATGTTCACAGATCGACTATAGGGCCTTCATCAATAAGCTCTGGGAAGATATGTCCGCCGCCGATTTCGTCGCCATGGTCTCCCATCCTCACTTTCTGGGCACCCCGCGCATCCAGACACAACATTTCATCGGAATGACGAAGTGGGAGAAGGTCAGCGAAACGCAAATCCTGGGACACCACCAAATGAGGGTCGCCCACCAGAAGCATGCGGACGACGAGTTGAAGGAGGTAACTGTAAAAGGACATTCTCACGGTACGGGCACAATAACATACCGGAAAATCGATGGGGTCTGGAAGTTTGCGGGAATTGAGCCGCATGTAAGATGGACCGAGTTTGGAGGGGAAGGTCTCTTTGGGCCACCTGTGGAGGAGGTTACAGCATGAGGGCCGATCAACATTACTAGGATTTGAATCAGAAATTATATCGCGTGGTGTGGTGCTCGAGAGGGCAACACAGTTGGATAGCTTCATGGTTTCCGAAACAGGACATTCGATATAGTGGTAGTGCAGTGCTTCGGATTTCTTAACACAGTAATGAGTAAGCTTACCGACCTATCGGCCCACTGTCCTTGGCCCTTCAGGGATGTTTCTGGCTTTTGCAGATAATTCGCGTCGGACGAGGACAGCCTCCTTCGCGTTCGGTGTTGGAGCCCAGCGAAGCCGAGAGCCGTTGTTGTACGTATTCCTCCACTATTCGCTGTCATTCCCAGCCGCAGACGCCACTTACAATCACTCTGCTGAGACAATCGCGCTGTGTTGTCAGAACTGAGAAATATCCCGAGTAGCAGGCCGCAGAACCCAATCCCGCTCCTCTTCTTCAGGGCGCTTCGCATATAACTACAGCTCGAATCGGTCTTTCAGATACCGGCAATTCAGCGTGTATGGGCACCCTTCCAAAATGTCCAACCTCACGGACTTTGAGACCTATACCAGCGACCTCACAGCTGCCGTCAAGACCCTTGTGTCACAGTCCCCGAGTCTCTTGTCCTCCGGCTCTCAACCGTTTCTTCCCCCAGACGCTCCCAGCGAAGCCCACCGGGCACGACAGTCGATTCTAACGACAACCACCAGACTACAGACTCTACTCTCCAGCCCCACGGATTTCCTCCATCATCTTACCGTCCAGAACCAGCTGCTCGCCTGTCTCCAATGGCTGGGGGAATTCCAGGTCCTCGCCTGCATCCCCCTCAGCGGCAGCGTTCCCATCAAAGACGTCGCGGATCTGGCTGGTGTTCCTGAGACTCATATGTCGCGCATTGTTCGGATGACAGCAACGGCCGGTTTCCTGAAGGAGCCTCAGCCTGGCCAGGTTGCACACAGCGCGCTTTCCGCTCCGTTCGTCACCAAGCCGTCTTACCTCGACGCCGTCATGTTTCTCGCCGGCACAGTTGCTCCAGCCGCTTTACAGATGCCCACTGCAACTCAGCGATTCGGCTCGTCTCTGCGTCCAAACGAAACAGCCTATAACATTGCATTCAACAATCCAGCCACCTTTGCTAGCACTAGTGAACAGCGTCCCAAGCTTCAGCGTCAATGGCCTGCTTTCCTGCGTTACGGAACGAAGGACATCGACGATCACACAACAGACCTACTCGCTAGACTAGACCATTTTCGCCGAGGCAACATATCAGTCGTCGAAGTATAACCTCCTAACAACACTTCTCTGGAAATAAACTAACATGTCACAGGTCGGCGCCCGCTCAATTGACCGCGCAACAATCCTCGCAAACCTCTACCCCTCCCTACATATCACGGTCCAAATCGCAGCCCCAACAACAGGACCAAACAGCTGGTCTTCACATCCCCAAACACCCTACTCCAAACATGACGACCTGCGTCCGCTGAGCTCTAGCCATACCAACAAAGGCAACACTGCCACAAGCAGCAGCAGCAGCTCCTCCTCCTCCTCTCCCTCAAGCCCCAACATAACAATCCAACAACGAACCCCAACAACCACACAACCCATATCCGACGCCTCCGTCTACATCTTACACCTCCCATCCCCCTCACCTACCATCCCATACGGGTCCCTTGCTACACGCATAATCGCTGAGCTCCGCGCACATCTCGACGTCCTCCGCTCCAACCCCGCCGCAACGCTTATCCTAACCCCGCGGCTGCTCCCGGACCCGGCGGCTGTGAACGCGGACACTGAGGCGTCTGCAAGATTACGGGATTTGTCTCTACTGCAGCTAGCTAATGAGCGGGAGATTGACCTTTCCGAGCTGATGAATATGCTGAATAGTGTAAGTGATAGTATGGGGAGGTTGGTAGTTGTTAATAAGATAAAATCGAGGGAGAGTGTGGTGGTTGTGTTGGAGGTTAGGTACCAGGTATATAATCGCTGATTTAGTTATCCATCTTGAATATATATCCCTGTGTACGGTTGTCTAGAGCTTTTTGTCTATCTATCCTAAGCCGTTTATAGTTTCCATTATTTAGCCTCCAGGTCTATAGCTGCGGGTCATATGGTGCAGCGACCAAGATTGAATGTATAATGGTGGGGTAGCTCCAGCCCATTTATATCATAGATGAAAGCTTCCGGACCACTCCAGTAGGCCAGGGTCTACTAGTGTGTCTAGTTGGCCTTTATCGATTTTCCTACAGTTCTCCCATAAAACGCCCCAGAAGTGACAATCTTCAGTAGCCCCGACTAACGCGTTGATGACGCTGTCTACAGCTTCCCGCTGCGTGGTTGAGTTGAAGCCGATCTAATGTTGAATTTTATTGAATTTTATAACAATTGAAAAGCGTTAATCTTGCCGTCCTGGTAGTCAAACATTAAGCTGGTAGTCTGATCATTGAGCGGCTTTTGGTTGCACGGGTGGAATGTAACCTCCTACCGTCTACACGTCATGCCAGGTTCTGGCTAGAGAGTCCTTCCCACTTCCAAATGACAACTCACTGACGTGCTAGAGCTATTCCCTACCTAATGCGTGCTTACACTCTTGAGTTCAAAGAGGTTGGGTCTGGTTCGGGTGCCAGCGGCAAAGACACCCATCAGCCGGAATAGGGAAGGGTTTAGAGAAGCCCACTACACTCTGTATCATGTCGTCACGCCGTGCTTCTGCTGCCAAAGTTAATTGAGATCTCTACTTAGAGGCCCCGCCCGCCCGAAACGAGATGTAGATCCGAGTTCCACGCACTATCGTCAACATGTTGAGCCGTCTCTATATCGCCCTGCTCAGCCTCTCTTTGGGCATTTTTCCGGTTGCCGCACAGGACCAGACAGCCCGGGTCTGGGCAGTATTTGGATATACTGTCAATGGGGAGAGAATCCCGAAGGTTTTCCCACGTCATCCGAAGTCATTGACACCATATGGAGCATACCAACTGCATGAAGCTGGGTCTGCCTTTCGAGACCGATATGTCGCTCTCGACGGGGTTGACAGCGACACCAGTGAAAGGATCGTGAACATCGCTCCTGAATTGCTCAACACCGAAGATGTCAAGGTCGCTTCCACGCCCGATACAGCCGTCCTTGCATCCGCCCAGGCATTCATGCAGGGCGTTTATCCACCGCTCAAAGAATCCTTCAACTCCTCGTTCTATGGAGGTGACTTGGAATTGGCCGACGGCTCTAGTGTCCAGGCCCCGCTTGGGGGATATCAATATCCCTCCATCGAAACGTTCGGGTTCGACGACCCTCAGTCCGTCATGATCGCCGGTCAAGCGCTCTGTTCTGCACATGGCTCTGCAAACCTTCAATACCTTAGCAGCAAGGAATTCTGGGCAACTTATGCGGACTCAGCAGCATTCTATGCTCACCTCTATTCTCAGGCTATTTCTGGAGGATTTGACATGAAGGGTGCCAACTTCGCAAACGCAACCAGCATCTCCGAGTTTTTGGACTACCAGGCTATGCATAACGAGTCTTTGTTGCATAACTTGGGCCAAGAGGACGTCGAACGTGCACGATGGTATGCAGGCCAATACGTATACGAAACAAATGGAAACACATCATCATCTGATGATGTTAAAGACGGCAAAATCAGAGCAATTGCAGGGCAAGGCCTGGCATCCAATGTTCTTGACGCTTTTGAGAGCAGTATCAAAGGGCAGGGTGCCCACGGGAAGATGACCCTTCGGTTTGGTAGCTCCCAAACAGCAGTATCGTTCGCCTCGCTCTTACAACTGGACAACAAACAAAATGCGAACTTTACTTCCCTGCCAAATCAGGGAGCCTCGTTTGTGCTTGAGTTGTTCAGCCTGGAGAGCGAGAGCTACCCTACGTTCCCCGATCCGTCACAACTCTATGTTCGGTTCCTCTTTCGAAATGGGACAGGTGCTGATTTCAGGTCATATCCGCTCTTTGGATACAGTCCTAGCAGGGTTGTTCTCCCATACAGTGAGTTTAAAGACAATATGCAAGGTGTGTCACTGGGTTCGATCGCAGACTGGTGTCAACGCTGTGACTCGTCCGCCGTGTTCTGTTCTGGCGTCGTTCCTGCAGCCAAGCCAGGCGTGAGCAACCCTAAAGAAGACAAGGGCGGTATGCATCCTGCCGTTGCTGGGGTTGTTGGTGCTGCTGTTACCGTCGGTGTATTGACTCTCTTCGCTGTTGTTGGATTCTTCTGTTGTCTACGCACGAACCGGGTGCGTCGTAAGTCGAGTCTTGGAGGCTTCAAAAGGAATAGCAAGATGGCCAGCGATTCGGATGTCACATTCAACAATCCACAATGGGGGGCCGACATCAAACCCCCCGCAGCTTCAGCCAGAGGGTATGAGCGACATGGCAGCTGGGAAATGGCCAACAGCCCTCCACGGCTTGCAAATTGCAGGGTTAGGTCGTCAGCTCTAACAGACGATATTGAAGAAGAGTGGCAGTTGCATAATAGTATGGAGCCTGTCAAAGCACGAGAGCATGTGTGATTTAAGCCAAAAAAAAGTGGACAGTTAGTATTGGAAATGGATTTCTGAGTTTGTTGAATGAGCAGGTTCTGTAGTCTCATCCATAATCTTCTCAAAGGGCCGCCGACTTTGGTTGTTGTGGTACGCTCTTTCCCTGTCAACAACCTCACTTTCCGTCCCACAACACACTCCCAACCCCAACCCCCTTCTCTTGTCTCCCTTTACCATCTTCGCCGACTTCTCGCCATCCTCTTCCTCTGTAAAAACGAGCCGTCACCAACGACACACACCTTCCCCATTCATTCTTTCACCAGAAATTTTCCAAACCCGACGCCTGTGTGGTATACATTCATTCATCCCCAGTCATGACCAAATACGATCTGCAGACCCTCCTGGCAGCGAAGACCAATGCCCACATAGATCTGGGCAGGTTCAGCGACCAGGCCTTCAATAGTAAGCTCCGTCTATGCCACAAGCAGAGAAGATGTTAACATGCGGTCCCGTCAAGATAACCTGGTCCGTTCCAATGTACTGTCTGAGCAGCCTGTCAACAGACCAAGAAATATGTCGGGCCATTCACGCCGCACTGTAATGGCCCCTTTGGCATTGAACGCACAGAATACCCCACGCCAGACAGATCACCATACTATGTCATCCAATTCCCAATTTGACGATGCGTTTGTGCGATTCGTTGAGCAACACACGTCCCCAAAGCCGCAGCGTGTCACCGCTGGTGGCCGCATTGTACCTATGAACCCTTGGGACTCACCTCCCAAGTGGAGTCTACCGTTGAGCTCAAAGGGTGCCAGCGCTGCGAACAGCGAGGCTTCGAAAACCGCTAGTTCGGCCGCGAAAATCGAGGCCAAGTCTATCTCTGAAAATCAGCCAAGGCAGGAGCAGGCGGCGAAGTCTGAGACCAGGGTTCCAAAGATGGCCCCACTGCCAGCAGGTAGATCCCCAAATTGCGTTTGCCAACCGCAGGTGCTAATTATGGTCAATGGCATTTAGATGCTGCTAATGCCCCATGCTTCCAACCTCCTGGCAGCACATCCAGCCCGTACCAGTATGCCAACGTTCCCTTGGCTACTCAACAAGCCCAAGGAACTGGGTTGCCTTCCTATTCAGCTTTTGGAATAGGCGGGGATAATTTTTTGAATGCTTTTGCTCCGCCGCAAACCCCAGCGCAACTAATAGGTCCGCAAACTGGATTTCCATTCCAGACACAGCCAGCTTCCGCAGCTACCTCAAGCTTACTAGGTTGGAATGGCCTCAATGGCCTAAATGCAGTATCCCCTGCACCATTTAGTCCCTATCAGCATAGCTATGCCGCAAGTCCTCCTACGGCCAGTGCTCAGTGGCCTCAGCTGCCACAGCTGCCCCCGTTGCCACAGGTTCAGCAGGTTCAGCAAGTTCAGCAGGTTCCACTGGTTCCGCAGTTGCATCAACTACCCCAAGCATCTCCCGCTACTCGCAACCAGGCACCTACATCCAATCAGCAATTCGTTGGGTCTCATTTTCAAGATGTCATATATCAGAAATCACTGGAGGATGCTGCCAAGCAGTATGATGCACTCTCTGCGCAGCTTTCCCAGATCGACAGATTCACCGCGATGCATTCTTGGGTCATCGAACCAGAAACGAAAAAGCTCCTCGTTGAACAGCGAAAAAGCTTGGTGCGTGAACTTGATACGGTGAGGCTCTATAAAGAGCATTTGCAGGTTCTGTTTGGTAAAAGCCAAATGAACGGCACTCTCAGGCCTCAGCAAGAGCCCATTACAATTCCAGTCACTCCCCCACAGAATGAGGCATGGGGGACGCCTACCAAATCTAAGTCGAGATCATTATCACCAACCGTCCGCAACCTCTACCGCACGATCGAAGAGACTGACGAACGCGGTGAGCCTATCGATGGGTTACTCTGTGCTTTGTCAGGCGCATCTAATGGGCTCGCGAAGAGGTTGAGTGAAGAACGTCAAAAGTCCCTAGGCATATCGATTAGGGAACCCCCACGGGATGTATCTAGCACGCTTATCAAGGCGAGGGACTCGAGAGAAGAGTCCCTGCATGAGGCACCAGAAAAGGTTGAATACGCCCAGCCCGTGCAAGTTTCCAGGAGACTTTGGCAATCAGATCCCCATCCACACTCGCCGCTGCTTTCTCAATGTTTCAACAGAGACTGGAGCCCAGTTCTGCAGAAGTCAGCCGCCCCGGCTGTATCTCAAAATGTTACAGCTCACGCATTTCTTCCGTCTTTCGACGGCGCGGGAAAGATAGCCGACGGCTTCGAACTGATCTAATCAGGAGCCCCATGTGGCGGTGATGGAGAGCAAGGGGTAAATTTGTTCCGGCGGAAGCCAATAATTACCGTACTCGGCAGGGATTTGGGAGTTGGGAGTACCAGGAGCTGGGCGCATTGAACTTGGGAGTACAGGGAGGATTACTACTGATAGGATGGATGATGAATATCTGGCCTCGTGTAGGATTATTGTATCTTTAGCATTGATTTGGTGCTTAACATAATTCGATTCACTCATTGAAAGTAAGTGTTGTTTGACTCGCGAACATTAATAATGGTGGCCAACTACGCCATTCCTGACTCAGCCACGGGGAAGAATCCCAATTCGACTCAACTCCACCTCCTCCTCATCCAACGTCCGCAATAATCAAGCAGTCAACGGCCGTGCTTCATGGACTGACCATCCCGCGGCTTTATCGCTTTTGCTCCTCCGCTCTTTTCGTACTATCCCTCTGTCCTTCTTTCCTGTCGTCTCGTTCAACAGCCGTCCCTCCTATTTCACCGCTCCTCTGTTTTATGCCTCTCCAACGTTACTAGCTCCACGCCGCCAATTCTCCCTCTCCCCGCGCTCCCTCACCCGTTCCCGAGCTTCGTCGCCAAACCAATCTGTCTTTGAACATCTCTGGTCGCAGTCGTTGTCAGCGTTGGATTTTCACGAGAATCACACCCCACGCTCTCTCCGGGTTAATTTGTTACTCTTGTGGGGATGACGCAGCTTTTCGCGTCCAATCCGTCCCCTGCGGCGAACGAGAAACGGGGAAATCTTCCCGGCCTATCCATGCCCTCCAAAAAACACTCCAACGATTCAAGTCATTTTCCAACGAAGATCAAGAATTTTTTTCGCATCAACAGCTCAAGTAGCGCATCCTCGCATCAATCCAACAATCACTCCTCCAACTCCGATCGCGATAACGGTTTCTCGGCCCCTGCCAAAAATGAGCCTAAGTCCACCTTCAGACAGTCCCGCTTCCTCCCCATTATCGGTCGCAATCGTTCTGCTACGGTAGCCAGTGAAGGGAATCCGTTAGACGAGGGAATCTCTCCGACCGCAACGGCAAACCCCTACTTCGTCCACCAAGGTCAGCCCGCCCTTCAACATCGTAACGACGGCTCAATACCCTCTTCACCGCCGGATACCCCAGAGCTACAAGTCGATGGTGTTTCGGCTGCGGAGCAAGCTACCACAGCTAACAAGGAAGAACTTGCTCGGAAACTACGTCGTGTCGCTTCGGCTCCGAATGCCCAGGGATTGTTCAATGCCAGTGACGCCGGTGCACGACCTCAAACTGCGGAGCTGGGTAAGGAACCCTTACTCCACTCAGGCGCTGCCGGCGATCCCGTTGGCCTGGTGGAAGTAAGCCTAAGCACCGACAATGACGGGACTCTTGCCGTTCCACAACCGGGTTCCGACAATCTTCCAACCCTCACACAGGTTCGCACGTCAAGCAGTGGTTTCCGTCGGACATACAGCTCCAATTCGATCAAAGTACGCAACGTCGAAGTCGGTCCGGCTAGTTTCGATAAAATCAAGCTCATTGGAAAGGGCGATGTGGGTAAGGTTTACCTCGTCAGGGAAAAGAAGTCGACTCGTCTATATGCCATGAAGGGTGAGTTACCACGCAACACCAAATGAGACCGGTTTGACTTACAAAAATGCTAGTTCTGAGTAAGAAGGAAATGATCAAGCGGAACAAAATCAAGCGGGCACTGGCAGAGCAAGAGATTCTCGCCACCAGTAACCACCCGTTCATTGTGACACTTTATCACTCCTTCCAATCTGAGGATTATCTCTACCTGTGCATGGAGTACTGCAGCGGTGGAGAATTCTTCCGAGGTATGATAACACAATAATCTTAAAATTGATTGTCCCTTGCTGATTATAACGCCTTACAGCTTTACAGACCCGCCCTGGGAAATCTATATCGGAAGACGCTGCTCGTTTCTATGCGGCGGAGGTTACCGCTGCGCTCGAGTATCTCCACCTCATGGGTTTCATTTACCGTGATCTGAAGCCAGAAAGTGTGTTTAGCAACCTTGACTACATTAAAAAAGCATACTAAACGGCCTCCTTCGCAGATATCCTTCTTCATCAGTCAGGCCATATCATGCTGTCGGACTTTGACCTATCAAAGCAATCAGGACCCGGAGGTGCTCCTACAATGATCCCCGCACGAAGCGGCAACTCCACCACGGCTTTTCCAACCATTGACACGAAGTCTTGTATTGCTGATTTCAGAACCAATTCGTTTGTTGGTACTGAGGAATACATTGCGCCAGAGGTAATCAAAGGCTGTGGGCATACCAGTGCTGTGGATTGGTGGACTCTGGGTATCTTAATATACGAGATGCTTTACGGGACGACACCATTTAAAGGCAAGAACAGGAATGCGACGTTCGGGAACATTCTCCGTGACGAAGTACCATTCCCAGAGCAGGGAGGTGCACAGCAAACTTCCAAGTATGTTATTCATGGCCCTTGCACCCTATTGATGCACATAACTAACCAAGGACCAGCATGTGCAAATCTTTGATCCGAAAGTTACTGATTAAAGATGAGACTAAACGTCTTGGAGCTCGGGCTGGCGCCTCGGACGTCAAAACACACCCGTTTTTCCGGCAAACACAATGGGCTCTTATTCGCCATATGAAACCGCCAATGGTCCCCCACCAAAGTCGCGGGAACGAGACCGTCAACTTCCGAAATGTCAAGGAAAGCGCGAGCGTTGACATTGGCGAACAGAACCCTTCCAAGATGAAGGGCGTTCCACTAAATTCAGGTCTCGCCACGCCGAATGGTGAAATTTCCGATCCTTTTGAAGAGTTCAACAGCGTCACTCTTCACCACGATGGTGACTTCTAGTTAAACCAAACCGTGGTGCTCAGCTTCTGGCCTTCCGCATACTAGACGAAACTGCTCGAGCGTATCCTGTATTGCTATCATTTCACGATCATGATGCATGAAAACAATTTGTATTCGAAAGTCAATATTCTGTCGCTTTTACTACAGGGAGCTTGGAGGCGTTTAGAATTTTAACTTGGGATTTTTCTGTTATCGATTTGCTGCAACTTATATTGGGTGGATGCCGATCTGCTTCGATGTCTGAATCTGCTTTACGCGTGTCATTTTTCGGTTCCTGTTATTGTGCTGCCTGCCATGGTATACTCTTGTCCCTTTTACAACGTTCCTTCCTATATGGCTATCAGTCGCCTTGCCATAACTATCCTTATTGCAGAACACGGCGTTGGCGATTTCGAATTTGCACTTGCGCAACACAATTTGTTCAACTACTGCCGCGTTACTATATGAACCGAACTTTTGCCTCCATTTCTCAAGCCCTATTGCTTATCTGCGCCATTTTTACTTACCTGGTTCGAGAAATTGGGCAGAAGGCTTTTCAAGGATCTGTGTTCAACACAACCCGCCTTCTCTACGTGCTTATCATATACATCCTTAGCCGCGAAATTCAATTGTCTTATTATTCAAACACTATTAAGGATAGAAAAGTAGGGCTGGCAGTTCTTCCCTGAGTAAATACCTTCATTGCATCAATATCTTGTTGCCATGCCCGTTAAGTAGGAATTACTGCCATCTTTTCCAGCTTCCTTGAAAAGCACCCGTATACAAAGTCCTAGCCATTTGAGGGATAGATCATTTGAGTCGCCCTGTATCATGCATAATGAAGATTCCAGTTTGTATATTGTGGTTAAATAATTAGTATAGTGTTTCCATCGTATGTGTTGGGCATACTGGAATATATATAAGTTGTTGCCATCAGTAGTAAGCCAAGATACTGCAAGGAAGGACGGATATTGCATGTCGCTTAGATGGAAATAAATATATTTAACATATAAGCTTCTATAAAAATGCGGATTTTCCTGAGGTTATTGCAGCCTGTGAGGGTTGGGTAATAACGCCGATATCAGAACGGCCGACGCGCTTCTTTCCCCGCCAACCAAAATAAATCCGGAGCCACCATCAACACCAAAACACCATACCAACAACCTCAAATCCCACTCGAATATCAACAAAAGCAACTCGTCTCCCTCAAGTAAAAATGTCAGACATAACCCCCACGCCCTCAAGAACTACAACGCCCCCGACAGACCCTCCAACGGACACCCACCCCGCAACCGAAAATGCCTTTCTCCGCCCCTCCCACCCGCTCGTCACCGATCTCGAGCAAGAAGTCCTGGATGAGTATGCACGCTTGCTGGGGAATGTGAATAAAGTATGTTATCTCCTTTACGGCACCCCTCATTTACCTCTTTTCCGCAAATTCAATTCCATGACCGGCCGATGGCTAACGTTCTTTTGCTTTTTCCCATCCACAGCTATCGACCAAGCTATCGGACCTCGCGGACTCTCCTACCTCGGTTACGCTAGATGGACTCCGGCAATTAGAGAGAAAAACGGCGACCGTGTGCACGCTGCTCAAGGCTAGTGTGTACAGCATTGTCCTGCAGCAGCAAATTTTCAACGAGGGGGAGGAACAACAGCAGCAAGGTGGGGACGGGGGAGAGACTGGGACCATGAATGTTGGGGATGAGGGAGGCTACGGGCATGCGGATATGAGTTACCAGGAGGGGTATTGATTGATTGATTTATTGATGAACTAGGTGCACTTGTTGGGGCCTGGCGTTGGGTTTCGTTTTCAAGTCATAAATTATATACCCCCCTGCTTTGTTGTGGTGTTTGCTTATACGGTCATGTTGTAAAGAAAGTGAGCCGTGATCGGATTCAATTGATTGATGGTGTACAAATACATGGTCAAATGCTGGAGAAAATATGGTAAAGGAAAATATTATATACATCGTCAGAATGCAACCAGAAGTCTGGCAACAGGACAATGTGCCATAATCGTACAGTCTAGTTCGCGCGTCGTCGTCGATCCCCTTCCTCCCTTTGCCCTCCTTCCTCTTTCGTGTCTCTTCCAGAATAGTATACCTTGCGAACATCTACCAGCTTCTTTCCTCGGGCGCGCGCGATCTCCTCTGGGTCGCGCTGGCTCATCAAGGCGTTGTAGGCGGCCTTCACGGTGTTCATGTGGTTTCGAGATCGTTCGACACGAGCAGCAATGTCGCTGATGCCGGCTGCGCGGCACATTTCGTAGATCAGACTTTGGCAGCGAAGACCGAAACCTGGACACTGTCAACTATACCCTTGTGTAGAACGGAACATTTGGAAGCTTACCAGGAGGGCGGCTCATCAGTTTCAACTCCACAGCACCCGACTTGCCTTTGACGTCGCCAAAGATCGTGCGGTTCTCATACCGAGGAATAGGCTTCATGTTTCTGATCGCACGGAACCTCGCCTGCACGATCGCATCTCCCATTTCCTGTGACTTGCCCTCGCCGATACCGAGGAGACCATTTTCATTGCCAGCAATAGACAGGACATACTGGCTGCGCACCTTACCAAGACGGGTCTGGTTTGTGACAAACTTCTTGACGAGAGATCGCTCCCTGATTTTCGAGAGCGTCTGCTGGGTGTGTCCGGTAGCCTTCATGAGCATCTTCAAAGCATCACTTGGCTCTTCGTCTACCTTGGAAAGGCTGGCACCCTCAACCTCATAGTATGGGGGAGGGTTTTTCATTTTCCCATCCAAGTTTTCTCCATGCTGAAACAGATCCGGCACAAGTGAACTATTCGGGTTCAACTCGTTTTCCTCCTTCCCAACTGTCACGCGGTTCGTCTCGGCGAATCGCACCCAGTCAGACACTGAAACGTTTTCTGGAGTCTCGGAGAAGAACTTTGCAAAGTCGTCGACGAAGTCGTCTTCGGTCTTCAGTCTCGCATTGTAGTCACTATTGCTCTCGGGGGCGCGGACGTGTTTATCAAGACCGGGCTCGATCACAGAGAAATCATCAAGATACGAGAGCTTCATAGGATCTTTGCGGATTCGGAACTGTTCAGCCAAGTCTTTCGGGTCAATGGCCGCCTCGCCGGCTTCAACCGCGGCGAGCTGCTCGGGGGTGTAGTGCTCCTTTAGCCATGCTTTCTCCTCCTCTGTGTAAGGCTTAAAATGGTCTGGCGTCAACTCATCGCGGATCTGTTTCAATGTCTTGCCTTCAACCTCAATTGGAGGCTTTGGGCCCTTGTCTTGAAGTTGTATCGCCGACAACTGGAACTGGCGACGGGGCACGCGAGGGCCGGGGGCGGCGGCGCGTGAAAAGCTGCAAAACAGACATCTGGCTGGCCGCGCGATACTCATGATGACGGATAGGCTCTTTGGCCCGTTCAGGCCGCGGGGAGCAGAAGGACGTGTGAGGGAGGGTGGAGTGTGGACGACGGGGGTGAATCGGAAGATGGTGGAGGACAACTTTTGAGGCCGGCAGAAAGAGAGAAATTCTCAGCCGCCGGCCTGGCCAATCAGCGCCCACCCTTTTCTGCTTTGGATCTTTTCTTCCATGGCATGGCCAGTTCGACTTTCTTTTCTTCCTCTGACTCTGCTGTTTTCTCGAATTTACATTTATGTTTCGCCTTCCGAGGTTGTCCGTTTGTCGCCAGTTGAAATACTGCCCTCCAAAACCCTCAGCGACTCGGTTACTCCCTGTCGCAAATTCAATCTCGATTTCTTTACAGCAACGGAATGCGCATCGCTCATCCATAATGCCTGGACCAAATAAGAACTTTCGCCATGGCCCCAAGCGGCAAAGGAGGACCGAACCTAAGCGGAAGGAAAAGTCGAACGAATTTGACGAGGTTTTGCAGCTCGATATTGACAAACTTCTGAAGAAGAACAAGCCTGAGGTCGACAGCGCCGCCGACGCTCCTACTCCGCCGCCGTCCACTCTTCCAGAACTTTTTACGGAGATTGAGGTGACTGTCGAGGAGATATCTTCTACAGGTGATGGGTTGGCACTATCAGAAAACAAGGATCATGTCTACATCGTTCCTTTCACAGTTCCAGGCGACAAGGCTCTTGTCAAAGTAGTGCGGCACGTCAAACAACTATCTTACAGCGTGACGGACTTTCTCAAGATTATCGAGCCTGGATCACAACGACGAGACGATGCGATTGGGTGCAAATACTTTGGCAAATGCTCTGGCTGCCAGCTTCAGATGCTGTCGTATGAGGATCAGCTGGCCCATAAGAAACGCATCGTCGAGAAGGCATACGCCAACTTCTCCGGCCTCATCCCGGACCTTATTCCTGCCATTGGAGATACATTCCCATCGCCTCAGCAATATGGATATAGAACCAAACTCACGCCGCACTTTCCTGCACCCATAGGTGGAAGAAACAAGGATATTCCGGAGTCTGAACTTCAAGTGCCACCCATCGGCTTCACTTACAAAAATCAACGGCGGCATTTAGATATCGAGGACTGCCCATTAGGCACGGACATAATCCGACAAGGATACAAGAGCGAGAGAAAGAGGGTAGCGGAAAATCTGTCCAAGTACAAGAAGGGCGCAACCATTCTCCTCCGCGAGACCTCCAGTCGCACTCCAAAGGAGGTCTCGGCAGACGCCAATGACAACTCCGACTCCAAACCAACAGTCCCAATCACCTACGAGAACAAGAACAAACCCGAGCAAGAATCTGGCGATGTCATCACCATCGACCGCCCAACCTACACTGAAGAAAAACGGTGTGTAACAGACCAAAACGCAACCTCAGTCGAGTACATCGACGACTACCTCTTCACCAACAAAGCCGGCGCCTTCTTCCAAAACAACAACTCCATCCTCTCCGGCTTCACAGAATACATCCGCCAACAATCCCTTGCGCCTAAGACTGACACCTCCACCGCCGCCAAAACCTCCAGCCCCATAAAATACCTCCTAGACGCCTACTCCGGCTCCGGCCTCTTCACCATAACCCTCTCCCCGCTCTTCAAATCCAGCCTCGGTGTCGACGTAGCGGGCGACTCCATCATCTCTGCGCGCGACAATGCACGTGCAAATTCGCTACCCAACACCGGCTTCGCCGCCGCCGACGCCGCAACCCTGTTTAAGGACGTTCCTTACCCGGCTGACCAGACGTTACTTGTTATTGATCCCCCGCGGAAGGGATGTAGCGAGGACTTCTTGCAGCAGTTGTTGACGTATGGCCCGCGGCGCGTGGTATACGTTAGTTGCAACGTGCATACGCAGGCAAGAGACGTGGCTGTTATGGTTCAGGGAGATCAGAAGAAGGGGCTGAGATATGATATTGAAAGTATTCGCGGATTTGACTTTTTCCCGCAGACGGGCCATGTGGAGGGTGTGGCTGTTTTGAATAAGGTTGCTATATAGGATGTTGGTGTGATATGAGATTGCTGTACCGGCGGCATGAACTAAGCTGCGACTTGCTCGCTCGAGGCGTTCTGGTATAAAAGTCTTATTTCAAAGCGTACGTGCTCGGGACGAGGATTTTATTTGCATAAATACTATAGACAAGATAATTCGCGAAGAACAACTAGAAAAAAAAAAGAACTAAGTACCGGGGCCACCAAGGAGAGCGAACCTCCGGACAATGCTAGGGCCAATTTCATCGTATTCTGCCTTAGTGTGGCAGTAGCTGCGGAATTCGGGAGTCTGACCCAGCAGACTGCCTCCAAACCACGGACCATGTCTCTGTCTTTTATGTGTCACGACGGCAACGTCTAAACCACCACTTCGTGCTCCTCCGCTTCGGGCTTCCGATGCACGAAGACGCGCGTCGACCAGGTGTCTAATATCACGTTGCAAGCGACGGCCAAAGTCTTTGTAGAGGGTAGAACCTCCAGATAACACAATATTCTTGTACAGTCCCCTTCGGACGTCGATTGGCGAAGACTGAATAACACCATCCACAACATTGGGTAGGGGAGTCAGGAAGTCGGAGGAGTAGATTTCGGGGTTGAAGAAGATCTCAGGAGCAAGGAACCGTTCATATCCGACATCAATGCTAACGCTACGCCCGTTGGGCGCAGTGACAGTATGCTTTAGGAAACGGTCCGGTTCACGATCGTAACGAGCAAACTCCTTGACGATATCTGGCGACACGTAACAATATTCCTCCTTCACCTTCTCGGCAGTCTTCAGGCTGCTATCCGGCTCGCCTCGGTCACGCAGCAAGCTTTGTACGAAGTAGGTAATGTCTCGACCGGCAATGGGAATACTCTTGATAGAAGATCCGATGACGTAGCCTTCTGCGACGGGAATAACGTGGGTGACACCATCACCCGAATCAATCACTGTTCCGGTGAGAGATCTATCGGTCACCTTAGAGGAAGTCCAAGAAGCTGCCAGGGCGAGCACAGCTTGGACGGCAATGTATAGACCAGCGCAGTTGAAAGACTCGAACATAATTTCGGCAGTATTTTCGCGGTTCTCCGGGGGGTTGAGCGGCTGATAACGAAGGAATAATTAGCAAGTCTGTACATGGCGCACTGACTGACCACGATAGGAAGCATTGTAGAGCCCCGGGACTTACAGGTTCGGTAAGGAGGAAGTAGTGATCCTCGGGCTCGACGCGGAGGTATTTGAAGATTGAGTTCGACCAGAATCGCTCCATTTGATCCCAATTTTCGATCTGTCCATGGCGAATGGGGTAGTTGATTCCATACCCAGGACCACTAGCAGCTGACAGAGCTTCGTCACCGATGAAAAAGTCCAGATCTTCTGTGCCACGCTTCGCGGACAAATGTCCACCTGCACCTCCACCGGAAGCTAAGAAGGATGGCTTGTTCGCAACAGCAGGCCGGGCACCGGCCCCGGCGCTTCCAGCACCAGCCTTTGTAGCAATTGCAGTGGGAAAGACGAATGAGGGCGAGTCGTTTCCGGCGAAACCTGCAGGCTGTCAGCTCCTTCGGATCACTTAGTGCGGGGAGTCTGCTGGGATGGAGCAGTAGCTGAACGCATTTACCTAGTTTTGAGTAACCAGTTCCGCTAAAGAATGAGGGCGTGATGTTAGCTACATATTCCTGTCCCATTTAATTTCTCAAAACATTGAAATCCGATATAACATACTTGTCCATGACAACGGCCGGGGTTTGGGGGGCCATGGCGGATGGGCTGGGGTGCACGCACACACACCCGCTGTCAACCAATTAACAAATGAGATAGGCGTTCAGTAGGCCTGGGTGAAAAGGCAGGCCCAGGAATTAGGTCGGTAGAAAGGAAATAAGAAACGCCAAAAAGACGGGGTCGAGCAGCTAGGAGGGGGCTCAGCCTGGAGGTATGGAGGTGGTGGGCAGGCAGGCAGATTAGAGAAGGCGGTGGGCCCAATACGTAATGGAACTGCCACGTGATCCAACGATAGTCAGCCACAGCCACAGCCACGGACAACAACTGTGGCTGGAGCGTCAACCGACTATACAACAAAACGTGTGTGGATTCTTCATACAACGGCGACAATTGTATATGAGCACCACGAAATGAGTCCAGCATAATCCCATCTGTTAGACATCTTGGGGATATCACAGTCTGGCTAAAAATGCTGAGTGCGCTCCTTTTCAAAACGGGCAACTGCCTTGTGAACTGAGCAGAGGAAGGCACTCGCAGTTGGTACTTCAACTCTTATATCATTCTCTAACTGCCTCGGAACCATTCCTTTGGCCCCTCATAAGCCGTGTCCCATTCATTATTAGCATTTTTTAGCTGTATTCTTCTCACCCTTTGGTTTATCTTTACACAGATCCTAAGATACCTCAGTACTCTGGTCAACCAAACCAAAAAAACTGTGCAGCAGCTTTGTTCAACTGTACCTTGCTAGCCTATTTTTACTCTCCTAAGTCTCCCCAGTGTTTATAACTGTACTGAGGGCGTTCTTTGAGCTAAACGCAACCCTACTTGCTGTGCGCATAAAATTACGCTACGTGATTAGTCGCCAGTTGTGCAATGCTTCAGTAGCAGCCTGGATCCTCCCATTCTGTTCTCCCAACCTCTCGCAAATCTTCCACCATTCGCCCAGCGAACTATCCAGGCCATCATGAATCGACCAAAGAGAGGAAAGCATATTTCTGCCATCTTCATCCACGCCGGGGCTGGTTATCACCGGCGCGATTTCGAAAAACCCCACATGAGAGTATGTGAGAGGTAAGTCCTTCCTATGGCCTGCTCAGGAGGAGTGGCCCCGATAGTGGTCGCTAATTCAAAATAGCGCAGCCAAGATTGCCATGAGTGTTCTTCGTAACGGTGGCTCGGCTGTCGATGCTGTTGAAGTCGCCATCATGTACCTTGAGGATGCAGAGATTACCAACGCCGGATACGGTAGTAACACCACGATCGAGGGCACTGTGGAGTGCGATGCCACGGTAGTTGACCACCTCGGACGCAGCGGGGCTGTCGGCGCCGTAGCGCGTGAGTATTTCTCTTTCGATTTCATGTTTCATCACTAACCTGGCCAACTAGAGGTGAAGAACCCCATCTCACTGGCCCGTACGATCCTCGATGCATCGAAGGAACATTTGACCTTACATAGAGTTCCTCCAAACTTCCTCGTGGGACCGGGAGCCACAGACTACGCGTACGAGCAAGGATTAGTGGTTCTTCCTCATGATGGCCTTGTATCAAGCCCGGCAAGACACAGGTGGATGCAGTGGCAGAGAGAACTCAAAGAGGCGGATGTTCGGAAACGAGCCAAATCACAAGGCTCAAATGAGATTGACAATACCTATTATCGCCGCCCTGTCAGGGGCTATTCAGCTCACCTTCCCATGAGCCCTTCCAGCACGCAATCAGCATCAACACCTACGAGTTTCCATGTGGGCATACATAGTATTGGCACGGGCAATCCAGACAGTGGGAATGCAGATACACGAAACAGCGGCATCCCAACTCAAACGGGCACTCAGTTTCCACCTTCCAATGAAATGAAATCCAAGAGCGATCATTCGAGTGGTGGTATATCCCCCACGCTAATACAATCATCCGCGAACCCCTTCAAGAGATCCTTTCTTCAACCCAATCCACTCAGGGCCACTACCCAAGCTGGCGTTCTCATGGATGTCGATGAGCCTTCGCTTTCATCCCACGGCCGGGACGGTTCTCTGCCTGACTTGTTCGGTTTTACGGAGGATCGTGTAAGCGATACCGTGGGCGCCATCGCTGTAGATAGCTATGGTCACATTGCAGCCGGTTCTTCTTCTGGGGGGATCGGAATGAAACATAAAGGTAGAATTGGTCCCGCAGCACTGAACGGGATCGGTACCAGTGTCATCCCTGTCGACCCTAATGACCCCGAAAAGACATGTGTAGCGAGTGTTACATCTGGCACAGGGGAGCATATTGCTACCACCTTAGCCGCACACACCTGTGCTTCTCGGGTCTACTACACCCAGCGGAAGCGCCCAGATGGTACCTTTGAGGAGGTGACTGAAGACGAGGCCATGGGGGCAATGATTGCAACGGACTATATGGGTAAGCGTATATACCCCTTGAGATACGATTCGAGAAGGTATTAACAGCTGTATTTGCTAGGCCATCCTGGAGTGAAAGCCAGCCCTTGTGAGGGTTCTGTGGGGATTATGACGGTCAAGCAGACAATAGATGGAATATACTTATACTTTGCGCACAACACAGATTCCTTCGTGAGTACTGGAATACCTTCCTTTCTACGGTCAATTGCTAATGGGATGGTTGCTTTAGGTGCTCGCCAATATGAGCAGCGAGGACAAGAAGCCGTCTTCTGTTATGTCTCGCAGCAACGGACACGGGAGTATTGCGCAGGGCGGGAAGGCCTTCCGAATGAAACGGTCCTCATGATGTTATGGACACCATTTTTTGATGCTTTCAGTGCATTCAGACCCTAGATCGTAGAGACATCACGAACTTGTGCCGCTTCTTTGTCCGAAACTGCTATCTATGACCAAATCGGTCTCACAGCTAGATCTGTCTTGCAGGTCTGTCTTGAGGTAATACGCCTCCTAGGACTCGTATTACGCACTTGTGCAATGCTTTAGTGCAGAGGCGTATCATAGTTTCTTTACTTTGCGCTTCTTTGAATAGGCTTCCCTAGGACATGCTGGTCTGCGTTTACGCTTCTTGTGTATTCTAGGCCAAACTATTTATATTGTTCACTTGGTTCAATTCATTGGAATAGGTATTTCCAGTAGCTCTACATAGCATTCGCTCAGCATGTGATGTAATCCTAAAAGTGCACTTTATTTATTAAAAAAAATCGTTGGATGTCCCAGAACTGGAGGGCTTATATTCTGTGATTCACGTCCCTCCAATAGCGCACGAAAACCTAAATGTATCCCGGATCATATCCTTATCCCGGGATCTTTCGTATGCAAGTGTGCATTTCCCTAAAAGATATTTCTGAGGGTGCCCTGCAACGAACGCGGATATGTGTCACGAAGGATGGGGTTGCTGTTTCTCCGTCCTCGTTAAGTAGATTCTAGCCCAATCTAGTATGCGCGATATCTGAATCCAAATTGTGTTCATGACTGAGAGTACCAAGCATGCATGTCACCGGAGGCCTTTGGTTTTGAATTTACAACCCATTAAACATTAAATATGGGTAAGTGAAATTGTATGAGAAGTTCAGAGACCATCATCACGGACCCGGGGTAGGCGTCGGTGTGGGTGTAGCAGAGACACCATTCGGGCGAACCTTCTTCTTCTTTTTCTTCCTGGCCACAACAGCCGGTTTGGCGCCGTAGTCACCGGTGTCTAGATGCGTGCCGCAGGTCAGGCAGTCGCCGTTTTCCGGTGGTTCACAGAAGATACTCAGGCAGATGGAGCAGACGAATCCGATATCCACAACGCGGCGGTGGCAGAAGCAGGCGGCGCGGAAGTCGACGTCGACGCGGGTTGGGAGGACAAGGTGCTTCCGGGAGCGCTGATCCGGGAGAAAGGCCATCATTAGGTATTGGAGGAGGCCGCGGGGTTCAGAGAGGGGCATGTAGATTCCCTTTGTTGCGTCGGAAGCTTGTTGGAGGAAGACAGCGTCGCCGCTGAGTTTGCATACGTCGATTGGGATGTGGAGGCGTTGGCACGCAAAGATGCTGTTCATGATGGGGATATATTGGTGTGCGGAGCCGGTCGCACTACTTACGGAGATTATGAGGATACGGGACTGCAGACTTTCTGCGCCGCTGTCGTTCGTTGCCGTTGAGCGCCGCGTGGTGGATGGGTCGCCGGAGTGGGTTAGCGAAGATGTGTCGCCGCCGTGGGCTTCGGCCCATGCGATTGTTCGTCGGTTGATGTGGGTGAGAGCCAGTGTTAATGCGCCTGCCATCATCGTTGAAGTGTTGCTTTCCACATCTGCCCGGCTCGTTGAGTCCATCAGGTGTTTCAAGTTAGACGTGACTTGTTCCTCCACTATCCTGAACGGGCGGTATTTGTTAACTTGTTTGCCGCTGTTGTTGTCGTTGCTGTTGCCGTCGGCAGTCATCGTAACATCGCCGTCAGCATCTTCCTGTGATGTTAAAGATGCCGAGGGGTATAGCCATGCGGCTTTATGACTATGTGAAGCGACAACGGCAACCTCGTTCGCATAGTTACAGGCAAGGTGGGCATTGAGAAAGACGAGAATATTCGCGACGGCGGTTGAAAATGGGAGATTGTTCTTTTCGTCCTTCTCGAGGAGCGCCCAGGCGTGTGGGTTTGTGTCGATGACGACCGTTAAGAGGGACGGTGCAGGGTCTATCAGGAAATTCATCATTAGCTCTAATTGCTGCTTGAGGTATAGGCTAAGAAAATAAAAGAAAAGATTGTCTTACCATGTGCACTCGTCTCATAGTGCTCAGTCGCGTCGACGGCGTTCATGCTTGTAAACCAAATGCCTCAATGCGAGAAGGTTTTGGTACTGTTCCAGGAATTGAGACGGTGAGGGAAATCGCGTATACCAAGAAAGGCCGCAGCGACAGGTCTATCTTTCACTTGAAAGAGTCGAGCATCATGACCAACCAGCTGAATCTCCCTCGCATAGGCAGATTCTGAGCTTTGCCGTCTATAAAGTTCCGTTGAGCTGCACGAAAGAAACCCACCAGGGCAAGATTGTCAAGCTTAGAAGATTGATGAAAGCCTAGACCGGTTTATGCCAGAAGCTCCGACTTGACCTCAAAAAAAGTGGCATGCATGCACGTGACACCGAAGTGGGTCAGCTTCTATACAAAAGGTACTTTAAGTATCTTTACAAGAGTCATATTTATATAAAAACAGACTAGTTTATTCATACTTCATAAACTAAGCTGAGCCCAATATCTAGAGTCGGGTAGCTATCTAAATGGCGCTCTTGTCTTCGACATCTAAATCCATCTAGCATGATGAGATATCCATTTCAATCAAAGAATAGCCTCCGGCTTGACATGGAGATGATCATCTTTCTGCTCCGTCTGGCTCAGAACCGGGATCTTGTAAGCCTCTTTGAGAGACGCAGTGGTCGGCTCGCTGAGCGGGCTGGCATGCGGGGTGAGACCAGGTGTAGAGCCATCGCGTTCCGTTAGACCTTTCCGAATGGCAAGGACGGAATCGGCGATAACCGCGTCAATTCCCTCGGCAGCTTGGAGCTACAAAGTATAAGGTTAGATTCATACAACTGATAAAGGGGGTTCTCGATATCTTACCTTGACTTTATACGGATCGTTGTTGGAAGTACCGTAAGAAACACAAACAAGACCAGATTCTTTGACCACGCGGATAAGGCGCGGGCAGAGAACAAGGCACTCTGCCTGTGTCACCACGCCGAGCAGGTTCCATCGGGAGGCAAAGCGAATCGCCTCCTGCAGACTACTGGCTCGGATATCACCAATGGGGCTGGAGCCGGAATCGGTCAGGAAAAGGACAGGAATAGATGGCTGCTTGAAGGCCAACAGCAGGCAAATATCGGGATTGAAGCTGGAGAGGATCATGTTGCGTCCCTGACCCATTTCATAAGCCTGCGTGAGGACAATATCCACGAAGGAATTCAATTCCACGGCATATGTATCCATCTCTTCTTCCTCAAGTTCATAGAGCATAGGGTATTCTGGACTTTGGTTAGCGTTTTGGTCCACCAGACGTTTTAATCAACAGATAAACTTACTCAACTCCATATTAAACCCAACATTCTGAGGTAGCAACTTGAACAACTCTTCCAACGTGGCAAACGGAGCCTGGATAGAGTTGCCTCGACTATTGCCTTTGAATCCCTTCTTCTTGAAGTCACGCGTGTGCTTGATCTTTTCGTTCAGCTCCAGGAGGTCACTTTCTGTGCCACCAACAGACATCGATCGGTGGCGGGGAGGGGGGTTGCTCGGTTCCCGTCCGTCGCTAGCAGCCATTTTCGGGGATGTTGGCGCTCGAGACGCAGGTGTTTTAGTTGAGCCTCGCTCTCCCAGTTGAAGGAATTGCTCCAGCGTAAGGGCATGTACAGGGGCGTCAATTCCTGTTTCGCTGACAAGGAAATCATGGTAGATAACAGGAACGTGGTCCTTCGTGAGCTGAATATCGAATTCGACATATGAAGCGCCCAAGTTGGCGGCTGCGATGAAAGACTGGATGGTATTTTCGCCCAGCTGCAATGAATTTCGGCTATCGAAATTCTTACCCAAACCACGGTGGCCGATGATCATTGTTTCCGAAGTCATACTCCTCCAGTATGTCTGCTCCCTGTTGACGGTCATGTTTGGGTTTTTGAATGGCGTGATGATAAGGAAGTTGAATGTAATAGATCCAATCACATCCAGTGTATTGGCCGCCACGATGGGAACAGTAGAGTCGCCTTGGAGGTTGATTCGGTGAGATCCAACCGTCGGCTTCACGCTGGAGAGCAGGGCAACACCACGTCCCACGATCTTGTCTTTTGAGCCTGCATAGGTCGGAACAAGGTCAAAGAGGAGCCTAACTTTGCTAGGGTCCGCCGAATGGAACACAATTGGTTCTGTCGCAACGTTGTCTTGTACAGGGAGATCAATGATCTCGGGTTCCCCATGTGCGCCGTTGGCAGAGACCACAATAGACAGAGCAGTATCCAGCTGAGTCGCGTGTGCGTTTTCCACAGGAATACGATCAAGATTCACAGCTTCCACGTGCTTTCGGATGTCCATCGTTCCCAGACTGACCAAAATCATGGCCTCATCGGTGAGATACCGATGTCCAAATGACTTAACAGGCTCAGAATACCGTGAAGAAGTACTCCCGGCAGAACTGCCGTTGGACTTCTTCTCCAAAAGAGATGATTGCGATTGAGACGACGGAGCAGATGTAGTAGAGGGAACAACTAAGACAGGCTCTGCCTCGGAGAGCTCAGGTGCAGGAGTGACTTTCGCAAGGCATCTGGCGATTTCGAGATGACCACGAAGGGCTGCATGTTCCTTTGCCGTCCAGCCGGATGAATCCACTCGCTCGAGATCAGCACCAGCTTCAATCAGAGCCTCAACGACACTCAGCGAGCCGTCAACACTGGCTACAAAAAGTGGAGTCCACGAGTATGTGTGCTCTGCAAGCTCAGTGTCTGCTTTTTGATCATCGTTTCCCTTGAGCAGAATACGAGCACACTTGTCATGACCGAAGCGGGCCGCGACATGCAACGCGGTTTCACCCTGTTGGTCTTGGTAGTTGATCTCAACTCCAGCATCAACCAACAGCTGAACGATATCAATGAAGTTGGCTTTGGCGGCCAGTGCTAGAACCGCGCTTGACCTTGAGACATGCTTGCGAACTATCGATTTGTCTGGGGCTTGCCCTTTCCAATTCTCTGCTTTTAAAAGCGTTTGGGTAGTTAAAGGGTGGCCGCCGACGACACTGAGATGAAGCGGCGCCCAGCCATCATTATCTTGCCAAAGCGGGGCATCGATTCCTTCGCCAACATCGAATACGTCCCAGGCCTGCAAATGTTCGATAATCACTTCACAAACAACCCTAAACCCATACTGCGCAGCATAGTGTAATGGGGTGCGTCCAGACATGTCTCTAGAAAGCAGGGACTGGCGTTGATCCGGACGAAGATTATCTAGCAGATGTTCGAGAACAGAGACCGCGGGATCAGACCTGTCCAGATGCTGGGGCTGGTTCGCTTCTTTCACCACTGGGCGGGGAGGCTGCAGGGTCGGAAGTGCGGCGGGAGTGATATAATTCGAGGTATCCAGAGGGAAGTCCAACACCATTGAGGCAGACTGTTCTGAATCAGCGGTAGTCTGAGCACGACCAATCGCAATCACCAAGCGATGGATGCAGTTGCGCTTGTTGATATCGTCGTCTTCCTCAAGGGAGTCCAAACGGCCAAGGACAGCAGAAATGCATGCTTTGGAGCGATAATAAATCGACCGCTGGAGAAGATTACGAAGAACCTTTTGGAAGACTTTGTCGCCCGCTTCATCCGCGGCCGTTTTCAGATCCTCTAACAACTCCAATAGAACATGGGTATCATCTTTGCGCAATGCTTCATCGATAGTAAGAAGCATGTTCGCAGGGAGGTTCAAATTGGGGCGAGAGGGGCCTCTTTTCAATGAAAGAGTAGAATGCGTCGAGCTGGCATCGTCGAAGGTCTTCTGGTCACCCAGAGCAGACAGCCAGTCATTAATCTTTTTCAACGCTTCGGAAACACGAGTGTTGGAGGCGAATGGCAATGGTTCTACCTTTGTCTCAAGGTATTTCTGCTTCGCCTGCGCTCCAACCTTTTTATCAAGCTTCTTGGTGATCTTGTTGAACCCGCGACGGTTGACCTCGCCATACCATTGCAACTTGCGGAATTGTCCACGCAACTCAAGCAATGCGGCCAAAAGGTCTTCCACGTCCTCCGAGTCCAAATGGCTCCCATCCAAGGGCTGTGAATAGCGGTCTGATAGTAGCTTCAGGCGACGCGAGAAGTCGGCATACTTCTTGTTGTAAAAGTGATCAACGTCCTCAAGGTTTCGGTCGAGGGAGTAGAAGAAGCCTAGAGGGGAGTGTTAGGAGGGCCGCTGAGCGGACCAAAACGCGCAATAATCAGATGGCTCACCGGCAAGATCTGCCTCGTGACCCGCCTTCACACGTTCCGCCAGGGATTTGATGAGCTTCTTCAACGACTTGTACCGGATGTAGGAGGAGCTCCATTCCGGCACCACATTTCGGGGCAAATTGCGCCCAAACTTCATATTTGCTGGAGTATCTCAAACCCTGCAAGTAAATCCAAACAAGCCGCACAGATATCAAATTGCGACAATTTCTTCGTTTAGGAAAGGGGAGGGAAAGAAAGAGAGTGCCTTTTCCAAAGCTTCCAGTCGACAGTTGAGCTTCCTTAGGCGCAACCACTAGTTCAAACAAAGGAAAACGCGACGGAGATTTAGATGAAGGAGGATTGGCGGATAGAAGAAAGAGAAGGGAGGGAGAACTTTGGAAACAAGGACGCCATGTGTCAGTTTTCAGGAAAGACCAGTGCGAATCTTGTATATCGGGGGGTGGAAAACCTGAAGCCGCCTCCGCTGAATTTGTAGAGACGGGATCCTCGGAGAAGACAGGAAGAGGTTGTGCAAGGCGGGAAAAAAAATAGCGGCTAGTAACGATTAACGATAGTCAACACGTGGAGAACCAGTAAAACGATGAAAGTGAGAGTAGCAGGCCAAAAAAAAAAGATGCGGTCAGGGCACGAAACGAGAGGATCCGATCAACGGGGGTGGACGGTGGAGCGGAGAGGCACAGAGGGCCACATCGCCGACAAGTAATCTGAGCTCTGGCGGGCACTGGGTGCCATGAGTGGCAATGAAGCCGGAAGGCCAGTCGGCGCCGGGGAGTGACCGCAGCGACAGGTTCGACCACACCGTGGGCTTGGGGTGGTGGGATCCATGGGTGGTTGCGGAGCGACAGATCCCGCTGTCTGGGCGAACCGATCGTGGGCGTGACCGTCCGACCAACGCTGATTTGCCATGTGCTTCGACTGGAACCAGAAACTCTCTCCGTCCACAGGACATGCAAAGCAAGGGAGATGCAAGGTACAGCAGATCAAGAAACGAAAAGAAAGACCTTGAAGCTATACGTACCTTAACCAGCGACCCGGGTCCCACTACGGTACTAGTACAGAGCACGCACCTACACTCCGGATGAGTTGAGCTTCGGAACCATTTCGAAAGATAGATATGATCAGCGACTTGGGAGACGAGAGAGATTGATGAAGAAGAATCGTCTTGATAGCTGACTTTATATTCTCTATACTCCCCAGACCGCTCGGCGTACTTTCTGTTCTCCGCACGCCTTGTCCCAACCGCGAGTCAACCGGGAGCTGAGCTAAGATCCATCAGTGATCAGACGTGGGGTAGCTGCTCACCTCGCCCTCCAATCTTCCTCACCATTGAGCATCTAGCCATGCAGCAGAACTTCATTTCTGACGTCGGCGCAACTCTGCTTCCCTTTCTGTCTTGTTCACGCGCCCAAATCACCCTATTCCAGCCGACCGCCGACAGGAATCCAGGATGGACCCCCGCGGCCAGGTGGGGCAAGATATCCAGCCCTGCAGTCGTTCCAAGCCCACAGATGCAGGCTGTAAGGGAGAGCGGGTGAATGTTCTCTTCTTTTCGAACACTTTCAGTAATTATGTATATTCCGTAAACGCAAAGATGTTAAATGCATCTGGCACTAAAATCTAATTTGAGGGATTCGAGGATAGGACAATCGGGACAGCATGTATATATAATACTAGCTAACCTAAGACTGTAAATATACGAGTCGTAATGAATCATTTTAGTTCCTGAATCATTATTATCCGAATTATGTTCCGATACTTGATCGGCTTCATAGACACGGACCAATTATAACTCTCGACATTGATGCACAAGCCCTACCTACTTGCCGCTGGTAAGCGTGTTGTTGCATATGGATACCTCTAATTAGACATCCACAACGCTCCAGGGGAAGCTTTCCCTCAAGTAGATACAATCACTCGCCAGCGCAGTCACAGGACTTGATTCCTGGAACCCCTTTGCCGACTGCCCCTGGTAGACAGTAAGGTGTGCCCAACAGCACAGCGCGGTTGGTGGGTACCACAGCCAGTGCTTTAGGGGTTCAATCGTCTTTCGGCTGAGAGGATTCACTAACAGATCGACTATTGGTATGTGGTGGGTATAATTGTACGTACATAAGGACCTTGCTATGACTTCATACTAGTTTGCATTGATATACACTGTAGCTTGCACTAGGAGCGTCGGTGTTATCTGTAAGATTTGTCTAGGCTTGGGACTAAGTATAGATAGTCTATCTTGGCAATTGAACCGAAAAAGAACAGCAACGAGACCGTGACGACATTATTCATTCTCATTCCATAACCTAATATCGCGTGATATCAAAGATAAGCAATGGCCTTGGTCGGGGCTGGTCACATGAATCCAAAGCGGGACCGAGTCGTCTTGTGCATTCTGTTCCAGGGCTACAGGCGCCGCTCTATGCAATTTGACCATCAAGGGAAGCAGTGACATTATAAGGATTTCACGTGAAGCCACCAGGAAAAGCAAGGAAAAGAAATCGAAAAGCTCAAGAACACCGGATAGCAAACCCCTGTCAGAAGCGCCCGCAAGAAACAACAATCATTAACCAACGCTGTATCCCCAAATACAACTTGAAAGAGAAAAGAATAAATTCAAGAAGAAAAGAGAGGAAGCGATGAAAGAAATTTACGAGGAAAAGGCGTCTATGCATGAAAAAAAAGTACTGGCTTTCATCAAATCATCAAAACAAACCCCTGTCGAGTTGCCCCGCCGTTGATTATCCCACCAAAGGCTTGAGCGCTTCGACACCAAGTTGGAGTACGAGTTGGTTGCGCGTCTTCTTCAGCATATTGGTTAGGACTTCAACGCCTCCACTTTGCTTCACGGCCTCGATCGCCCGGCATCCGATATCGCCAGAGGCGGCACAAGTCAGATTGCGGACGCACGTAACACCGCGGTGAACGAGACCATCGTCTGCTTCCTGGCAAAGGTTGAGCAGGAGTTGGACCCCGCGCGGCCGGTCTAGTATTCCGGCAATGACGGGATCGAACTCTGTCAACATAGCCAACGCGCCCCCGGCGGCGCGTTGTGTCGTAAGGTCGTCCGTGTCCGTAAGCGCGAGCAAGATGTGTAAACGCTGTCCAGCTCGCTTGGTGCCATCGGCCATTTTTATAATCCCAGACTCGCATGTCATTAAGTTACAAACCAGCTCGCAAGCAGCCCGTTGAATAAGAGAATTCTTAGAAAGCAACAAGTCTTCCACTTGCGGCCAGGCGTTGCGAACGATGGCCTCTGCTGCTGCTGCATCAGGATGAGTGGCCAGATTTGTGAGCGCAAGGAGACTTTCGAAGACTGGTAGCATATCTAGTGGTTGCTCAGCTGTCGCGCTAGTAGCCTCCGGGGGAGCAATGAGAGCAATCAAGGGTCGAATGGCCGAAGTAACATGTGGAAATCCCGACAATGGGAAGACATGGGAAGGGTTGACAGAAATAAGAATTCGCGCAAGAGCATGCGACGAATTCAGGATGTTGGTGTTGGTTGCACTGGAGCTAGTTGAGAGACCGAGTAATAGTTTGGCCGCGCCTTGTTGTGCCAGAGTCCCTCGCGACTTGGGATTCCGTGACAGTGACAGTAGGATGCGACCGATAAGTTCGTGATTTGAGGACGTGGTATTCCTGCCGCATGCCACTAGAAGCGGAACTACGCCTGCGTCGATAACAGCGGCACAGCGAGCCATGACATGCTTGTCATCTTCAAGGACATTCGGGCCATTCTTAACCGCACCGGCATTAGCCTCGGCATAGGATTTGAGTTGAGAGATTTTCTTCTGTTCTTCAGACAGGTTTGGGAGAAACTGCGTAAGATTCAAAATAATCATCAGACCTCCATAGAGGACCGATGTGTCGTTAGACTTGTCCTGCAAGATTTTGATCAGGCCTTGTAGGAAGCCCGAGTCACCGGCGAGCTGTTCCTTGACTTCCGGCTTGATGGAGGAATAGGCCAAACCCTCGATCGCATTCGAGATATGCTCAGCCTCAGGTCTAGACATTATTCCCTTGAACCGGTCAACAAGCTCAGAAACATGGCTGTCATCGTCCTGAGACTTGCCATTTGAAGCCTTACCATTGTTTTCCTTTGGAGAAGCCCGCAATTTTGCCAGAATAACAGCAGCTAACTCCGAGTTCTGGTCGGTCCCGTTGCTAAGTATGTGAGAAAGCCAGTTAGAGAGGTTTTTTGAGATCGCCTCTCGACTCGTGCTGCTAATGCAAGCAGCGTTAAGCAACTCCAGAAGTGTTATTTCCATTCTGCGGCTCTTCGAATCTCTACCAGTTAAAGGTTTCAGAGCATCTATGCAGACATCCGAAAGAAAAAGACCGGCCGCAACTTGCGGCGCAACAGGGAATACCGCAGCTATCGCGGAACAGGCAACGATAAGATCATCAATGCGGTTTTTGCTTAACTTGGTGAAGATGATCTTCGACAATTGCTTTTCTCCGGCGTCTTTGGAGGCTTCAAGGTATTTGACAGTCGCCAAAGTAGCTTGGCTTCTCCACTCAAGCGGTAGTCGGTGGTCCAACGAACTGACAACCACATCAAGGCTCTCGTCGTCCATTAGGTCTCGCAGCTGACTAGCCTCAATAGCAAGTAAACGAGCGATGCCCTTGAGGGAGCGCCCGTCCAGATCATGACCAGATTCCATAAGTTTGGCAATAAAGAGCTGGAACAGCTCCCGCTCACAATGAAGGCGGGCATCCTCTGAGGGCCAAACCGAGTGATCCAAAACAACGGTGTCTAAGCACACTGCGGCTCCATCGCCCCGGTCGTAAAGATCATCGAAAAAAGTGGTGACGGAGACTTGAAGCTGGCTGGAAAAATATTGACGCACACTGGCATTTTGGCGAACAAGCCCGGAAATAATATCGTCTTGGGCGGAGGACAGCGCCTGTGCTTGGTATGAAAGTAGGAGTTTTGCACACTCCAGCCCTACACTCTCTGGCGGAACAAGACCGTCAGTCCGGAGATACCGGGCGGCATCTTTCGCCGCCTTTTCGTCTCTCTGTGTCGCATAGCGGCGACAGAGATCGAGCAGGTGGTGGCCATTGCCTTCTTCTTGTTGGACCTTTACTAAGGCATCTTTGACAGTTGCATTGTCGGGCGCGAGCGTGAGCGCTTCTCGGAGA